AAAGAGGGTGGTGGTTAGTATTCTTTCAAGGTTGTAGTACTGGTATATATAGCCCTAAAACCACTTGAGAGGTGGTTACCTGAGAGAATGCCTGTAGGGAGATTTGCTTGGGTATCAAAATGGGCAAAAGCAGAACCTTCATGCCCCTATTTTCCAGGGACAGTCCCGGATTTTCAGAATCTGTCCCGGTTTCTGATTTGATCCCAGAATGTTCTACTTTTCATTGGAAAAATGTTGGAGGGTATGGCAGGATGTCCCTATTTTCATCGGAGAAATGTTGGAGGGTGTGGAATTATGCAACCCCTGAACCAAGGAGATAAGTAACTATACAACCTTTAGAAGACATCTGAAGGCAGACCTGTTTAGGGAAGTTTTTTTTAAAAAAGTTTAATGTTTTATTATATTTTATATATGTTGGGAACTGCCCAGAGTGGCTGGGACAACCCAGTATGATGGGCAGGGTATAAATAATAGAATTATTAAATGCTTATTATTAAATAGGACTTCCCTATTTTAATCATAGAAATGTCGGAGGCCTTCTTAGTGGTGGCACCCCACTTTGGATCCGCCCCCCCTCCTTTCTGAGTTATGACTAGCTCTGATGTTAATCTGTTTTCAGCCACAAGTGTAGATTTGCCATGTTTGCTGGAACTGATGGAAGTTGTAGTTCAGTAACATCCTATAGGCCAGGGGTCAGCAAACTTTTTCAGCAGGGGGCCAGTCCACTATCCCTCAGATCTTGTGGGGGGCCGGACTATATTTTTTGGGGGGGAATGAACGAATTCCTATGCCTCACAAATAACCCAGAGATGCATTTTAAATAAAAGGGCATATTCTACTCATGTAAAAACACCAGGCAGGCCACACAGATAACCCAGAGATGCATTTTAAATAAAAGGGCATAAAGATTTAGAAGGCGATTGGGCTGGATCCGGCCCCCGAGCCTTAGTTTGCCCACCCATGCTATAGACCAAATACTCCCACACTGGGCCTAAAAGTGATGACATAATCATCTCAAAGCAATTTGAATGAACAATTCAACTTTAATACAGTTCCTAAAGATGGAGCTTTGTGGTTAAAACAAAAGCACCAAGCACATTAAAAGTACCAATTCTGATTATTCAAATCAGTACTAGGAATGTTAAAGCAAAGCTATTTTTTTTTAACGAAGTGAGGTTCCTCTGCAAGCTTTTCAGAATTCTTTGGGTGTATTTGGCACTGATATGTGTTGAATCTGGTCAGCTGTGAAAACAGACGGTAGTCAAAATTCTTTTTCTAACAAAAATGCTCTTTTCCAGTCGCGTTATGCCAACGTTTCTGATGTGCCAGGGTCTGAGAGTTGGCAGCCCGTCCAAATTCCAGCTGAGTTGCACAAAGCATGATGCAGCGGGATCTCCAGGTACGTAAGCCGACTTAACGTTCAGCTGCAAAATTGCTCATTATTTGTATAAAGCTACAGTTGCCTGTAAAGTAGGTCTATTAATCTGTCTCTGTTTTGTGATGTGAAAGATGAAGATCTGGGAAATGTATCAGCACTGCAACTCGACCTAGACTCTGGATTCCATAACAATGTTACCAGCCATCACATACCCTCCAACATTTCTCCGATGAAAATAGGGACGGCCTGTTCAACAACAACACTATTTATACCCCATCCATCTGACTGGGGTACCCCAGCTACTCTGGGTGGCTTCCAACTGAATACACACACACACATGCATATATAAAAGGTAAAGGGACCCCTGACCATTAGGTCCAGTCGTGGCCGACTCTGGGGTTGCGGCGCTCATCTTGCTTTATTGGCCGAGGGAGCTGGCGTACAGCTTCCGGGTCATGTGGTCAGCATGACTAAGCCGCTTCTGGCGAACCAGAGCAGTGCACTGGTTTACCTTCCCGCCGGAGCGGTACCTATTTATCTACTTGCACTCCTGCTAGGTTGGCAGGAGCTGGGACAGAGCAATGGGAGCTCACCCCGTTGCGGGGATTCGAACCGCCGACCTTCTGATCGGCAAGTCCTAGGCTCTGTGGTTTAACCCACAGTGCCACCCACGTCCCATATGCATATATACATACCTGTATATAATATATATAATAGGAAACATCGAACATTAAAAACTTCCTGATACAGGGCTGCCTTCAGGTGCCTTCTGAAATCCGTAAAGTTGTTTGTATGTATATATACCTTCCAACATATATAAAAACACAATGAAACATTTTAAAAAAAAATTCCCTATACAGGGCTGCCTTCAGATGGCTCAGGGATCTGATAACTCCATTCCCTCCAACATTTCTCCAGTGAAAATGGGAAAAGTGGGACATTCTGGGATCAAATCAGAAACCAGGGCTGCTCCTCTAAATCCGGGACTGTCCCCGGAAAATCAGGACACTTGGAGGGTCTGCCATCAATCTGGCAGGTCTCTCCATAAACAAGTGAGATAAAACAAGGATGGCATGCTTCTTCCAGCAGTAGAGCCTTACTCATGAGAACGGAGTCGGAAGCACTGGAGAACATCTTTGTGCCTTGTTGACGTGCAGTTGCCCCAACTCTACTGCTATCCCATCAAGCCAAGCTCTGCTGGAGGCAGGGGCTTCACCCTTTACCCACATGGTGGTAGCCGTGGTGGAGAGCCCTATGTTGTTGGATAAGCAGACATGCCCCTGACTGATGTGCCCAGCCTCCATCACTATTTTTATTATGGCCTGCCATCACTATTTTTATCATGGCCTGCCAATTGAATGAACACCACCTCCAAAGTAGGAGGCTGTGTTGTTCCATAACGGAAGTACTGTTCCAGGAGGACAAGATGACCAACTGACTGGCTTTTCTTCACCTTTTGTAATCATCATCCTCATCAATAGTAGAGAAGTCATGTGCTAGCAGTGTAAGCCTTGGCAACAGTGAGTTGAGATCCCTAAGCTGAACCAAGCTGACATGAATTCTTAGGTCTCAACGACTGAAAAGACATCTGTGTGTGCTTTTAATAATGGGACACCATACATCATATAATCGCAATAGTTCTGCAGTTTCAAGCAGAGCTACCGTATATCTGTTTAAAGTGAATCACAGTCAAATATATGAAGAAGTTTCAGCCAACCATTTTCCTTTTATGTATGCTGCTTAGAAATGTGATTAAGCAATATAAAGGTAAAGGGACCCCTGGCCATTAGGTCCAGTCGTGGCCGACTCTGGGGTTGCAGCGCTCATCTCACTTTATTGGCCAAGGGATCCGGCGTACAGCTTCCGGGTCATGTGGCCAGCATGACTAAGCAGCTTCTGGTGAACCAGAGCAGCGCACAGAAACGCCGTTTACCTTCCTGCCAGAGCGGTACCTATTTATCTACTTGCACTTTGACATGCTTTCGAACTGCTAGGTTGGCAGGAGCAGGGACCGAGCAACGGGAGCTCGCCCCTTTGTGGGGATTCGAACCGCCGACCTTCTGATCGGCAAGCCCTAGGCTCTGTGGTATAACCCACAGTGCCACCCGCGTCCCATTAAGCAATATAGAAATGACTAAAATGAAACAACTAATATCTATATTACTGTGGCCAGAGTACTATTGTCCCTGTGACACAACTTTTCCTGGTTGCATTAAACCATCTCTCTATTCCCCCTGCCCACTCTCATTTGTTTTATATTTGAATGACTTATATATTGCAGGCATTGCACAAAAACAGGGAAAATCCAGATGATGTGATGCCCAAAATAGGACTCTGAGATCCATTTAGGGCCATCCTCATATGCTCAGATAACATTGTAGTTCAAGCAGAAGAAACTACACTGTAGATTCACTTTTGTTTTGAATGCAGATCACAGGTAGTCTCTAAAATTTCCCTCATCTCACTGGAGTGTGTTATACTTTAGGATTTTTAAAAATCCATTTGTTTTTAATAGTATGCTAAGGGAATACCTTTATACTTCCCACAACCATAGGTATGTAATGAAGACTAATGATTTCAGAGGTGGCACTTCCTTTTTGCCTTCGTAACCTCTATTCAGATTCCTAAAACTCAGAGTGCATCCCTTTATGAAGAATACACTGCTTTATTCAGCTTACCCACTAGGAAATTTTATGTTACCCTTTCACTCTCTTTCTCCTCTTTGGATAAAGGTTGGTATATCAACTGAAGAAACAATAATAACAAAGACATGACAAATCAGGACGACCTTTTAGAAGACATCTAAAGGCTCAAGAAAGTTTTCTAATGTTTTATTATGATGTTCTATGGTCTATACGTTGGACTATACAACGTATAGTGGCTTTACTATATGATTTATAATAAAACCATTTATTGGGCGGGTATAGGGCGGTATATAAATTCAATAAATGATTTGTTGGAAGCCGCCCAGAGTGGCTGGAGTTACCCAGTCAGATGGGTGGCATATAAATTAACTATTATTATTATTATTAATTATTATGGGGTTTTTCGGTTTTTCAATGCAATGAGAGTTATTCATTTATTTGTAATATTGTTGCTGTTGTTGTTGTGAGATTTATTCGTTTATTTACAATTGCTGATGTTGAGATTTATTTATTTATTTAGAATGCTATCGTTGTTAGGTTTATTCATTTATTTACAATGTTGCTGTTGATGATATTCATTCATTTATTTAGAATATTGTTGTTGTGAGATTTATTCATTTATTTACAATGTTGCTGTTGATGATATTCATTCATTTATTTAGAATATTGTTATTGTTGTTGTTGCGAGATTTATTCATTTATTTACAATCTTGTTGATTATGAGATTTATTCATTTATTTAGAATATTGTTATTGTTGTTGTGAGGTTTATTTATTTATAAAGTTGATGATGATGATATTTATTCATTCATTTATTTAGAATGTTGTTGTTGTGAGATTTATTCATTTATTTACAATGTTATTGTTACTGTTATCATTATCATCCACAGTTTGCTCCCCATCCAGCAGAAGAACCATCCTCTTCCTCCCACCCCGGCCAACAACCCAGGAGCGGCGGCCTCGCCTCTCCATCTCCCTGCCGCCGCCGCCGCCGCCTCTTTCCCCATGACAGCCCCGGCGAGAGTCAGGCTCGACCAGCCCGGCCGGTATTTAAGCGGCGCAGGCCGCGGGCCGCGCCACTAACCGGGCCGCGAGAAGCAGCAGAGCAGCCGCCTCCGCCGCCACTCAGTCCCCTCCTCCTCCTTCTCCTCCTCAGGCCGGCGGGGAAGAAGGAACAGGAAAGGGAGGGCGAGGAGGAAGGACGGGCCTCTCTCCGCCGCCGCCGCCGCCGCTGCTTCCCTGGCCCGGCGGCCGAGTTCTTTCCCCTCACGCCGCCCGCTCTCTCGCCGCCTCGCCCCCCTGCTGCCATGTTGGATCGCTCGGCCCGAGCCGGGGCGAAGCGGGGCGTTTGAGGGGGGAAGGAGTGAAGCGAGAGGCCGAGGAGGAGCAGGAGGAGGAAGGGCTCCGGCCTAGAGCTCGCCCAGCCCCCTCAGCGCAAGTCTCCGGTCGCCGCCCCGATGCTGCCGCCGCCGCCGCCGCTGCCGCAGTAGCCAGCGGGGCGGAAGCGGCTGCCGCTTGCTGGTCGAGAGCCGGGGGGACGCGGCCGAGCCCGGAGCCCCGAAGCAGAAGCGGCCGGCCGGCATCTCGGAGCGGCGCGATGAGCAACAACCAGCAGCCTCCGCCGCCGCGGCGGATCACCAATGTGGGCTCCATGCTGCTCACCCCGCAGGAGAACGAGAGCCTCTTCGGCTTCCTGGGCAAGAAATGTGTGGTGAGTCAAGAGAGGAGGCCTGGCCGGCGGGGGGGGGGGGCCGGCGGCGGAACCCCCCCCCCCCAAGTTTACCCCTGTTTACCACCACCACCCCGGGCTGGGCGTGGGGGGGATGTGTACAGGACGCGTGTGCGTGTGAACGCGGCTTCAGGGAGGGTAGGTGGCTTGGGGCTCCAGGACGCTTGGCCAGCAGAGCCCCATTGACGTCTGAGGGCCTTGCTGTGGGGAAAATATGCCTGCGACTTGGGGGGGGGGGGCTGCTGCATTTGGGTGGGTGGAGAGCAAAGGGTTTAGAATGGGGGGGGTGGGCCCCATAGACATAGCCAGGATTTATTTTACGGGGGGCAAGTAACCAGAATTTTATGCTGGGGGGCAGATAGCCAGGTGTTGGGGGGCAGATAGCAAGGATTTATATTGGAACAAGTAGTCGGGATTTAGGGGCGCAGGTAGCCAGGGCTTATTGGGGGAGAGCAGGTAGCCAGGATTTATGGTGGGGGGCAGGTAGTCAGGATTTTGTTGGGATAAGTAGTCAGGATTGATGCTGGAACAAGTATTCGGGATTTATGTTTTTGGGGGGGAGGGCAAGTAGCCAAGGTTTATGTTAGAGGGTGCTGGACACCCACCTGTCATCGTCCTCTGACTCTAGCAGATTCGGAATGAAATGTCTCAACGATTAAATTACTTTCTTTTGAACCCAAGTGCTCAGAAAAATCCAAATCTTTCTACATTTTCTACTTTTAGCTAAGTGTTTCTGTTTGTTTACTTGATTCGGGGGGGGGGCAGCTGCTGCCCGAGCCCCCCATCTACTCCCATGGGGATTGCTGCCTCTTTCGGTCAAGATTGGGGGGTGGGCAGATGCCTTGCTGGTCTTTCTGGGGTTGGGAGAACAGGAACGCTTCTTGCCAGGCCTTTCCCACATAACAGCTGCTTGCTTCCTTTTTTTCTCAACCTGCCCGGCCTTCGGCTGTCGTAGTGGGAAATCAGCAAGGTGTGTGGGGTGGAGGTGTTTTCCTTTCCTTCCATTCGGGCGAGGCGTTCAGCAGCATTTCCTCTTTTTTGGTCCGGTGAGTGGGGGGAATGTGGGGCGCAGGTGAGTACAGCCGCAAGCAACACTGTGCCAGGAAAAATAGTCTGTGCTATCACTGCCCCGCCTCTCTGTGTTCCCTTCCAGGTGCCCCCTTAGTTGGGTTGCACTTTGGCACTGCTCTGTGCTTGCAGGAGGAAATAGATCTGGCAGGGGACTCCAGGGACACGTCTTTCACAGGTGTACAGTCACAGCACTTTGCTTGTTTTGCACAGGTGTGAGCTGCAATGATACTGCTCGGCTGCTGTTAGCTGGTTCCTACTGGTTACTTGCTCTCCCACTTCCTCTATGCTTCTCTCTTGACAGGTATATTTTGAAAAGGGCAGTCCCAGTAATGCTCTGCGGTATGAGTGTGTCAGTCATAGAGCTGTTGCAACGCTTCGTGGAAAAGTTCAGCAGGTTAGAGCAGGCCTGAATCGGTCTGCCTGGATTTCACCTGTAGGATTTCGTGAACTTTCAGGAAACAAAGTGGTATGATCTGGGCCAGGCAAAACCAGAATGTACTCTGTTTTGTTTCCCCTTAAACAATAGGCTGACATGGCAGATGCACCCATGTAGATACACTTCACTGAGGGATCTTTTAAAAAGACTGAAAATCCTTGGTAGATTTCTTTTTTTTAGTCCTAATTATTAGTATCCTGTAGGTATTTGCAGGCTTAAGAATTCTGACATTTGCTTTTATTGTTATGGGGCACCCAACATTGTTACTAATACTGTTCAAAGCCTTGCACTGAAACTTTTTGCTCTTTTTCCAATTTCTTAGACAAAGTAAATCCCAAGAAATACAGTATCACCCTGTTTTTGGCTTGTATTTTATTCTGTGAACTGCCCTGAGATCTTACGATGAAGGGCAGTAATACATCACCATCATGTAATGTTTGGGCCCATGTCATTGTCTGAATTAATCTATTCTTCTGGGCCATTGTTTTATTTTCTAAAACGTAAATATAAATAGTCAATTTTCTTGTGAGCGAGCCACTAAAGACTTGTTCTGATTTAGTTGAGTTGTAATGTAAGCTTACCAGGAGAGTAACAGCACAGATAAAAAATTACAATAACTAGGTATATCACAGCAAGAAGTTGGGGCATTAGAACAGGGATTAACAAATATGTGTGTTATTACCCAGCACTGGATTGTAGAAAACCAACAAAAGTAAGACATGTTAGGGAGAGATACAAGGTCCAGTAAAGATTGCAGTAATTTACTAGCATCTTTGGAAGGCTTTATTTATTTATTTTTTAGCTCTAGAATTACTTGGGTAGATGAGGCACACTACAGATCATTGCCTCCAGCTATGCCTCAGTGAAAACTGGCTTATATTATAGATCTATCTCAAATGTCAGTAGGAATCAGTGAATTCTGACCATATTCTTCCATTATTTCCCTTGCAGTAGAAAGTATTCAGAGCCGGAGGTTATTAGTTATTTATTGAGACCATTAAGACTAATGGTAGTAAATGCTACTACAAGGGAGGGGGGACTACAGTTCCCATCATCTCCTCCTATAGCCGTGCTTGGCTGGGGTTGATGGGAGCTGGAGTCTCAACATTACAGGTTCACCACAACGCCAGTAGTAAGTCACTTTAGGCACCCTTCTTCTGAACTGCTGTAATTCTTCTTACTCTTCCCCTGAGCCCTACCTAATTGTCCACTCCGCCATAGTGACTCTAATGACTTTTGCACACTGGTATTGCATAAAGGGCCTCTGCACATAGGCAAAATATAATGCTAAAAGCAAAATGTAATGCCAAAAGAGTGTCAATACTGTCAAAAGGATGCTGGCAGTGGCATTATGCTATTCCCTGGGGATGCTGAGACTTGCCAGGGAGGGTGTAAATTCCTCTAGGGTACGTTGAAGTACTATTTACCTTAACTGGGCTGAGTGGCTTAATGCCAACTCCCTTGCCAGTTGGTGCAATGCAGGAACGTGTGCCCCACCCTCAATGTTAATAGTGCCGTTAGCAACCCCCCCTTTTTTGCACAGTCACTACATTAGGTTGAGGACTAGGCAGCTGAAACAATTGCTAAGAGTGAGTAGGCATTTTTCTGACTTTCAAAGTTATAAAATTTGGAACTTTTGGTAAAAGCATGCAGTAATTGTTTCATTAGATTCTAGTGGTAAAAGGATACCTGCAAGGGCTGCAGTGTTTAGCAAACTTAAATCTTTACCTTGGAGTAAACTCCATTGAATCCAGTGGAGCTTACTTCTTAGTTAAGGATAGGGCTGTGCTTTTGATTGGCTAAAAACCATTGCACCGCCTTAAAAAAGTAGCCTGATTTAATCTGTCATATTTCTTAAAGTATCCATTTAATTTTTTAAAAAAATACAAGAAAATAGTGTAGGTGGTAGGCATATGTTAAAAGGATCCGCTCCTTCTCCCTTGGGAAGAAGAGCACAAGCTTCGTGTGTCAAGGGTTTCACATTCATTCCTGGCATCTCCAGGTAGATCTCTGGGAAAGACTGTTTGAAATCCTGAAAATCACTGCCAGCATTTCTAGATGGTAAAGGTAAAGGGACCCCTGACCGTTAAGTACAGTCGTGGATGACTCTGGGGTTCCGGAACTCATCTCGCTTTACTGGCCGAGGGAGCCGACGTTTATCCGCAGACAGTTTTTCCGGGTCATGTGGCCAGCATGACTAAGCCGCTTCTGGCGAACCAGAGCAGCGCATGGAAACACCGTTTACCTTCCCACCGGAGTGGTACCTATTTGTCTACTTGCACTTTGACGTGCTTTCGAGCTGCTAGGTTGACAGGAGCTGGGACCAAACAATGAGAGCTCACCCCATTGCGGGGATTCGAACTGCCGACCTTCTGATCAGCAAGTCCTAGGCTCTGGTTTAGACCACAGCGCTAACCGCGTCCTGGTAGTACTAGACAGTGCTGAGCTAGATTAACTACTGAACTGAATTGGTTTAAGGCAGCTTCAATTGCACACAAAGAAATGCCTCTTCTGAGAATGTGCATGAGTTATCAAAAAGCCCCAAAAGAAAATAAAAGCATGCTTTTATTTTCATTAAAAAACCACCATGTTATTCATATAGTTTATAAACGATGGAAGTCTTAGTCAATTAGGTGTCAACACTGCAGGAAGCCTGAGTAAAATGTGTTGCTAACTGCAGCGAATAAATATTTCGGCTACCTGAAGGCTCCGCACAAACGTGTGAGCACTTTTAGAGCAAGTTAGCAGTTTGCTATGAAAATTAGGTGGTATACCCTTATAGTATTACAGGAGGTTGAATGTGTGTCAGATTAGGAGAAAATAAATAAAATACTAGGTGCCAGTTCTTTGGGGCTGAAAACATATTTCAAATTCTAGGCATCTGGGGGGCACGGTATTTGGGACATCCTATTGATGAGGTTGCTAAAATTCTCTTTGAAACTGATTTATTTGCAACTTCCCCAGAGTGGCTGGGGAAACCCAGCCAGATGGGCAGAGCATAAATAATAAAATTATTATTTGTATGTTGATGAGAATCTTACAATTCTGGAAAAGACAGAGTGAATTTTCTCTCCACCTTTCCAAGTGCAAACTGTTAGAACTGTAATGCATATGTAACACCAGGTGTACATGCTTGGTGTGCAGGGAAGTCCCAGGCTAGATCTCTGGTTAAAAGGATCAGGGAGAAGGAATGGAAAAGCCCTTTTTTGCGAATCCCTGGAGCTGCTGCTCTTCAGAGTAGGCAGTATTAGTCTAGATCAGGCAGTATTAGTCTAGTTTAGATCAGGTGTGGGGAACCTTTGGCCCGCCAAATGTTGAACAACTCCCATCAGCCCCAGCAAGCTAGGCCAATGGCCAGGGATGGGAGCTGTAATTTCCATGTGGAGGGCCAAAGACTGCCCACACCTGGTCTAGATGGACAAATAGACTGGCAGCATCCTATGTTCCGAATGAGGAATATCACACACAGAAATTGCCACTCCATCTTCTGCTTATGTAAGAAATATATATGGAGAAAAAAAGACATTAGCCTGTTACTGCAGAAAGGCAAATTGATTCTCAAGCTCAATACTGCAATCACTGAACACCTCCACCATTGGGTCCTGCACCAGCTTCAGTCAGATGTCACTATTCCAATTTTGGTTTCATTTTTGTTAACTTGGGGCTCCTCCCATGCTGCCGCTCACACAAAAGCATGCTGCAGATATATTTACAACTATGCAATCAGTTGTATGATTGTCTTGGTTTTATGAAAGCAAAAGCTAGTATCCTAGGTGGCTCACATTCCATTCTTTTCTTTTTTAAAATTTCATTTATTGCTAGCCCAGTACATTGCTATAACCTATGCCATTTTTGTTTCGTAACTGAAACAGTTAAATGAGGCCCTGGTTCAGTATGTCCACTTCAGCAGTTGAAAGGCATCAGAAGGCTTTAGAAAAATAATATTGATTAGCTCACACTGCAGGTTGCATGAAATACATGTCTGCAGAATATGCATGCAATATGCTAGTTTGTCTAAATGATCTTCAGAGAAACAGTGTCATACTATATAATACCTTCATTTGTCTAATATTGACAGATCTATCTGTGCCCTCCCCTGAGTCGCCTTAATGAGCCCTAGTTTCCAGTGGTAGCCAGGATTCATGACTTGCAACATTGTTTTGTAATTTTTTTGCATCTGTACTTGTTCCTTTTCCAGATGCTTAACTCTTCACACTTTCACTTTGTTCCTCATCCTCCCCCTTACTTCTGGCATCCAGCTATGCTGCGGAAATACAATACAATCAATGATATCAGGATTCTGCTGTTACTGTTCTGTTGACTGGATTGTACTATGGAAAGTTGGTGTTTAAGACACACTTTCAGATAATACAAAAGTAGTAGGCATTGTTCATTCTTAGACAAGGAGGCTGCAGTTAAATTTTTGCCATTCTTTCCCAGTTTGTATTGGACACTCATTGGGGAAGGAAAAAGTGGGATTTGCATTGTCTTCAGTCATGGGATTTTTTTAAACAGTAGCAGCACACAGACCTGAGCACCAGGAAAGGTAGTGCGATATCTTGCCAAATACCCATCTCAATTTTCTGCCTGCAATTTAGCAGTAGCAGTTGAGCTATACAAGTGCGTATGCGGAATCCCCATTTTCTGTGAGAGGAAGGTGCTTGAAGCAGGGTTCATGTGGGATGCATGCATTTTATTAAGTGTGTGCGAAAGTAGCAACAACTGTTATGTTTCATCTAGACTTTTATACGAGCAGCCTTGTGGAATTAAGGGCAGTACTTTCAGAAAACTGAGCACGAACATCATGTGGCCTTGGTGTTAAATAAGCCATTCCAGTAGGATTTTTTAAATACCTTTATGTTCTGGCTTTATGTATAAATTCGTGGTGGTTGTAGCTTAGCAAGGGGCTTCTATTATGTACTCCCTTTCAGTGTTCTCTAGCGTGTGGGTTTGCATTGCTTTCGGCATGCTTGCCATTTGCTGCCTCCTTCCCCTTCCATACTGTGAATAAAAGAGTGATGAGATGATTTTGTGCTGTTAAAAGATTGAACAGGTTGTCTCGTTTTTTGGAAGCCTAGAGAGAGGGCATGCAACTGCTTTTATTGCCGATCTTCATTTGTTAAAAAAGAGTTATAATTTGAAACGTATTTTACCCTGCTCTTTAGCTGAAAAGGCCAGCTTACAGAGATCTTTGGTGAGACTGATATAATCAGTCCAAGGACTTAAGATACCAGGAGGCCTGGAAAACTCTTTATTTTGCTGTGTATTGCTTTGGCCCATGATAGGATTGCATTTTGAAATTGTTTGCAATTGGTATTAGTCCTCTGCATATTTTGTATGAGGCTTCCTGACAAAGGGCACTTGTGAACAACAAAGCTGGGGTATAGTTACCCTAGCACCCTGAAGGATTGGCCTGCAGGACAGCATTGTCTTGCGTATGGACAGTACAGGATTGTACGTAAAGCAGCTTCAAAACTTCATTGGGCTAATAATGCAACAATATTTTTTTTAAAAAGAAAACAACAAAAAAGAAATACCCTTTGTAAAACATGATTTATTTAGAAAAGAAGTAAAGGTAACTGTCTGTGCTAGGTTTGGAATACCTGTCTGTTGATCAGTTAAACAATTGTGTTTGTCACAACTGGAAGCCACAATCTATTTCTCTCCTCCCTCCCTTCCTTCCCCTGCCCCCAGCAGTTGCCTACAATCCTGCCAGTATGGGAGTTTCTTCTCCCAAAGGTGAGAAAGTTAAAAGCTTTAAAGATGAATACTGGAAGTTGGGTGTAGGGTTCTGGAATAACTGCAAAGGGTCAAAGACTCCTCTGTCCTGTGTCTGTGGTCCTGATTGTCTACCAGTTTGATCATGGCCTGGCAATTCTGTAAAGCTGAGTGCCTTTATGTAAGTGGTAGCCCTAGTCTCTGTTTGACTTAAAAGCAAAGCCGGGAATAAGGCTTGTAATAAACCAGACATAGAATGGACTTGTTGTTTATAGTACTTCTTGTTTTTACTTTTACAAAGTTTTGCTGCTACGTTTTTCTTCGAGTTCTTAAAATAATAAACTACTGTAGTCACTGTCTTGTATATAGTTTGCTACATTGATTAGCCTAAAATTGCAAAGTTAAAAATAACTGATTACAGTTATTTAGAGTATCTTTATTGCATCACGAAAAAGTGGATTTTTCTGTAAGCAAAGATGATGCATCTCAAGGTCTATCCCACCTTTTCTTGTCTTGTTTTTTGTTAAATCTATTGCCCTTTTGTGTGTTCTGCTATACTGTACAGCATTTGTAGCAGCCAGGTGCAGCTTGATGTAAATCATGAGCAATCTATGAGGAGGAGAACTCCAGCAGTTCTAAATTCACTTACCAGCAGGGATCCACAAGTTTTGCGTATTCTTAATAGTGAAGACAAAAGTTTCTGGATTCCATGACCTTGCCCCCCTTCCTTTACTACAGACCTATTCATTTCTACTTGGAAGTGAATAACAATACGTAGTTGTGCTGTCCTTGTAGGGCCTCAGATATTCAGCAGAACCCTACTTGTGCCCACCCTCTCTAGCTGGGGAAGGGTAGCAAGGACTCTTTGGGGTAATATAGTGCTCTGAGTACCTTGACTGCCGCAGCCTGGTTCCATCCATTCACTTTGGAGCTAGATAGAGATTAGGCTTTTGGGGGCAGTGGACAGCAAACACATTCGTTGAAACACCTACTGTCACCCACTGCCCAGATAACCAGCTCCAGCAGAGATGGGTGTGACTCTTCCCCCTAGTTGCATTGAGTTTTAGAACCATCCACAACTCAACACTGACTGTGGGGGTTGTGTTTGTCACTGCCGATAGATGTAGCGACTAGAACCATACAGTATTTTGAATATGGTGTGGCATGATTTGATTAAAGGAATTACAATACTGACAGCTCTATTTTCAATCCCTTTCCTACTAATCCTTGACGTGGCATTCACCACTTTCTGCAGCCGCCACATATTAAGTCTGCACTTACATTGCATTATCTGCCACAACCCCAAGATCCTTTCTGTCAAGTCAGCACCGCCTGAGAGCCCATCAACGTATGTGTGTGTTAGAATTTATTTTTGCCTAAAAGGTTGCACCACTTAATGCATGCTTACATTGAACCACTTTTGACCATTTATCCATTTTGGAGAGATCCGTTGGGAGCTTTTTGCTTTTACCAATCAATACAGTAGGCAGTCCTCCATGGGCTGAATGCCAGAGGTAGATGGGGACAGAGGTAAAAGTGTGTGGAACTATAGATGTGGCCCTTAAACTTGTACTGTGGGCTGTGTCTCAGCCATGCAAAAGTAGTGGTCCCCCCCCCATATACTTACATGCATCTCTCCATTCTCCTATCCAGGTAAGCAAGAAGCATTATCACAGTTCAGGAATCTCTTCCATTCATTTAAAAGCGCTTGAGGATAGATAATGTGGAGCAGGGCTGTTGAGAGGCATGACCTAAAAAGAGTCCCAAGGGGCAGATAGAGAGGCCTGATGAATGGGAAGAACCTCAGCTTGAGGTTCTTCTACGTGCTGGGGTATTATTGTGTTTCAGTATGTAAGGAATGGGGAGTACATTTTAAATATTTCTGAATTGGAGCATAGCTCATGAAAAATATTAATTTGGGAGAGTCTCAAAATATTTTTAATCTAAGCTTTGGTCCACTCATTGAGCCAAATCAATTTGAAATGGCTTGCTGATGTTTTCAAGGTCAGAAAGATGTATTACTGCAGAAACGGAGGATCTGCAATGCCTGTTCTGTGGTTAAAATTGCAAGGGCCAGAATCATCCTGTAGTATTGTGGCTTTGGGTGAAATACCACAAATTAACTTCCTTTTTCTTTGCAGCTTGGCAATAGCCTGTACTCATAGTGTGTGTGACTTTGCCACTTTGAGTGATTACTTCTGCTTTATCTACAAGGAACTTCCTTGGGCTTTAAGAGGAAGAGGGTTGTGGTCTGCAGGAATTGGTTTGCTGGTTTCTGTAACCTCAGCCACAACCTCTTCCTTAGGGGTGCGGGGAGGTGAGAAACTTATCAGAGTTTCCATTCCTTCCTCCCCACTTGGACATCGCATCCAAGACCCAGCATGGGGGTAGCGGGAAATCTAGAGAAGAAGTTCTTCAAATAATGGTGTATTCTAATTCACTTTAAAATTCAGTAGGATCACGTTTTTGTTTTGCGCACAACGAGGTTTTATGACAAAAGTCTTCTCCAGCTGTGCTAGCTAAAGTCCTGTAACTGGAAATGTTGATGAGCCTGTATACATGTAGATAATGTGAAATGCCAGCTGTCCATATGATTTTGTATTTCTTTAACACCTGTTCTGTTGAACAGGTCTCTCTGAGACCTAGATAAAATTGGTAAAATGATGACTAATATTTTTAATTGTTAGGAAATGTAAGATGCTATTTTTTAATTGCTAGGAAATGCCATACCCCGAAGCCCTGTCAAACTAGTGGTAGTTGCAACCCCAAGTGAAGATCAGTCACAAGACCATTCTCCCACTACAAAAAAAATATGATAAATTTATTTTTGAATCGCTATAAACTTCATAAACCACTTTGAAGAAAGTTGGGACTTTATATAAAATTAGCCATACTAAGACTTGTATATCTTCATAAAGGTGTTAATTTGCTTAGTCTTTAATTCTTAAGGCTGAAAAGGCTTTTGATTGGGTAGAGAAATATTTCCAGAATATTTTGCTGAATATTTCCAGTCTGTGATCAAATATAATGTAATGATATGCAACATATACACATATACAGATATTGTTTTTTAAGTACTAGAAACAAATGTCCTGAGTCACTACTTGTTTTTGCTGTCTTTATTGAACCGCTAGCTTTTTATTATACAACACCTAAATGATATAAAGAGCAGAATATTGATTATTTGATTCTATCAAATGCAGGGTAAGCTAAAATCAGAGGTAGCCAATGCCTCCAGATACTGGAACTGCAACTTCCATCAGCCCCATGCAGGTATGGGCAGGGGTGGTGGGGTTATAATCCAACAACATATGGAAGACACCATGTTGAGTACCTCTGGTTTAGGTGGTCCAAATTGGTAGACACTGTGGAGTTAATATATTTTCAGACTTGTGCCTTTCAAAGTCAGTTAGGTCTTTCTAATACAGTATAAATAGCATCGGGTAGTTTTTGTCAAAACGTTTGTCAAAATACATTATTTTATGGCTTGACTGCCTTTCTTTAAGATACTGAAATATTTCCAACACAACACAGCACCTCGCTGATGCAAAGGTAGGAGTGCCCCTGTTTCCTGCAGGGTTTCCTCTAGTTATAACCCCTAGCAACACAGGTTACACAATTCTGGCTTCCTGATCCACGGAGAGTGGCTTTTCATGAAGTGCTGCAGCAGCGAGGAGGAGACAGAATAACCCTGTTACATGAAGAGAGCTTTCGTTTGCACTTTTTTAGATTTAAATCAATACATCTTGCTAGTTTACCAGGTGGCAACTGCTTTTCTATTAAAACAATGGTCAAAAGGATTCAAGAACTATCTTGTTCAAGTTAACTAGGTTCTAACCCAAAGTACAAGAATGATGGGGAGGGGATTGGCAGATGGGCCACCTCTACATCCTTATGTTTGGGGTCATTTCTTCTGCGGCCACAGGTGGGGTGTGCATTGCTCCCCTGGCGGTCGTCCACTTCATCCACTGCCCCACAGATGCTCGCCCCATCCCAGAGGCTCACCTGTGGGCAAGTCCACCCCACTGTGACATGGGCCTGAGCAGGGTGAGCTCTACCTGTCTAGAGCCCTGTCTAAAGGCATCTCAAGGGCATTCCTCTGTGAAACAACTCCCAGGAATGCTTGTGGGTGGAATTGCAGGTATTGTTCCACTGCTTATATAAGGAACTGGCCTCGCAGCAGTAGCAGCATTGGGTGAGAGGGAAGGTTCCTCAAGCGATAAGTGTGGCTACCCTCCAATGAATGTAAGATAGTTAATGTGAGCTTCTGAGGAATGTCTTTTTAGAATGGCAATCCCCTCACCCCCAATTTTATCTCTGTACTAGACATTATTTTCTTCTGTTTAATTTTAAGCTGTTAGGTTAGCGTATCTGTATTGTTTTATACAACATTGTGTGGCTAGGTGGGCTTTTTGGTATTAATAGCATTGCAATTATTTCTTGTTCTCTCTGTTTTTATTCTTTTTTAACCATTACACTTGTTCATTTGATGTGCTTTGGACTGCTTCGGCCACAGTTTTGCAGAAAAGTGACATACAAATTATGCCGGCCGCTTTGAAGTGCTGCATTGGAATCCATCTCTTAGATTCAAAGGACCATGAATCTTTCAATATTAAGAAAGGATTGTCATTTAAGCAATGTTAACAATAACCAACTTTGTATTAGGTAGTTGGAATTTGCAAGATACCTGTTCTTAAAGGCTGCCTTGGATTCATGTTGGCTGCTCCAGCCCTTGAGAGGGAAAGCCTGTTCTGAATAAATCTCAAATTCTGCCAGTCGTGTCTAGACTTCAATGAACCTTGAAAGGAGAGAGTGCAAATAGCATATGCTATCCAGTCTTGCAGAACCAGAGTTGCAATGAAGTCTGTAAACTGCAGTGTAGGTAAATGTTTGATATTTGCAGAAGGGTTATAAAAGTCCAGTTATCTGATCATCCCCTGCACCTGAGAAATTAGTCCCTGGTGCTGGGAGCAGGTTTTTTCTACCCTTCAGCACTACTGTTTGTGGGACCGGCTGCCACCATCCACTTCCATAGCTTCGTTTCCTTAGTTACTAATCGTAACTAAGCAACCACTTGGTGGTGGAAGGGCTCTCAAGTCCAAGGTTATAATCTCCAGGTAGGGTGGAGCCCTGACTTTAAGCCAGAGCTTTCAAAACTTTTTATGTTGGTGACACACTTTTTAGGCATGCATCGTTTCGTGACACAGTAATTCAGTTTTACTAGCAAACCAGAGGTTAAACTAACCCCTCTCCAGCCCCAGGAGGCATGCGGGGACCATTTGTGTGACACACCTACACACTGCAGCTGACACACTAACCTGTCGCAACACAGTTTGAAAAGCTCTGCTCTGTGGGGAGAGAGAAGGAAGAAAGAAAAGAACAATTAGGATGCTAGCAAAGCATTTCCCCTTACTGTTGCTCTCAGGTGTGTCCCCTTGTTCTTCATTGGCTTCCAAATGTTGAAGATATTTTTGTGCCCCTGATAACGAATATATATATTTTTAAACCCCACAAAGATAGATTTATTGTCTTAAGGGCTTGTAGCTCTTTGTCATGGTGTATTCTGATCTTTCATTTTTATTGCTGTTATGTTGTTCCATACAGAACTTTGTAAGATTTTATTTTCAGTAGTTTCCTGGTACCTTGCACGGTGTACAGATAAAAGTAGTTCAACATGCAACTGGTCAAGATAAGAAAAAGTTTAGGGGAAACGGGTTCCAGAAGCTCATAAGAAAAGTCACTTCTGTACTGTATTATCTAACTTAACTTACATCCCTATAGCCAACAAATGAGAAGCTAGATATTATCACATTTGCTATTTTTTACTTCCTTTGAGCCTGTGATGATTATAAAACTAATGCAGCTTCCAGTTTTAAATGCATTACTGAATAATGGAGTCTGAACCATTGTTCCCAAGTTCCTTTTTACTCTTCCACGAAATACTTGGTTCACCGTCCTAAGGACTATGGAGGAACTTGATAACTTGCTGTCTAAACAAGAATTTCTTTTGTTGAATATTCTTGTTCAGTGTTGGACTATTCATCGCTGAATGAATTAAATCCTGTGTGTGCTAAGTTTCCGTGAAACCTTGCTACCCAGTAGTAGCAATCCAAGTGGGATTTTATAGTGCCTTTGAACAAAGGTTGGCACTCTACTATTGACAGGACTGTATCTGTTTAAAATATCGCTCAGGCAAAAGCAGCATCCTTACTGTATTTTTTATAGGTGATGTTTGGTTAGATTTCCAGCAGTGCTAACCAGAACAAGCACCATTTTTTATGAAGCGCTACACAGCTTCATAAACAATTACATGTTTGTACATATGAAGGTCACATGATGATGATGAGCTCTCAAGTCTTAACAAAACTTTTCTTCTTTTTTAGACAATGTCTTCTGCAATTGTTCAGATTTATGCAGCAGATCGCAATGCTATGTGGTCGAAGAAGTGCTGCGGCGTAGCTTGCCTTGTAAAAGACAATCCACAAAGGTCTTATTTTATCAGAATATATGATATTAAGGTGAGATTCTCCTCCTTTTGCCATCTCTAAAATATGCTTGTGTTTGTCTTAATTTGTCAAAATGTGTTGAATAGCATGCCTCTGGTTTATGTATTAACGAATTGTTAAACTGTAGAAACAGAAATGAATGTGTGATATGTTTCAGCTCTGTGGCGCATGTTGATCACACTTAAAAAGTAGGAACACATGGGTCTAAAGAAATAAATGTACTTGGGAGGAGAACCATGTGGAAAGCCAGAGCTTTGCTTCCTGATCTTGCTGCAGAAGTTCTCGTAGCTCAATTAGCAAGCTGTTGAGCTGTAGCCTGACAGTTTGGCAACAAGAACTGCTGGATAAAAGGTCAATCTGAAAATTAATATTTTAATGTATAGACAACTTAAGCATATATCTAAATCCACGATATATAAATGATGGCAAAGTGCAGGTAGCCAAGAAGCAATGCAACTTGATGGCTTTGTCCTCAGCATAGTGTTGGCTCTTTGCTTTTCAAGAAGATGGCATGGAGTCCTCTCCTAAGAATAGTCAACTGAGAGGAAGCAGGAAGTTTGCCAGCATGCAGAAGTCATATAAGTATGTGTCTGCAGTCACTTTTCTCAGTGTCTTTTTTCTCCCCTTCCATTTTTCTTTAGGATGGAAAACAGTTGTGGGAACAAGAATTGTATAATAATTTTGTATATAATAGTCCTAGACCATATTTTCATACCTTTGCTGGAGACGTAAGTATTTTGCTGTATTTTGCATAGTTATCTCTATAACAACATTAAAAGGAATAAAATAGTCCTGTCAGTTTGTACTGCCAGGTATATTTACACCTGCACAGTTTCTCTTTTATTCTCTAAATCAAGTAATATAAAGAGCTGTGCAGCTTTCCTGATAATTTGTATTAAGAAGTTAATGTCAAAAGAATTCATTATTTTTTACAGATTTGTTTTCCTTCATCTTATAACCATATGAGTAAAATTCAGGGGAACAGATAGGCACACCTTATACATATTGAAGTCAGTAGCAGTTGTCAGCGACAAACTGATCCCCTTGGTACATCTAGTGTTTATTATTATTTATTACATTTGTTAGTTGCTCAGTACCTAATTTATCAAAGCAATCTAAGATTTTAAAGACACTAATTTCAGATTGCAAAAAACCTGCATGTATTAATATAGTTTCTTAGAAAAGTTAATTTCATAAGAAAATATTTGTTTTTCAGGCATGTCAGGTGGGTCTTAATTTTGCTAATGAAGAAGAAGCTAAAAAATTCCAGAAGACAGTGACGGACTTAATTGGACGACGGCAACGAAAATCTGGTAGAGACATAGTTTTTCAACACACTTTTGCTTTGTATAGAACTTAGAAGAAAACATTCTTAAGGCAGAAACTGACCTCCTTAGTGTCTAGCTTCTCTGGATTCAAGAAATAGGTTAGAGATAGAAGGGGGGCCACACACACATAGTCGTTACCAATAAATGTGTACAAACTGGACCTTTGTACAGTCTACAGCTAATGCTAGCAGGACTTCATAAAATAGAATTTGGGACCCTGTGGTTGTTGGTTTCCAGCTGCCATGAGTCCCACCCAACGTAGTCAGTGGTCAGAGTTGTAGACCATTAACTGGAGGATCACAGGTTCCTGTTACACAATAAGATTCAGCAGTGCCTAGTCTTTTACAATACAGCAGTGCTTCTCAAATTTGGTTCCCTAGCTGTTGTTGCACTTCAACTCCCATCATCCTTGGCCGCTGGTCCTGTTAGCTAGGAATGATGGGAATTGTAGGCCATCAACAGCTGGGGACCCAAATTTGAGAAACAGTACTGAAATCCCCAATACTATTTCTTCTTCTGATAGTGAACTTGAGTGGTGAGTACCAATGGAAATGGAGCCAAAATGGAGCAACTGAGAAAATAAGAGGGGGAGTATCACCATAGTTGGGGGAATCCCAAGGATTGTTGAATTACAAATATTCTAAGGGAGAGGAAAACTTGGGGGAAACACCTTAAAGAAACACAACAAAAAACAACAACCCAATGAGCAGCGCACACACTCAGCAGCTGCACAGTGTTAAGTGTTAGTTATAAAAGAAAACAGGGGTTGAGAGGGAATGTCAAATGACCAGGTCATAAAATCCTGAACCGCAGAAGCATTCCTATTAAAGGTGAGAACGCACCGCAGCACTTCATTGTAAGTCCCAGCGGTATTGTTAATTCAATGAAGTGCTTATTGCTGTCGGCTGAATAAAACAGTATCTCAGTGACATTTTGCACATTATATATTTAGAAATACAGGCAACCTTCCCACAGTGTATCCAGTGGGGAGATAGGCAGTGTCGCAGATATGATTCGCAGCGATTTTTGTGATGTTGGCAGGTGGTTAAAATTGCCACTCAGCAACTGGAATCCCTGCTGGCTCCCTGAGCTTCCAGTTTACATGTAATTTTTATCTGTGTTATAGTCAAGATATTGCTGGAGCTTGCAATTACCTGAATTTATCCAGTTCATAATATTGGGCTGCATTATTAAGTGCCATTTCTCACCGAAGTCCCCAAGTTTTGCTCTCTGGCTTAGAATGTAAAGCAGGGTTTTGCACATGCATGGAGAGTGCTCAGCAGACCAGGTAGCCAAAGCAAACTGCTATGGTGCATGTGTAGAATCTTTCCATGCTAATCTTTTCCTGCTTAAACTTGGTTCATAGAATAAGAAAAATATATATAACCAGGCCATTTAACTTAGCGGCCTTTTGTTTGGTGAATACTGATGCAGAGAGCTCTTCACTTCTGATTCTGTGTCTCGGATATATGACTCAAATGTTTCTTTTAAAATCAGTGCATTGGTTTATAATCAGATTTTGTCTGTCTGGAGTTAGACTTCCCTTTGATTTCAGGGCTTCCTCCCGCTGGTCAGAAATGGTTTCTCTGTTAAGCCACCAGATGGAGTCCTAAGACTATCCTATACCACTGGATGTAATTTTTGTTCTATAATAAATTGAGCGACAATTTCACAAGGCAGACAAGAATGTATCATTTTATTTGCAGTGGAATGTACAGTGCAGCTGGTTCTTTAACCCTGAAAGTTTGTTGACATGCAGACATTCTGGGAGCCTTGCTTGGAGTTAAATCCGAGAAATAGGACACTGCTTCCTATGTCTTTTCCAAGCTGCTGTATTGCACTACGGCTTACGTCTCACAGAAAGCAGATAAGGAGGTAATGCCTGCATCTGGGCTGTAACTACTTCAGATTGCAGGTGGGGACTGCCATGTCTGTGCAAAAAAACCCTCCAGACTCCCTAATGGTTCTAGAACGTGGGTAGGCAAACTAATGCCCGGGGACCGGATCCGGCCCAATCACCTTCTAAATCCGGCCTGTGGACGGTCCGGGAATCAACATGTTTTTACATGAGTAGAATGTGTCCTTTTATTTAAAATACATCTCTGGGTTATTTGTGGGGCATAGGAATTCATTCATTTTTTATTTTTTTCAAAATATAGTCCGGCCCCCCACAAGGTCTGAGGGACAGTGGACCGGCCCCCTGCTGAAAAGGTTTGCTGCCCCCTGTCTAGACAAACCTTCTAAACATGCTGGGGGTTTTTTAATAAAAAAAGTGCCAGAAGGTTTTTTTGTGTGGAAAGAGTATTCCATCATGTGAGGTGGTTATAGCCCAGAAATAGCCTCATAGCCTGTTTTTCAGTAACTAGGTCCAAAAATAGCTCCTTCTTCTCTGCTTGCTTACTTCCCTCCATGATGGGAACGTATAGGACCTGTATGCAACTTTTCACTTTAATTGGGCCCAGTAGATTTTTGAGCGAAAGGGTTCTGAAACAAGAATAAAACAGAAATTGGCATAGCTATTTCTCCCCTTTCACGTTGCTGTTGTGCTTGGGGGATTTAAGCTTTTGTACAGAGTTCTAAATAGCACAAACCTTTTACCTCCAGAATACCTTATTAAATGTAAACAAGGAAGGACAGCCCTTCGTCTGTCTTAATTAAGTACTATACCCCAGCTTTAAGCATGAAAACTATTGAGGCAGCAAGAAATAAAAACAAGACAATAACAATGTGAATAAATGCATCAACTTTAAAAGCACACACAAACAGATTTACAATTTGGGTTTGTAGAATTGGTTGGAAATAACTGAACAAGGGACATAAATGTTTCAAGAAGTATAAAACAATGTTAGCATATCATCTTCTGAAAGTGAGGGGTTCGAACTTAAGGCAGGAGGGCATAGTTGCCAAACTGAAATGAAAACCAAACGGTTGTGAGCCATGGCTTCTAGTTTGATACATGACTGATGCTTCTCTTTTCTATAGTTAAAAATTTGTGGAAGGATTGCTGTGCTTGCAGTGCTCAATTTAAACAAGTTTTTTTATTTTTAAACAAAACCTCTTAAAATTTAGTTTATTCAAATTAGGTTTTCAGCTTTAATGCCTTTTACGTTTTTTAAAATGCACATGCACTATATCCTGTGGAAGCTTATCATACCATTTTTGTTAGAGGAAAACAGATTGTGGTGGGTTGTATTCAGCAATTTTCAGCTATTCCACCCCTCAAAAAAGTAATCTGCTCTGGAAGATCCTCCCACCCTCTGGATCTAATGTTGGGGGGGGGGCAGAAATCACTGATCTCCATATTTCAGTTATGGAGGTATTTTTAACAGCTGAAAATCATTATTGGCTACCAGTTACTACTTGTACGTATTTGCTACACATTCAATATATGCATTTCTGTACTGTAATAATACCATTCTTAAATTTAAATGCAACAACACATGCATTACTATGTTAGTATCACTGCTTTTGGGTCAGCTTGCTTTTTTCAGAATCTCAGCTTGGGTTTTTTTAATGCATCAATTGTATTTTAAAACACTTTTCGATTAATCACAGACCCTTACAGATTTTACTCTTGCCTCCTTTAACACAGAGATGTGTAAGCTTTAGTAGGTCTAAAAATGCTGAGATGTTAAGTTAGATGATTAGGTAATTGTAGGTATAATTTTCAGGTCTAATTTTTTTGCCAGTGCCAGTTCAGTGACATTTTATATACTTGGTCATAATTATGTAAGATCAGGTTTTATTTTTGTCCACTTGAAATACTGAGAGAGCATATCTAAGATCAGACAGGGTGGTATTGGAGGATAAGCAATCTGTCTTAGATCACTGAGATTTTGAAAAAAGATTGAAGACATGTCTATGAAATAGCACTTTTAATTGTGATTTAAATAGAGAACCCGGACTTTCTAAGCCTCTTTTCAAGCTGGAGCAATGGCAGCCCTGCTGAAAGAGTATTTGAAAGATTCAAGGTCATCCCCAGGCCATTTGAGGGAAATGTGAACCGTTTATTAAAATGAATGGAAGTTTAGTTAGCTTTTTTTCCTCCTGACAATAAACCTTCTAGAGTTTGAAATAATAATAGGCAAACATTTCACGGATAACACGTCTCAGGAGGGTAAGAAAAATGTTCTAATATTCTATTTTGTGCACAAATAGTATAAAGTGGTTTTTTTTCCTTCCTTTTTAACAGAGAAAAGGAGAGATCTACCAAATGGTAAGTGGTTGGTTTGTTTGTTTTTGCTTGCAGTAACCATGAAATTGTTTGATTGTTTCAACGTCGCTCACTTACTCCTAGCTTATCACTCATGAATGCAATTGCCTATCTGAACATCAGTGCATCTTTTAAAATTGTAAGTGGACAGTTAGGCTTTGATTAGCTGTGGGATTGCTTAGTGGTACTTTAAAATTGCAATGCAAACAGTACAGTAGGAGGCGAAAGCAGGAAGGCCTGAGAATAAAGACCACTGACAAATGTGGATGTTGCAGTGACAAACTCCTCTTCTTAGCAAATGCTGATTATGTGGGAATGACTTAGGAAGTCAGCTTTAAACCATTTGACATACTGACATTAGCTTTTCATCTGCAGAATTCACTCAGATGTTTTAGCTGCTAAGTCATGAGCCAGAATCATTTTAATTTTTGAGGGGGGATTAGAAATAGTGTTCTTCCTTTATTGGTACAAACCTCGACAGTTGTAGAATATTTGCACAAAGGTGCAATATATGATTCGTTTTAAAGTAGCTAAATACCACCCTATTGTTGAAAGGTTTGGTTAACATCGCAGAATAAAAATTGTAGGATTAAACAAATTGGCATTGCTGGTTATGTAAAATGCATTAGCCTGTAATTTCCTGGGATTTGTGTTTTTATTCATGTTGGTAATGGAAAAGTCTATTCAATGTTAAGGCAGTGAGCTGTAGATTTACTGACCTTCCATCATAATGGTTAGGATGAAAATGGGGATTTATCAGAATTAGTTTTAAAAAAGCTTGCCAGGAATCATGTGGCCCACTTTCATTTTAGCACATGAGCTGGAATCTGATTTAGTCTGCAGGAAGCTGCCCTCCAGCAGGCAGCAACTGAGGAATATAAAGGATTTTCACAAAACATTGCAATGTTTTGTACCACGTTTTCGGAAAACGCTTCTGAGGATGTGAAAGATATCAACATTAGTGGATGCTTAAGACCACTATATTGTCAAGTTCTTCCAAATGACGAACTTTATCGGCCGCTTTCATCTTCACTGATCGAGCTCTCAACAGCTGATGGGGAAGGTGCTTGTGTTATGATGGGGAAAATTTTGTTGGATATAAATATGGCAGTGTTAGAAGAAAATGGAAGTCCCTTAGAGTCATGTGTTCCTCGTGGACAACCCAAGCCTAATGAGAGTGGTAAGCATGCTTTTCATTGGCTGGCGGTACTTATTTCTGAGCAAACATGCTTTTGATGGCACTGCTAAAGGGGGGGAAAAACAGCATTAAAAATATATGTACAAACTGAGTGGTTTTTATGCAACATGGAAAAAGATTATTTCTTCTACAAATCAAACTAGTAGGCATTATCCTCCATCTATAGCATTGAAAATATAGACCTCATAATGAATATGTTGTAACAGTGGTTTTTATTTTTATTTCTGTTTAATTTTACTTGTGGAAACCATCAATTTTTAGCTGTCTCGATACGATACCAAAAAATCAAAATCTAATCTAATTTGCAGATTATGGTAACCAAGAATAGCAAAATTATTAGACTCTTATTTTATTGTGACATTTCCAAGAATTAGTTTGATTATATTTATATTGATTATATTTGCTACTAGAAATAGGCAAACATCAGGTGTGCATGACAGGTACACATGGATTTACTATGCTCACCTCTATTACAGTTTCTTTATGCTCACCTCTATTACAGTTTCTTTAAAATATGTGGTCTCCTAAGACCTTCTGCTACACAGAGTTGCCTCACCATTGAAGATAACTTATGTACATTATTCAACTTGCACCATGAATTTTATAAAAATTTCTTGCACCTAAGCAATAATTATACTGATAGGCTCACATATGTAGAAGAGTAAGAAATATTGAGGAAGAAATTACTCAATTTCTCAAGAAATTATAAGAGTAAGAAATTCTAAGACATCTTGACAACATGTATCCACTTATTTCTGTTGTAAAATGGTATAGAAAGATTTGTCTTAATATTTTAGAGCTAGAGCTATCACTGTTAGAAATCTGTTAAACAACAGTTTTTGAAATGAGATTGGGGGATGGGAATATTGGATTGAGATGGCAGGGGGAGTACTATTGGGTTAAAAAAAGAATCTAATGGGAAAATGTATTTACTTTTTCTATGCTTAAATGAACCATTTTGAGATAATAATAATAATTCATGCTGATTGAAATCTTCTGGCCCTTTGTATTGTGTGGGGGGGAAACAAAGGTTTTCCTAGGTATCATTTTGCTTTTAAAACATTAATCTCTCCTTACTCTGTAATACTTGGAGTCCAGGAAACATAAGATGGCAGACCAAATTAATTTGAATCTATTTGCACCCCTACAGGTCCAAGTCTACCAATGGCAACTGTTGACATCAAAAATCCAGAAATCACCACTAACAGATTTTATGGCTCACAAGTCAACAACATTTCATATACCAAAGAGAAGAAAAAAGCAAAAGCAAAAAAGAAGAGGTTAACAAAGGCAGATATTGGAACTCCAAGCAACTTCCAGTAAGAGCGCCGTTTCTTTTTTATAACTTTCTACAGATAGGCACAAAAATTACTACATTTGGGAAGAAAATCAGTTTGTGAATAATACTAAATAGGTGCCCTTTAAAATATTTTCTCCATGGTGATTTGCCATTTTGGAAATGGCGGTATTAAGTTAAGGTAGTTTAAGATGGACCACCCATGTGTGTGTGTGTGTGTGTGTGTGTGTGTGTGTGTTTGTGTTTAAAGGCCCAAGGTGCCTTACACAATAGAAGAACAATACAGTAAAACTCAGTATGAAAATCCTCCAAAAGCAGGATGATGAGATCCAGCAGAGCCAACAAAGCCATCAGTTAAAATTGGCAGCTGTGGCATGCTGGAAAGTGTGAGTGAGCATATCTTAGTCTGATACTGAAATGTCACCTGGCAAGCCTACCTAGGGAAGGAGAGCCATAGATCTCCCAAAGGGCAGGATTGCTCATGAGGATGGCTTCTGAGTGTAACTGGGCACTCGTGGTAGAAGGTGTGGTCCTTGAGATACATGGTCCCTAACCATTTAGGGCACTCTGAATTGGTTCAAAAAATGAACCAACAGCCCAGTGTAGTTGCACGAACACCATGGTGTTCCCTCTAAGTAACCTAGCTATGTGTTCTGCTAACTAACTGGCATTTGTGAAAAGTATTGGCCTATGTGCAGGAATCTGATCTGGACATTTGGTTGTTTAAAGCATTTTTACCCTGATGAAAACAGTTCGCTGAGTGACTTCCAAAGAAGAATTGCAAGACAGTCCCAGCCATACAGATCAGTCTCAGCCATACAGATAAAGACTTACAGGTTGGGAGAGAGAAGGAAAAAGACACGCTCTGGCACTAGTTCTCAGTTGTGTATTTGGTTAGCTCCCAACAATCAAAACATCTTCTCTGAAGTGGATGTTGATTGACCTTACAGGGTGTGTCATCTACCTTCTCAAGCGTATCAAAAATCTGCCAATTTTTCATTGGTCCCTCTATGGTAAGGATTAGCAAACACAGATAATTGTTGCCATTGAGGGTAAGATCTAGGTGTTTTTTAGCACTGGAAAATTAGAGGCACCAGGGCTTTTTCTCAGATGGAACTTGTCGGAACTCAGTTCCGGCATCTCTCAGGTGGGTGCCATTGCCATTCTAAGAGAACAAGAGAGGCGTTCATAGTGAGTTTCAGCACCTCTTTTTCTAGAAAAATAACACCAAGAGTTATTTAGTGACTGCAATTGATAGGTACCAGATCGATTTGTATTTGTGTGTGTTGGTGTTTCAATGTTTCGATGTTGTATCTATGTATATATTGTAAATTGTATAATGTTTTCCCCCCGATGGTTAATATGACCGTGATGGTTGAAACAGCAATAAACAAACAAGCATCAGATCATGTTTCATTGTACATGGAGAACTTCAGGTGTCCCAATAAAATACATACAGGTTAGGTTAAAGACCTTAACCAATCATAATACTAATAACAGAAGCAACTTTCATTATGTATTCCATCATGTATGCATGGTATCTTAGCTTTTGTTGTTGCATGCAAGCAGACTTTTTATACCGAGTAATTAAGTTTCCACTGAGATCCTTTATTTAGATATCTCAGTGGGCAGACTTCCATGGCAGTCAGCTTTTCTGTCACTATTAAGCTTATCCTGCAGTTACACAGGGCTGCACTGGGCACGTTCTTGATTTTCATGAGATGACAGTGAAATCCTACTGCTATCCCAAGTGTGCATCTAGAACGTACCTCAGTCCGTTTTCACCATGCAGGGCAGTCATGACAAAATGCTGAATATTCTTTGACATACACTTTGGTGTAGAAGGTGAAGCACCTTTCCATGTAGAAAGTTTGACGCCCACTGTTATATTGCCACGGAAGGATGATGAGCATCCAGTGGCATCCATGATTTCTAACAGTGCTATACTACTGAATGATAAAGGTAAATGGTAAAGGACATGGGGGTGGCGCTGTGGTCTAAACCACTGAGCCTCTTGGGTTTGCCGATCAGAAGGTTGGTGGTTCGGATCCCTGCGACAGGGTGAGTTCCTGTTGCCCTGTCCCAACTCCTGCCAACCTAGCAGTTTAAAGCACACCAGTGCACGTAGATAAATAGGTACCACTGCGATTGGAAGGTAAACGGCATTTCTGTGCGCTCTGGTTTCCGTCACGGTGTTCCATTGCACCAGAAGCGGTTTATTCATTCTGGCCACATGACCCGGAAAGCTGTCTGTGGACAAACGCCGGCACCCTTGGCCTGCAAGCAAGATGAGCACAGCAACCCCATAGTCGCCTTTGACTGGGCTTAACCATCCAGGGGTCCTTTACCTTTTATCTTTTACTACTGAATATGAATACGAAATAACAGAGTAGTGAAACTTGTACCTGGCAAATGCAATTTAATGAAAACCCGGCTCCTTATTTAATAAAAGTTGTCTCCATTATTATCTTAACTACTGAAAATGAAAAATGGACTTAATCAGTATAGTATGGCCATTTTTTAGGCTTCAGGGACTCTGTTTTTGAAATGTGCTAAAACTCTCTTAATTGAGATTGATACTGTTTAAAATTAAAATGCTATCAGTAGATCTCTTGGCACTGGCTATTTCAGAGTATGTGTGGAATCTGTGGAATCATTTAGGCACAGAATGCTGTGTCTCATCCGAACCATTTTCCATTTGTATCAGTTGATCAATTATAATGCAATAGTTTATCACCGTGAAGCTTATATATTGAAATATGTAATACTCCTTATATATTCTAATTTTGCATTTCATTTTTTCCCTCTAGGCACATTGGACATGTTGGCTGGGACCCGAACACAGGTTTTGATGTAAGCAAGAATGAGGGTGGTTAACTGTTCCAAAACTCCCAAGCGTTCTACAGTCATTCTATATTTATGTGAAACAAAAATTGAAAGGAGGGCAATTGTAATTCATACTTTTTTTTGTCATGAAGGTTTTTAAATTTGCCATCCAAGCCGATTTAACTAAGAATGCTTTGAGCTTCATGCCTGAAAACAGCAATCTTCCCAGAAACTATGCTACATCATTGCCACACAGCCCAAGGTTTTGTGTGGAGAAACTTTTCTAATAAAAGGATCTGTGTTTGCTGAACAAAACAAAAAAAGTAGCTTCTAACGGCTCTAATGTTTCCATTAGGTTAACAATTTGGATCCAGAGCTGAAAAACCTGTTTGACATGTGTGGAATTTCAGAGGCTCAGCTGAAAGACAAAGAAACATCCAAGGTTATATATGATTTTATTGAAAAAACAGGAGGTGTGGAAGCTGTTAAAAACGAGTTGCGTAGACAAGGTGAGTCCTCGTGCCATCCACTCATGCTTTGTAATGCCTACAAAAATGCAGGGTTTGAGCCAGACTTCACTGTAGTTCCAAGTTCTACCTTCTGCACTCTTCCTGAGGCCTGAGAGGATGGGCTGAGGAAAGGGGATCAAACTAAACTCTCTTCTCCCTGCCGCCCCAATTTGTGGGAGCATCCCGTGAGCAGAACTCGGGATACTCCTGCAGGTGGGACCACAGTATGAATCCAACCCATTACATCAAGCTGAGAAATGCTTCTCCAGATTTTTAAAATGGATTTCTATTTGCATGTTTTGTTAAACACACTTACCGTATTTTTTGCTCTATAAGACTCACTTTTTCCCTCCTAAAAAGTAAGGGGAAATGTGTGTGCGTCTTATGGAGCGAATGCAGGCTGCACAGCTATCCCAGAAGCCAGAACAGCAAGAGGGATTGCTGCTTTCGCTGCACAGCGATCCCTCTTGCTGTTCTGGCTTCTGAGATTCAGAATATTTTTTCTTGTTTTCCTCCTCCAAAAACTAGGTGCATCTTATGGTCTGCTGCATCTTATAGAACGAAAAATATGGTAATTTGAAATGGAATACACTTCGCTTTGACAAAATCTCCGCAGCCAACAAATTTTTCTGTTTTAAACACCATCCTGTATCTAATCCAAAATGTTTAAAAATTGAGTCCCGAGCAGGGGGTATCCCAGGAGTTCATTACTCTGTAGAAATTGACTTCTCTGGGTTTGTTTGTTTTTGCAAGTAGCTGCAATGGCCAGCTATAATTGGAGAACCAAGAATTTCTGTCATGATTCAACACTTACATGGTACCACCCATTTACTACATAGGTGCATGTGCCTCTGTAGCATTATTATTATGGGGTAGACAGCAGAGGCTAGAGACCAACAGTTTCATGGCAGTGGATTAAAGAAAGTAAATGAGACTAGGATGCTTCAGAAAAAGTTAATATATGTTACATTTATGATCTAGGTCCGCCACTCTGGAGTGGTATGTATGAATTCTAATCTTCAGAGTTCTTCACATTGCAGTGGTGTGTGATACACAATACCTACATATTTGGGTTAAAAAATACCAGATTTAGGAATTGATACATCAATACATAATTTGTAACCATTTTATATAGTTAAAAGTTGTGGCTTTTTTCCCCATTGGATATTACTGGTAAACAGTGCCCTGCAATTAATTTTTTGTTAAAGTCACTAACCTGCTCCCCTTTGGTGCTTCAACCTACCGTATAACATGCCTTATAAAATATATATCCTTGTTTGAAGTGTGTGTGTGTGCTTTAAGATCTTAATTTAGCGATTTTGAACAAAGGGCTTCCTTGTTCTAATAGCAAGTACTTGTACTTACAAGTGGTTTTCTTCATCATGGCTAAGTAGAACACATTTTGCCAATTACTAGTTCTTAATTGGGTTTTGGGAATGAACTGCTCCATATTTGCTCTGAACACAGAGGTGTTTGACCACTGGTAGGGATTGTCTATGGAGAAAGATTTGAGTCTTAAAGTGCAATCCTATGCAAGTCTGCGCTCAGAAGTAAGCTCAGTTGAGTTCTGTGAGATGAATAGGTATGAGACTGCAGCCACAATCTTGCGAAGCACTGAGGCCATTCACTAGCAAAGTGATTTCTTCGCTGGTGACTGCAAGTAGCAGGAAATAATATTAGAGAGACCTTAATAATATTGCATGGTGATGTGTATTCCATCCTTCCTCTTCCTCCTCTCACTGTTAAGGATGGGTGGAAGAGTCGAGCTGCCATTTTGAGATTTAAACAGAGAATGATGGCCTATATGTATATGTCAAGATTAACTCGAATATGCTAGTGCTCAAGATCAGGGTGAGCTAAGGCCTTAGTTCATTTGGCTACTTAAAGTTCTTCGAAAATGAATGCCTTTACACATATACCTATGCCTCAGTGGCCTCCACATTGAGATGATTTGCTGGATTTGATGTGGGGCTATAGTAAAAAGTTATTCAGAACCTTCCATTGATTGTTATATGGAAGTGGGGATTAGGTCTGCCATCTGTATTGGATTCCCTGTCGCAGTAAAAATGTGCCTAAATCAACAAAGCCATGTTTGATTTGCTTTATAATGACAAATGAGCTATCTTGGGCAAAACTATATGTTGCCCATTTTCTAGTGTATGAAAACGCTTTACCCATTTTTTTTAACAGTTGGGTAACACAGCCAATTGGGAGCAATAGCTTTGTGTGAGGTGGAGAATTTTCAAATTTCAGTGATTCTAAAACACAAAGTATTAACCTTTCTGTGGAGAGAGTTGGTTCCTTTTGGAAATGCTTTGCTGCTGTGTTAAGATTATCCTCCTAAAGGCTGTGAGTATAAAACTTCAATGTCATGATAGACCGTCACTTGTAAATATTGGCATTGACCTGTATAGACATTTGAGAACATGCATTCTTCCCCCCACCCCACTTTTTCCCTTTTGCTTGGTGTGCGGAGAGTGGTTTGTTGCAGTTGTGATGCTAGCTGGGTGAGAGACCAGATATGCTCAATTGGAAACTAATATATATTTTTTTAAAAAAACTGATAAAATGGTAGTACAGTGGTAACTCGGTTTTCAAACATAATCTGTTCTGGAAGACTGTTCGAGTTCCAAAACGTCCAAAAACTCAATGCAGAAAATTCTACGGAATCCACGTAGCATGTTCAGCATCTGAGACGTGTTCAAAAACCACAGCATTTACAGGTTTACAGCATTTGAAAACCGAAATGTTTATCGACCTCGGTCCAGTATACCTGAAGGAGCGTCTCCACCCCCATCGTTCTACCCAGACACTGAGGTCCAGCGCCGAGGGCCTTCTGGCAGTTCCCTTACTGCGAGAAGCCAAGTTACAGGGAACCAGGCAGAAGGACTTCTCGGTAGTGGCACCCACCCTGTGGAACGCCCTCCCACCAGATGTCAAAGAGAACAAAAACTACCAGACTTTTAGAGGACATCTGAAGGCAGCCCTGTTTAGGGAAGCTTTTAATGTTTGATGCATTACGGTATTTTAATATTTTGTTGGAAGCCGCCCAGAGTGGCTGGGGAAGCCCAGCCAGATGGGTGGGGTATAAATAAATTATTATTATTATTATTATTATTATTATTATTATTATTATTATTATCAACAGAGACATTTGAAAACCAAGGTACCACTGTACTGTCACTGCAGAAATATAGCATTGTGAACTGCCCTTTATTGATGGATGTGCATGTCCTGAACTTCTCACAATTGTGATGGAGGACAGACTGCAAACTGAGTGAGGTTCCCCGGGGGAAAGGCAAGGGAACTGAGCTCTTCTGTAAATCAAAATGGTCTTTTTGATGCAGCTCTTGGTCGGTGGGGAAAGCTGTCCCTCCGTAATTGACTAAGCACTTGTTTGTTTTTTGTTCTCAGCTCCTCCACCACCTCCACCATCCAGGGGCGGCCCTCCCCCTCCTCCTCCTCCCCCACCACCACATAGCTCGGGGCCACCTCCCCCTCCTATTAGGGGAAGGGGAGCTCCTCCCCCACCTCCTTCAAGAGCTCCGACCGCAGCGCCACCCCCTCCGCCTCCTTCCAGACCTGGCGGTGCAGTGCCGCCCCCGCCCCCCAACAGGATGTATCCTCCTCCTCCTCCGGTTCATTCTTCCTCGGCCCCCTCCGGCCCCCCTCCTCCCCCTCCGCCACCTTCGGGTGGTTCTTGTGTGCCTCCTCCGCCTCCCCCACCCCCTCCCCCTCCTGGTCCTCCTCCGCCGCCCGGTGTCCCAGTCGAGGTTGACCATCAGCTTCCAGTTCCTGCAGGAAATAAAGCAGCTCTCTTAGATCAAATCAGAGAAGGGGCCCAGTTGAAAAAAGTAGAACAGAGCAGTCGTCCGGTCTCCAGCTCGGGAAGAGACGCGCTACTTGATCAGATACGGCAGGGTATACAGCTGAAGTCTGTGAGTATCACTGGGTTTTTTTGTTCTTTAGTTCTGCTTACTAGCAAAATTTTGTGCAGTGTGTATCGTAGAATCGTGTTGGAAGGGACCCCAAGGATCATTCTGCCCAACCCCCTGGAATTCAGGAATCTCAACTAAAGCATCCATGACAGGTGGCCATCCAACCTCTGCTTAAACGGCCTCGGTCCTGTATACCTGAAGGAGCATCTCCACCCCCATCGTTCTGCCCGGACACTGAGATTCAGCGCCGAGGGCCTTCTGGTGGTTCCCTCATTGCGAGAAATGAGGTTGCAGGGAACCAGACAGAGGGCCTTCTCGGTAGTGGCACCCGCCCTGTGGAACCCCCGCCCTTCAGATGTGAAGGAAATAAGTAGCTATCCTATCTTTAAAAGACATCTGAAGGCAGCCCTGTTTAGGGAAGTTTTTAATATTTAATGCTGTATTGTTTTTAACACTTGATTGGGAGCTGCCCAGAGTGGCTGTGGAAACTCAGCCAGATGGGCGGGGTATAAATAATAAAATATATTATTTATTTATTTATTTATTTAACTAACATCTCCAAGGAAGGAGAGTCCACAACCTCTGTAATATACTAATATATGTTTGTCACAAGAATTTCATTAACTGTCTTTTCTGTGTCAAATGCGAATTCCTAAAAATGCCCTTGATTTTAAACCTTCGGCACATTCTTCCACCTAAGTAGACTTTTGGTGATCGAGTAAAAGTACGAAGTGTAGAATAATCAGTCTGCCCTTGTTTCTGTTTACTTGAAGGTATGCTCTAGCCATTGGCTTCTCAGTAATTGAGTGCTAAATGTTCTAAGTTCTATGTATGCTTCTACATTTCTATATTCAATCACCTCCACCCCAGGTATCTGATGGGCAAGAGAGTGCACCGCCTACGCCTGCTCCCACCTCGGGTATTGTGGGAGCGCTAATGGAAGTTATGCAGAAAAGGAGCAAAGCCATTCATTCTTCAGGTAGCGCATTAAATCAGTCTTTGTACAGCCATGTGCAATTTGTTTCTTTGAATTAATACCCAGGTTTATAGTGCTGCCTCGCAAGACGAAATTAATTCGTTCCGCGAGTTTTGTCGTCTAGCGAATTTTTCGTCTTGCGAAGCACGAAATCCCATAGGAATGCATTGAAATTCAATTAATGCGTTCCTATGGTCAAAAAAAGTCCAAACAAAACCAAATTTGGTACAACAAGAGTTTATTAAGTGCTCGCTCTTTAAAGTCACACATACTGTAAAGAACATTTCAAAAACTGAAGGAACAATAAATTAAGTTTCTAAACATGACAGAAAAACATTTAAAAATCAGCAAAGTGTACAGTACATTTTCTAAGACTCTGGGGGACAACTCGAAGAAGGTTCCTCTTCCACTCTTTGCTTCTTGCTGAAGAACCCCCTCCTCAACTGTTCCCCCAGCCACCCACCACACAGAAATTCAAATCCAGATTTTTTTAAAAAAAAACAGCAGAGTGGCCCAATGGTCACAGAAAATCATAAAAATGCAGAAAAAAACCACACAAGCTTCCAGATTCTTGCAAACCCCTCCTCAACTGTTCCCCCAGCCACCCACCACACAGAAATTCAAATCCAGAATTTTTTTTTTAAAACAGCAGAGTGGCCCAATGGTCACAGAAAATCATAAAAATGCAGAAAAAAAAACACACAAGCTTCCAGATTCTTGCAAACCCCTCCCCAACACCAAGTCCTTGAATTCCAAACACCCCAACCCAAAATCCAAAAAACCCCCAAAAAGTTTTAAAAGGTTAACTTACCAAATGGCTGCAAAATAAGTTTTGGAAAAGCTTCAAAAATCACCAAAGTCTTCAAAAACCTCAAAAAAGGCTACCACACCGCGTTCTATGAGTTGCTCCTCAAAGTCAAGTTGCAACTGTATTAACGGTGTTAAGAAAAAGGAAACAAACTTGCAAGACGTTTTCGTTTTTCGTCTTGCGAAGCAAGCCCATAGGGAAATTCGTCTTGCGAAGCAGCTCAAAAAACGCAAAACCCTTTCGCCTAGCGAGTTTTTCGTCTTGCGAGGCATTCGTCTTGCGGGGCACCACTGTATAACATGGATTATAGCACCTATTTTATCTGCCGATATAATAATATTTAACAGAAAGGGATTATAGGCTTATCAGCAGTGTGAAGTTTTAAAAAAAACCTGTATTGAAAAATAGCCTTGTAGCAACCGTAAAAATTATATTAATCAACAGTTTACTAATTTATACAATTCTAGAACTGCTTGTCACAACCCACACAATGGGTGTAATTTATGGAAGCTTGTTTCTGTTTCCATAAGCATCCCTTATTTAAAAAAAGAATAGGTTATTTGGTTATTCTCCTGAACCAGATAGATTGCTTATTTATTTGGAAGAAGTATATAGATAATAGCAGGAATATTACAAATATTTTGAAGCTGTCACTTAGGTCTTAATACTGTGCCACCATCAAGAAAATCATGTTTTGGTCAGCTGTTATTACAAAAATCATGGGGTAGGCATAAATAATAAGCACTCTACTCTGAAGGAAAGTAATATACAATTACTATGCGACTTAGGACCTGGGTACTTAACATAGTCACAATTTTTCACATACATGCCCAGGCATATTATTATTACTATTATTGTTATTATTTCTTACTGTGCAAATGCCATTCATTACCAACTAAATGGGGGCTGGGGGCGGAAATGGCAACACTAGCTTTTGCTGAATGTTTAGTTCTTGCAAAAATAACTTACTTTTTTTCTTACCATTAGATGAAGATGAGGATGAAGAAGATGAAGAAGATTTCGAGGATGATGATGAATGGGATGACTGATCAGTATATTATATATCATATATATTTTTAAGGTGAAATACTAAACTACTTTCTGTCTATGGATTCTGTAAAATTATCATGTAAATGTTCTACCAATTTGCTGTATATTTTTGTTGCCTTTTGCTTTTTTATTAATCTGTGCAATACCTCATTTAATCTGTAAAGGTTTGTCATAATCCTATACAAAGTTACTCCCGAAATTAATGTGTACAAGTTTACACCAGGTTGTTCAGTGTACATGTGAACACTTTCCATTCCATCAATAAGGGAGTTTTAATGTAATATGCGAGATTGACAAACACACCTTAAATGTATTTAGTTATAATGCAAGAAGGAAAACACTATTTTCATACCCTACTTTTTCTGTATCTAAATTTTCTTATTAAAACCTAGTATAGCACTACATTCTTTAAGCAATGCAGCTCCTAGTTTTAGCCCCTTCATCTTGGAAACTCTGCCACGTGGGTGAGGCTGATAAAACAAAGAACCGTTGCAGTTCATACCGCTGCGATTTAAATTTAGCATTTAAGCTGACATAAAACAATCGTAAAATAATAATAACAATAATAAAGCAGTTGTGAAAATTTCCCCTGATTCTGGAGCACTGTGTTTCCTGCTATCGGGCAGCGTTGACACCTTGAATGCTCAATTTAGGAACTTCCCTGTTTGTTTCAGAGTGTGACATCTCTGATGTAAGCCACCTCTGATTTTTACCAGCTACCTTTCACAATGAAGAGGAGGAGTCTACATTTATGGCAACTGCTGCGGGTGTTTATTTATTTTTATATGCTGTTTTTTACTGAAGGGCTGTGGTTATAAAGTTTGCTCTGAATAATAGCGGATTTAAATTAATTTTAAAATGTGTAGGGCATGAGAATACTAATAAATGAATTTAGGTGGTGTCACTCTGCAGTCTTGATGGATTACGGTATAAACCGAACACAATTTAGGCACCAGATCTGTGATCTAGAAATTGAAAGCATTTATACAGGGATGGATGGATGCCTTAAATATATACTTCTCCTGACTGTGACGGGCTTTCCAAAAGCGATGGGGAAAGTTTGTGGGGGAGAGAAGGGATATGAGCATGAATTCTTCACTGATGTTTCCTTTCAACTCCCTTTGGCTGGATAAGCTGAGACTGGGTAGGCTCTGTGCCTGTCAGCCTATTAATGTTCAGAGATCCACTCCTCGCATGCACCCCTATGGGTTTATTCAAGCATAATGGGTCAATGTTGCCCTGTTTCCTTTGGACACTAAATCTCCAGGTAGAGCTCACTGAACTGCTTGCCTTTTGAGAGGGTCTCACTACTGCAAAGTTGGTTTAAACCACTGCTTTTTATACGCACTGAACTTGCATATTGCAGTTTGATTTGCCTCACGCTTAGAAATGACGCCAAAGGATGTGCTTGGAAATCGCGTTCCGACGTACGACGGGGAAAGTTGAGTTCTCATCTTAATTTTCGTATTTACTAATGGACTTAACGTTTGGATTATCTCCCTATTTTATATGCAGGGTGCTGCATTTAAGATAGGCATTGGCAGTGCTAACCCCATACTTGCAGCAAGGAGACACTGAAGTAGAAAACACTAGGAATAATCAACTTGCCTCGCTGCTGCACAGTGTTTCAAGGGAGGAATATCTGGCGTACAATTAACACATGCTTCTTTCCCCTCTCCCCATCTTCTCTATTCATGGTATATTGGATGAAATTTGTATTTGCTGAAACCCAGTGTTGGCTTGATCTTGGCAGGCTGGACCTGCAATATGACCTGGCTTGGATATCTTAGTGCAGTTATAACGTATGTCTAGCATCCGGATTTTTAATACTCGAGGAAAACAGGATTTTAAAGGTTATGTTGATGAAGAGGGAGGTGTTGGAAGCAAAGCTACGTTATTCCGATGAGGGTAACTTTTGTTTTAAGCACACGGCTTGGGAAAGGAGAATTTTAAAGGTCTCCTCCTCTCCCTGCGGTTGTAGCCACAGCACTGCCTGCTGCTGGAAAGACTTTCAGCCACTGTTGCTGCTAGTATGGCTTGAGGACTGCGGGCAGGTTGGCTGAAGCCGGATTTGAATGCTCTGAAGTAGGATTAAGAATGTGCACATGAGAGGGAGTGTTAATGGCCTTCGGGACAGCGTTTAGTGCTGTCTCTCCAGCTCTGTAATCATAAAGGGCATTTTTCAAATAGATCTTGCTCAGGTGGCCTCCAAAGATGTTACTTACTAGCATGAATAAAGCACATGCTTCTAGAGTCGAGAGAACTTGGAAAGATTTAATATTTTATGTCTGAGATATTTGTGTAATCCATTAATCACTTGCCCAACAGGCTTTCGTTTCGTTTTGTTTTGTTTTCCTATAAAGTGTATCCACATTATTGCACAAAAGTTCAGATGTTTTGCTTTCAATAGCATATTGTACGGTCTTAATTTAAGGCATGACTGCAGTTACAGTTAGGCTACAAAGTCACAGCTGCATGTTTCTGCATTTTCCCATGTGGGCTGGAGGCGACGTTTCATGTCATTGAATCACTACTGCTAACTGTTGTAACAAGGCAGCTTCATGCACCAGTTAAATTGACTGTCCAGGTAGCCTTGGCAATTAGCAAATGAGCCTGAGGCCTATATCTCAGCACTACGCATAGACAATATCAACTAGCCGCTTGTACTCTGAAAGCATCTCAATCGTTCAGTTTTCCGTTTCATCAAACTGAAATTCTTGGTATGTGAATTTTCTTTCTCTTTGGCTTTTTTTTTTAATGTACAGTGAATAGGATGTTGCACTGGTGGCAATTCATCATGGAGCATAATAAAATTAATTTGACTCAAAAACACGGTGTGGTGTGACTTTTTTTTCTTCTTGTCTCCTAACTCATGCACAGGTTATGCTTCAGCCAGGATAGCAAAATCCAACATTACCATAACTAGCTCAAATTGGAAAGTGGATTGTTTTCTTAAATAAGTTTCAGGAGGGAATCTAATGCCCTGGCCCATAGGTCAAATATGACAGCTAGCCTGCTGCTCCCATGGAAACAATGGCTGTTGTAAACCAACAGATTGCATAATGCATTAATATTACAAGGTCAGGCAATGTTGGAAGGGGTCTGTGCATTAAAAGTCTTTTTGTCTTTGCAGTTGCTCTGTGTATTGCCTGCTCTCGTTTGCATAAAACTTAACGTATTTTTTGGTGACCAAATTGCATAGAATTTCACAAAGGAGATTTTATATCCACAAGCATCAAGTATTTTTATTGCCATCACTGGTTTGTTGCTATATCTTGGAGAAATTCCTGGTTCTTCTTGCTAGTTGCATATCTGCACGTATAAGTATGTTGATCATATTAATAAAATCAGAGATTTAGTAGCTCTCTTGGCTCTTTTGTTCTCAGTCCACAGTGGTGTTTATGACAGTGCCTTCACAACAAAGGTAAGGGACCCCTGGACAATTAAGTCCAGTCTAAGGTGACTATGGGGTGCAGCACTCATTTCACTTTCAGGCCAAGGGAGCCAGCATTTGCCTGCACACAGCTTTCTGTGTCATGTGGCCAGCATGACTAGACCACTTCTGGTGCAACAGAACACTGATGGAATCCAGACTGCACAGAAACGCGGTTTACCTTCCTGCCACAGCAGTACCTATTTATCTACTTGCACTGGTGTGCTTTCAAACTGCAAAAATATCAAGATTACAATATTTTTGTATACCTGACACATAAGTAGGCTGCACTTTTTTAAAATGTGAGTATCTTAACTTGCTGCTGACACACTGCTTGCAAATAGCTTCTGCAGTTTCCTGACAGTGCAAGCCATGTGAGATATAGCCTGTTCATCCCAAGTTTGAATAAATTGTGTTAAAACAAAGTTTGAATAAACTGTTTTAAAACAAAGCCCACAACGACTTTAAAATAATTTGGGAGAAGAAAAGAGCTGTATGTGAAAAATGCATCCTGGGTGACAGACGTTCTAGTTTCCCAAATGCCTGATTTCCTTGCAGAGTTCTTTCCTCCAACTTCTATTGAAGCACACTGCCTACTCAATTTTCCTGTTAGTTTTCCTGGAAATTGCCATTATCAAGCTTCTGTTGCAGATCCTAAAAGCCCATGTGTTTTAGCAACTTGTGTCAGTAGTTGAGATTCAAGCTTGTCAGGGACATGATGTTCCTGACCAGGCTGGGCTCTCCTAGTTCCACTTCTGTCACTCTAATGTGCATTCTCTTCCCTTATCACATACCCCAATAAGCTCCGTGTACTTAATGTCTTCACTGCAAGCCTGAGTGATGTTGCTCTGCCTGTTTATGGCTCTTCGCTGCCAAAAGATCAGCATAAAGTCTTGCAGTTCTCTGTTTCTGTGGAGCCGGTTCAAAGCTTTTGACACTCCTGAACTTCTGCAAGGCCAAAAATAACACTTTGTTGTGGTCTCCCTATAGTTAGCCTTGGGGCTTTTGAGGTTTGCAAAGGCAGGGAGCACGTTGTTTATGGGATGGGTTTAGCACAGCAGCATGTCAGCTGAGTCCTGCTTTCTCTTTATCAGTTACACATTTATCTGTTGTTTGAAAGAGGACCTGTTGTTGTGCACTGGCACAATTTCTCTGTTCTGGAGTTAAGGAAGCAAACTGCAACTCCCCTCATTTCTGGGACCAGAACTACACAAATCTGCACAGAACCATTTTCAGTGCATGAAAGTACATCTAATTTAGGGACTCCAGCTAGAGGTCCCCTTTATTTATTCTCTCTTTTTCTTTCGGTAGCTTTTTTTAATTTATTCTCTCATTGTATTTGGGTAAGCATTGCAAGCAGGTGACAGATCAGTTGAAGGACCCTGCGTGAGAGGTGGGGAAGGGGAAAGAAACCTCACAGGATGAGAGGCTGTGAGAAGAGAGGAATGACTCCAGGTGAGAGCTGGGAGGGCTCCCCTCTTTCTGTATGGCAGAGGTTTTCAACCTTTTTGAGTCCATGGCTCCCTTGACCAACTGCATTCTTTCTGCGGCACCCCTGTGGGGCTCAGGAGCCCAGTTATGTCACCCCTTGCCTGACACCCTTTTTTGAACACCCTCCCTTGTGGAGTGTTGCCTCAGCCTCCTCTCCCCTCTCCTTGGGAGTCCTCTGGGCTGCTGCTGCTGCTGCTGTCCCTGGTCTCCGAGCTGCGTCCCCTGCCCCAAAGAGAGGTGCCTCCTCACACTGACCCACAGGGACCTGGGACTTGTCTGTCCATTCCCAACAGCAAGGGCTGGTGGACTGGTTGGCTTGCTTATTCTGAAGCCACCTCAACTTCTGGCAACCAGCCCCCCCTGACCAGCTCCAGAGGCACCATTCGCCTGGGAGCTTATAGTCTGGGCTGCTGCAACAAACAGCCGTTAAGACTTTGGGAAACAAAGATGCAAGAAGGCACCAGAGGAGGGAAGGAAAGAAAGAGGGATAGAGGCCAGTGTTGCCTGTGGCACCCCTGACCATCATTCAAGGCACCCCTCATTCAGAAGGTTGGCGGTTCGAATCCCCGCGACAGGGTGAGCTCCTGTTCAGTCCCTGCTCCTGCCAACCTAGCAGTTCGAAAGCACATCAAAGTGCAAGTAGATAAATAGGTACCACTCCGGCGGGAAGGAAAACGGCGTTTCCGTGCGCTGCTCTGGTTCGCCAGAAGCAGGTTAGTCATGCTGGCCACATGACCCGGAAGCTGTACGCCGGCTCCCTCGGCCAATAAAGCGAGATGAGCACCGCAACCCCAGAGTCGGTCATGACTGGACCTAATGGTCAGGGGTCCCTTTACACACGCAGGGCCAAACTCAGGGCTTTTTTTTATCAGCTGGAACTCACCGGAACTCAGTTCCAGCACCTTTTAGTTGGGCAGTGCCATTGCCATTATAAGAGAACAAGGGAGGCATTCATGTTGAGTTCCGGCATCTCTTTTTCTAGAAAGATAGAAGTGGCCAAACTAAACAGGATGCAGCAATTCAGGGCATAGGATTTTAATAGCAAGCATTGGTGGGGAGGGAGGGATTTTGATGGGAATGGCAGGGTTGTAGAAGGAGACATTTTAGCCATTCCCCTGCTGCCACCATCTTGTACAAAGCTGTTCAGTTCCCTGCAGTATAAAACATACAGGTACCAGTGTGTTACTTGTGGTGTTGGCAGGAGCAGGGACAGAGCAATGGGAGCTCACCCCATCACATGGATTCGAACCACCAAACTTCTGATTGGCAAGCCCAAGAGGCTCAGTGGTTTAGACCACAGTGCCAACCTAGCAGTTTGAAAGCACACCAGTGCAAATAGATAAATAGGTACTGCTGTGGCAGGAAGGTAAACGGCGCTTTCATGCACTCTGGTTTACATCACAGTGTTCCATTATGCCGGAAGCTGCTTAGCCATGCTGGCCACATGACCCAGAAAGCTGTCTGTTGGCAAACGCCGGCTCCCTCAGCCTGAATGCGAGATGGACACCGCACCCCATAGTCGCCTTTGACTGGACCTAACCACCCAGGGGTTCTTTATCTTTTTTACCTTTTACTTGCGGTGTCCTTGCTGGAGGAGTGATGTTTGAAAGAGATAATAATAAGTAATAATAATAAATTTATTTGTACCCCAGCTATCTGACCGGCTTGCCCCAGCCACTCTGGGCAGCTTCTAACAAGTTATCAAAACACAGTAAAACACCAAACGTTAAAAAAGGAAAGAGCCAGTGTGGTGTAGTGGTTAAGAGCAGTAGTCTCGTAATCTGGGGAACCGGGTTCGCGTCTCCGCTCCTCCACATGCAGCTGCTGGGTGACCTTGGGCCAGTCACACTTCTTTGAAGTCTCTCAGCCCCACTCACCTCACAGAGTGTTTGTTGTGGGGGAGGAAGGGAAAGGAGAATGTTAGCCGTTTTGAGACTCCTTAAAGGGAGTGAAGGGCGGGATATCAAATCCAAACTCTTCTTCTCTTCTTCTTTAATTGGGAAAACGGCATTGTTAAAAACCCTCCCCAACATGAAAGGACTGATCCAGGACTGATCCCTGCCCGCTCCCCCTCACAAACACATATCGCAGTGACTGCTTTTTAACACTTTGTTTTTAAACCAGGAGGTCCTACTCAAGGGAATCCATATCATGTGTATTCTGACCTTCCATGTCATGTTTCTTGGTAATGGTAATTGCAATCACTGTTTTATGTGGGAAAAGGCACAGAAACCCTGCAGGATCCGACCAAGAGCTTTATCTCTTCCAGCATTTCAAAGGCGGCCAGCTAGTTGCTTGCAGAGAACATATAAAAGTAGGAAGTTAATTTTTAATTTTTTTTACTTATGAACAGCATTTGTATCCTGCCCAATAACTTTATCTGAGCAGTGAGCAACATAGTTTAAACGCCTTTAAAAAGAAATTAGAAACAAGCAAAAGTCAAAACAATCACAATAGAAAGGAGAAATGAGAAGCTGCCGAGAAGAAAGCTGCAAAACCAGCAGCGATCCATATAAAAACAGCAAGGAAAAAACGCCCCTAATTTTTAAAAGAATTTTAAAACCAAAAGGACCATAATGTGAGTTCTTGTTTCTTGGTTCTCACTCACTGTCTGCCCCCTGTGAGCAGCATTCAGAGCCATACAAACATCTGTGTTTTCATGGTTACAGATTTCCAAAGAACCCCAGATCTCAAAGGACTTTTTGTGCCAAAAAGTACCGGTATGCTTGTCGGTGGATTTTTTTTGTTTTCTTGTTGGGCTGTGTATGTGATAAAGGGGGACCATACAGGGGTGAAAGCATCTTCTATTTGTCCCCATTTCAGTTTATTGGTTAGTGAAATATACTCGGAGTCGAGAGTGGATTTCATGCTCTTTATTCAGCTCGTAGTGGTGAGGAGGAATGGAAGTTCCCCCAGAATGTCTGCTTTATATACATTATTTACACAATGGGCCCCACGTGATTGGCTAATTCCGGGATTCACCTGTAGACCAATCAGGTTGCGGATTCACTTCCATTTGGAGCTGGATTGGGTGGCTCCTGTGGACCAATCAGACTGCTGCATTCTGGACCCTATTGTTATAGGACCAATCAGACTGCTGCCTTTTGGATCCTATTCAACTCAATACATAACAGTTAGCTTCTCTAATAAGGCTGTTTCCCATTGGTCCATGCTTACTCCTGACAGGTCTCTCCAGTGTCTAGCTATGATGCATCTGGCTGCAGAGAGTAGGTGGGTTATGAGCACTTTATGATGTGAGTGGGCATTATGATCTTGGAAGATGCAAGTGTATAGTAAGAGAACCCACACAAGGGACACTGACACAAAACCCCACACATACACTAAGTAGAAGAATAGAAGCATTGCCAGCCGACCCCAACCCACTCACCATTCCCCACCACCACCTTTCCCCCTGTTTTCTTCCTAGCCTAACACTGTATGTAACACTAATAATAATAATTTATTTATATCCCGCCCTCCCCAGCTGAAGCTGGGCTCAGAACAGCTAACAAAAGTAAAATAATACAGCATTCTAAAAACAATTCATTATAAAATCAGTTCAAATCAAATTGATGGCAACCATTGGGCAACCATGTCTCAAAACTGATGAAACTGATCTGTAGAAAACGCAACTTGAAAAAAGAGACAATCCAAGTACAGTGGTACCTCGGGTTAAGAACTTAATTCGTTCTGGAGGTCTGTTCTTAACCTGAAACTGTTCTTAACCTGAAGCACCACTTTAGTTAATGGGGCCTCCCGCTGCCACTGTGCCGCCACTGCACGATTTCTATTCTCATCCTGAAGCAAAGTTCTTAACCCGAGGTACTCTTTCTGGGTTAGCGGAGTCTGTAACCTGAAGCATATGTAACCTGAAGCATATGTAACCCGACGTACCACTGTATTTTTGCAAACTAAGAAATATATATATATATATATATATATATATATATATATCCCCAATAGTCAGCACTTTGGTGGTTCTTGAGATGATATGGGGGGGATGAAATAAGATCCCCTCTGCCCTCCCCCCACAATGTAATTTCTATTACATTATTGAACAAACTGAAAATTTTGCCGGCGTGCTCTTGAAATACAGCCAGCTTGTCTTAGCAGCTGCTATTTGATCGATGCAGCGCCACTTGTCATACTTGCAGCATAGTCTAAGAACTGGATCCAGAATTTAGTAATCTTTCTGCATAATTCTCTGTGAGCAGCTGTGCTGTCATTTTAAGAGACTAGGAGTTCTTCCAAGAGACACAAGGGCAAACAGCTCTTCAAATGCGACCTTCTGCTTTTATTATTTCTACAGAGGTTGGGGAGTTCTAATTTTGTAGTATCGATTTCATGCTGCTGGAAGGGGAAGAGGAAAACAAACTTTGCTCACCATTGTGATCTCTGTCGACCAGGATCCTTATTCTTGTGTCTAACGTCTCAGTCACCTCTGAGGCTTAACATGTTCAATGGTGAACAGTCTGTACAAATGAAAAACTAATTTGGAGGGGCTGTTGAAATGCCTGGACCCTGGGCAGGTTCTTGGTTGTGTGTCATACCGGTCACAATATCAAAACATCAATAACAAAGCCATAAAATATGAATTGAGACCGTAGTAAACAACTTGTGTTGTGTTCCTACTAGACATGGGCAATTTCCTCAACAAAGACTACCTGCTTTTAGAGTTAATGCTGGAGTACTAATACTGATAGTCCAAAAGTTGTTGTTCTCTTTTTTAAAAATAAATTTTATTTTTGCATTTTCAATTTTACATAAACAAATGAATTAAATACACGAACATATAATCCCTTCTGACTCCCCCCCCCTTGTGGATCTTAATGTGATGATTTCCCCCTCTGCATCTCTGTCATAACTCTATTTTTATAAATCCTTTGTCGATCCATAGTTCAAATTTTTGCTACAAGTTTTCTGCCAATCCTACCAATGTATGTAATTGTTCACAATAGCTTTTCAAACAAATTATAAACTTTCCCCATTCTCCTCTTCCTGGTTTCTAATTCCTCCTGTAAGTTTTGCCATTTCGGCGTTGTTCATCAATTTTGTCTGCCACTCTTTTTCTGTCGGAGTTGTACCATCTTTCAATTTCTGGGCTAAGAGACTCTGCACAGCCATGGCAGCATACATAAATGGTTTCGTCTGGTCGTTCGGGATCTCTGACCCTATAGTGCCTAAAAGAAAAGCTTTTGGTTTCTTAGGAAAAGTCACTTTCAACATTTTTTTCTGTTCATTATATATCATTTTCCAGACTTGTTGTTCTCTATTAGTTGTTAGCATCCATCTTTCTTGGGAGACAATGGAAGAGTGTGCCTTCGGGGATGAAGTCAAACCATTGGAGAGTTACAGCACCTGCTGCGGCTGTAGAGATCGCTACAGGAAAGACATGTTTTGTTGCAGCCGGGGCAGATGAAGGCGTCCAGTTGTGCTGCCGCAGATACACAATTTCTTTTCTCAGTGCTCCTCCCAGCTGTCATTCTCCCTCCAATCACTGCTGTGGATACACAACCTGACTATCTGTCTCCAGGTCAGGGGTGCCAAGCCCTTTTGCCCCGTCCTATATTTTTGGTCTAGAGACCGTGCCCCCCTCAATGTCCGCAAAATGCAGAGGTGAAGTGTGGGGCCCACCACGGCACAACTCCAGTGGCCGGCTCCTTCTCCTCCACCTCCTGCCACCAGTGGCGGCACCTGAAAGAGCGTCTCCACACCCATTGTTCTGCCCGGACACTGAGGTCCAGCTCCGTGGGCCTTCTGGCGGTTCCCTCCCTGTGAGAAGTGAGGTTACAGGCAACCAGGCAGAGGGCCTTCTCGGTAGTGGCGCCCGCCCTGTGGCATGCCCTCCCATGAGATGTCAAGGAAATAAACAACTATCTGACTTTTAGAAGACATATCTGAAGGCAGCCCTGTTTCGGGAAGTTTTTAATGTTTGATGTTTTATTGTGTTTCTCATATTCTGTTGGGAGCCGCCCAGAGTGGCTGGGGAAACCCAACCAGATGGGTGGGGTATAAATTTATTTATGTATTTATTTATGAGGAGGAGGAGGAGCTGCCAGCCATTGGAGCCACACGGCTGCCATGTTCGGTTCTGACCCCGCTACCTCCCGAAGTCCTGACATCATGCGCACAATGTGGGTTCCCTCAATTGCCCTCGCCACTGGTGCCTCACTGTGGTTGTCTGAAAGGGTTTCCCACATGGTGGGTTTAATATTGCCATCCTTCAGGTCACATTTGCAGACGCCGAGTTGGTCTGCCAGTGAGCCCACTGCCTGATGCCAGCTTCCTGTAGAACACAACCTTAGGGATCCAGCCATCTTCCATTCTGTGGGCATGACTAATCCTGGCCTTCTCCATTTAAAAGTATAGCATAAAAGAAAGGTAGTCAGAAAGTTGCTTTGAGTCTTCTAGTTGATCTTTGAGTGTATTGCAGTAAATCAGGCATAGGCAAACTCTGGCCCTCCAGATGTTTGGAACTACAATTCCCATCAACCGCAGCTAACAGGACCAGTGGTCAGGGATGATGGGATTTGTAGTCTCAAAACATCTGGAGGGCTGGAGTTTGCCTATGCCTGCAGTAAATAATCAAAATCTCTATTATTTAACTGCAGCAAAGACGAAAAAGCTTTCTTCTCATTTAAATTAGGTAGCCGAAAAAGAATACGGGGGGGTGGGGCAGTTCTGTATTTTGTTTGAAAGGATTTATGAACTTGATTCTGCTACTGCTCACAAATTCTTGAGCTCAAAAGCATCCAGTTCCTTAATCCTTAGAATATGTCCACCCAGCATAGCTGTCAACATTTCCCTTTTTTTAAGGGAAATTCCCTTATTCCGAATAGGATTCCTCAAAAGAAAAAGGAAAAGTTGACATCTATGCCACCCAGCCAAGCCAACTGTTTTGCACCTAAGTTTGCTTGGTGGACCTCAGGGATCTAGAAAGAAAGAGAGAAAAATCAATAGTGCCAAAGTAGACCCTGTTATCCTCCTCACCCCTGGTGTAAAGACCACATAGCTAGAATAAAATATCATGTGTCGTTGGTAATCTTTGGCCCTCTCTAGTCCCTCCGCACTCTGAGGAATATTTCTCCACTCTCTTAAAAAACACCAACCCACACAGCCACTTCCAGAAACTGCACAGATTGTTCAAAGTGCAGAAGGCTTTCAATATGTCCTCCACCTACGTCCCAGCGTGACATTCCACAAATGTCAGACTTGAGGAAATTCGGTGGATGTTGTTTTCCTTCACGCTTTGGAGTTTAGAGAATATTTTTTCTTCCCCTGCAGTTCAGGCTTTGCAGTGTACCCTGAAATTTTTTTGGCCTTTTCCTTGGTAGTGCTCAGATGATGAAGAAAAAGTTCAGGCCGGGGAGTGGGGGTGGGAGAAGGCTTTGTGAAATTCACAGCAAATGAATTTTGTGTGTTGCATTTTTATCTAAATTATTGTCCTTGAGTTCTTTTGAAGTCAGTAGCATCTCCTCAGATGCGGCCAGCCCAACCATTACACAGAGTGAGCCAGTACAGCCTTTCTAGTCTTCCCTAAGCATGTCTACTTTCCTCAGGCAGTGTTTTTTCTCCTTAAAAAATGTTTAGGGGAACTCTCATTCTGTCTGAGACTCAGGAAACACCATGACAGGAAAAGAGGTCGCTATCGGGGGTAGCAACGGAACTGATGATTCACCGTGCTAGAGAAGAAACTAAAATTTTTAATTTTTTAAGTTTTTTCTCCCATCAGATTCACAAAATGCTTAGGGGTATGCGTACCCCTGTGTCCCCGTCCCCCCCCCCCCCGAAAAAAACACTGGGTGTAAGTGAGATTCAACTGCCTGTCTGGTCAGCTTCTGCCCATAGAAAGGGGAGGGCCATATTTGGTCCTTTGCCTCAGGCAGCAAAATGTTCTGGGCTGCCCTTTCCTAAGGGTTTATGGTGTACCAGAGTAGTAAGCAAAATGAGAGCTGGCAAGACTGGCTTGAATCTCACCAGAGTTACTGTCTTTCAGCTCTGGCATACCCTTCGACTGCCCCGATTAAATTGGGACATCCCATTTTGGGGTGCTGTGCTCTCAGCGCAGTGCCCCAAAATGTGTGACAGTGTGGAACCCAAAATGGCATGTGTGGGGCATGTGATTTATGCAGAAGCATGGGCAGGAATATATGCATCCTGAGTTTCAGCCTCAACATGTTGGAGGGTCTGCTTTGGCCCCAAACATTATGGTCTGTCTCATTCGGAAACATGCCTGGCGTGTAAAATCAAAACTCCTCTCCTGGGGTGTAGCTCCCTCCATACTTAAATGGGAACTCATTGGAGACTTAGTCTGGCCTATGGAGCAAATACAGTCATACCTTATGATACGATTGCTTCTGATACGAGAGCCAGTGTGGTGTAGTGGTTAAGAGTGGTAGTCTCGTAATCTGGTGAACCAGGTTCGCATCTCCGCTCCTCCACATGCAGCTGCTGGGTGACCTTGGGCTAGTCACACTTCTCTGAAGTCTCTCAGCCCCACTCACCTCACAGAGTGTTTGCTGTGGGGGAGGAAGGGAAAGGAGAATGTTAGCCACTTTGAGACTCCCTAGGGTAGTGATAAAGCGGGATGTCAAATCCAAACTCTTCTTCTTCTTCTTCTGGTTACGTGTTTTCAGGTTGCACACCGCGGCAAACCCGGAAGTACCGAAACGGGTTATTTCCAGGTTTCGCCGCTCGCACATGCGCAGAAGAGCTAAATCGCTTCACGCACTTGCGCAGACACGGTGCTTCAGGATGCGAACGTTGCAGGTTGAGGACTTGCCCTTGTCACGGATTACGTCCACAACCCGAGGTTCCACTGTACTAGCTGCTGTGCTGAATTGTTAATCTGTCATTTACCAAGAATGACTACTCCTGAAGCTTTTCTGACTCATTATTTATTACGTATTCATTGCATTTATATTTCACTTTTTTCTCCAAGAAGGTGGCATACGTGGTTCTTCCCCCTCTTCAGATAATCCCCAGAACAACCCTGTGACATAGATAAGGCTGAGAGGCAGTGGCTGGCCCAAGGTCCTCTAGTAAGCTTCATGGCCAGGTGGAGATTTGAACCCAAGACTCAGGTCCTAGCACAACACTAATCACCACACCATACTGGTTTTAGAGCAGACCCTTTTCAAGATTTCCTCACACAGCAATATTAAAATGTGGACACTGTTCCTCTAAACCACAAGATGCTACAAAGCAAATAAATGATATCATCCTCACTTCCAGACCCTCCAAGTGTCCCTATTTTCCAGGGACTGTCCTGGATTTACAGAAGCTGTCCTTCCTTTCATTGGATTTTTATTTTTTTTTAGGGTATGGAGTTATGTGACCCCCAAGCTAAGGAGACTATACAACTTTCAGAAGACATCTGAAGACAGCCCAGTATAAAAAGGCTTTTTAATGTTTTGTGTTTTATTATGTTTTTTATATATTGGAAGCTGCCCAGAGTGGCTGGGACAACCCAGTCAGATGGGCAGGGTATAAATAATAAAATTATTATTATGGAATAGGACGCCTCTATTTTTGTTGGAGAAACGTTGGAGGGTATGCACTTCTCAAATGCTTGCAAGAATTACCTCTGTAGTGGGAAGTGCCTTTGACATTAGTCTAAACCACTGAGCCTAGGGCTTGTCGATCGGAAGGTTGGTGGTTTGAATCCCCATGACAGGGTGAGCTCCCGTTGCTCTGTCCCAGCTCCTGCCAACCTAGCAGTTTGAAAGCACGTCAAAGTTCAAGTAGATAAATAGGTACCACTCTGGTGGGAAGGTAAACGGCGTTTCCGTGCGCTGCCCCGGTTTGCCAGAAGCGGCTTAGTCATGCTGGCCACACGGCCAGTAAAGCGAGATGAGCACTGCAACCCCAGAGTCGTCAGCGACTGGACTTGACTGTCAGCGGTCCTTTACCTTTACTATATATTTACTGAGGGACGTCGTTGCTTCATTTCCTCGAGGGCTCTCACTGCAAGTGGCAGAGCCATAGTTACAGTACAGCTGGGAGGATGGTTGGATCACATTCTCTGTAAGTCAAACGGCAAGTCCTAGGAAACTATTTCCCCTGTCCTCATGATGACTCAAGGGAATAGAATAGAACATGAAGCCAAGCTGGCATGCAGGCCCCAGGGAAAGTTTGCGCAGTTCGCATTCTCAGTTTCCTGTGCAGTTCCGAGAGAGATCTTGTTGACACAACCCTCACCCTTTCTCTCCTCTTGACACAGCTTCTCCCCCCCTTTTGGGAAGTATCGTAATGACTGCTGGGAAACGATCCCTAACCAACCTTTTCCTGACAGAAAATGAAGTGTTTTCCCTTCCCCATCTCATGCAATTCCGTTAGCAGAGAAACATGGAAGGATTACAGTTTCTGGGTCGCACTCTTGTGTTTTCTTCTCAGAGTTGTGTGTGTTGTGTTGTGTGGTGTAGTGGTGAATGCTGTTTGGTTGCCACTTTTGAAGTGAGATTGAACCGCCTGCCTGGTCAGTCTTAGCTTTGCCTCAGGTAGCAAAATGTTTTAGGGAGCCCTCCAATAGTGTACATGTTTTTCAGTCAGAACTTGATGAAACTCAGTTCTGGCACTTCTCAGGTTGCTATTTTTAAGAGAATGAGGTTCAGGGTGAGTTCCAACACCTCTTTTTCTAGAAAAAGAGCATTCAGTGGTACCTCAGGTTAAGAACCTAATTCGTTCTGGAGGTCCGTTCTTAACCTGAAACTGTTCTTAACCTGAAGCACCACTTTAGCTAATGGGGCCTCCCGCTGCCACCGCACGATTTCTGTTCTCATCCTGAAGCAAAGTTATTAACCCAAGGTACTCTTTCTGGGTTAGCAAAGCCTGTAACCTGAAGTATCTGTAACCTGAAGTGTCTTTAACCCGAGGTACCACTGCAGAGTACATCAAACCCTGAGCTTTGTGTTTTTACTGGAATGACAGCATTCTATGCTATAGGGGTGACCACCCACTTCCCTGAGCTTTGTTCACCTGCGTAAGCAGTTTGAAACGTCCCTTATTGTTGCTGTGAGCTCAATATGTTTTCTCTGGGATGGTTTTTTTATGAGGTACAGAATGAATATTATGGTGTGATGCCTGTCGTTGGCATGACATGTGCTGTAGCAGCTTTGATTAGCCTGAATGGGCAGAATCTGATTCTTTTCCCTTCGGAAACTGGATCATCCCAAGCAGCACGGATTAGCATCACTGATTAACCTGTTGCCCTCCATCTGGACTCCAGTTCCCACCAGCAGCTCCCCAACCAGTGGCCAATGGTAAGCAAAGGTGAGAGCTGTAATCCACCAACACCTAGAAGCTTATGTGGTCCTTCATGTCTGAAGAAGAAAGACTTGGTACCTTCCTGGCAACATGAGACTATTTGATGCACACTCTATTATGGCAGCCAGAGAAAAAGTGGAAGTCTGGACAATACTAACTCAATCATGCCAGTTTCCCTGAGGGTTTCTTCTGTTCTCTGATTATTTTCTCTTACTGCCACCACACCATTTATTTATTTTTTTGTTTCAGCAAAGACACCAGGCCTATAAGAACTGCTGCTGCGGCTACTACCCAGGAGGTCTCCCCTGCTCAGCGCCTGAGGGCCCCAGTCCTGACACTCACCACCTGGCCCAGGGCGGAGCCTGATGGGCTCTATAAAGGACTGCTGCCGCTGCTGCTGCTGGGCAGAGAGGGCTCCATTTTGTTTTGGTTTTGTTTAAATTGCTGTTATTTTTTACCTATGTCATTTTAAACTGCGATATGAATGCTGTTTTCTTAGTTTTAGATTTTGATTTATGTGGAAACTGTTTCCCATTTGGTTGTGTATTTTTTTGATGTGGTTTATTTATTGTTTATGACTTTTGTAATTATGTAAATCTTGCTATGCTGTAAGCTGCCTTGAGCATTGTTTTTTTTAACTGTGGAAAGGCGTCATACAAATGAAAAATGATGATGATGATGATGATGATGATGGGGTTCAGCATCATTTCTGTCTTCTCTGAGCTTCTGCGACCCACATAAATATATGAATCTGGCAGGTTTGCTCCAAGGATATCTGAGATGAGGGGTACACTTTGAGCAAATCATAGAATTGTAGAGTTGAAAGGGACCCTGAGAGTCATCTAGTCCAACCCCCTGCAATGCAGAAATCCCAACTAAAGCATCCACGACAGATGCTAAAAAACCAGGGAAGAGTGTACTTAATTTCAAAAGGAACAATGTACTGCATTAGTATCTTCTGCCCACACTGAGCTCTTTCTTCATACAACATAGGAAGCTGCCTTAAAGGTAAAGGTAAAGGGACCCCTGACCGTTAGGTCCAGTCGCGAAGGACTCTGGGGTTGCGGCGCTCATCTCACTTTACTGGCCAAGGGAGCTGGCATACAGCTTCCGGGTCATGTGGCCAGCATGACTAAGCAGCTTCTGGCGAACCAGAGCAGCCCACGGAAACGCCATTTACCTTCCCGCCAGAGTGGTACCTATTTATCTACTTGCATTTTGACGTGCTTTCGAACTGCTACATTGGCAGGAGCAGGGACCAAACAACAGGAGCTCGCCCCATCGCGGGGATTTGAACCGCCGGCCTTCTGATCGGCAAGTCCTAGGCTCTGTGGTTTAACCCACAGCACCACCCACATCCCTAGGAAGCTGCTTCATGCAGAGTCAAAACATTGATTCATCCAGCTCAACACCGTCTGCATTGACTCCAGGCTTTCTATCAGGGGACATTCCCAGTGTTACGCAGAAATGCAAGGGATTAAACCTGGAGACCAGGTACTCTACCACTGAACTACAGCCCTTCCCCACTCAGAAACCCCACTGGGATGATAGTGAATTCAGCATGCGGAAGCCTCAGATAAACAATGAATAAAGAAATTAAATGTAAGCGAAAAGCTTTAAGGGTACTTTTTTTGGTGTAGGTCTGTGCAGACCTTTATGTTGTGCAGAAGAGTGTGATTGTATACAGCAGAGTCCCATGCAGGTACTCTCATGTATGGTCAACTCCTAGGTAGTTCTAATGTGCAGGAACTTTGCATCATGTTGATCCATAGCTTTGTGACTGAGTACATGCTTTGCGAGCAACGGGTCCCTGGTTCAATCTCTTGAATCTCCAGCCCAGTTGGGAGAGGCCCCTGTGTGAAATCTGTATGGTGTCAGCTGCAGGGTGGTAGACTGGCAGGCCAAATGGGGGAGGCATTGTAGGTAAGTTTGCCCTGAAAGCTGGAGGTTCTCCATGTTAGAATTCCTGCTCCATGATTGCAGTCATGGGACTGTTGTATTTCAATTGACGGTATACGTTTTGACTCCACAGAGTGGGAAGTGACGGAGACAGGATGTTTGTGTTATTGTGTTCTGTGAAGTGGGACTGTTGTCCTTTGTTCTTTTTCTCTTTGATGTCTGATGCTAGAGAGAGAGAGGGAGCCATGTTGCAGTACTCCATGTGTGTTTATATGTAAATAAAGTAGATTAGCCAAAACGCTGAGTTGCTGAGGTCTGTCATGCAAGTTGCAAAGACTCTGCGGATCCCTAAGTGTGCCAATGTCTGTTGGCATCGGTCGCTGTGAGGTTCGGGCAGAAGAAAGCTATTGAAGCTCCCGAATGATCGACCAGGAGGGAGAGAACATGCCAGTCGGGCATGTGTCTCTGCCAGGGTCCTACTCAAGTGTAGGCTGAGCTCCTGACACTCCGTCCCTGGTGTAGAGAATAGTCTACACCCTCCCAACAGTCTCAGTACAACATAGTTTCCTATGTTTCTCCTGCTTACATAGCACTGTTGGGGGGACAAGTCTGAAGTACTGTTTTGGGGGGACAGGGGGCGGGTGGGTGTGGAGGACTCCCTGGTCCTGAATGGGGTAACAGTGCCCCTGAAGGACCAAGTGTGCAGCCTGGGAGTCATTTTGGACTCACAGCTGTCCATGGAGGCGCAGGTCAATTCTGTGGCCAGGGCAGCTGTCTACCAGCTCCATCTGTTATGCAGGCTGAGACCCTACCTGCCTGTGGATTGTCTCACCAGAGTGGTTCATGCTCTAGTTGTCTCCCGCTTGGACTACTGCAATGACGTCTACATGGGGCTACCTTTGAAGGTGACTTAGAAACTACAACTAATCCAGAATGAGGCAGCTAGACTGGTGACTAGGAGAGGCCACTGGGTCCATACAACACCGGTCCTAAGGATCTTCACTGGCTCCCAGTACATTTCTGAGCACAATTCAAAGTGTTGGTGCTGACCTTTAAAGCCCTAAATGGCCTCAGCCCAGTATACCTGAAGGAACGTCTCCACCCCCATCATTCAGCCCGGACATCTAGCTCCATGGGGTAGGCAGCTCTCTTCAGTTGTATCACTTCTGCATATATCTGCCACCACAAGAAGAGAATTTCCAGCTTTTTTCACAGGGTGATCATGTCAAATGAGTCCATCCAAAATCTCAGGTATATCAAAAATCATCTCCTACTATTCCCAGATGCTCCATATCCCAACATAACTTAGGTGACAAATTCATGGCACTCTGGGACAAAGACTGTTTTGTCACATGAAAACCCAAACCACCTTTATTGTAAATTCACGAGGCAGACATCAGAATTAAAATGCACAGGTCACTGAACAATTCCTTCTCTGTATAAAGAACATGTTCTGTGAAGTGGTACTTGGTATCAACAAGAACATCTAAATAAACTATTTCTTCTTAGAAATCTCATCAGATAAAAAAAAAATGTACGTTCCAATATTTACAAATGAAAATGCTGGTGCATCCTTCGAAGCGTTGCTTGATGGTTTAATCGGTCTCTGTTCATATTCAAATATAAGAGTGCACTCTTGAAGCCATTTACATTAGTCTATAGAACAGCTGCAGAACAACTTGGTACCTTTCTCTTAACCATCATTAAACTCTCATCTCGGTCATTTCCATTCCTGTTTCTTTGTTTTTCATCGCAGTGCTTCTGGGATTTCCACCTAAAAAAAAAGAGGGGGGAAAGTTTTGTTTTTCTGATTTAGAAATATTAGCCGGAAGGAAAAGAATCAGGTGGTCTAACTAGGAAAAGAGTCAATATCTAATACATTGAATGGTTATGAGGTAGTAAAAATATTATCCGTGATACTGGAGCACTGTTATTGGTTATTGTTTTTAATGTTTGACGTTTTATTATGTCTTTATATGTGTTGGAAGCCACTCAGAGTGGCTGGGGCAATCCAGCCAGATGGGTGGGGTATAAATAATAATAATTATTATTACTATCATTATTATTGGAACAGATAAGGAGAAAATGGCTAACAGGTGGCGTACAAAGCTATGTTATCTGGTACCTACTAGACCTACCAGATATTAACCAGGATTTGGTTTTGAAAAATCATTCCAGACAGATTTGTAAGGAATTCTCAAAATATTTTGTAAATTTCATATGCATGTTGGATTTCTTTGCCACATGCATTCTTATGAGACAAAAGCCTGCCGCACATCTTTCTTTTGAGGGCAACTTTCCAGAAGCACATTCAGCCAGGCTGTCAATGGCCTGAGTGCATGTACACTATGCTCTGAAGCTTAGAGCATGGGTGGAGAGCCTGTGGCCTTCCAGATGTTCTTGGACTCCAACCCCCATCATCCTAGACCAGTGTTTCCCAAACTTGGGTCTCCAGGTATTTTTTGGACTACAACTCCCATAATCCCTAGCCAGAAAGAGCAGTGGTCAGGGATGATGGGAAGTGTAGTCCAAAAATATCTGGAGATCGAAGTTTGGGAAACCTTGTCCTAGGTCATTTGCCGCGCTGGCTGGAGCTGATGGGAGTTGGAGTCCAACAACTATGGTTCTATGCTTCTGACATCTGGAGGACAATAGTTTCCCCATCGTTGCCCTACCAGTAAGTGATGAAACAACTTTACGAGACGCGGTTCTCTATTTGAAGGAGACTTCTATTTGAAGGGCTGCCCAGTTCAAAGATTTTTAAAAAACCCTAAGAAAGGAGAAGAGGGGCATTGAAATGGCCCACAAACAGCTCATGGAAAGCAGATTGGGTGGACACGCAGATCAACTGGTCACAGTCTTACAGAAATCATTTCTAAATTTACCTCTCTGTGTTAAATGAAATGTGAATTGAGTCACCGTTGGCTCATAATTCCCCTCTTGGGGATTACACATAATGACTGGAGAATGTACAAAATTCAGCAGAGATATGCAGATTCCCCAAAGCATGTTAGGGATTATGTCTATTGACCAGGGAATGTGCACAATTCCCTCTTTGTGGAAGGATTATGAACACATTCTGCACAATGGCCGGCTGTTATGCACATTAGCTGCTCAGCTTACATACCTCTTAATATATACAAATAATGTGTGTGTGTGTGTGTGTGTGTGTGTGTGTATACACATCAGTACATGTATTTTTACACAAAGCCCTATCCTCCTTGATTCCCCTTTTGTGATGCACAAGTGGCCACCTTGTCAAGGAAGGAGCCTCCCACCCAAAACCCAACTGTAAGATTTCATCTTCTCTCTACTGGTCAGAAAACAGCCTGCTTTCTTTCCTTCACTGCTGAGCCTAGACACCTGATTCTCTTCCACTCTGTTTTGTATTTTGAAGGTTCAATCCCTGGCATCTCCAGATAGTAGCTAGGTAGAGAACCTTGTCTGAAATGCTGGAGTAGCCGCTGTCGGTCAGAGTCAATAATACAGATTTAGATGGCCTGACTTGCAACTTCCCGTGTTGTTCTTATGAGAAGACTGGTCTTCGCACAATTGTTTCCTGTGTTTGCTTTTCAGGGGTCTGCTTATACCGCTACCCCTATACTATACTACACGTTTTCAACCAGATTAACTGTCGTGAAGTTCCTTCTACCCCTCAGACTCACTTAGGAATTGAAATTGGTTAAAACAATGAAGCAGGGCATTTTCCCCCCCAGGCCGGAACTCAGTTCTGGCACCTCTCAGCTGGTCGCCATTACCATTATAAGAGAACAAGGGAGGTGTTCACGGTGAGTTCCAGCACCTCTTTTTCTAGAAAAATAGCACTGCAAAGAAGCGAACTTTAAAAAGTGCTGAAGAAAATGTTATTTATTTGCAGCAGCACTCCAGTTACGTGATGCCCAACAGGGCCAGTTCCAAGTTTCTGGGGACCCTCAGGCAAAAAGGATATTACTGAAAGGGATGAGTTTTTTTTTTCAAAGCTTGGTCAGGCATTACTTCAATAAAAATATCCATGCCTCACATCTTAATTCTCATGTGCATGTTGTTTGAATAGATAACTGGGAATATATGTGTATATATATGTGTATATATATGTGTGTATATATATATATATATATATATATATATATATATATATATATGAGATACAAATTGAGACAAATTAATGTGTTGTATTTCTTTTAATGCAGTTAGAATTTTTTCTTGAATATTATGCAGTGATCGCCTTACTTTAGAGTTTAACTGTAAAGTGGGGGGAGAATAAAGAAAACCTCATGCTACTTTCTAAACAAAATCTATGGCTGGATCTACACTAATCTGAAAAACACTATTAAAAACACTATAAAAATATAGCTCTCAACGCAATTTCTCATTGGTGAAGATCGTTGCCCTACACCACAGCTCCCTCTGGGGTCACATTTTTATAATGCATTTTTAACGTTATAACTCACCAGCGTAGATTAGTCCTATCTTGTACCTGTGAGATGTTTCTAAATCTCTATCAGCTTTTGGAATGAAGACACTTACCCGCCTCAGCTGTTTCATGCTACTTGCACGAATTGCATCCATTAGATCACTATGAACGGATCTCACTGGAGTAGAAGGTCTGGTGGAGGGACGTGAGCCTTCCTCTGCCTTCTTGTCTGGGACTGATTTTAATGAATTTTTGATTTCCTTCAAGATCTCGTTCTCGTATTTTTTGCTCTTCTTGCCTTTCTTCTTTTTCTGCTTATTTTGTGGGGCCTTCTTGGCACTTTCCTGTTGTTTGATAACCTCTGCAATATTCCTGGTTGGTGCCTTCTTTTCGGGAGCTATTTGAGGTGGGGGAGGTGGGGGAGGGGGAGGGGGTGGTGGGGGAGGAGGAGATGGAGGCTGGTTTTTAACAGGAGGAACCTTCTTAGGAACCTTCGGAGAGGAACATGGTGAATTTCTTGGAGAAGAAGGGTGGATTTGAATAGATGAGACTTTCCTAGCCACCTTCGGAGAGGACCAAGGTGAACTTCGGGGAGATGAATAAGGTGAAGAACCAGGAGTTACTTTTTGCAAAGCTTTGGTCTTTGGATTGATGGCTCCATCCCCACTGGCCTCTAGCTGTCTTTGCTCCTGTATCCGTTTCTGCCTTTGCTTATCCATGTTTCTTGTCAGGATGCTGGTCATGCTTATCCTTGGTCCTGCAAGCTCAAAGTGATACCCCAGTTTCACAATAGTAGTATTGTCCTTCAGGAGTTTGACAATGTCCATTTCAACCTGGCTGCCCATGATATGCCTTTGGTTGTGGAACCGCAATTCCGTCAAAACCTTGTTGTTCTGCAAAGCCCTCATGATAGCAAGGATTCCTTTGCCCGTGATGAAATTGGAATCCAGATTCAGATTCGAGATGTGCTGGTTCACTTTTAACATGCCGGCAATAGCCATTGCCGCATTGTCGTCCGCATGAGTGTTGGCCAAGCTAAAGGTCTTGACCACAGTGTTGTTCTTGAGGGCCTGCGCAAAATGCGTCAGCATTTGTGGTGTGATGTTTTCAATGTTGTTTAAGTTGACTTCCGTGGTGTCGGGATCATTGTTCCTGACTTTTTCCAGGGCATCTTCAATCACCGTCGGATTTCCACATGGGTGCATGGCGCCCACCCTGCAGCCCAAATCTTCAGTATTCTTTTCACTATGGCCATTGGTAACAATTTCATTTGCATTCTTGCTACTTTTTTTTAGCTTAATGCTGAGCGAACTTCTTCTTTTTTCGGTATCTGCAGCATTTTTACACGCTTCAGCAGGTTTCTTTTCTTCATCGTCTTCTGCACCACTTTCTTCTCCAGCGTCGTCATCATCTTCTTCCTCCTCCTCCTCCTCCTTGTCCTCCTCTTCTTCATCTTCTTCAGTGAATGCCTCTTCAGAAACTTCGCTGTTACTTTCCGTGAAATATTCTTCATTAATTTCTTCCGATCCGTCTTCATCATCTTCTTGTTTAGAATCCTAAAAAAGAACGTAGGTTCAATGACTGTCAAAATAAAAACATACCTTATCATAAGAGTTCTCAGAGTTTTCTAGGGAGACAACCCTGGGGCTTTCCCAGATGCTAAGTTTGTCAAGTAAACATAATGCACCATTATTTTTCATTCATTTCATGAGACCCAGGCATCATTCCTCAAAAAAACAGTCTTTTCATCAAAAAACATCTCCTGTAATATCTCAGTACATTGTGGACTGTCTCGATTTGGAAAGTTATGGCAATGGACACCCATTTGAGAATGTCCACAGCATCACAATGGGCAAGAAATGCATGATCTGATATTATTGTTCCTCTGTGTTCAAGTAGGGCAGGCATGGCCAAACTTGGCCCTCCAGCTGTTTTGGGACTGCAATTCACATCATCCCTGACCACTGGTCCTGCTAGCTAGGGATGATGGGAGTTGTAGTCCCAAAACAGCTGGAGGGCCAAGTTTGGCCATGCCTGAAGTAGGGGAAGAGTAATGTTGGTGGAAATGGGCATACATGAAAAACTGGCATACACCAGGAAGGCCAAACTGGTTTTGCTGGACAAAAGAAAACTCAGGGCACTTTCCTGAGTAGAAATAACTGTTGGCGTTTTGCAACTTTGACCTGTTGCAGGACCTTAGCCAGACCTTAGCAGAGCATACACAGAGTTCTCGAAAGCAATCAGTTGCAGGCAGGATGGATGAAGCAGGAACCAGTAACTTGTTACTTATAGGTGTGTTTATTATTTACAGCAGACTCTACAAGTTACTATGTACAAGAACAGAACAGATACGCGGATCTTAACAAACTCTCTCTCACAAAACCAAACGACTCTTCGACTCTACACTGACCAAACCACAAACACATACCAGTCAGTAGGTCATAAATCATTATGCCTGTGTGAGACCTTGACCAATGGTAGAGCTGTTTCCAGGCCTCTGTATCTCCAGGCAGAAATTACTCCTTTCTGCTCAGTCATCTTTGGCTGTCGGCCAACTCTTAATTGATTCTGTGTGAAGCTGCACAGAATTGCACGTAGTCAAAAACCCAACAATAACATATAAGTTTTGGTCTTGGGGATGGAGGGACAGATACATGGACAACACCGGCCTAACGTGGGGTGTATCAGCTGGTAAATTGCAGTGCATGCAAGACTCAGGAGAGTATAGAGGACTAACACAAAAGAGCTGGACCATAAAGAAGGCTGATTGCCAATTGATGCTTTTGAATTATGGTGCTGGAGGAGACTCTTGAGAGTCCCATGGACTGCAAGAAGATCAAACCTCTCCATTCTGAAGGAAATCAGCCCTGAGTGCTCACAAATCCTGGGCTGTGAGGACAGATCCTGAAGCTGAGACTCCAATACTTTGGCCACCTCATGAGAAGATCCCTGGAAAAGACCCTGATGTTGGGAAAGATGGAGGGCACAAGGAGAAGGGGATGACAGAGGACAAAATGGTTGGATAGTGTTCTTGAAGCTACCAGCATGAGTTTGACCAAACTGTGGGAGGCAGTGGAAGACAGGAGTGCCTGGCGTGCTCTGGTCCATGGGGTCATGAAGAGTCGGACACGACTAAACAACAACAACAACAACAAAAGAAGGAAATAGAGGTGGTCCATGAAGGGAGGCACTGATCCTTCCTGTTGCCATGATTGTGTTCCCATGAGCAGGCATGTGCATCTGTGTATAGCACCCATGCAACATTATGTTTATGTTAGAATTAATAAGAGATGAATAAAACCTAAACTTTGGCAAGAAGTGCTTGTGTTAACACAAAGAAAGGCGATTCACCAAAGGACAACTATTGGCTTGCGGGCGTTTGTTTTAAATCCTGGTCACCATACAGTATGATGGACCACAAGCTAAGAACAAATATTTCTTGGCCTGTTAAAAAAAAACCTTCAAATATTCACCCCACCCTGCAAAAAACCAAATGAAAGTATGACCATCTCAGGGTCACACTGGGCTAAGCAAACATTTGTTGAATGTGTGCTTAAAACTGGGCAGCTGCATGGGTCTGCAATCTTTCTTGAGACCGTAGCATGCAAGTAGAGGCTTTTAACCTCTTCAGCATCACACTATTTTCATGCTATTTGCCCCACAAAGCTGCTATTTGCAGTAAACAGCACCGCTGGGGAAAACACCAGCTCAGGGAGATGATTGTTTGGTTAGGAAACATCACAAGGAGGAAAAATTACGAACACGCCCATTTTTGTTTTTATTTTGCTGTTCTGAATCACCACAAAGAAATGGCCAGTGCTATGTTACTTAGCCTCATTCCTTATTTTCTATACTTTGGGGCCAATACTACAGTTGCCAGCAATAGCTGCATTGCAATCAGTGACTGGGACTGAAATAATAATAATAATTTAATAATAGTTTATTATTTATACCCCGCCCATCTGGCCGGGTTTCCCTGAGTGGCTCCCAACGGAATATTAAAAACACGATAAAACATCAAACATTAAAAACTTCCCAAAACAGGGCTGCCTTCAGATGTCTTCTAAAAGTCAGATAGTTGTTTATTTCCTTGACATCTGATGGGAGGGCGTTCCTCAAGACAGGCACCACCACCAAGAAGGCCCTCTGCCTGGTTCCCTGTAACTTGGCTTCTCACAGTGAGGGAACTGCCAGAAGGCCCTCGGAGCTGGACCTGTGTCCGGGCAGAACAATGGGGGTGGAGACACTCCTTCAGATATACTGGACCGAGGCCGCTTAGGGCTTTAAAGGTCAGCACCAACACTTTGATTTGTGCTTGGATAATAACAAGTAAAAATCCTAGCAAATGCTAGAAAAAATTGTGGGACCCTTGACCCATTTGGACTGCACACAGAGGACTCCATTGCTGCTTTTCTTACCTGCTGGAAGTGCATTTTGGAGGAACAAGAGTCCTAAGTCATCCCTCCCTCTTTGCTTGATTTGGGTTATGCCTGCTGCAAACATGACAACAGGCAGAAACAGAGAGAGGAAGGACTGGATGAGCTATGGCAGTTTCATACAGACCCCCTTCATCCCTCCTAGCATCCATTCCACTACTTCTTTTGGTGCATGGCTGAGTGGGGGAGAAACCAGAGCTCTCCTCAGCCCTTCTGGAATCTTCTGCACGTGGGGCCATTGCCTACTGTGCAAGTGGATTGTGCCGTAAACGTTTGCAGCTAAAATTACAATAATATAATTGTGCTTGAAACAGAGAGCGCTTTCAGAGAGAAGTGCCAATCAGCCTCAAGTGTAGGCTGAAATTAAGTATAGCATTAACTGTGCTTGTACCGTCCCAGATCTAAACATAATGATCGTTGCTATTTGGGTATAATATACTGCGCTACAGAGCTTTGAATCCTTGTTGCATCCCCATCTTTACTTTAGGTTACATTATTATTCATTCACTATTTGTTACCTTCAGAGAAGCTGCATGGCAAAACTATAGTAATCCCTTGACTGCATACCAGCACCCTGGGCTGCAGAGTTTGGATACATTCCTCTAGCTGGGTTCTGATAAGCGCCAATCAAGGAGTGAGATAATTCCATGGCAGCCAACCGAATGATGCTGCTTTGCACTGGTGGAGAATGTGGCTGTATCAGTTCAGTGGTAAATATAGCCCTATAATCTGTATACTGCTAGGAATTTTATTCCCCTCCTTGGTTTGTTTTTCACCGCGCTGCTCTACAAAAACAAGTGATTATGTTTCAAAAGAAGCAGAGGCACGTATGAGAAGAATGACTACCTCAAAGGAACTGTGTAGCTCGGCAGTTGTCGAAACACTCTCATATATAATTTTGTGAAATACCTTTCATTTAGTCTGGTCTTTGTAAATTACTTTGCCTACCAGGAAGGAAGGAACTCTCAGGTGGGTTGCTGAGAGAAGAAATGGAAGTTACCAGCTGAGAGATAGGAAGGTCCACTCCTTTTTGTTTGAAATAAGGATTAAGATATATCCTTCACAGAAGGCTCTGTATTTTATTTCTCTCCCTCCCTCCTATTTTCCTTCCTTCCTTCCTTCCTTCCTTCCTTCCTTCCTTCCTTCCTTCCTTGGTTTTCTTTTCTTCTCTATTTTTATTTAGATTAGTTTGGTCTTTATTGTATTCTATGTCGAAAACTTTCAACAAAAACTCAGATAAAGAAATAATAAGTTACTTTGCCTATCCAAGAAGGACTTTCCCCCACGTAACTATTCATAACAGCCAGAATGATTTGGTAGATAGAATATGGGCCCAATACACATCCTTTTTAATAAATTAAAAGCAAATATAGATCAAACAGTTACTTGCTGTTTGCTCTGTGATGTTTTGATTGTGATACATTTGTGTGTGTTTGACAAATTCTTTGTAAATGTTGTGACAATGATTTATTCTTTTATAAATAAGCCTTCACTATATGAGGAGGGTGGATTTAAAACTCTCCTCAGCCCTGAACAGACTGGCAATTAAACTAATTCTTAGCTTTAATTGTGTAAAATGAGACTGATAGCCCAAACTTGAATTTGTTTTTCAAGCAATGCAGGATATTTTTAATTTGGAAAATACATTTTCATTTTGTGACTAAGATAATCCTTTAAAGACCATTATTGCCTGCTAATGTATGGGGACTGGGATCCAGCAAATACATAATGCTTCGAATCATAAACTACAGTTAAAGGATTAAGGCTGTGAGTCTACATTTATTTCCTGGGAGCAAGCCCCACTGAGCTCAGTAGGACTTAGATTTTTGTTTACATGTATAGGATTGCCCTGCAAAAATGAACCATTGGATTATGTAGTCCTTTTCCCAATGCTTCATGCACAAATTACACTCTTATACTGAACAGTTTTGGTTCTTTCTGCTTCTCAGTTTTCCAATCTTAAATTCAGTCCTTCACCTGTTTGCAGAAGTTAACAAATTTTATTTTGAAAATTATTCAGCATTTTAATGCGAACTTCTCCTAATAACCACATTTTTGAATGCAGTTTTGATGAACGCACATGTTCTCGCAAGTGATTTCTCCTGATATAATGAATGTCATTTTCACAAATACATTAACCCTTATGCACATTTTTTACCTAATATATGCATTTTTTGTAAACCATGGTTGATTGGAGAACTACATTGCATAGTCTGAAGTACCAATTTGGAAGGATGGCTGTTTCAGTTCTCATGGTGTTTTAGAAAGGGCAGATTTGATAAAAGATAGCTTGAAATGTGAACTGAATCAAATTCACCACCATACCTCATCCTGAATAACCTTAACCGTTATGTAACATGAGTCAGGTTAAGATAACTAGCCTGGATAAGACAGAAACTGGTTGGCGTTATCCATGGTGAAGATGACCATGGAGAGATGGACAGGACGACTTCACACAAAGGATGGAGCACCTACACCCTTCAGTAATGACTGGCTGCTGTAAAGACCAACACGATAAAGGCCAAAGAGATCTTAGTGTGCATAGGCCAGTCCTGAAATTCTCTGGAGATTGGGAAGCACATTAATGTTGTAGCTGCTTTCAAATGGGAGCCCCAGAAATCTCACTATACCTGTACAGTGGTACCTCGTGTTAAGAACTTAATTCATTCCGGAGGTCCGTTCTTAACCTGAAACTGTTCTTAACCTGAAGCACCACTTTAGCTAATGGGGCCTCCTGCTGCCGCCACGCCGCCGGAGCACAATTTTTGTTCTCATCCTGAAGCAAAGTTCTTAACCTGAGGTACTATTTCTGGGTTAGCGGAGTCTGTAACCTGAAGCGTATGTAACCTGAAGCGTATGTAACCCGAGGTACTACTGTATACTTGAAGGAGCGTCTCCATCCCCATCGTTCAGCCCGGACACTGAGGTCCAGAGCCGAGGGCCTTCTGGCAGTTCCCTCGCTGCGAGAAGTGAGGTTACAGGGAACCAGGCAGAGGGCCTTCTTGGTAGTGGCGCCTGCCCTGAGGAACACCCTCTCAGCAGATGTCAAGGCAATAAACAACTATTTTACTTTTAAAAGACAACTGAAGGCAGCCCTGTTTAGGGAAGTTTTTAATGTCTGACGCTGTATTGTTTTTAATGTTCGGCTGGAAGCCACCCAGAGTGGCTGGGGAAACCCAGCCAGATGGGCGGGGAATAAATAATAAATAATAAATTATTATTATTATGCACATAGATCTTGGGATCCTGTCTATTGATAGCAATGCAAATTATCCGCTCTGGGGTTATGTACACATTAGCAGCTTAAAATACGGCAAGGTTACCTCCCCCTTTCAATTTACATCAGCAACTCCTATTCCTGAAGCTGTAATTTGCACGTGCGCAATGGCTGTCGCAAATGAGCTAGGCTAGGCTGAGAGCTGGCTCAAGGTCACCTAGCAAGTTTCATGGTTGAAGAGGGATTTGAACCCTGGTTTTCCAGGTGCTACGCTACATGACACTCTGTCATGCCCGTCTCAGATATACGTGCCTCAGTTTAACTGTGATGTCAATGTGGCTCACGTTTTCAAATCGGATGGAAGTGGGTTTGCATCAAACCACAGCATTTCTCAAGAAATTGCAGGAGATGTAAGGATCGTGGCTAATGTCTTGTATAAAGGTAAAGGTAAAGGGATCCCTGACCATTAGGTCCAGTCATGGCCGACTCTGGGGTTGCAGAGCTCATCTCACTTTATTGGCCGAGGGAGCCGGCGTACAGCTTCCGGGTCATGTGGCCTGCATGACTAAGCCACTTCTGGTGAACCAGAGCAGCGCACGTAAACGCCGTTTACCTTCCCGCCAGAGCAGTACCTATTTATCTACTTGCATTTTGACGTGCTTTCAAACTGCTAGGTTGGCAGGAGCTGGGACCGAGCAACGGGAGCTCACTCCGTCGTGGGAATTCAAACCGCCGACCTTCTGATCGGCAAGTCCTAGGCTCTGTGGTTTAACCCACAGCACCACCTGCATCCCATGATATATATGTCATGTATATACAGCTTCAAATGCCAGGAGTGGGAGGGCACTGAAGCCAGAGTAAATTGTAATGTGTGTACAACAAAGGCTGCTGCGCATCCTTCAGAAATCTGGATGGGCACAATCCTGTCAACGTTAGGCACTTTCAAGTTTTATCATGTGTCAGTGGAAGTGTTTTGCATTCGCTTATTTCCTGCCCTACTGCAATCAAAGGGACATAAAAGTACTCAAGTCTGTCTCAATCATTCCCATTATTTTCTGCCCAACCACAGGCTCCACCCTTCGCTCTCTACAGCAAAATGTCCTTGAAAGTCCCTTGAGATTTTAAATCTGTTTGTGATGGACTTTCTGTTGAATAGAACGAAGGGAAGAGGCCCACTGTAGGAATACACTGGTACCTCGGGTTACATATGCTTCAGGTTACATACGCTTCAGGTTACAGACTCCGCTAACCCAGAAATAGTGCTTCAGGTTAAGAACTTTGCTTCAGGATAAGAACAGAAATCGCGTGGCGGCGGTGCGGTGACAGCGGGAGGCCCCATTAGCTAAAGTGGTGCTTCAGGTTAAGAACGGACCTCCAGAACGAATTAAGTACTTACCCCAGGGTACCACTGTATTGGGGAGTTCAAGACCATGGCCAATGACTATAAAGAATTTTGTACATGAAATGTGCTATTGAAACCTGCAGTTTGAGCTATACATTAAAGCCCAATCAAAGAGTCAATTCCTCCTGGGATTCTGCCACCCCTTCCTCATATATAGACTGGTCACATTTTAAAATGATCACTCACTGTAAGTTAGGTCCTGTTGAAATGCAAATACTAAAAAAAAATGTTACTGGTTTTAACAGGCTTCCTCAGTCTCGGTCCTCCAGATGTTTTGAGACTACAATTCCCATCATCCCTGACCACTGGTCCTGCTATCTAGGGATCATGGGAGTTGTAGGTCAAAAACATCTGGAGGGCCGAGGTTGAGGAAGCCTAGGTTTTAACATAATGTTTTTGAATCGACTGAAGTATTTTTTTTAAAAGTTCTCTTTCCTCCAACTGAAGGAAATGCAGCTAAGAACGACGATGTACAAAAAACACACACCTTGCAAACAACCAAGTTGCATATCAGGCCGTGTGTTTTTTAGTTTAGCCCTCACTTGATTCTGCTCGTTTTCTACAAGTCTGTATTTTGAAAAGCTGGAAAAATTTAAAAACGTGTTCCTGTTTATGGTATTAAAATATACCATCTCAGAAGCCCTCAACCATTGTTAATATGTACATCAATCGACTCTCCTTCGACAAAAGTGAATTTTCACTGACATTCTACAGGGATGAGGAACCGCCGACCTTCCAGGTATTGTTGGAACACAACTCCCATCATCTTTGACTATGCTGGCCAGACTCCAGGAGGCCCTCAGCACAGTTCGGCCAGTTTGACCACCACCACCCCTCATGTTTCCACTGGACCTCCCAATTCCTTTTGCGGTTGCAGCTTCACCCTCCTCCTCTTCTCTATCTTGTCACCTCTCCTTCCTCTTCTTCACCTGTGACAGTGGTGGTGACACCGGCAGATTTTCTGCCACCTCCTCAGCACCTGGGTTATTATTATATTTATTTAATACACTTCTATGCTGCCCTATACCACACCAGGTCCTTCTCTGAGCCTGCAATTCAGGCTAGAAGAATGCCTACCACTATTACTTTTAAAAATAGATAAAATGCTAAGTCCGGAATGCGGCAGCTAGACTGGTGACTGGGAGTGGCTGCCGGGACCACATAACACCGGTCCTGAGAGATCTGCATTGGCTCCCAGTACGTTTCCGAGCACAATTCAAAGTGTTGGTGCGGACCTTTAAAGCCCTAAAGGGCCTCGGTCCTGTATACCTGAAGGAGCGTCTCCACCCCCACCGTTCAGCCCAGACACTGAGGTCCAGCGATGAGGGCCTTCTGGCAGTTCCCTCATTGCGAGAAGTGAGGTTACAGGGAACCAGACAGAGGGCCTTCTCGGTAGTGGCGCCAGCCCTGTGGAACGCCCTCCCTTCAGATGTGAAGGAAATAAGCAGCTATCTTCTCTTTAAAAGACATCTGAAGGCAGCGCTGTTCAGGGAAGTTTTTAATATTTGATGCTGTATTATTTTTAACACTTGATTGGGAGCCGCCCAGAGTGGCTGGGGAAACCCAGCCAGATGGGCGGGGTATAAATAAATTATTATTATTATTATTATTATTATTATTATTATTATTATTATTCTAACCACTGTGGCAAACTGGTGGTGGTGCATTCACACCCAGAATGTCTGGTTCTGAGAAGAAGGGCACTCTTAGCCCTTGCTCAGGCACAACGTGGAGGTGGAGAGTGATGGTAGATGGCTTTCCAGCCACTGTGGATGGGAGCTCATCTTGGTTCCCAAGCGTTGCCCGCAGCACCACCACCGGGGCCTAGCAGTGAGGCAGGTTGGATCAATGAGGGGCCTTTGGCCGGTGCCCAACCTGACTGTCTCCTGCTACCTGCCCTGATGCTGGCTGGAGAAGATAGGAGTTCTACATTTCTCCAAAAAATACTGCCCCCATTCATCAATGAGTTAAGCAAGCATTGTGGGAGAAATACAGTTTGAACAAGAATAGAAAATGAGAAGAAGTATTTCTGGGACACAGTTCAAAGCATTTTTGAGCCTACCTTTTCACACGCCCCCATTCTCTCTCTTTCCAGTAGTTTCCTGGTCTCCCTTTCCCAATAGGCCATTAGTGCCTCCCGGCTGAAAGTTCCCGTTGGCGTTTTCTCCGTGAGACTTTTTTGCCTGTGTCCCACCGGAAGGTTTCGGTCAGGCTCAATGTCCTCCAGCTCTCTCTCCAACTCCTTCAGCTCCTCATCGGTCAGAGAAGCCAGGAGTTCATCTTCATCTAGCTCCTCGTATTTACTAAGCTCTCGCCTGTAGCCAAAGGTAGACATGGTCCCTTCTGTCGTTAGGCTGGTGCAAATCTGAAACCGCAATGCGGCATTCACGAAAAGCTTGAATCGAGGCGTCTGTATCTGATTTGGCCAGCAACTGTTTCCCCCGAGTGGCTGCGGCACCCTTTAAAAAGTGTTCCTAGGGGATTGCGACAATGTGCAGAAGGATGAAAGCATGCTCTGTTTTAAGCATCAGACGTCAGACAGCAAGAGAGTCGAACAGAAGGAATGTCCCAACACCAGTGTCTGGTCGTCTCTTAAACACAGGGATTACTGACATACTGACCATGACCATATTTAGCGTAGCATGATACAAGGAAAATGTATATTCATCGACATACTTTGTGGCCAGGAGGATGGTAGGGGGAAAAGGGACGCTTGCATAGACCTTGTGTTGACTCCACAACAGAGAGTGGATGAATAAAGAACATTTGACTTCTGTAGGATTAGTGTCCTTCCAAAGGGGCACAAAATATTTTCACAGCTGTTCAGAAAAGCACCCTTTATTTTCATGGTTTTTAGGAGGGAGGTTGGCAGGAGAAGGAGCTGTAACTTTGTCAGGCTAGAGATTTGTTATCTCCAGGAATGTAACAAAGCCAGGATACGCATTCCCAAGATTGTGGACTGCCGCTCAGCTTATGTTCTTCATGTTTTAAATAATTAGATAAGGAAGACAAAAATGAAACCCTTTCAATTTGAAAAAACAAAACCTCGAACCTAGCTATAATAGTAGCTTTATTATTCCAAGGATTTCTCAAGGTATGAGGGCAAAACCAAAAACCTATTAGTCTCAAATTTTGATATTGCCCCTCAATATCCCAGAGAGCAAAAAGTGCCATAATTACATAGGCCATTTTGTGGGGATGTTTGAGGAATTTGGTCTTTGCGAATTCCTATTCAAAATAATCAGATCCATTCCTCTTGAACTAATATCTACCTGTCCACATTGTCTTGATGTTTTGAGGTGGTTTTCGGCCATTGCTGCATGCCAAAGCATCATTAAATACATATTTTGAGAGGAAGCACACATTTAAATGAGTATTTAAATATGTATTTTGAGAGGACCAACAAATAAATAAATCACAGATTGGCAGAGGTAGGTGTCTATGTGTTGGGTGAATGTGTCTCCACCAGCTAAGCCATTCTCCTGCAGGCCCCCATTAATGAATTGGGGCTTCAATCCGCAGGTGCAGAACTTCCTATTCCACCTATTAAATATGTGGTCAGGTGGAAGTGCTGCCAGAGCAGAAGACCATGTTTCATGGTGGGCATGGGCTGAGTCAACCCAGGATCCATTTGATCCATAACCAGTCCTACAGCAGCACCAAGGCCAATCCAGACCAAATTGCTGTGTCATCTTCATGTATAGCAGTGCAGCAAAAATTGGCAGCAGCACCACTGCTGTGTAAAGCCCTCCCGATTGGAAGCTGGGGTTTGGTTGCTCCCTAGTGCAGAAATGGAACTGGACTGTGAATAGATGCATGTGAAAGTACCATATTTTTTGCTCTATAAGACTCACTTCCCCCCCCCAAAAAAGTAAGGGGAAATGTGTGTGTGTCTTATGGAGCGAATGCAGGCTGCACAGCTATCACAGAAGCCAGAACAGCAAGAGGGATTGCTGCTTTCACTGCGCAGCGATTCCTCTTGCTGTTCTGGCTTCTGAGATGTAGAATATTTTTTTTCTTGTTTTCCTCCTCCAAAAACTAGGTGCGTATTGTGGTCTGGTGCGTCTTATAGAGCGAAAAATACCATAAATAGATTTGTCATGTCGGCTACCGTTTTTCAAATTTCAGCTACTTTTGTGTTAGCAACTGTTAAGTATTGACACCATGTTCTCTTATCAAAATAATTCACCGTGTGTGTGTGTGTGTGTGTGTGTGTGTGTGAGAGAGAGAGAGAGAGAGAGAGAGAGAGAGAGACAGAGACAGAGACCAACCAACCAGAAGTTGCTGGACTACAGTTCCTATCAGTCCTGCCAGCAGGGGCTGCTGGGAGTTGAGATCCAACATCTGAAGACAACCATGCTGGCTAAGCCAAAGGTTTAGGAAATGACACTCATTGACACTATGTCTTTCACAGATGGTGTTTTTGAAATGGCAGGTTTTAGACTGGAAAAGCTAGTTAGCGTGGATTCTCAATACAGTTCCTCAAGTAAACACATTTCTCTTTGGTATGCTACCTGAGAAAAGCTATGCACTAGAAATCAAGAAAATTACTTTGTACGCAGTATCTTTTCAAATGAATTCTGTTGAGCATCTTAAGAGGTACTACAATCCTAGAGGTGAGTTGCCAGGGTAGCACACATATATTCTTAATATATTAAAATATATTGCATTCTGCCTTGAAGCTTCTGGATTGGGCAGACCTAATATAAACATAAGGAGTCACGGTCTGCCTCTGGATACTGAAAGGAGCAGGGAATTGTGCATTTCCTTACCCTAGGAACTCTGTATAAGTCCTAGAACACAGCCCTAGCTTCGCACAAACACAAAATACCACTCTTGTAGGTGATATCACACTTGCCATTTAATTTCACCGATTCTATCAATGTAGCAGGATAGATTTCTGGAGCAGCTGCTTGTGTTTTCCACCTTCAGAATGCCTGGATTTAGTTGATCAGAGCGCTACTGTCAAGGATTGGACTCAAGAGCATGAGAAAGAGGAGGAGGAATGGTGAAGATCACCACCCCATCTCCTGACGCTGCAGGAGAAGAGGAACGCAGTGTTGATTTACAGCAGGGGTTTGAGGGAAGTCAAAGCTCATAGATAGGTGAACAGAAGAGTTGCGAAGTGTTAGAGGGGAACTATGGTGGTCCAGCCAATTGATGCGTTGCCACTGGAGGGTCTTTCTGATCCCCCTTCTCCCAGAACTCAGCGTTCGTTAAGAGCGCAGGAACGACCGAATCAGACATTTGACCATGAGTAGTCACCGTAAGGACTGCTGCTAGGAAGGAAGGAAGGAGGAGCCCAGTTTGAGCAACGCCATGATTAGGGTAGACAGTGTTCTTTTGTCTCTCTCTCTGGTATGAATGAATAAACTCACTAAAAAGGACTTATCTTGTTTCTCTGCTTCTTACTGCCAAAGGGAAGGAGTAGAATTCCTGAAGCCCCGACAGCTACACACCCTTGTCTGTGTTCTTTTCTTTTACCATTAAACTCAAACCCTGGACCCTAAGGAGTAAATAGGCTCTGGTTCTTATTCTCCGCGCCACCGTGGTCAGGGAACTGCAGATAATTCAACTCAGTCAGAAGCAGCCTCTGCGGCTGCTGATAAAGGGTGCCAAGCGATGAGTAAGTTCAAAAACTCTGCTCTCTGTTCACAACAGCCTAGCTTTCCAGTCCGAGGTGCAAAGGCATACCCACCAAGTGTCCCGATTTCCCAAGGACGGTCCCAGAATTAAAAAGCCATCCCAGTATCTGATTTGATCTCGGAATGTCCCTCTTTCCCCCGCTTGTGCTGAGCTCAGGGTGGAGGATGAGTCGGTACTCATCCTGAGCAGAGGAAGCAGCAGTGAAGGCTGCAAGGGAGCACCCTGTTGCCTCTCCATGGCCGCTGCTGCTGGCCTCTTCCCTTGGGCATCTCATAGCAGCTGCTGGAGAGTGGGCGAGGTGTCAGGGGTGCGTGCAGGAGCCAGGCCCTGTGACCAGTAGGGCTTCGCAGGACTGGGGCCTTCCTAAGTTTGTTCTGAAGAGGCAAGGCGTGGCTGCACAGGTGAGGCCGTTTGGTAACTCAATGCGCCTGGGGGCAAGAGCTGGGAAGGGATATAAGGTCAGCATTTCCCTTCGGCTCTTTGCCACAGCAACTTGTTTTCTGCCTTGCTGCGTTTGGCTTCTTGCTTCCTGATCCTCGGACCTTGGCTTCTTGACTCCTTGCTTCTCAACCCTCAACTTCATGACTCCTTACTTCTCGACCCTCGGACCCTAGACTTCGTGACTCCCTGCTTCCTGACCCTCGGACCCCTGGCTTCTGGACTCTCGTTCCTGCTCCCACCCCGCCACCTTGCTCCTGGTCCCAACGTCCTCAGCCGGGACTTCGATCGCCCGTAGACTGGACTGTGACAGGGGAAGAGACTGCTGCCACTGAGGCCCAGCCCTGTGTGAATTGCCAGGTCTGAGGGACAGGCAGAGGGCAGGGCTGCCCTAGGAGGGAAGGAAGGGGGAGCAGAGTGGAGCACAAGGAGTCTTGATTTTTTTTTTTAATTAAAAAAGCATGATTTGTGCTTCTGTGTCTAATTTTGCTCCTTTCTAAAATTCATCGTGTGCTCTTTTTGTAAATCTACCAAGAAATAAAATAAATTGGGATTAGGGATTTTTTCTCAGGATGGTGGAGGGTGTCTGTGCTGTGTTTCACTGGTAGGGACACGGGTGGTGCTGTGGTCTAAACCACCGAGCCTCTTGGCTTGCCGATCGGAAGGTCGGCAGTTCGAATCCCCGCGATGGGGTGAGCTCCCATTGTTCTGTCCCAGCTCCTGCCAACCTAGCAGTTCGAAAGCACGCCAGTGCAAGTAGACAAATATGGCGGGAAGGTAAACGGCATTTCCGTGCGCTCTGGTTTCTGTCACTGTGTCCCGTTGCTCCAGAAGCAGTTTAGTCATGCTGGCCACATGACCCGGAAAGCTATCTGTGGACAAACGCCGGCTCCCTTGGCCTGAAAGCGAGATGAACGCCACAACCCCAGAGTCGCCTTCGACTGGACTTAACTGTGCTGTCTCATTGGTGAAAGGTAGTGACACTTGCACTTCTTCTGATAGGAAATGCTCTACAGAGGAGAGGAGCAAAAACGGGGAGGGTCAAGTAAGGTCAGTTATGGGGGACTGAGAAATGTCCCTATTTTCATCTGAGGAATGCTGGAAAGTATGCAAAGGGACACAACTGTCTGCCTCTCCCAGCACACCTTGACCACCCTTCATTTTTTCCTGCCACTCCCCAAAACCGTATCTCACATCCCACAAATCTGTTCCACTTCCCAGTGGGGAGGAGTTGCGGTGGAATGTGTGGCCACCCACTCCCCTTTGTCCCCCGTTGCCCGGGGGATCCAGGCCACGTCAGAGCCCGGCCAGCCAATCCGCTGGCTGGGGGGGGGGCATGGCCGGGGCCGTTTAAACTAAGGAGTGAGCCAGAGGACTTCCTCTTTGGCTCGCTTCCTCAATCACCCGCCCTCCCTCCCTATTTTGCGGGTTAGGCAATGGCCTTGCTATGGACTTTGGGTGGTCGCCTTGGTTGTCTGAGGGGCCTGGTAGGAATTTTTCCACTTGGCAAATTGGCACTCGCCACTTGGTTTTCGCCTACCTCGTAGCAATTGTCACAACTTTGTTAGGGTTGCAGTTAGGCATTGTTTGACCTTGTATGGGGGAGGTGAGGTATGGCCATCACTTGCCCCTCCATGCTTAAGGGTATTCCGTTAAAGGAATCTGGGGGTGTTGATCTGGTCCGAAGCCCAGCTGGGGGGCTAAGGCCCTGACACGACCCCGATGGGAACACCAGGGGGAACTTGAGTTGGTTCGCATCAACAGGGCTCCCCCTACCGGTGGCTTACCCTTACTGGACTTCCTGCACAATGGGCAGGAGTCAGATAAAGTCAGGTCGAATCAATGCCTAAGCCAATACCGCTCACATTCTGTAATTCAATAAAGTTGTGGCCAAAATTTGCCCAGTAACATAAACCTAATATCTGTGTCCTTGTGTGAGTTATTTCCAAAGAGGGGGTGGCTGCGGGGTCTCGACACGCAATCCCTGAAGGCCTAACCTGAGCCCCCAGATAAGCCACTGCACTGACAAATAGTGCCACGAGGGAAGGTGTGAAAGGTTCCTTGTGCCTCTCACATTCAACTTGTGTCAGCTTGACTTGTGCAGCTACGTAAACACCTTGTGTGTTATCACACAGGTACTATGGCGATCCGTTTTTGGGAAACAAAGCCTTCCTGCATGTATATCGTCGCTGCATGTAAATCTGTGTTACAAAGCTGTTTCTTTAATGGGGGGGGGGAGGCTGAAAAGGGTGAGAGAGGTCGAGACTTTCAGACATCTAAGCATGGCTGACGGACAGACAGATTTGAAAACTGGGCATACTGTATTGTCCTTGAGAACGATGAGTCATCCCCTACATTTAACAGTGGTATCAGGACAGCAACGCCAGGCAAAACATATTGCTAAAGGCATGTGAAGGAATAACTTTTCAGCTGAGTGTTTTTGCCAAATGGCCCTGTTGTTCAGGTTATCTGCCCTGATGGTATTGTAAACATGAAGTCAAGGTGGAAATCATGTTCTTTTTCATTCTATCAGTGAGTGATAGAGTAAGGCAGAAACTGTTTGACAGTGGAACAATCTCCCTCAATAGGTTGTGGGTTCTCCTTTCTTGGAGGTTTTCAAGGCAGAGATTGGATGGCCATCTGTCATGGATGCTATAGTTGAGATTCCTGCATTTTTATGTGTGTGTGGGGGGGGGGGGGTTGGCCTAGATGACCCTCCCAACTCTACAATTCTGTGATTCTACAGTAAGACATGAGCGAAATACTTCCCGTGCAGACTTGGCCTCTTCAAAGTGTCTAGCACTGGATGCAAAGTTCAAGCTAGGGCAAGCCCACCATTTGACACGGGCTAATTCAAGCACCAGATGACAAAATACCATGACAGGGCAGCAAACTGGTTTATTCAATGTATACAGTGGTACCTTGAGTTAAGAACTTAATTAGTTCTGGAGGTCCGTTCTTAACCTGAAACTTCTTAACCTGAGGTACCACTTTAGCTAATGGGGCCGCCCGCTGCCACCGCACCACCACCGCATGATTTCTGTTCTCATCCTGAAGCAAAGTTCTTAACCCAAGGTACTATTTTTCAGAAGCCGAACATGTGACGCAACTTCAGTGGCTGCAGGAAGCTTCTGCAGCCAATTGGAAGCTGCGCCTTGGTTTTTGAACAGTTTCGGGAGTCGAACGGACTCTCGGAGCAGATTAAGTTTGAGAACCAAGGTGCCACTGTATATATTTACCCTCGCTGAAGAAGGTCACAATTTGGATTTTCTGCCTCAGGTATCAAAATGCCTTAATCAAACACTCTCACTATATTGTCTTTCTCCCTAAACTCAGTTCGCTTTGCTCACTCACTTTTCATAGGGCATCTACATGATGTTGTTTTCAAATCATTGCCCTCCTTTATTTTTTGTTCCTTTCAACTTATCTTAGATTGCATAAAATCCAACGTTTTGAAAATAACAGAACAATAGCAATTATTTCTACAGCTGTAGATCACCTTAATACTGTATTCTTTTTTTAAAAAAAGGTGTGGCTTTGTTGAGTGCAGTGATATTTTATGCCAGTGAACCTATCTTTACCAGCATACCTTGATTACTGCTTTTTTGGCCAGGCACTATTTTGTCCCCATGCTTAATTTTTAATCCACCTTGTAATTAGAACAAATTTAAATGCTAATTTTTAAAAGACAGTATTGAAATAGGCACACGATATAAAAACTTTATGCAAAGAAGTGTATAGTACTATCTGCAGATTGATTTAACATTTTTAAACTATGGCCACTGAGATTTTATCCATCTATTTATTTTTGCACTAAACACTTTCTGATATTTTACATGGTTTTACGTATAATGCTCTAAAATGGACATGATGGGAGTAATCTATTAAAGCAGAGATGGGTCTTATGTTGTTGAATTCCCACACCCATCAGCCCCAACCAGCGTGGCCAATGGACCGCAGTGATGGGGGCAGGAGCCCAAAAATATCTGATAGGCTACATCCTCCATCTCTGTATCATGACGCTGTTACTGTGAAATCACAATTCATTTTAAAGGCTCTTGCCTGATAATGCACAGCAGAAGAAGCCTAGTGGGTGGTACCCTGTATTATTGCTGAATACTTCTGCGTGCTACCAAAATTCCCACCCTAATAACATGCTAGGGTGTTATTTAAAGAAGAAATACCCAAATAATTCTCACTTGACTTGAATGTGTATTATTGTTCACATTCACACAGCCCCCTCCTACTGACCTATTTTCCTGGCAAACACTAATTACTCGTTTCTACAATGTAACTTTTGGGTGTGGAAGTAGGATGCTGTAATTATATGACTTTCCATGCCAAGGCACTTAGTGGTGCAATCTTTCGCTCACAACCCCAGAAACACAGTTGTGCACTAAGAGAGGCTGATCCTGAGAGTCTGCGGGGACTCCCTTCCTTTGCAGTTTTGGCAACTGAAGGAGATGGCTAAAAGCAGCATGGCAGATCCTTAGACAGAAAGGAGGCTTTGCATAAAGTAAAAACAATCAGACCTTTCAAGTGTCCCTATATAGCGAGATGAGCGCCGCAACCCCAGTGTCGGTCACGACTGGACCTAATGGTCAGGGGTCCCTTTACCTTACTTTCCAGGGACAGTCCCGGATTTACAGAAGCTGCCCCGGTTTCTGATTTGATCCTAGAATGTCCCTGTTTTCCTTAAAGGTAAAGGTAAAGGTACCCCTGACCATTAGGTCCAGTCGCGGATGACTCTGGGGTTGTGGTGCTCATCTCGTTTTACTGGCCAAGGGAGCCGACGTTTGTCCGCAGACAGCTTCCGGGTCATGTGGCCAGCATGACTAAGCCGCTTCTGGCAAACCAGAGCAGCACACGGAAATGCCGTTTACCTTCCCACCTATTCATCTACTTGCATTTTGATGGGCTTTCAAACTGCTAAGTTGGCAGGAGCAGGGACCGAACAACGGGAGCTCACCCCGTCACGGGGATTCGACCTGCCGACCTTCTGATCAGCAAGACCTAGGCTCTGTGGTTTAGACCACAGCGCCACCCACCCCTGTTTTCCTGAGGACGTCCTTATTTTCATTGGAGAAATGTTGGGAGGGTATGGAGTTATGCGACACCCTGAGCCAAGGATATAAGTAACCATACAACCTTTAGAAAACATCTGAAGGCAGCCCTGTATAACTTTATTATGTTTTTACGTATGTTGAAAGCCGCCCAGAGTGGCTGGGACAATCTAGTCAGATGTACAGTGCAGAAATAATAAAATTATTATTATTAATAATAATTAATAATAATAATAATAATAATAATTGAATAGGATGTCCCTATTTTCATTGGAGAAATGTTGGAGGATATGCTTTCACTTATTCCAGCCAGGGAACTATGTGGTAATGTGTGCCTGTCCTTCATCTCTTCTAACTTCTCGTTTGACACTCTCAGTTTCCCTTAAGTTTACCCCCACCCCACAACACACAAATAATTCAGTGTTTGCCTCCAACAACCTTGGGGCCTAGTACTTTGGTCTTGTACCATAGCCATACCGTGTCTCTCTTCCTCCAAAATAGGCACAAGTCAGCAAGAGATTATGGCCACATGCCTCATAGGCGTATCATTCAGCTAGGTTGCTACTGGCGCTGTCAACAGGGATAATTTAAGCACATACAAATTGGAGGGGACTAAAATAAAACACATCAGGCATGCTTTGTATGCCCCAACACGGATACTCCAGATATATCCAACATTTAGATTGAAATGGGCTGCTTTATTAATTCCCAGTTGTTGGTTTTTGTACCAGGGCCAGTTCTGTCAATTTTTATGGGGTGATCAGCTTTCGTATTATATGGATAACTTGCTGTTTTTCTTGCATCGTATCTTGAATTTTGTATACCCTTTTTTCTTATAAGCTGCCTTGGATCTTTTTCGATAAAGGACTCAAGTGACATTTAACAGCAAATTATTTGCATCTCGCCCGTCAATAGCGAATCATTGTGCATTCGCATAAAAGTAGTGAACTGTTATTAGTCAAATAGCTGGATCGCTATTTAGTTTTCTACATTAAATGCCGTGTTGCTCCCTTTTTCCTTTGGATGCTGTAATTGCCTTGTTTAAGAACTGAACGTTTTATAGTGAGGTGTTCACAGAAGTGGCAAAGCTAGGTCCAAAGGGATTCCATGTGAAGATCGTAAGAAGGGAGACTTCCAGTATCCTGCTAGACCCAAGAATCATGGGTACAGATCATGCCTGAATGTTGGTGTTTTCTTTTCTGTTTCTTTTCTGGTTTGGGTACCAAGTGTTAGATGTATTAATGCTTAGAGCTAGAGTGGAGTCCAAAGATCAGGTTCAATTTTTATTTTTAAAAATAGGAAAGAAAATATAACTGTGTTGTAGGATGGATATGTGAAAATATACAGAATTTAACTGCAATATGTATTGAGAGAGGCAGTTATTTGTATCACGGGAACAGCACAAATTTATATGGCTTCGTAGAAATACTGGGGGGGTGGGGGTGGGAGGGAAGGAATGTTGGTGCCAAGGAACCACGAGTGAAACTCAGTTTGTGGAGTTTGTGTAAGAGTTCACACAGTGCTATGGGATTAACACGTGACAGCAGCTCTCATGTTTTTGAAGAACGTATTTGAATTTAGTTTCACTTGCCTCACACAACATGCAAGAAAGCAGAAGGTCTCTTCTGGATCCAAAGCCATAGTTCACCTTTCTGGCACCCTTATGGTTACTCCAAATTTAACTTCCAAGTAAATGTGTTAATGTCTGGATTCTGCAAATCACGGCAAATGTAGGTCCCTCCCATAAAGATCATACTCTTTGTAGAGGATATAGGCTTTAAGAACTGGCGGAACGGGAAGCCTGTTCATGGACTGCGGCTTCTGTGTCCCCTCCAATCCCATACATTTACGTATTTTCAGGCGGCACAAATGCTTTAGCGGGCGAGGATTCTCTGGAAGACAAAAATGAAACAAAAGAGGGAAATGCAATGGAAAATATGTCCCATTAACTTAGTGACTATCTAAGAGGCATGTGGAGGGTGATCAGTTCACACTACAAACAACCAGCATAGCACATAGCAAATACGATGCCAGCACAACCTAAAAAATATGTCTATTTAACAATGTGTACAGTATATTTTTCCTCTGCCCTCCCTGTCCCTTTCCCCTTGTGTTGTTTTTCTTTAAGACGATGAGCAATGCAGGCAGGGACTGCCTTGTTTTAACTGATTGTAATGTAAGCCACACTGGGAGCCCTTTTTTGGCTGAAGAGTGGGGTACAAATTCTCTAAATAAATAAAATTAATAAATACTGCTGTTTTTGCCACTAATATCCATTTCTTAGAATACATTATGTGCTGCTGTGACATAATGGCTTACGGCATATGGCTTAGCGACTCTGCTTAATACCTTGCCCATTCATGCATGATGCTATAAAAACTAATGATTATGCAGGTCAGGTGAAGCATAGAGCCGGAAAGGGGGGTTTGTCACCTAGTTCAACCCTCTGCAATGCAGGCAGTCTCCCATCCAATCTGAAACCATACCAGACCCTGCTTAGCTTTGCAAACATGCCAGCAGTTTTATCGCTGGACCACTAGGAAGAAAGCAAGCTTTTTTTTTGTGGCTCACTGCCTTTACCAATAGACTTTCTAAAGGGCAATATTCAAATTAAACCACATTCACTTATGGATTACCGCTAGTGCACTGGGATTCCCACCCCACTTATCCCTCTCATGTGCCCTGCGTTGTCCCAAATCTGTTCAAGGTTTTAGGGAAATCGCAGGTGGAGATCATTCTGTTGTGGAAGGAGAAACCCCTGCACTGATGGAATGCGTACCTTAGCACTAAGCTGAATGCAACCCATATTTCTTTTCTTTTCCACATCAGGGGTTACAAAGCAAGCTCTCTCCCTTGCTACATCCACTCTGACAATCCCACACATCCCAAGACTCATCCCTCCATCTGGGTTCTTATCTTTTTTTTTTTTTTTTGCTAGGCAGAGTATTACTAGACTTCCCTCTGCTGATTCTTAACACATTTATATGGAAGTAAATCCTCTTTATTCTAAGTAAAAATGCTTAAAATCAGGGGATATATAATCCCTTGGAAATAAATGGGGCTATTGACAGAACGTATTCAAGTGCCCGAGAGGCACACTTTTGGATCTACGAAAAATGTGGTCCAGCTATTATTTACAGAATTCAACAACGTGCATATTTCCAAGCCAGGACTGCACATTTACCTAATATCTGCTGGATCTCTGCCCATTCTTTCTGGGTCTCCAGGACAAACTTAAGTTTTGTGCAAAGGGGAACATAATCCATGTAATCTATCAAAATACGAACGATGGGTCCTACTAAATGTTTCATCCAAGGAACGGTGATAAAGTCACAGAACTGAAACGAAATATACCCAGTGTTATTTTTTAAATCTCCCAAGGTATATGTCCTTGCAATAAAACTGTGCAGAATTCACAAATATATCATGATAAAATACAATGCAATAATCCAAGAACTATGGCACTTTGCTTTAAGAGACTGAAGAGAATTCTAGATTCAGGTAGGTAGCCGTGTTGGTCTGAAGCAGTCAAAATAAATAAAAAAATAATCCAGTAGCACCTTAGATGCCAACTAAGTTTGTTCTGGGTATGAGCTTCCGTGTGCAGGCACACTTCTTCAGATACACAGAGAATTCTTAAAAGATAAAAATGCCATCTTTAACTTCTACTATTCTGTGTGTCTTTGAGAGATATTGGGATGCTACATTCTGCAATGAAAACAGATACATTATTTGACATCTGTTTGCTTTTGCCCTCTGATTAACTGATTAACAAGATTAACAAGATTTTCTTTAGCTGCATGGCACTGTTGTAGTAATGCTGATTTCTTATGACCAGAAAAGATGGCAGAGGTAAACAGATCTATCACTTGTTCATATATCTTTCCCTTAATCTAGGAACTAATATAAGGTCAGCCAAACACAGAACAGACCTCTTTGCACCTAGCACCCAAGAGGCAACTAGGATACCAAGTACTGGAACGACCAGTGGTCTCTTCCGGCTTCCACTGGTACCACCTTAATATTATTTTTCATTTGAGCTATTTTGTGTCTGGGATAGCTTTGTTGCCCACATAGCACTGCACATAATATTGGTGATGTTCCAGCAAAAGTTCTTCCTAGCACCATGCGCCAATTGAATGTATATCATTTGTTCATGGAGTATTCCTTTTACCAGTGGGTGATAAGATCAGGTTCCTATGAAGTCAGTGGCACTAAATCAGCTGGCTTGAATTTACGTACTGTGGCCTAAGTGATTTTAGAAAGCTAGACCAATGGGCCAGTGTTATGTACGCATCCCTAAGCATCCTTATCAGCTGAGGAAAGAACACAAAACATGTGCCAACATTTTCTTCCTACAATAGCCCTTAGCTAGCAGCATCAGCCTCACTCTATACTTGGACTTTGTTATCATGGCTAAAAATAGAGGAAGGGCTGATTATTCATAAAAATCTATCCCCTATGCTCCATTTTCCGTTGGAAGCAGGCACTCTAGTAATAGTGAAATGCTTACGATCTTAACTATAAAAATAGGTGAAGGTAAAGGGACCCCTGACCATTAGGTCCAGTCGTGACTGACTCTGGGGTTGCAGCACTCATCTTGCTTTATTGGCCGAGGGAGCCGGCGTACAGCTTCCGGGTCATGTGGCCAGCATGACTAAGCCGCTTCTGGCGAACCACAGCAGCGGACGGAAGCACCGTTTACCTTCCCGCCAGAGTGGTACCTATTTTTCTACTTGCACTTTGATGTGCTTTCGAACTGCTAGGTTGGCAGGAGCAGGGACCGAGCAACGGGAGCTCACCCCGTCGCGGGGATTCGAACCGCCAATCTTCTGATCGGCAAGTCCTAGGCTCTGTGGTTTAACCCACAGCGCGACCCGCGTCCCTTCAATTAAGAGTAGTACAGAGCAGAATGGAAAATCCTGGAATGTGCTTACTGGATTATCTTTAATGACACAAGATGTCCATCCTGGTAACACCTCTTCCTCCGGAGTTGACCATACGAAAGAATTTCCAAAGATGTCCCCATGCATGCAGTCAAAACACAGATCCACAAGGTATCCGTGATTCAGCAGCAGCCTTAGCATCACCTCGTCATTCAAGGCGTACTGAATAGCGCTGGGGAAATGGGTGTCATTCACAAGGTTAAAGTAGCAGTTGACGTTTGCTCCGTAAGAAAGAAGCAACCTGACGATTTCATGGTTGCCAGCTCTCACGGCCACGAGGAGGCAGTTGAGAGGGTCTTTATTTGGGTCTGCGCCAGCTTGCAGTAATACTTCGGTGGACAGAATGTCATTGTTGGAAACGGCAAAGTAAAGGGCCGTTTTCCTTTCGTCGTCGTAACTTTTAGAAATGTGCTCTGCCAGGATGGCGTTGACATCAAAACCATTTTCAATGAGGAGTTCCAGGCACTGTGGATTTTGGCCATCTGCCGCCGAGTGCATGGGACTCTGCCCGCTTTTCCGGATTGCAGTCTGGGATGTCACGGGAATTAGGAATTTCAGGGCCCTAAGGGGAGAAAATGAATTTAACGGGGAATCTGAAAAACACAACAGGCTGCCACACTTTTTCTGCCATCAGGAAAGCAACTGTTGTTTCAGTGCTGGAACGAGGTGTTGTGTACACTATTATTTTGCTACTTTTTCAGTTGTGGGCTTTATAGTACAGTGGTACCTCAGGTTACATACGCTTCAGGTTACATACGCTTCAGGTTACAGACTCCGCTAACCCAGAAATAGTGCTTCAGGTTAAGAACTTTGCTTCAGGATGAGAACAGAAATCGTGCTCCGGCGGCGCAGCGGCAGCAGGAGCCCCCATTAGCTTAAGTGGTGCTTCAGCTTAAGAACAGATTCAGGTTAAGTACGGACCTCCAGAACGAATTAAGTACTTAACCTAGGTACCACTGTATGTTCTGAGAACTAAAGTCCACTATCTGTGTTAAAGGTATAATTATACGTACAGCTTAACACTTGATTCTTTATGGGAGGACCTGTAGCTCACTGAGGTCGTAGAGTTCAGTTCCAGCATTTCCACTTGAAAAGGTCTCAAGGTAGGAAAACGCATTTACCTGAGGTTTGGACTACTGCTGCTACCTGGAGCAAACAGAACAAGACTGGACGGACCCAGTGGTCTACCACACACACACAAATTGTTGGTTTCTACTTAATCTATGACATGGGTAGGCAAACTAAGGCCCAGGGGCCAGATTCGGCTAAGTCGCCTTCTAAATGCGGCCAGCGGACGGTCCGGGAATCAGCGTGTTTTTACATGAGTGGAATGTGTCCTTTTATTTAAAATGCATCTCTGGGTTATTTGTGGGGCCTGCCTGGTGTTTTTATATGACTAGAATGTGTGCTTTTATTTAAAATGCATCTCTGGGTTATTTGTGGGGCATAGTAATTCATTCATCCCCCCCCCCAAAAAAAAATAGTCCAGCCTCTCCACAAGGTCTGAGGGACAGTGGACCAGCCCCCTGCTGAAAAAGTTTGCTGACCCCCTGATCTATGAAATGGGTGTCTAGCCTACATAATCTTCACTGTGGCAGAGGTTCACTGTTGTACTGAAAAAGCGCTCTGGTCTGAAAAGAGACATTTACTGCATTTGGAAACTCTGTGTAGGTAACAATACCAATGCATGACTGATGTGGTAGCGCTAGTCATCTGTGACTGGAGATAGTTGTGCCCACACCTTTCTAACAGCACTGCGAATTTCTACATGCTTTATTAGTACAAGGTCAGACCCTCCAAGTGTCCCTATTTTCCAGGGATAGTCCTGGATTTACAGAAGCCGTCTCAATTTCTGATTTGATCCCAGAATGTCCAGCTTTTCCTTAGGAGGTCCCTATTTTCATTGGAGAAATGTTGGAGGGTATGCAAGGTTGGGCAACTTGTGACCAAGGCTCCTCTAGCAACTTTGGTTTTTTTAAGGGGGGGGGTGTTAAATTTGTAAGGAGAGCACAATAATTCTCAAAAGCATTGAGGCACACCAAGTTCACGTCTTGTCATGTACTGTGTCTACTTGTAACTGGCGGCCTTGAGAAAGTTAGGACAGTGTCTCTCGGTCGAAGCCTATTTTGCAAAGTGGTGGGAATAAAGTACAATAGGAGTGCACTGTAACCAACCTGAGATTGGCCAGGAAACACATCTTATTAAAGAAAAGCAAGTGATTTTCAGTGAGTTCTATGCAGGGCTATTTCTTTTTTAAATAGAAAAGATGTGCTGGACCCTGCCATGACTGTCTCCCTTGTTCTCTTAGAATGGCAATGGTGCCCACCTGAGAGGTGCCAGAACTGAGCTACGGTGAGCTCCAGCTGAAGAAAGTCTTGTTTCTATGCATGTTTACTTAGAATAAGGTAAAGCGACCCCTGACCATTAGGTCCAGTCACAGACGACTCTGGGGTTGCGGCGCACATCTCGCTTTATTGGCTGAGGGAGCCGGCATACAGCTTTCAGGTCATGTGGCCAGCATGACTAAGCCGCTTCTGGCGAACCAGAGCAGCACATGGAAACGCCGTTTACCTTCCCACCAGAGCGGTACCTATTTATCTACTTGCACTTTTGACATGCTTTCGAACTGCTAGGTTGGCAGGAGCAGGGACCAAACAACGGGAGCTCACCCCGTTGCGGGGATTCGAACCGCCGACCTTCTGATCAGCAAATCCTAGGCTCTGTGGTTTAACCCACAGCGCCGCCCGCATCCCTTTACATAGAATAGTTTTCTTAGAATAGAAGCCCCCTGTTCAGTGGGGCTTATTTCCCAGGTAAATGTGCATAGGGATGCAGCCGCAGACTTTAAGCTAATTTGGGCAGGACCCTGGCACCTTCTTTGGCTTATATTATATTGCTATGGTGTCATGTACATTGGTAGTGGCACATACATACCGAAGTACTGTACAACTAAAATCCAAAACGAAAACATTTCTACTCTTTTTCACACAAATATATGTGAGCCAGGAGAGCGAAAGAATACTCACAAATAATGCCCCTCGTATGCTGCTCTGTGTATAGGGAGCTGCCCTGCCTTATTAGGCAAATTACCGTCACCCCCATATTCCAACAGCAAAGTTATGCAGTCTGGATTGCCGCCTCCAGCTGCTTCAAACAATATCGATGAGCCATCATCAGCTGTAGCATAAACATCGCCACCTAGCGGAGGAAGACAAACCAACCATTTAATTCAAAACAATGTTAAGTAAATACTCGCATTAAAAAGGGTAGCTATTTCTTCTCCTGTTTATTATTTTCTGAATTCCAAAACGGCCTCAGAGTAGAACAGAACATTTTAAGGGTGAGCACATTTTTTTTTTCAGGATTTGACCACCACTTCTATGCTGACCCATACATCTCAGAGACTGATTTATTTGCAATTGCTACCCGTATACTTGGAATGGAATGACTGCAACTCTTCCAATTTTATATAAGCTAAAAACTTAAATGCCTTTGTGGTATGCCAGGGAAATAAAAATATTGTTGTGATTCTCTGTTGCAGGCACAAAAATCAACCATGAACAAAAATAAATGTTCATTATCAAGGTGCTCTATGATAGAATTGTCACATCAAACTTGGCAGTTGCTCATTTGTGTCTTCTAGTTTACTATTTCACTACATGTGTCTAGATGATTTACAATTACAGCAATTATTAGGACTGAAACTGAATTTAAACTCAGCAACACTGGGAATCAAAAAGGAAAACATGCAAGCCAGCCCAGGTTAAAACCAAACAGTTGCAAAAAGAATAGTATGCAGTATTTAATTAAGGAAGAAATGGTTCATCGACGATGTTTGGGTTATATTTTCATTTTGGCCTAAAAGCTGCATTAAAATTACATTTTTAAATTACATTTTTATTTACATATCACCTTTCCTACAGAGACTTCATAGTGGCATGCAAGGTTCTCACCCTCCCTATTTTATCCTTACAACAATGCTGAGAAGGAAGTAAGTTGAGACAGTCATATGGTCAAGGTCACCCAGTGAGCTCCACGGCTCAGAAAAGATTTGAATCCTAGTCTCCCAGGTCCTAGTCCATCATTCTAACCACTACAGCATGCTGGTTCATGACAGGCATGATGAGTTTTTTATAGGCTTGAGGGTTGGTGGGACCAGTCCTAAAACTTTACCAGGAGCAATGTAATCAGCTTTAATTTGAGGTGTACTTTAGGGGCTAAGCTAAAGGTTGAGAGCAGAGGAGGACGATATATATTTTATATCTTGCTTGCTTTTAAAATACCCCAAGGAATCTTTTCAGATGAGAAAGGCTACAAATCGAAATTAATTGAGGAACAGTTGGTTGGGGACAGTTCTTCAATACGAAATACTTGAAAGAGTCCACTGCTCCAGAGTATAATGAGGATTCAGGTATAGAGAGCAAAACCAAAGAAATGAGGTTTTGTGCCTATGTGACCTTGTACTGCCTTATATAGCGCAATATTTAAATACCCGTGCAATGCCACATCTTAATCTCAGTGTCACAAATTGTCAAAGCACTATTGCTTTTCTCTCTCCTCGACATTTTATGAACAGTTAACGAGGTACAAAGAGGAGATTTCTACGGTTGGGTTTTTCCAATTCTTTTTGTATACTGCTCTTACTTGAAGAAAGTCAATGCATTATAGATAGATAGATTATACCATTATAAACTCAGACACAACCCTGTGAGGGAAATTCAGTGACATGCCCAAAGGCAAAGATGTTCAAGGCTGAGCCAATAACTGAACCCAGATCTTCCCAGTCTGTCCAACACTCTATCTCATTACACCAAACTAGTTTTTTCCTGGCTAAATAGAATGACAGGGCACGGGTGGCACTGTGGGTTAAACCAGAGAGCCTAGGACTTGCCGATCAGAAGGTCGGCGGTTCGAATCCCCGCGACAGGGTGAGCTCCTGCCAACCTAGCAGTTCAAAAGCACGTCAAAGTGCAAGTAGATAAATAGGCACCGATCTGGCGGGAAGGTAAACGGCCTTTCCGTGCACTGCTCTGGTTCACCAGAAGCGGCTTAGTCATGCTGGCCACGTGACCTGGAAGCTGTACACCGGCTCCCTCGGCCAATAAAGCGAGATGAGCGCCGCAACCCCAGAGTCGGTCATGACTGGACCTAATGGTCAGGGTTCCCTTTACCTTTACTTAGAATGACAGTTTGACTCATCTAAGTCAGCTACCTACGGTATGTTCCTAAATGGAGTTTAGGATGGGTAAGCACAGAAGTGGACTTGAATAGATTCGGGCTATGCCCTCAGAGATCCTGGCTAGGTTCTGCTTGTGGACTTCCCATGGGCATGTGGTTGGCCACTGTGAGAACAAGATGATGAACTAGATGGACTGCTGGCCTGATCCAGCAGGAATCTTCTTCTATTAGGGTTCATTTGAGGTATAGTGATACTAGGGGCAGCCCAAGTCAGACCCATTGAAATCAATGAATGCAAGTTAACCATGACATAGATACCATCCTAGGTTTCTGTTCCCTGGACAGATGTGGCCTGAAAGGAGCCCCTAAAGGCCTTGAAGGAGATGATGATGATGATGATGATGATAACAATAGTACCCCACCCATCTGACTTGGTTGCCCCAGCCATTCTCGGTAGCTTCCAACATATATAAACATAATAAAAACATAATAAAACATCACACATTAAAAGGCTTTACTATAAAGGGCTGCCTTCAGATGTCTTCTAAAGGTTATAAAGTTACTAATCTCCTTGACATCTGATGGGAGGGCATTCCACAGGGCAGGAGCCACTGCCGAGAAGGCCCTCTGCCTGGTTCCCTGTAGCTTCAATTCTCACAGTGAGGGAACCGCCAGAAGGCCCTTGGCGCTGGATTTCAGTGTCTGGGCTGAACAATGAGGGTGGAGACACTCATTCAGGTATACAGGGCCAAGGCCATTTAGGGTTTTAAAGGTCAGCACCTACACTTTGAGTTGTGCTCAGAAACAGAGAGCCTTGCTGCAGCATAAACTGCTACCTGTTGAAGTACAAACCCACCTTTATGAATGAGATGCTCCAGCACATCACAGTGGCCGTATTCAGCAGCTACACCTAAAGGAGTTACTCCAAATCCGTCTCTTAGGTGCACGTTGCCACCATTCTTCAGCAGCAGAGCAATGATGTCATTGCGACCCTGTTTCGCCGCTTCGTGCATTGCCGACCAACGTTTTACACATGGCTGATTGACGGTACAATTGAATTCAATCAGAACGGAAGCCATTTCATACGAGCCCTGTTTTGTTGCTTACAGATTGAAACAGACAAAAAGAAGAGATGAAACATTTTCGATATTGTCCTTATTCTGCACTCCTCGCAACCCCACTAAGTTCAATGAGACTTATTCTAACGTAGGTGAGTATAGCAGAGGCAGGAAATCACTTTTGGTCAGAGGGCAAAATCTGATCCCAACCAACCTGTTGAGAGCAGTATTCCAATGGTGGCTGCAGCAGAGCAACAACAAAAAAATAAACTTTATGGCCAACGATACATATGCACATGCAATAGTTCTAAAAAAGCATGCACACCATTCATCCATATTTGCAAAAGTTCCCTCGTGATCCTCTAACCCTTCCCCCAAACCCTTTATAAAATATATTCAAAATTAATATTGGCAGAGTAGGGCTTCCTCTTTCTTTCTGTACCACTTCTGAGACAGGATATGGGATATGGGGCAGGAATGCACATCCTTAGAAACAGCAGCTTTCTGCTGCTTCTTACCTTGGCTTTTTGATGTTAATTTGAAGGGTTTAAAGTACTTGTGGCCTCTTCCAGAGGGGCAAGACCTGTCTTTTTTTCTGTATAGATGGTTTGTTTGTTTTTTAGGTTTTTATTGGTAGTGTTTATTGTAATTGGTTTTAGTGTTCATATTGTGTGGCATAAAATGTGTTCATTAAGCTGGGGGGGAGTGCATTCTCCAGCTGAATGTCCAGTTTCCAGGGTGACCAGCCTTTGATTCTACATGAACTAGCAGCAAGCCCAAACACTGCAAGCCATTAATGAAGCAATTACCAATCAGAAGAGGAGTCTCTCCTTTCCGGTTAGTGGTATTGGGCCAGACCCCCTTTTCCAACAGCGTCCTGACATTTCCTACATGGCGAGATTTGGCTGCCAACGTCAACGGTGTCTCTCCATCGCATGTTTTATATTCCCACATTGCTTTATAAGACGCTAGATTTATTATTTTTTTTAAAAAACAAGCAAACACCTGTATCAATGCCACATTAGTAAATATGCACATATATTTTTAAAATTAAACAATACAGTGGTACCTCGGGTTAAGTACTTAATTCGTTCCGGAGGTCCGTTCTTAACATGAAACTTTTCTTAACCTGAAGCACCACTTTAGCTAATGGGGCCTCCTGCTGCTGCCACGCTGCCGGAGCACAATTTCTGTTCTCATCCTGAAGCAAAGTTCTTAACCCGAGGTACTATTTCTGGGTTAGCGGAGTCTGTAACCTGAAGCGTATGTAACCTGAAGCGTATGTAACCCGAGGTACCACTGTAGCTTGCTTATTAATTCGTGTCTTATGAGAACATGCATGTATTTAATACATGTTTTCATCTTAATCCAAGCAGGCTCTTCTGTACAGCTTCTGGATGAGATCTTGCCTGAGTAGCAGAATGCTGCATGAAGGAAAGGGAGCTATAGAGTATAAATCCAGAACTGTGAATGCATACCCATTGGCTATCAATGGCTGCTAATCATGATGACTATATATGCTGACTTTAGAATTAAAGGCCACATTCTTCCAAATACGAGTTGCTGGGGAAAAACATGGGGAGACACCTTTTGCTCTCACATCCTGCTTGTGAGCGTCCCATAGGCAACTTTGCGAAATAGAGAAATAGGAAATTTGATTTGACTTATTTCTTTGCCACTTTTCATTCAAATGATTCCCAAAGTGGCTTACAAGCAATAACAACATGATAGAACATAATAGAACATCATAAATACAGCATCTACCTGTGTTCTCCCTGATGCTTCATGGAATAATGCATGAACCAGACCTTTGAATTTAGTAAGGAAAGCATCTTAAACTTATTTAAAAGTGTGTGGTCTGTTCATTGCTAGAGGCATAAAAAGAGGAGGCAAACATTTTAAGGCAGACGAAATGGGATAACCAAAAGGGTTTAACAATTTATATTCCACACTATGCTGCTGGTTAACTCTCGGAGTGTTTTATTTTTTGTATATAATTTTTTTATTAGTTTTTTAACATATCATTTTCAACAGTAATTAAACATACTTTTACATCTTATTCAATTTTTTTGACTTCCATCAATCCTGTCTGAAAATTTTCCAATCTAATCTCTTAGTATGCATTTCTTATCTTCCCTATTACATTTCAAACTCATAACCAATATCTCTATCTTTTTCTACTTTGTAACACTTCGTATATATCTCCATACAAAACTTATTATAATCCTACTAGCGTAATTTGTTGATTATAGTTGCTCTTCAAGTAATTCATATACATCTTCCAATTTTCTGTAAAACTCTGGTCCCGCAGGTTTTGAATCCTTCCTGTCATTTTGTCCAATTCTGCATAGTCCATTAACTCTCGGAGTGTTTTAAACCCCGCTGGGAGCTCTGTCCCGCTGGAGAGTGTGCAAAACTCCATGTTTTGAATCTAGGCACACAGTCAATTCTTTTGGTTAATTACACACACACCTATTTCACCTCCACAACAATATTTTCCATCTCTGCTAACCTGTGCCAACTTACCATCCAAGATTACTTCAAGTATCTGCTGAATTGGCTGAGCAGCAGCTTCATGTAACGGAAACCAACCTCTCTCATCAGCCTCATCCAAAGCATATTTGTATTTCACATAGTCTCGAAGCTCAGATACTCGACCTCAAAAGAAAAATAATAAGCCAGTGTGAAATAAACCCAAAGGCTAACTCCATGAAGAGCAACGGTCATCTTTCAAAACCAGAACATCTTTAAGCTAAATAATTTGGTCAGGGTTAATTGGCAAAAAATACAGTGATGCTGTTTTGGGGGTAGAAGTCTACAGCCCCACTCAGTAGAGTAGGAGGGTGCCTGTTAAGTTGTGGGTGAACATATCAGACGACACAGCAATTCTTCAAACAGCTCTTGTTTATTCACAGGCCAGAACAGAACTGAACTGAAGGGTTCAGCCAGCCTGCTTATATAGAGCTCTACTACAACACAACTGTAACCACTTTCTGTAACTATCCAATCACTGAACGTCACTTTCAATCCCTTATTTGCATATGTGGACCTGAGTGAAAACTATCTACAGTATCCCCCTGCTGGCCCAGGGTGAGAACTTCAGTACATAACAGTGCCCAGATGCAGCATAGCTTTACCACAGTTTGAAGTAATACATATAACCATTGAAGGAGCTCCCTCCCATTAGACTATTAAGTTCTGAGTCTACAATTACCCAACTGCACCACCATTCACAACAATAACTGATGGTAATACAACCATCTTAACAGTGGTGTCGTTTAGTACTCGTACCTTCTCTTATAGCAGCTACAAGCTTCCTGTTTTGATCGCTGACTGGTAGAAACCTAGTGGAAAAAATGATAGGGGAGACAAGGTATAAACAATATCTCAAGCTTTGGGAGTCTTTGCTGCTATCTCACTGCATATATCTGCTACTTCCCCAACCTAAATCATTGTACCAGTGGTTCTGGTTAGAGGTACATCTATGTTGAGCAACACAAAAGGACAGAAGCATGCAAAGGAGTTGCTAATTTCTCAGCACTTGGGCTCAGCATGTTTCCTAGTTCTCCCATATTTCAAAAGTGTTGTAAGACCTGCCAGATGCGGTTGGTTTTGGTTGGGCCAAATAAGGATTGCCTTTGTAAGAACTGACTGAATGCTATCACTCTTCAATAGACTGCATATTCTTTTAGGTTTATTAGTATCCATGTCAAACCATTGAAAACAGGCCATAAATTTACATTATAAACAACTCCATAGGATCCTACAGCTTACTCTTCCAGAATAACTAGAGATTGTACCCAACAGTCGGAGGTTCAAACCAATTAGGAGAGATATGGGGGTGAAATATTGACATTCAGGCACCAGGCGCCAGACATTCAGACCTGGGCTGCAAGATTGCTGACATACCTTGCCTCATGATCAGGGGAAGAAGTTTGCTGGCTCCTTGCACTTTCAAGGGACTCCTGGATGCTAAACTGAACACCATAGCCAGTGAGATGATCTTCATCAGTGCCCTCATTTCCTTCCATCTTCTTGGCATGGGTTTATGAGCTGTTCTCAAGCCACAAAATAAACGAGAGGTCATATCTTGCGTGACTTGTGCTGAAAAGCACTCTAATTGTTTAAGTACAGTGGGGTTAATGGTTAAGCAAAGGAATATAAGAAAATATAATGTCATAACTATACACAGTAGTAGGGGAAAAACAAAGTTAAAGAATGACTAGCTCCTATGCCAAAGAACTCTTAGGCTTCACTTTCTACTCATCACTAGAATGTACCTCCACATTTAACTAACACTCATATGGCCATCCAAATGAACGATTTTATGCAACCAAACTGATCAGCTGCGGCTCTCTAGCAAGACACAAAGCTTCCCTGTTCAGCATTCATGTTCAAGATTTGCACAAAATATGAATTGATAATTTTCTCGGTTCTTTATTCTAAGGTGAGAGTCCCATGGACTGCAAGAAGATCAAACCTATCCATTCTTAAGCAAATCAGCCCTGAGTGCTCACTGGAAGGACAGATCGTGAAGCTGAGGCTCCAATACTTTGGCCACCTCATGAGAAGAGAAGACTCCCTGGAAAAGACCCTGATGTTGGGAAAGATGGAGGGCACAAGGAGAAGGGGACGACAGAGGACAAGATGGTTGGACAGTGTTCTCGAAGCTACCAGCATGAGTTTGACCAAACTGTAGGAGGCAGTGGAAGACAGGAGTGCCTGGCGTGCTCTGGTCCATGGGGTCACAAAGAATCAGACACGACTAAACGACTAAACAACAACAAAAATTACATATGTTAGATTCTAACCTAGCTCTTCTAACTCCATATGTGGAAAAACATCACAATTTATGGTAAAAGGACTTGATGGCTTTCTTATTGGTGGCTGTTTGCTAGGTGGTGGCCCCAAACTGGAAAACTGCTAATAACTTGACACTTGTGGCTACAAAAGGCTAGCAAGAGAGATGTAAGCACAGAATAGACACACAGACTGATGATTTTGCTGAAATCTGGTATTGCTTTATTCCATATATAAGAGAGACAGAAAACAATTGAGATATCCTCCCTTCACACACAGGCAATTGTAGAATGACCTGTTAAGATGAGCAATGAGAAAAGAGTTCACATTCAAAAATCCCATGAATTAGACACATTAGGTTAAGCTCACCTGCGACAAAGTGCTAGACATTCAAGGAAACACAGCAGGGTGGAAGACGGTGTTATGTTAATGTTATATTCAATTTTATCTTTTTGGTGATATACTGGTAAAATGATCTGAATTGGTATCATAATGGATTGTGTTAACAGTTCATAAATTAAAGCATATTTTTCTGCCTTCTAAGAAATTAATAAAGTTCCAGTGGCATAGCACTGGCAGTTTCCTTTGGAAGGAAGTCAATGGAAGCTTATTGGTGCTTTGTAACATTTGCATTTATTTACAAATATACAGGTTGAAAGCACAGCTGAAACATTCCAACAGACAGACAAAGCTCACTGATTACACACCAGATCTTCAGGGAGACAGCCAGCACCCTAAGATGCTTGCAGAGCCCAGATTCTTTCTTGTGTCTCCTTCCCTGTCACACTCAAACTGTGTATTTTTCCATACACAGATATGAATTTTCTTACAGAGAATGGGGGAAGGAGAATATTCAGATGAATCATCTCTTCTGACCATCCCCTAGCTTCTTTGGCTCCCACTGAATCACGTCACCAGAATATAATTGGCTATCAACACTATGTCATGTCCATATTTTTATTTACTTATTTGAAGTATTTATATATTGCTTTCCATCAGAAAGTTTGCAAAGCAGTTTACAAAGTGGTACAAAGTGCCTTAGGGCAACCCACACCGGTAGCCCTACTCACAGAAAACTGATAGACAACCTGCTGTTTTGTTTCAAGCTTTTTAAATAAAGAAATAAGCAGCATAATTCCCTTGTGCATTCTCAAGTTATGATTCAGCTAAAAGCTAAGCACTTCAAAGTCAGTGGTTTTTAAGATATTTAAATATTTTTGTTCTCCAAGAGTAGTGTTTTTCCATAATGATTTTTGATGCTCACAAACATCCCTAGCAACCATAGTTTTATTAATATTAAGCACATTGGACAGGTGTTTAATATTATGTGGATAAAAACTGTAAATTGGAGTTGATTAACACATAAACAATCTAAGTGCCATTAGCTTTCCTCCCAAAAACTGAAGAAAAGGACAATAAGCATGCAGGCTCGGATTATTCAAAGCAAGATAATTAATCGCAATCTATATTTGGATTTATTCCTAGTTTTAAGATACCACTATAAGGTTAATTGGCAATCTATAGACAAAGGGAGCTTCTCACCTTTTCAAAATCTTGCCATTGTTTCATTGGGCCCTGAATTTCAAGCATGCAAGTATAGGCCTTGCAAATGGCTAGGTCATGTGGCATTTCTAAAATTAAGTACACAGTTGGTAGTTAAATTAAGATCTGACCTTATCCAGCTGAAACACAAGCGGTCTCCAGCCTGCAGGAAAGTATGACACATGATAGCTCCAAAAGCTCATCAAAAGTAATCCGAGGGCTGACTGGTATAATAAGATTATCTGCAACCTGATTGGCTCAGCCAGACCACTTTAAGAAAACAAATGAGCTGTCATCTTACATTAGCATTGTAATCCCAATGAAACTGATCATTAACATTCCCATTAAGTGTAGTCAAGGATCACACCTAGATATCAGATTCTAAAAGCACTGCTATGGACAGGGCTCCAGTGAATTTGAGAGAACTGAACTATGATAGCCTCAACCATGAGCTGGTATACTTTTGATCTGAAAGCATCTTAACCTATGCCTATGAGGCATACAGAAAATGCATCAATTCTACTGGCAGCATGCTTGGCAAGATTCCCAAACGAAGCTCACCAGTTCATAATGGTGACAGCTACTGTTATCTGTTTATTTCATTTCCCCTCTCAGCATCTGTTCGTTACTAGAAGTACTGCTTCCATTCTGAACAGGAAGGCAGTTTCTAAGCTAACTTGACTTTCTGCCAAAAAAATGGGTCAAGGTGATGTTGATTCTGGTAAGTTAGGGAGTGACATTTAATAGAACGTGATGCATCATGCTTCAAAATTAAAGGCCAGTGAAGTTTAAATGATAGCTCAGTGCTTCTTTACAGTCGTTGACATATCTTTTCTGTGCACCTGAATCTAAATTTCCTTTGGCCTCTATGCCTGTTTTTCCTGTGATATTATAGCTATTCATATTGCTTCCTCCCGTTCTAAGTAGTGGGATTTTCAAAATGCGGGAGGGCTATACTGTTTTCAGTACAGTAGACCCTCGGGTTACATACGCTTCAGGTTACATACGCTTCAGGTTACAGACTCCACTAACCCAGAAATAGTACCTCGGGTTAAGAACTTTGCTTCAGGATGAGAACAGAAATCGTGCTCCGGCAGCATGGTGGCAGCAGGAGACCCAATTAGCTAAAGTGATGCTTCAGGTTAAGAACCGACCTCCGGAATGAATTAAGTACTTAACCCAAGGTACCACTGTACTCTCAAGTAATGTAAACTTTGGGTTGTGAAAGCGGCAAACCTGGAAGTATTTTTCTGAGTTTTGCCACTCGTCTATGCGCAGAAGCGCTCTGCCGCATGCACAGAAGCACTCTAATGTGCTGCACGTGTGTGCAGAAGCCGCGCCTCTGGATACAGATTTTGTGGGGTGCGCACAGACCCCTGGAATGAATTAAATTTGTATCCAGAGGGTGCACTGTAATGCCAAATATGCTGGCAAGCACATTGTGCGGCAATGCAAATACAATCCACTAACTGCTAGGCTAGGGATGTGGGTGATGCTGTGGTCTAAACCACGGAGCCTTGGACTTGCCGATCGGAAGGTCGGCAGTTCGAATCCCCGCGACGGGGTAAGCTCCCGTTGCTCGGTCCCAGCTCCTGCCAACCTGGCAGTTCGAAATCACGTCAAAGTGCAAGTAGATAAATAGGTACCCCTCCGGCGGGAAGGTAAACGGCGTTTCCGTGCGCTGCTCTGGTTCGCCAGAAGCGGCTTAGTCATGCTGGCCACATGACCCAGAAAAACTGTCTGTGGATAAACGCCAGCTCCCTCGGCCAGTAAAGCGAGATGAGCGCCGCAACCCCAGAGACATTCGTGTCCTGGACTTAACTGTCAGGGGTCCTTTACATTTACCTTTTAACTGCTAGGCTAATTTTTAAAAATAGAACAGAAAGCAGCTAGGAAAATACTTCTATGGTTGCTGGCTACAAAATAGTTGTGAAGATGTCCTTGTTTAGTTCAGCACAGGATGGTAACTATTCATTTATTTGGTAGAAAGGCAGGCTTCTACAAACAGGTAGTTCTCCTCTTATACAGGGGTTATGCTCCTGGCTATCACGTTTAAGCAAAATCCTGCAAAGCCAGAAGAACCCCTGCAACAGCTCAACCTGCCTGAAGCCAGTGCCCAACAGTCCTTGTCATGCAATGTGGAAAGCTTCTAAATCCCCAAGGCTCTGAGGTTGCAAGGGGGCTCCCACAAGATCTCAGACAGCCAGTGTTAGAAACTGAGATATGAAAGCAAGGAGCTAAATGGCACCTTGAACCTAGGTTATGGGTGCAACAATGTAATGCCTAGGCACGCTTGTTTTAATAACAAGAATACAAAGCTGAAAATGAATGAACTGCAGCTAAAATATTGTATTCATTTTTCACATGGTCTAGTCCTTCCCCTGCCCACCCCCCTAATATTCTTAAGGTCTCTTCTCCAGTCCTCAGAGAATAGCTGGAAGTGCGGAGGCAGAAAAAAGGTCCTCCTTTCCTTCCATTCTGCAGTTCTAATCTGAAATCTCAGGTGCACTATTGCACCCAGAGCTCAGAAACTGCTCACGCTAATGAAATTCTCTGTCGTAATATGCGCCTAGAACAATGGGAGTTTCGAACACTTCAGACAGCCCTAGGAGGGCAGAATTTCTCACTCTCCTACTTATTTATGCATGTTACCCATGTAAAGCTGGGATCACAGGATAGCTGGGATAACTCTGTTGGTAGAACATGAGACACAATCTCAGAGCTGTGGGTTTGAGCCCCATGTTGCAGGGGGTTGGACTAGATTACTCTCGTGGTCCCTCCCAACTCTACAATTCTATCATTCTAAGTAAATAAGCGTAATATGTGCGTTACTTGTACATGTGTGCACATAGAACACAGGAGATTAAACACAATCATCTGAAGTTTTTATTGGAAGCATCTTACTGAGTCCAGTGGGACTTATTTCCAAATAACTGTACCTTTGTTTGCAATCTTAGGCCACATTCCAGTAAAAGCACTTGATTATTGAGCTGGCAACAACATGAATGGGGTATGGTGGAAACGCTAATCATGAAATGAAATTTAGTGTGAGCTCCTTATACAGTGGTACCTCGGGTTACATACGCTTCAGGTTACATACGTTTCAGGTTACAGACTCCACTAACCGAGAAAAAGTACCTCGGGTTAAGAACTTTGCTTCAGGATGAGAACAGAAATTGTGCTCTGGCGGTGCAGCAGCAGTGGGAGGCCCCATTAGCTAAAGTGGTGTGTCAGGTTAAGAACAGTTTCAGGTTAAGAACGGACCTCTGGAACGAATCAAGTACGTAATCAGAGGTACCACTGTACTAAACTTGGATTTTAACAGGTATAGATCTCATAATTTCAACCCTTTTCTTTAGCCACTTTATTATGCTGGATCAATATGCAGCGGGCCAACTGGCTATTAGGTGACCATAAACCGTGTTCACCTTATTGCCAACCCACGCGGCACCTTCACATGCAGAAAATTAAGTTTGTTGCAAGCCATGAGGTACAACAGGTGCAGTATGCTTTAAACCGGGGTAGTGATGGTAGTTTGTGTATGGAGGGGTAAGTCTTCTTTCTGTCAAGGGCAACGTTTCCTTTGCAACCATCGATCCCTGTGGGAAGGAAGAAGAGAGTGGAGTTGGCAGGAAAAGCAACCTCTAAGTCTGCTCCATCTGGACCTCTTGCACAACCAACTTTTATTTCATTTTACTTGATTACTTCAGTATTTTGCAATCGCAAACCACCTTGGGCGTCTTGGCAGAAAAGCAGCCTATAAAAGCAACGAGTTAAGTAATGCAATGGTCCTTCGAGGGGACTATGTTGGAGGCAAAAAAAGAGAGCGAAGAACCAAATATGTGTGAACAACCTGAGGAAGAGCAACAGAAATTAGGAATTTGTGCAGCGCTTCAACATATTCAAAGGCACTTCTCAAAACTACCTCAGCCATCTACCACCGCTATGAAAAGGTAGGGCGGTAGCGCCAGCTCCGTATTTTAGGTGGGAATTTTTGTTTTAAACCTACCTAGAATTTACCCTAGCAATCCCAACCAAACATAAAATAGTTATAAATATATATATGCATATGTATAAATATAAAATATGTATAAATATATAGTGCTATTTTCCTAGAAAAAGAGGTGCCAGAACTCAACATGAACGCCTCCCTCGTTCTTTTATTATGGCAATGGCGCCCACTTGATGGGAGCCGGAACTGAGTTCCGCTTGAAAATTACCCTGAATATAGTGTTTATTGACCTTCCTTCCGAGCACGAGCCACTCGGGTACAAAACAAGCTCTCCTGCAACACGCCCCGCCTTCTTGGAGAAATATGGAGATCAGCGGGAGGAAAACAACCAATAGCCGCTCGGAGCGACACAGGCTAAGCGCTTCCCGTTTTTTGTTTTTTTTTTAAACCTCGCTCTGCGCTTGCGCATCCTGGCTTGGTCGTACGGGCATATAGAGCCGTACATCTTAAGTCTCGCAGAGCGACCTTGCGCGACGTCTCCGACGCAGAGCCCTTTTGCGCATGCTCGCGCGGAGGTTGCCTGTACGCTTTGCCCGCCTTTGTCATGTGATCGAAGCGCTGGCGTGGGCTCCTCCGCCCTCGGAGGCATTGCCTTGCCCTACAGCCGGCGGCTTGCGCACGCGCGTCGCCTTCGCTGGCTCGCCGGCTTCCGTAGGTTCTCAGGATTGGTCTGTTGTTTTTTGTTGCCCCAGAATCCCTTGCGCGCGGCAGCTGACATATAGTAGCTATGGCCGGAGTCCTGAAGAAGGTGAGAAGGGTTGAGGTCGGTCGCGGGGGTGGGCGTCGTGCGGCAGCTGGCGGGTCCCCTCGTACGGGTTGCTTAACCAAGGGCGAAAGCTCGCTTCATAGGACGAGGGGAGGCTGCCTGTGGCTCCCTCAGTGGGGGCGCAGCCTGACCCCTTGGCTGCGAAGATACCAAGGATGAGGCGAACCCTATGCGTGCTGCCTTGAGCGCGTTAATAATAATTTATTATTTAAACCCCGCCTATCTGGCTGGGTTTCCCAATGTGAGGGACATAAATGTCATCGCTTGGTGTCTTGTGGCAGCTTCCCTGGCAAAAGGGCTGGGTTGTTGTAGTTATCCAGTGCTTTTTTTCTAAAAAAATTTTTAGGGGTACTCTCATTTTGACTCAAGAAAATCACCATATTATAGTTCAAATCGGGGAAAATAAATACAGTAAATGGACGAAAGGCTGCCATTGGGGGTAGCAGTGGAACTGACGATCCACCGCAACAGAACTGATGATTCACTGTGCTAGAGAAGAAACATTCTTTTTTTAAAAAAAATTAATTTCTTCTCCCGTTAGATTCACAAAATGTTTAGGGGCATGTGTACCCCTGTGTCCCCAGAAAAAAAAAGCACTGTAGTTATCCTTTTTTAAACTCTGGTCCATGTAAGTGAAGCTGCTCGCCTCAAGTTTCCAGTAGCTTTGGGATAATGTCCTGGGTGTGTCAAGGATCAAGATGATCAAGGGTCTGGAAACCTGTGCACTGCAATGGGTTTTGGATTAGATGACCCTCGTGGTCCCTTCCAGCTCTACCGTTCTGTGATCTTCCAGCTTGGGATCGCAGCCTCATGAGGAATGGTTGAAGGAGGTGGGTGTGTTTAGCGTGGGAAAGAGGAGAACTTTCTGACAGTAAGAGCTTCTTTGACGATGGAACAGACTCTGAGAGGTTGTGGACTTTTCTTTGTTAGAGAGTTTTAAGCAGGTGTCATGGATTGAGATTCCTGCATTGTAGTGGGTTGGACTAGATGACCCATAGAATCTACAGTTCTGTGATTCTATGATGTGGTAAATGTGTTGCTTGGTTCAGCATCCAAACAACAAAAGCGTCTTTTGAGCTTCAGAAACAATATTTTTATACACACGCAAATGTAAAACTCATCTTAAAACGATCCTTAATTAAGGATACTTATTAAACTTATCTATTTTTAAATCTCTGCAGACCACTGGACTAGTTGGGCTAGCTGTATGTGAGGCACCACATGAGGTAAGTATCAAGCATTTGCTCATTTGAAATTGAAGAAAACATGAGGAAAGTATGGCTTACCAGGAGCATATTTCATCTTAATAAGTTGAGATATGAAGAACTGTTTTGACTGTCCACACAGCCCCTTTTGTGTGAGCCAAGAAGTAAATCAGCAGTCTTCCAATAACTAGAGTTTTCCATGCTTCTGAATGTTAAGTAGGCTCATTTTATATGTTGCATTAGATTTATTAAAGTAATTAATCTTAATGTTCTAACTACCTTAACATGCAATTTCTCCAGTATCTTGAATTTGAGGTGGTTAAGATTCTAATAGAGTTTTGCAGAATTGTTCCCTTTGCTACTGAAGAAGGCTGTGAACTTTTTATTACAATTCTTAGTTCACTGTATAGACTTTTATGGTTCACCTTAAATTAATGTTTGCTATCTGATCTTTTCAGCGCCTCCGGGTACTCTACTCGAAAATCCTTGCTGCTCTGGATAGTATGCCCAAAGATGCATCATATAGGAAGTATACGGAGAACATTGTAAATGAGCGGCTTGATATAGTAAAAACAGTAAGTATGTCATACATTTTAAGCATCTCAAATTACATTGTTCAAGTGGCCTGTTGTCCCTTGCTTCACTTACCAGATTTGCTTTTTGATTGCTGTCAAATAGAGATGCATCATAAACCAGCACTAGTTGCCATGGGACTGGAGAGCTGAACAGAAAGGTCACTGTGGCCTCTCCTATCAGCTGTAAAATCTAGGGCTGCTGGGAGGCTGCACACATACACCCCCCCTTCCAAGTAGGGTATTAAGGCAAGGTGATCATCCATTGACCTGAGAAGGAGCTGTAGCAAGTTTGCTTCTCTTAAGACCTCAGAGCTGAAGGAAAACACACTTTGGCATCATCATTATTATTAGATTTATATACCACCCTTCATCAAAAGATCTTAGGGTGATTCACAAAATAAAAATGCAAGAGGAAAGCACAAATAAATAGTTATAACAGAAGCAACAAAACATTAACCCCTCCCCCCTTCCACAAACACTGGGCCAGGAACTAAGGGCTACTGGGTGTGTGGGTTTAGTGTATATGTTTTTACAATCTGTTGTAAGATGCCTTGAGGATCGTTCATTCAAATGTTTCCAGTGAATTCAGCAGGGCTTGCAGGATTGCAGCCTTGGTTTTAGTTTCATCTTGCACTCATCCCAGAAGAACTATTATAGGTTATTCAGTGCATCTGTTTTGTATTGTATGGGTTTGTATTGTCTGTGTGTTCTCTGGAGACCAGAATAGGAATAGTCTACTTACCTAATGTCTTTTAGTAAGTTTGTCAATATCAGATCAAGATATACATTTTAGTCCTCCATGATAACTTAATTTCTGCCCCCTCTTGAATGGTTAAAATACCAACAACAATATTTTTTATTATTTATTTATTTCTTATTTATACCCCGCCCATCTGGCTGGGTTTCCCCATCATATCTGATGTTTGAAAAGCCTTAACTTTTCCACAAGGGTAATCTGAACTGCTTATTGCTTGTTGAATTGAAAGGTTGTGGACATATGCAGCTGGCAACCTATGGCTTCATATTCCTTTTGATATTCTGAGAAAGAACTACTATTCTAGACTATATGCCACTTTTGGAAAAGACTCATTGGGTTATTTTTTACTCTGAGTGAGATATAGAAAGATGCTGTTTGAACATACATCAGAGCACATCTGAGCCTTTCACTTGTTCTTGAACTTGCAGGAACCTGATGTGCAAAAACTGGAAAGTAAAATCAATGGTGGACAGATAGAAGAAGTGATTTTGCAGGTAATATCTTCTTTGCAAATATCTAATTATTTAGCAAATATAGTACTTGCCAAATATGCAACTGTTTCTTATAGGCTCTACTGAAAAAAAATGAAAGGAATCCAATTATCTGTTTAAAATGCTGAATTCTGAAAGTGAAACATTGTTTTTTTGGGGGGGTGGTTTTCTCTGTAGAGAAAAATGTAGTCAGTTTGTTGTCAATATGGAGACCAGCCTTTACGGCAGCAAAATATGAAATGTTAACTGTCGCTATAAAAAAAATCACAATGCAATCCTTTGATTACTTATAAGTAAGTCTCACTGAATCTCACCAAATATGGTGTTATTATACATGGCAAACTAAATTTTGCTGCTGAATAGAAAAAAGAATTTCCTAGCAATGTAGCCAGTCGCTTAACCTCTTACGTCCTAATAAGGCAGAGATAAAGACCAGTGTTACAGCATTTGCTATACGGATGGAACCTTTTCTAACATAACCTTGTCTATACTGCCCCTTGAAACTATGGTACTCTTTGAAATATTGGTAGCAAAAACCCTTATTACAAAAATGTTGAGGGCTGCATACAACTAACTAGGCGTGCAATCAGGATTCAGTGCCAGGACTCCTGCTAGCACAACTGGGAATAATCTCCCCACCCTGCATACTCCCCAAATGGGCTTGGGGAGGGGGTGCCTGGAGAATCCTCAGAACAGCATGTGGGGGGGGGGAGAGATCATTCCATTGGGCAAACTAAAATATTTGGGAGGGTGGGACTATTGAAAGAGCAGAATGCTGACTTCCCCCCTTTGTTTTCTATGTTACCCCATTATGGAGCTCTAAGCTGGCTTTACCAGACTGGGTGCACTGCTCTCTGATGCATCAACAGTCTTCAGGATTGGGACCACTGACTTGATCAAAAGATATACAGTGTTTATGTATTCCAGTGCTGTACCAATTAAATTGTTTAATAGCAAGCAGTGTCAACAAAAATCTTTATTTTAGTATGTAATTAGTGGATCTAATAGATGTTCATTGTCTAGCTTAGATGCAGCAACTTTGGGAAGGTTTTTTTTTAATAAAAATAATAATATCCTTTTTTGTTTCAACAGGCTGAAAGTGAGCTCAGCCTAGCGAGGAAAATGGTGCAGTGGCGACCCTGGGAGCCTTTGGTTGAAGAACCTCCGTCTGATCAGTGGAAATGGCCGATATAGTTAATGTTATTTGTAGTTTTTGGAAGTGAAAAAGATGTAATCAAATGTATGCTGGACATGAATGAAAAATATCTTAATTCTACTCATAAGATTTGTTTGCTATAATTATTGGTTATATATCCAAGTAAGCTGTACTCAAAGCAGACCTGTTGAAATTAATGGCATGTTAGTTCAGTGCATCTTCCCTGAATATGACTAGCATTGATTACAACCCATTAGTTGGAAGATCACTGTCAACTTACCACCAGGTGCGAATGGTTCTCAACAATTTAACTGTTATAATCTTAAATTCTATAGACACTTGCATGTATGGGAGTCTGTATAGGGCATATAAGAACCTTCTTCCCCCACTCTGCCACCAACAACCCAGTGCATGGGTTCCAACCCAGTGCATTCTTGAACAAGCAGATGGGCTAGATGAGCATTTGGAAGGAATGAACAGGCTTCCTGTTCCTTGGACTGCTTTGGTGTAGTACCTGTTTGAGTCTCCATGCTTGTGGAATGAGAGGGAGTGCAAAAAACCCCCAGAACTCTCTTTTTCCCTACTGGACTTATGTGTACAGGAGAAAGACTATTAGGTTCTAGAACAAGCTGCTAATAACATAGGCTGTATTGGAGGAGGAGGTCATCCATGGATTACCTCCACTCTCAGAGGAAGAGGAGAAGGGCTTAGTGGTAAAGCATCTGCTGCCTGTTGGTGTGGACAACATTGAGCAAGATTACCAATGCCTTGACTCTCTATGAGGCAGCTTCCTATGTGCTAGAGCTATCCAATATTTGTATCCCTGTGGAGGAAGGAACAGTTCTCAGTTTCCATGCTGTTTCAGTTGACAGAACAGGGCTGCCTGCTTTCTCTGAGGAGTTTGGATTTTATATCCCGCTTTATCACTACCCAAAGGAGTCTCAAAGCGGCTAACATTCTCCTTTCCCTTCCTCCCCCACAACAAACACTCTGTGAGGTGAGTGGGACTGAGAGACCTCAGAGAAGTGTGACTAGCCCAAGGTCACCCAGCGCTGCATGTGGAGGAGCGGAGACACGAACCTGGTTCCCCAGATTACGAGGCTACCGCTCTTAACCACTACACCACACTGGCTCTCTGGTTAATTAGCCTTTTTTCAAAGTAATAGTTGACCTTGTTCTCTTTTCTAGCTTGGGTAGAATGAGAAAGGGAAGCTTTCAGAAGTGACTTGGTGAGTTCATTTTGTGGCATGGGAACTGGCAGCTTCCCAAACAGCAAAGATTTCCTCCTTCCTATCTTACCAGCCAAAGTGATGCCATCAGGGCAAGAAGCTGCTACAGATGAGTCTGGGGATAGCAAAAACCTGTGCATGCAACAATAAAACTTTTACTCTGTATGACAGGGGTAGGGAGCCTGTGCTCATTAAATGTTCTTCAAGTCCCATCAGTTCCTATCATTGGTCATGCTGAGATTGAAAGAAACTGGAGTCCCAACAACATATGGAGGAGCCACCCCTGGTTTTATGCTTTACTGACATTTAAAGCTGATTGCTGCTCGCTTGGAAATATATTTAAAAGTATTGTAATTCTTCAAATCACTGTGACTGAAGAATGCTTGGTGTTAGATGGCACCTGTAAACACAATTATTTACTATCTTGTAAAAAAATACTGTGTTTTAGAAGGAAAGCCACTAGAGGGCATCAAGTGTAACAGTGTGGTAAACGTTAAATACAGAAGGAAGGGTCACAACTGGATGAAGATGACTATGGTAAAAAGAAACATAAAATCAGTGCAACACAAATGCTCTTGCAAGTTTCACCAAGATGAAAAGCCTGTATCCTTGTGACTAAAACTTGAATTTCCTTATTGGCTTCATGCTCCTTTCCTCACTTTTTGTGAAGGTGGCTAACTTGTGTTAATTTCTGGTATGTTTGAACATTGTTTCGCTTATCAAATATTATACAGTTACCATGTTCTCCATAGCAATCTAAACTGAATTCCATAGAATTCCAACTAATAAAAGAAAAGAAAGGCAATATAAGAAAGAAACAATGAAAATACAGTTAAATCTGGATCGTTAATGTTCCATCACATGTCAATCACAAATTCACAGGCTCACCGTGGCGTGGGACCACCTGAGTGATGCTACTGGACGGTTGGTGGTCCACGGGCCACAATTTGGCAAGCCCTGACATAGAGGGAATAAATGCCATGTAGCTTTCCCGGAAGTTGTATTGTGGTGAACTCATACTCTGCCATAGTGTGACACTGCACTTCTATGCCCCTTTTAAAACAAAATGAGTGTTTATAAAGGCAGCCAATCATTCAAACCTGTAAAGCTTTTACTTCCAATTTAGTGTGCTTTAAAGTTTAGAATGCAGTTTTATGCACCTAGTCCAAGGTATAAAGTGCACAGGTGTCAAAGAGGACAGTGATGCCTTTAGTGTGGAGAGGGATTTTCAAGAGGCGCAGCTGCAGAAACAACTCTCTTATTGGGCTAGTGCTATCATTAGATCAGCTAGGCAACTGTCTGGGATGAAGATCTCAGAGGGCAGTTTTATACCCATTAGTTTTTGTTATATCTTAAAAAATTCTGATATTTTACTTTTATATGTTGAAGCATTTTATCATTTTAAAAGCAATTCATACATTAGAATTAGTTTTTCACAAAATGAGGGTCATCTAGTCCAACCCTCTGAAATAATAATAAAAAAATTTATTTATATCCCGCCCTCCCCAGCCGAAGCCGGGCTCAGGGCGGCTAACAACACTAAAATAGTGCAACATTATAAAAATTAATTAAAATCAAAATTGATGGCAACCATAAACTAAAGTTTTGTAAAGATTGCCAAAGGAGGGAGTCAGGCTGTGCCCTGACCAAAGGCCTGGTGGAACAGCTCTGTCTTGCAGGCCCTGCGGAAAGATGTCAAGTCCTGCAGGGCCCTTGTCTCTTGTGACAGAGTGTTCCACCAGGTTGGAGCCGCAGCCAAAACAGCCCTGGCTCTAGTTGAGGCCAGCCTAACCTCTCTGTGGCCTGGGACCTTCAAGATGTTTTTATTTGAAGACCGTAAGTTCCTCTGTGGGGCATACCAGGAGAGGCGGTCCCGTAGGTACGAGGGTCCTAGGCCATATAGGGCTTTGAAGGTTAAAACCAGCACCTTAAACCTGATCCTGTACTCCACCGGGAGCCAGTGCAGCTGGTATAGCACCGGATGAATGTGATCTTGCAGCGAAGACCCAGTAAGGAGTCTCGCTGCTGCATTCTGCACCCGCTGGAGTTTCTGGATCAGTCTCAAGGGCAGCCCCAATGAAGGGCAGGGAAAGCTCAGCAGCAAGCAAAGCAAGATTTTTGTGCGCCTGAAACTTGACACTCTGAAGAGACTTAAATTTTTACATCACAGTTCAGAAGATGTTTTTGTGCTAAAACATTTTCTTTTGTATTTGAGGAAGATAATCAAAGGTTGTGGTATAACTTATTCCCTCCCCCCAACATCTTTGTTGAAAGTTAAAAAGTACATAACCATATGTGCACTAAACATTTGTGAGAGAATAAAAGAGAAACAGCACCTGTAGAAGGGAAAGTAAAGGGGGGGGAACCCCCCCAAAACTGTATACTTTACAAAATCGTGATTGTACTTCACCAGATCTTAACCTATTACGATACGATATATCTTTATTGTCATTGTCCCATGCAGGACAATGAAATTGAAAGACTACATAAAACTACATAAAAACTACCACAAAACCACATAAAAACTACATAAAACTACTATCAAACTACATAACAGTATTTGTAAGAATGGATTCCAAAAACCATTGAATTTGCCCATGGCAAGTCTGCGTTTATATGCAACTTGTTCATATGTTGCGAGTTTGTGTAAGTCTTCAATCGTTGAAGGGAGCTGCATTTTTATTTTTCCAATTCATCAGTATTATTCTTGCACGTTAGAATAAATGGAACAGTTTCAGGTTTTGTGCTTTTTTTCTGCAAGGCATCTGTTTTTGAAGATCAAAGTCAGCGATTCTTTTTGGGGTTGTGTGCAAGTACTGAGCCTTGCCTAGCGCGCAAAATAACAACCTGGCGCTGGTACAGACAGCCCCGCTTGCACCGCATAGCAGTCAAGCACCTGCACCCTCCACCTCGCCAGCCCCGCTGTATGGAAAACTCCTGGCATGCAAGAGTGTGTCGCGCATGCGTCCCCTTCAGCTACACATTGATTGGCACGCTTTGTCCTTCCTCTCGCGAGAGTTGGCGGCGCCGCGGTTGCTATGGATACAGCGACTCTCCGTTCCCGCTTGGAGGCGGAGCGGGTCGGGCTGATCCAGCGGCCGCTTCGGGGAACTTACGCGAGGACCTAGCGCTACGGTAAGCTCCTCCGCCTTTATTAATGGCGTCATTAATATCATTATTATTATCATTATTAACCACCCGGCGTGAGAATAACGCAGAGAAGCTGGAAGGGAGCGGGAGCTGAGGCGGAGCCGCCATGACGTGAAGGGCTGGCTGAGCGCTGTACTACAGTTCCCGACATGCTGTGCGCGAGGGCTACGTTTAAAAGGCGTCATGGCGGCGGCGCAAAGCACCTCGGGACAAGTAGGTTGGCTTTGAGCGGGTTAATTGAGCAGCGGGTTTTCCTTGTCCCCTCCCTCCGCCTCACATAAATAATGATGGATAGCTCGTGTTGCATTCTGGGAGCTGTAGTTCCTGTGCGCGTCGGGCAGTAAAGACGTGGTACACTTGATTTAATTGATGATGATAAAATAAAAAAATTAAAAATTATAATTAAAAAATAAAGGTGCTGCTCTTTAAACAACATTTTTCTCCTTTATTCAGGCTTAACTTTCCAAATGCAATCATTTCTGTGTAGTCCAAATAGTTTGCATGTGCCCCCTCAGAATGTACCGATGTTGATAGATGGGAGATTAATTTTAATGAGTAGATTCACTAGTTAAGAAATCTAATTTCAATGACAAGTTTTAAAATGTAGATTTCTTACTTTTAAGTCTTTTAAACATAGAAAAGTAGGAATTGAAAGTGGACAAAGAAGAAAAGCATGCTGTTCGTTTAGTGTCCATGGGATATGCCCTTAACTAGTCTCTAAAGTTGCATTCTGGAATGTAAAAGTAGTCAGCCCCACAACACAGCGAAATTTTATAGTTTGTGTATGCTTAGCTACAAACATGAGCCTGACCAAACTGCGGGAGGCAGTGGAAGACAGGAGTGCCTGGCGTGCTCAGGTCCATGGGGTCATGAAGAGTCGGACACGACTAAACGACTAAACAACAACAGCAATGCTTAGTAGGATGAGGTCCATCCACCCAGCAGTTGTGTTGTACAAAGGGCAACCAGGTATTCAAGACAAAGGACTAAATGTACTTTTTTGTTCACATTTCCCTGTAAATTATGCTTTCAGCTTATGTGAAGGTTAAAAAGGTGTACTTCTTCTTTCAGGAAAATGGCTGATCCAGAAGAAAAGGAAGGTGGCCTGGCTGAAGCAGAGGCTGAAATGCAAGTTTTAGAGGACACTTCTGAAACAAACCAAGCAGAAGAAAGTGCCAAGACTATAGGAACTACACAAGAGCAGACAGGTGCAACACAGCAGAATGAAACAAACCTGCCTATGGAGCAGGAACAAGGCCCAGAATTAGCAACACGTGAATTGGGTGATGCTGAGGAACCACTACAGGAGCTGACAGCTACAGAGGAACCGGCTGCCATGGTGGAAGTAGCCACTGCTGAGGAACCGGCTGCCACTGAGGAACTAGCCACTGCGGAGGAATTAGTGGAGGGGCCAAGCATTGCTGGGGAACAGGACCAGAATCTTCCTGCAGCTGAGGAACCTGGCGCTGCTGCAGAAGGGGTTCAGGAGCCGGCTACTGCAGACGGACTGACAAAGGGTTTGGAAGTGATAGAAAAAGAAGAGGAAGCTCATCCAAAATCCCAGGATGTGGTCCCAGGGTTTCAGGAAGCTATTCTAGAGGTCCAAGATCTTGGTGTCAAAATCGAACCACCTATAGTTGACACAGATGCATCTAATATCACAGTTGCTGCTGATGCTGCTTCTGTTGGTGCTGCTGAAAGTTTTTCTGAAAGGGCGGCTGATTTTGCAGCACATATGCATGCTGCAAGTGCTTTGTTAACAGAAGCGTTAGCATCTGAAAGAGAAGAGTCTGAAGCGAGTACCGAAGAAGCTACTGTAACAGGTGGGCAGTTGTCAGATACCATATATTGCTGCTGCCTTTACGACTAAGAACTGTTACTGATTAGATGATGTTAATAATGTTGATGACTGAAATGCGTCACTTTCCTAGGTCCACTAAAATCACTTCCAGCTAGTGGCTCCTTAGTAATAATAATAATTATTTTTATTAATAATAATTTATTACTTATACCCCGCCCATCTGGCCAGGCCTCCCCAGCCACTCTGGGCGGCTTCCAACAGGATATTAAAAACACTGTAAAACATCAAACATTAAAAACTTACCTAAACATTGATGCCTTCAGATGTCTTCTAAAAGTCAGATGGTTGTTTATTTCCTTGACATCTGGTGGGAGAGCATACCACAGGGCAGGCGCCACAGCCTGGTTCCCTGTAACCTCACTTCTCGCAGTGAGGGAACTGCCAGAAGGCCCTTGGCACTGGACCTCAGTTCATATGCTTCTTTCCCACAAATTGAGCCCAATGCAGTGTACAAGGAGGATAGTAAAATAAATCAGCAAATAAATCTAAAAACAAAAACTAAACATTGTATAGCAACCACCAATTTACAGAAAAGTGACAAGAAAAAAAATGCCGAAAGCTGCATGGAAGAGTCGTGTCTTGCAAAATCACTGCGATGCAGTTTGCTGAAGCTATAGAGTAGGAGAATGAATGCTACCATTTGGGTCCCTCAGCTGAAAAGGGTCAGTTTCAGGAGCTTGCCAAGCCTCCATGGGTTTGGCAACAAATACTTACATGGTGACCTCAACCCAGTTAGGCTCATTCCTAAATGTGGCTTTTGATATTCAGTAAGCATGCCTAGAATTGCACTGTCAGATTTGTATGTGGGAGAAATAATTATTTTTTGTATACATGTACTCCAGCATTTGTACAAAAGCTGTCCATATGAGCAAAAGCTTCCCAATTGATTTCAGTGGTCTGGGTCCCGCACACCCCGTGCAAGTGGAATTAAGTTTTGTTCATATCTAGAGACACCACTCTGGGTACAAGGTATATATTGCTGGTGTGTGCATAGAGTAAATTGTTGCTGCTTCTGATCATTATAACAGCTAAAGGATTATATATCATTGTCTCTTTTCTGTATGTTTTTATTTTAAATGGTGTCATAGTTATTATTCTATAATAGCAGATCTTGAAATAATTACATTTAAAAGAAGTAGATTATAACATGTCACATAATCTGTTACATTTAAAAAAAAAAAAAAATTCTACCAAGGCCGGAAGAGAAGGAAAGGTAAATTCAGCAGTAACTTGACTTAATTCATCTAACTAAACAGTACAGTTTTTAGAATCTGTTGTTGATGAAATACAATAACAGATGTTTTGTTTTTGTTTTTTCAGTTCGATTCATGCTACATCCTGCTATCCAGGTTTTCACTAAGTCTTTTAACATTAACCAAACCGTGGAGCAAATGAAGAAGTACTTCGCAGGACGCTTAAAAATTCCACTGGATATTTTACAAATTATGTTGCTAGGTATGTATAAACCACTAGTGAGAATTAGAGTGAGTATTGATCAAGGTTTGCTTATGAACAACAGCAACAGAAAAGTTGTAATTTGCTAGAGAGAGTTCGTATTTTGCTGTTGTCTTATTTAGTTTTCAATTTTTGTTTGGTCTATGTCAATTTGTCTTGATGTTAATTTGAGTCATTCTCATAAAGATAAGTAGTTCCTTTGTTAAACTCTTGCTTTATAATAGACGAACTAGATAGAAGATGGATGTGGAGAAAAAAGCTTTGACTGGGATATCAGTTGGGACAGCATTGCCACAGGTTTCCCCTAAGTTTGATTGCATTTCCAAAACCATCCTTAATTTTCTTTTCTAAAAAAAGAAAATGTTGATCTTTTTATTTGATGTGAAATATTAATAATCACTGTTTACTTTTAGGGCGAATAACTGACAATAGTGAAACACTATGGAATCTTGATGCTAAACCTTATGGGACCATACAAGTTGATATGTTCTCCCTTGATGAAGAAAACTTTCCCCTTAAAGCATCTAAACTCCTAGAGGAATACTACATGCCTGATGTTATAACTTTTAAAGTGCAAACAGGTAGACAGCAATGTTGCAACATGCACTCTAGCTCATTCTGGTCAGGTATTACTCTGTAACATCCTCTGTATAATTTAATAATACTGTTTAATCTGAACAGATGCAGAAACATTTAAGGAAGTAAATGTGTCAATTAAAAGGCCAAATTTTCAGAAACCGTTTTTGGGTGGATATAGACATAAAGAAACAGGCACAGAATATCATAATGCAGGATCACAGACAGACCCCAAAAAACGTCCAGACAAAGGCTATGAAGAGTTCTGTAGGTCAACACAGGTATGTTTGCCAGAGTACAAAATAAAGCACTGATATGAAAATAATCGTATAAAGTAATTGGAAAGCTAAGTAGCTTCTAACAAATTAGAATCCCATAATTATATGAGTTGTTTCTTCATCCATTTGTAAATGTGCTTTGTAGTCATTTTAATTTGTCCAATGTTTCTAGCACAGCCTCTCTTTATTATGTGATCATTAAAATGAATAATTTTATTTCTAGACAGTTGTTGAGAGGAAAAAGCTGCAAAATACGAGAAATTCAACTTCCACTCAGATGACCAAAATTGGTGTCTATATTTCAAATGTCACTGACAGATTGATAGAACCAAAAGGGTATGTGACAGCTGATGAATACCACGCAAGAAGACTTCAGGCAGTAAGTACTCAATCCATTGAATTATCATCTTTAACCCAGCAGATTAAAAGACCCTGCAGTCCTATATCCACTTACCTGGAGAGAAGTCCTATTGATAGACACCTATAACATTAAACTGCAAATCACGAATGTGATAAGTGAAATTTACATTTAAAGGGGACTCACATTCATCTTAATACATTACGAGTCACACACAGTGCTTCAAGTGGAGTTCCACTCACACAACAGGACTTTCTCTTCATCTCCTTCCTTGCACAAATCTTCTTTGGAGGGTCCCCCCGGCCTGTGGAGCAGATTTTCAGGGTGCGTAAGGAGCTTGCACCAGTCAGGAGTGGAAGGGGAAATTGGTTATGCAAGTGGAAGTCTGCTCCGTGAACAGAAAAGCAGTACTGGATCCAAATTTATAATCTTTCTTCACAATATCCTGGTATGGAGAAGGCACATAACTGTTTGTTTCTTTTTTGAAATGCATATTCAGTATAAATAGTATCTGAAACCATTCTTCACTAGCTTTGGATTTGATAGTCAAACAGCAGAATAGTGTGTGTCTCAGAAGTGAATTCTTATAAAAGCAAGTACATAGCTGTCAACTTTCTCCTTTTCTGGTGAGGAATCCTATTCAGAATAAGGGGATTTCCCTTAAAAAAAGGGAAACGTTGACAGCTATGCAAGTATATGATAAAGGCTTGTTTAAGGCAAGTGTTAATTCTGTAAATTGTCAAAAGTTTAAAAACGAAGAAAGCTTGCTCATTTCTCCCCACTTCAGTGATTCTTAAATTGTGGTCTGTAAATCGCCAGTAGACCTTCCGGAAGACCACAGCAATCAGAATAAAACAATCTATGACTTTTCCTGGGCAAATAATGATGAACATGAAATGAAAACCCACCTTTTTCTTTTCATATTAATCATTTTTTGTGCTCTGATATAGTTGTGTTGAATATGTGGGATTTGTCCATGATCTGTGTAGCTGAGATATTTGTCAGTCGAGTCGCTATCGCTCAGGGCCTCTTCTTACATTGCAGTCATTAGCCTCAGTAACAAGGAACAAACCCAAATCAACAATGCATATATGGACTTCCCAGCAAGTCCCCCATCCGTCCCTCTCACTCCGCACATTCATTATTTTAGTTAGCGCTCACTGTATAGCCCAGGGATGAGGAATCTGTGACACTCCAGATGTTGCTGAACTACAGTTTCCATCATCCCAGACCACTAGGCCGCTTTTGCTGGGCCTGATGGGAATTGGAGTCCAACAACTTCTAGAATGCCACACAGCGGCGTAGCGTGGGTTGTCAGCACCCGGGGCAAGGCAAGTAATTTGTGCCCCCTAACCCGGGGCAAGGCAAGTAATTTGCGCCCCCTAACCCCTAACCTGCCGCCGCTGCCAGCTTCTTCTTGCTGCTGCCTGGTCTGGTCTGGTGTGGTTCTCTCCCGCGCTCAGCACTGCGCTGGGCGGCCGCTGCACTGTCCCTCCCCCAGATAGTCCCTCGCTCTCTCTCCGCACCGCACGTCTAGCACCCACCCCCTCCACAGTGGGCGGCGACCCAGCGGCTCGGATCGGATTCGCACAGCCAGCACTGCAGTGAGAGAGAGTGAGTGAGCCAGGTAGGGGCAGAGAGCTGCGAGTGCGAGGCTCCCCCCAGATGTTGCGCCCGGTGCGGCCGGCCCCCCCTGCACCCCCCACACTACGCCACTGATGCCACAGGTTCCTCAGCTCTGCTAGAGCTGCATTAGATTGCAGAAACCATCTGTTCTAAATCTAGAAGCATTCTAAGTGCCCTCTATACTTGAATTGCTTCCACCTTAAATTGTGGAACAAACAAATCAGAATAATGCAACAAACTGTAAGAGCTGCTCAGCTGTTCTGAAAGGGATCTCTGCTGAACACAGTGGAGCTTGTGTTTAAACATGTTTAGCATTAGTTTCTAAGGGTATGTCTGCCGTTGCATTTCAAAGCTTAATTTCTGCCCTTAGTCACAATTTAAACAACCATGTATGCATTACACATTTTAAAGATCTCTTTATAATAAGAGTCAATTCATCTATTGCTTTATTTAAAGATGTGACATTCTGGTTTGTAAATTACTTACTAACAAAGCTAGCGAATTTGAAACGTATTTTTCTTGTAATTGCCAGAACATATAACAGATGCAGCAGAATATTGCTTTTTTCTTTCCTGCTATCTCCTATTCCTGTCTACAGGTAATTGTGATACAAACATATTTCCGGCGATGGCTAGCTAAGACTTTAGTAAATAAACTAAAAGAAGAATTGCGTTTGAGACTGGAATGGGAAGAACAAGAAGAACTAAGGAGACAGAGAGAGAGGGAAGAAAAACTGCTAAGGGAGTATAATCGAAGGCTGAATCCTAGAACAAAGGATGATTTTGAATTACTCTATCATGCTTTAGAATGTAAGAGATGGTGTGTTTTTTGTTTTTGCAATTAAGAGATGCATATTTTTGGAAATTCTGAAATTTGCTTGGTCGAAAACAGGATATATCCATTGGAATTTTTTCTGGGAGGTTTTACACCAAACCACACTGGCTGTCATGAAATCACTGTTGAAATGGGGTAGCTCATGCAGTTTTTCAATAAAACCATTCCAGAAGTCCGTTCAACTTCCAAAATGTTCGGAAACCAAAGCACAGCCCTGTCGGATGTTCGGCTTCCAAAAGAATGTTTGAAAACCGGAACACTCACTTCTGGGTTTCATTTGTTCGGCATCCAAGGTGTTCGGGATCCAAGGTATGACTGTACAATCAAACTTCAGCTCCCGAACGCCTCTGTTTTGGAATGTTTCGGCTCCCAAATGCCAAAAACCCAGAAGGAAATGCTCTGGTTTTCAAACATTTCAGAAGCCGAATGGGCTTCCAGAATGGATTACGTTCGACAACCGAGGTTTGACTGTAAAGCGTTTTTTCTTTGCCAGTGTAGCTGAGTCCAATGTTAACTAATGAAATGAACTCAAGACACTCATTGGCTGCATAGACATCAGGTTTCATGTAAATTGTGGGCTGGTTTCCAGGAGTCAGAGTTTCTTTGTTGCTGAAGATGGGGTGTGTCTTTAATTCCCATGTGAACTGAGCTAGGCTGTCATGTTGCAGAAGCTCTTGGAATGCATGCTCACTTTCTGCCAGGAGAACACCTTGCCTGAAGAAGTTGAGCATAAGCCTTGATTGACTCATATGCTGCTTCTGGCTTGAGATGGAACAGCTTCAGATTGTGTTGCCTCATATCGCTGCCTTGTCTGCCAATAGTGTAGTCCTGCCCTGTTGTTTGCTTCTATTTCTGTTTGTTGTTGACTGGTTGCTTCCCTGCAGTGGCTGCTTTTCATCTTCATATGGGAACTTAGTGATTCTAGGAAGCGTTGTTTAACTTGCTGGTAGAACTGCTTTCACATTCTTCCACTGTTGCACTGAATTGCTGAGACAGCGATCCACTGAGTTTACTGTCCTTCTGAGGTTTGCGAAGGGCATGCCTATTGATTACAGTGATGGGAGCTTTTTACTTAGGTGACACGGTGCAGCTTGCGAAATGTATGGTTTGATTTCATACCAAAAATGAGTCATTCTATTAAAAACAAGAAAGGCGTTAAATAATACTAAATGGTTAACAAGGGGTTGTCCTACTCAGAGTAGACCCATTAAAGTTAATGCACCTGAGTTAGTAATATTCATTAATTTGAATAGGTCTTCTCTTGAGTAGGACTAGTGTTGGATACAACCCAAGACGTCCTGCAGCTTCCTTATCCTTTCTGAAGCTGGTACTGTGTTTGAAATATTTCATTCCCATCTCTGTGCTTGAGAGGAAAATCTTACTCATCTCACACTTTACCTTGGTGAAAATCTTACTCATCTCACACTTTACCTTTCCAAGCTAAGAGCTGGAGCACAGGGAGAGATGAAGTCCTGTAGCCATACTGGACCAATGCTGAGGCAATGGTGGACACAAATGTTGAGTGGCTACCAGAGCTACCTAGAATGTGTGTCACTCTGATTATTATTCCCGTGTTGCGGACCAGAGGTTGAGGACAGAAAGTTGCAGGAGGGCATTAGCTCAGTGGAAGACCGCATTTGTATAAGGGTGGTCGCAGGTTCCATCCCCAACATTTCCAGGACCAGGAAACTCACCAAATCCTGGAGAGCCAGTAAGCATGAATAATACTGATCTGAATGGGCCAATTGCTTGACTCTGAAAAAGGCAGCTTCCTGTGTTGGTTTAAAAGTATCTAATTTCATGGCAGAGGTACAATTCAGACAAATGATTTATAGCTTACACAGCCACTATGCCAAGCCAGTTCTCAAAACAAGTGAAAACTGGTTTGCATATAGAGCTGCAAATTAAACCAGCTCCAAGAAATCTGTTTTGAAAAATCATTTTCCGGAAGCAGGGAACAGTTTCTTTTCTTTGCATTGGCTGCCCCCTCGTGGGTTCTCGAAAGCTGTGTAGACTTTGCTGCATTGATTTGAACAGCGGTGGCAGCTAACCAAATAAAAAAGAGTAAAGCTGAAATATTCAGTGATAAAAACATGATCTTGATAGTCCTCTCCTCTGTGCTGCTTTTTTATATCCTGGATGTTTTCTTCCTTTCATTCGATTGAGATACACTAATGGTTGTTACTCATTAGAATGAAAACGTTTGAGAGAATATTCTATAACAGTGTTTGAATTAGTATTTTCCCTGAGCTTTTCAGAAATATGTAGAGAGCACGATCTTGATGATCTGGTGCTGTGATCCAGAGGACGTTGCGTTCAACTGGTACATTTGTTCACATTTTGGCTTTGTCATGGATTCACTTGGGCGGTCTTGGAAAAATTGCTTATTCCTCTTGGTTCCTCATCTGTTAAATGGGAGTAATAACCTACTTCACAGGGCTCAGTGAAGACAAATAAGAAAAGGATTTATCGGGAACTTTGCACAGGTTACGTGCCATGTACCTTGTAAAGCAATATCTAAAGAAAAAAATGCCTAACTAAAGGCTTCTTCATAGGTTTTCTTGTAATAGGGCTTTGCCACCACACACTGAATTCTGCCTTGGTGTATCCCTCAACCACCTTGCAGTGTATCAAAAGCTGGATTCAGTGCATTGAAGCAGAAGAACATGGCAATTCTGCTGCCCACTGAGAGCAAGTGGCCATTAAAACAGAGCCACTATACACTATATAACAGCGAGAATCTACCTATATCAGGGGTCAGCAAACTTTTTCAGCAGGGGGCTGGTCCACTGAACCTCAGACCTTGGTGGGGGGCTGGACCATATTTTGGGGAAAAAAGAAAAAAGAACAAATTCCTATGCCCCACAAATAACCCAGAGATACATGTTAAATAAAAGGACACAGTCTACTCATGTAAAAACACTCTGATTCCTGGACTGTCCCCGGGCCATAGTTTGCCTACCCATGACCTATATTGTTGGAAAGATAACTAATGGTGATAGCAGTGACTTAAGGTCAAAGTAGACCTTGCATGGGAGTTCCATAATTGGAGCTCTTCAGATCTTTTTCAAAAAGCAAGCTCAGGTTGGATGTGTGATTTGTGTCTAGGCAATGGAGATGGGGGAAAGGAATGATCCTCCAATGCAAATCACCCCCCCCCTCCAGAAGCAGTTACTATCCCCTATGGAGAAAACACTTGTAGATGCCTGTTTGATTTTTTCCCTCCATGCTAATAGCAGCTTCAGTTGGGCAGGGGATTTGCCTAGGAGAATAAATGCTCCATGACCCCATCTAAATCACTTCCATTCCTGCCAGTGAATAAGGCATCAATCATTCTAATCACGGCAGTGGTCGTGAAAATGCTGGGCAGATGTAGTAACCCACATAGGTAAGCTGTAAGGATCCCTAGATAAAAATATAAATGACTTTATGGAGATGTTTATCCAATTTGCAGATGACTTTGTCTGCAAATTGACAGCACTAGGCGAAAACTGACAAAATAAATTTCAACAGAGATAAGTATAAAATTCTGCATTTAGGTGGGAAGGATCAGAAGTACCTGGCTTGACATCCATTTGTAGATGTGAAAAGGACCTTAGGGCCTTAGCAGATCACAAGCTAAACAAGAGTCAGTCGTTCAGTGCAGCAGCTAAAGAGGCCACTGGATTTCTAGGCTGTGTGAACAGAAGTATAATGCTCAGATTGAGAAAAATAATGGTACCACTCCATTCTGCTTTGGTCAGATATCACACAAAGTACTGTGTGTCGTTCTGGGAACAAGAGTTTGCAGAGGATATCAACAAACTAGAACATGTCCAGAGATGGGCAACAGAAAACCAGAAATGGTGATGGGAGACCAAGTCCTATGATGAAAGGTTAAATGTGTTGGGCATGTCTAGCCTGGAGAACAGACAGCTATTAGGCAATCTAACCAGCTTCAAATATGTAAAGGGCTGTTATATAGAAAATGGAGCAGGTTTGTTTTCTTCTGCTACATGGGGAAGGGCTCTGTTGCTTCAAATTACAAGAAAAAGCACAGGGGCTTAATGTAAGGAAGAGGTTACTGACAATATGAGTGGAACAGACGGGTGGCCTTAGAAGGTGGTGGACTCTCCTTCATTAGGGCTTTTTATGCAGAGCGTAGTAGATTTCCTGAATCAGCAGGAAGCTGGATTACATGACCTTTGAGATCCCTTCAAATTCTGTGATGCTATGATGTAAAGAAGTCACTGAACTAGATCCATAAGGCTTCTCAAGCATTTACAGAGCAAAGTAAAAGATCCTGTAATTTAAAAAAGAAAGGCTTGTGAGTTTTATACACCAATAACCACATTATATGGATTATGTGTGTTGTGACATAATTAGCATCAAGGCTACTTGGTTGTAAATGGTTCTGAAATAGGTCCATGGTAAATCAAGAGCCTTCTGCTCGAAGTGAAAATCAGAGGAACACTGTAAACCCAGTACACTTCAGCACCCCATTTAAAGACTTTCCCCCAAAGAGACAGAAATTAAAGATGCATGCTTAGTATTCCTATCAGATGGCAGTAGCTTTACATTTCTGGTCACATCCTGAAAGAGTAAGTTGAGGGTAATGAATACTGAACTATTGGATAACCCACATGCCTATAAGACTGATGGAAAGCTTTCTTCACTGCTTCAAGATGGAAGAAATATGATCTTCCCACTTGCCCTGCCTTATTGTTAGAATGCCTTCTTCGGGGATCAACTATAACTATTAGCCTGTGAAAATTCAAAATGAAGGGAGAGAGGAAAGTTCATCTCCTTCATTTTGTATTATAATAAATAGCTATAGCTGATCTGAAGAAGAGCAATACTCAAGAAACATTGGGATCACCATACTTTATTCCATATTCTTTTAGGTGCGTGCATATATATATATATTTGTTATGCACCTATGTGAATTTCCATATTTTCTTCTTTTTATCTTGTTATGCTGATTGGGGAGGGGAAAAGGCTCCAATAAATCTCTCAAGCACTTGTAGCACCAGGAGGCTCACTGATTTCAATTTGGATAGCTATGCATATAGCTGTCTATATAGGTACCAAAATTAGTTCTTGTTGCTAGAGCAGAACTGTACTGCCAGGAGTAAAATACAATCTAGTCTTCTGATCCAAAAAAAAAATTGTTTCACCTGAGTAGCTTGAATTTAGCTAGAGTTTATCATACAGATCACAGCATTGCAGAACTGAGACTATTTCATTCTTGTTCCTACTTTAGGAGCTATTAAAAATATGCACACCCCGTGTTTCTGTCTCCCACTGCTGCAGTTTCTTATGTAGAATAATAACATCTTCGTTTCCTAAGGAGATTATTAACCTTGGCACAGAAGCCTAATTGGATAATTTATGGTTTTGCTTGAAGTATTTGTCTCCTTTGCTAATGCTCCCATAATAGAAGGCTGTGTTCTCATTTTAATGCACATTGAAAATACTGTTATATCGTAATAGCAGGCATTGGAATGCTGTATAGGATGGCATTCAACAGATGCAGGTTTTTAGTTACAACATTGTAACTGAATGCCCGTATTATTTTAACAATACAGTATTTATAAATTTCAGCTTACTCCCTTGATGTATTTTAAATAGTTGTTTGTGTAATATATTCAGTGAGTGGCAGTCAATATGCCAATATGCAACGATACAAGATGTAATATGCTTAATTCTAATGTTGAGTAGGAACCTTGAGACCTTAAAAACTTTAGGGGGTTTTGTCTGTTTTTGTTGAATAAATGTGCATACGTACATCAGACCTTCTCTTCTCGCATTTCAGTGCCAAAGTGACATTTGGAGAACTCTCTCCCAAAATAAATTCTGAAATGGCAAAGGACAACTGCTCTCTAGATCTTAGCATGGGTATATCACACAACTTGTACTGGCAGTGACTAATACATTGGACTTCACTTATTTCCACTGCCATATCCTATACTGGGGCATGAGACCCACAGGTGAAAGAACTGCAGGAATTAGTGTGCTTCATAAGCACACACAAACCCTGTAGCAAGCTTTGTGCAGATGCCCTTTTCGCATAGTTTCTCCATCCTTGCTGATCTCTAGTACAGTGGTAACTTGGTTTTGGAACAGAATGTGTTTCGGGAGTCCATTCGACTCCCGGAACCATTAAAAAACCAAAGTGCGGCTGTGGAAGCCGTGCTGGCTGTTCGGCTTCTGAAAATCGTTCGAAAACTGGAACACTCACTTCTGGGTTTCAATCGTTCGGGAGCCAATTTGTTCAGGAGGCAAGGCATTCGGCTTCCAAGGTACCACTGTACTGTATGTTAAAGACAGAAGCAAAGTGGGCAAAAATGCATAGGTACAAAACTCCAGCTGGTATTGGAGAGTTGCAGGAAAACAGCACACTAAGGCATGCTACCTATGCTCCTAAAAACAGAGTACTAAAATAACAAAGCACAATCCCCTTTCACCACTGATTTAAGCTCCTGGCTATCACATTTCCTATTCATAGCATGTGACGGCTAAATCAAGAAAACAAGAGTTGAAAAAAAAATCAATAATATTGTCTTTTTGTTGATGTAGTATGGAGGCAAGAGGAGCTTGAGAATATCAACAGCACTCTCACTGGAGCCGAACGGAAGGCAGCTCTCTGTGGACTGTTAGAAAAAGAGGCCCAGCTGATTGCTACCATCGGGAGACACAAAATAAACGCATATGAAGAGAACACGCACCAAGCAATCCTGTCCTTCTTGGAAAAGGTCAGTGAGATAATTTCTATCTGAACACTGAACGCACCCAGAGTTCAAAAACCTGAATTAACATTTACAAAGTAGCAGCAGGCTGAAGAAAAGCACAGTAATTAACTTGACCAGTTGAAGATATGATTTGTGGGCTTCATGCATGTCTGGCAGTAAAATTGGCTCATTAGGTACAGTTATTAAAAGCCTTTTTATATACGCCTATAAAACCTGATGAGTGCTTCTTTTCACCTAAGCACAGAAAAACCACCACTTACATCTTAATTTACTTAATTGTGCTGTCTCATTGGAGATGATGAGTACCGTGCCCTGTGCAACCCTCAATTAATGCTACACTAGAGGCACAAGGAACACAGTGTATTACAGTAGTCTCATTCATACTTCCCTGAATGTACATTCTAAGAAGATTTGCATGGATGGGCCATTCTTAGAGTCTTGGAGGATCCAGCAGTTCGATGCCATCACAGGGAGATATGTGGTGTTCCAGATTTTGTGAAGAGTAGCTATTAAGAGTGGTTGTTTGGGGTTTTTTGAAAGACTTGAAATCTGTTGAGTGATGCCAGGTCCTCCCTCATTAATTATGGTCACAATCTTGCTCTCTCATATGGACGGAAGAGTAGAGTGGCACCTCATGCCAAGTCCCTCTGTCTTCTGATGATGCTCCCATGCAGGGTGTATGGCTGTGCTGGGCACAGCAACATGCCAGGCAATTGATGGCATAGCCTTCCTAAGCCTCACTTTTTAAGCATCCCGTAGTCCACTCTTTTCTCCGTGCTCGCATGCCTTGGTGAGGAGAGAAGCCTGCAAGCCTGAGTCTCAGGGAGAATACGTTGGATACTTCAGGGTGAGGCATTGGAAGGTTTTAACTTGCCATGAACAGCTTGGCAGTGGTATTGGCATGCCCAGAGTAGTATCAGCAGCGTGTGGAATAGAAAAGCTATGCTGCAGTTCCTTCAGTGGATCTTGCTATCTGCACCCTGAGAGAGAAGAATAGCAACCCGTCTTCCCCCTTGATCTGTTCTGCTGTATTTGGTATGCAAAAGCTTCTACCAGAATCCATCTGATTGTTTGGATGTGCGTCCAAGATCGCCATATGACTGCAGACTGTCTAAAGTGGCTTGAGCAGTGAAATGATAAGCTGTGATATAAGTGCATGGAACAGCAGTTGGAGGGCCGCTTCGCTATGGGTACCCTGATCATCAGAAGCGAACAACCCCCATCCTGCCCCTTTCAAGGTGTTGTGCAAGTGGTCCTTGTAGTGGCTTAAGCTTAGAGCAGTGGCTTAGTAGAATGGTCAGTTTCTGTAAAAATTAGATGGCCATAAACCTCTCTCAATCAAACTACTGACTTTCTAGCTGGATTTCAAGTTTTACGTTGTTATCCTCCATAGTGCTCTACTGATGCAAGCCTCATCCAGCAGTTGTATCCTTCAAAGAACAGCTGCATCACTCAAAATATGGCCTGAAAACAGGAGGGTTTAATTTCTACTCTGTTCTTACAATTCTGGTTTTGCAAACCAGAAGGGTGGTTTCACCATACTTCACCATACATTTTAGACATAATAAGAATAGGACTTCAAAGGTAGGCAATATCTAATTCATCTCTCCTTTTGAATAAAATAAGATAACCATGAGAATTGTGTAGTGGATAAGCAAAGTTGGCCAATTTATCGTATGTCAGAATGGTCCCCCCCCCCACACAATAAATATGTTAAGTTTACTTACCCACCACCAGATGTCACTATAGTAGAAATAAATGTGGTTTTGAAATTTCAGTATGTACAGCAACACTTCATTTCTCGCCTTTAATGTCAGGTATAGGTGAAGGTATGATGGCTTAGGAAATGCCTTTTGAAGGAAAATGGATATTAAAGAGCAATGTGAAGGAGTGGAGCACTAGAGTAAAGAATAATAACAATTCAGCCACCATTCAGCTGTTGTGTTGTTGTTGTTGTTGTTCCAAACTCCACTGGAAGTGCATATGGTGAAAAGCAGATTTTCAATCTGGACGGATTATCATGGAGGCGCTGAACGAACTAGTGCCTTCATATACTGAAATTTGTACAGTTTCTGCTGCTCAAAAAAGGGCTGCATGTACAGTCACACAAATCATGGTGGGCATTATATACAGTCCCTATGCTTTAGCGGTGATTCATGATTCTGGCATTTCCACATGTTCCTAGCTGTTGGCCCAGCCTGCTTCTAGGAGATTAGGGATGAACCAACTACTTAATAAGGCTTCAAAGCTGGCAACTGGACCTTGGTACACATTTAATATAGAAGTGAATTCAGCGAGATATTTCGTAGAGATAAGAGAAGTAGACAGAGGAAGTAGCTTTTGGAAATGAAGACTAGTAAGAAGGGGGAGGGATTGGGAGCTACTTGGTTTGGAGAAAAGAGCAAAATGACCCTAATTGTGCAAGCCCTAGACAAATAAGAGGTAAGTGGCTCTACTCTTTCTGCTTGGTACTGTAGTATTCTTGGCTTAAGCACGGGAATTACTTCCCTGATAGTGGTTTTGAATTTTTGTTGATCTTCTCCTTCTTGAAAAAAGCCACTTGATTTGGAATGATGCTTTTAGATAACCATTTTCAGTTTCAATGCAGAAATAAAATTTGCTGAAAAGAATTCTGACCTCCCCACCTCCTTGAATCAAATGTCCCCTCTGACCATGACTTAGGCTTTAGGCACCAAAGAGACTTCATTGACAAATTGTTCCATTGTGGTCTTTAAGACCAACTGAAGTCACCAATTTGGATCAAATGTGAATGTGTTGAATAGATATGCTGCATGCATGATGTAGACATTAAGGCCAACATCACAATTTACAATTTATTTTATTTATTTTATATCCACCCTACCTCCAAATAGTAGGAATGTAGCTACATGTGAAGGGATTTAAAATGGGTTCTTGGCTGTCATTGGATAGAGGAAAAAGGGGGTAGTAGGTTATCCACTTTCTGCCAATTTAATATACAGAAATCCCCTACCTCCACAAGCTATTCAATCTCCATGACAGTTGAGAGAATCCTGACAGCTGCTCTAGTAAATGTATGTACTCTGGAAATGAAATGCTTTGGGGCAGTAGTAGGAGAACTGATCTTCCTTCTTACACTAGCTATTCAATTGAGATCCTGTCCTAAATAGCATCCTCACTAGCCTGAACAAATGGTCAGCTTTGCTAATAGCACCAGATATTTACTCAAAATATTGGTTCATAGAAGTTTTGCTGTTTCCTTCCCTGTTTGTCTTTATTCTCTGCAATTCTTCATTGCATCTCCTCCTGTCTCTCCCTGTGCAAGTTGTATTCCCCACCCCACCCCTCTGGCAACACTCTGTGCAGCTTTCATGTGGTGGCAACTGGAATGCAGTTTACAATAGACCTGCTCTCTGAAGCAATTTAGATAACAGGATTATTGTAATTTCCATGTTGCAGCCAGCCAACTAAAAAAAGCAGAAGACAGCTGGCAAAAGAAAACTGGAGATTCAGAATTTCTTGCACCAGTTTTGAGCATATATCTAAAAAAGCCCCAAAACAGAATTCGAGTATGGATAAAAGGCCTTGAGGGGACACATTCTTTGGCAAAGAATGAACACATTTTATTTAGAAAATTATATGTTCTTATCATAACTTATGAAAATGTGGATTGAGACCCTTCGTTATACATTATACATTTAGTTTACTATATAAATTAAAATGGCTACATCTCCAGTTTTTATGTAAATTTAACAGAAGCTAAAATGAATAGTAGCTTGTCTCCAAAGAACTCTGGGCAGAGTTCAGCTGCATGTTGGGGTTTTCCATCTATGCATCCCCATTCCATCGTCTTCTGTTGAAAATCTGTCCCTGAAGGTCAAGGAAACCTTTTCACACACTGCTGTTCAGTCCATATGGCTCCTCACCTCAGAGGAGCTAGTAGAAATTGGAGGTCTCTACTTAGCTTAAGGGATGCGGGTGGCGCTGTGGGTTAAACCACAGAGCCTAGGACTTGCTGATCAGAAGGTTGGCGGTTCGAATCCCCGCGATGGGGTGAGCTCCCATTGTTCGGTCCCAGCTCCTGCCAACCTAGCAGTTCGAAAGCACGTCAAAGTGCAAGTAGATAAATAGGTACCGCTGCTGCAGGAAGGTAAACGGTGTTTCCGTGCGCTGCTCTGGTTCGCCAGAAGCGGCTTAGTCATGCTGGCCACATGACCCAGAAGCTGTACGCCGGCTCCCTCGGCCAATAAAGCGAGATGAGCGCCGCAACCCCAGAGTCGGCCACGACTGGACCTAATGGTCAGGGGTCCCTTTACCTTTACCTTTACTTAGCTGAGGAGAAGCACTTACGGCTTACCCTAGGATCTCTTTGGAGCAAAACCATTATGTTCTTATTTGTGGGTTCTATCCAATGCTTGAATTACTGAAAATAGACCCATTGAGGTTAGTAGCCATAACTAACTTAAGTCCATTAATTTAAGCGGGTCTACTCTGATGCAGGTGGTACTGTGGTCTAAACCACCGAGCCTCTTGGGCTTGCCGATCGGAAGGGCGGCGGTTCAAATCCCTGAAATGGGGTGAGCTCCTGTTGGTCTGTCCCAGCTTCTGCCAACCTAGCAGTTCAAAAGCATGCCAGTGCAAGTAGATAAATAGGTACCGCTGTGGCAGGAAGGTAAATGGCGTTTCTGTGTGTTCTAGCTTCCGTCACAGTGTTCTTTGCGCCAGAAGTGGTTTAGTCATGCTGGCCACGTGACCTGGAAAGCTGTCTGTGGACAAATGCCAGCTCCCTTGGCCTGAAGCGAGATGAGCGCCGCAACCCCATAATCGCCTTTGACTGAACTGTCCAAGGGTTCTTTACCTTTTTACCTTTTACTCTGAGTAGAACGTAGTTGGATACAAGCCTATAGTTTGTTTAAAAATAAATAAATCTTAAGCTAGGAGAGCAAAAGGACACTTGCTTAGCTGAGTAAGTTCAAACTAGTTGTGTATTCAAAGAAAAACTCATCTGTTAGCTTTGGCTTTTAAAAAAACAAAACCCGACTTACTAAAATACAGGCTTAGAACTTAAGCTTTATGGTCCTATATGAAGGATTTGTTTTATCATGCATGCCTGGGAAAACAAATTAATAAACCTTTAGTTATGCTAGAGCAACAATCCTCTGTTTCTGATTTTGCTGGAGTTTGCTAGCTCTAATTGAAAGATTTAGAACTTCATAATTTAGACAAGCCTGTTTCCTGCCGGATTTTTTAATCAGTTTTGGCTGCAACCCGTCAGTTCCAATTATCAGCCCCTCATTTAATTATAGAACTAAGCCTGCTAAGAATCTGTCAAATTCTCATTTATGAACTCTTATTTTCTTTTATTTCCCTCTTTTTGTGCTTACATAACTTGAAAAAATGGATGAATGCTAACACTCTACAGATTTGTGCTTCCAAGAGGAAACTGGCTGAGCATTTGAGTTTTGTACAGAGAAGAGCTTAACTGAGAATATTACTTCTTGGGTTCGGAATAGCACATAGCATAATCAGCTTTGGAGTGATTTTTTTAAAGGTCCTTTTTTAAGGACCTGAATGGTCAGGGAAGAAGGGGTGGACTGCTGAAGGCAGGTGAGAGATTGTTTGGGAGTACATGCAGTTTGTTGGTAGAGCACCTGATATTCATGCAGAAAGTCTTTGGTCCAGTCCCTGGCATGTACAGGTAGAGCCAGGTAAGGCCCTTGCCCCCAAACCCTGAAGACCCACTGCAAGTCAGTGTGGATAATACTCAGCTAGCTAGACCCAACCACCTGACAGCTCTTTGTGTTGCTATGAGTGTGAGAACAAGGAGCAAGCTCTTGAGCTAATCTGGATCAGTTGAAGCTTTTTGAGTGGGCAGGGGAAAGAGAGAGAGAATATTGCCACAAGCTAGGATTGGAAATCTCCCCTACCCACCCATCCTTGCTCAGTTATTCATGCCAGCCTTGGTCTTTGCTGGGAGGTAAAGGCTAGCCCTGGGCTGAGGATTTAGTCACACAGACAAGGGGCTCATTTCTAGGCATATGTCCATGCTTTAAAGCTCTTTTATTGAAGAACAGGCTATTTCAATTCCATCATCATCACAGAGGTGTCTGTGGAGGGGATATATTGATTGAAAATGTCTAGCCAACCAGATCAGTAATTGGGTTCCTATTGAGGATTTGATGAGCCAACACGACAGTGATGTGGGATTCAGGATTGGATTGATCATTCTGTGATATCAGGGCAAGTGGACAAAGCTGTATTGTGACTTGTGAATATATGTTTTAATATATCTATTTTTACGCTGTGTCCTAGCACTTCTTTTTCTTTTGCCACAGTGCTTTCCTCACAAAAACCTGCTCTTTGCCGCTGAATTGGAGCAAACAGCAATCCACAGAATTCCTGTTTGTTCCGATTCAGTGTTAAAGAGCAGGTTTTCTTGGGGAAAGCGGGGCTAGGGGGACGCACTCTGGCATAGAGCTTGAAAGCATGGACCTGTAGCTAAAAAGCTCATGGCAAGAGGTAAGTGTGGATCGGCTCCTATGCATCTCATTGGCTGGAAAAGGAGCATGAAAATTGAGCCATAGGTCTGAGGCTAATATTTGTGGCATTTTTGTCAAGACAGCCAGATTCTGAAATCTGGAGGGAGCTGACTGTCAGTCCAAGGGGCGAGAAAAGGGCTTTTTATCCAAAGCCAGCAGGGCTCGAGAACTCACCTTTCCCGTGCATGACATCATCAAGCTTGCACAGCGACAGAAAAAGGACCCAACTTCTGGCTGAAAAGGAATCTATCCTCAAAAAGGATATTGCAGAGCTGAAAAAGGTTTAGAAAAATGGCAATATATTCAGGGGGATGGAGCAATTCACTCCCCTGTGATGGGGGGAAAGTTTATCTCCCTCGCTCAGTACTAGATCTTGGGGACATCCAGTAAACTTGGGGGCATCCAATGAACCTGTATATTTGGGACAGATAGAAAATTCTTTCTTCACACAGCACATGGCTAAACTGTGGAGCTGGCTCCCACAAGAGGTGGCGATGGCCACCAACTTGAATGGCTTTAAAAGGGAATTATGGACAATAAGGCTATTAGTTGAAGGCAGCATCCCTCTGTATACCAGTCTCTGGGAATCACACTCAGGAGCATTATTGTCCTCAGGTTCTGCTCTCAGGCATCTGGTTGGTCACTGTGAGAACAGGATGCTGGACTTAGATGTGCCTTTGCCCTGAACCTGCAGGGATGCTCTGGTGTTCTTATGGTTATTTGCTCTCCATTGACTTCCGTTATCTTATGAAGGATCTTTCATATAGCATCACAACCCCTTCTGCTAAAAGAAGGGCTGTGGCTTCAACAGCAGTAAGGCAGGCAGAAATTCAGCAGGTACTGTATAAAGTTATCATCACACTCATAGAATTCCCAGACTCCCAGTGTGGCTTGAGAAACCCAGCCAGATGGGCAGGGTATAAATAATAAAGTTGTTGTTATAAATAATAAAGTTGTTGTAATAAATAATAAAACTGCTGATGTTATTGTTGTTACATTGTTCAAAGATGAACGAATTGTTTCCATATTTTGAGAATGTTGATGGCAGTCCTGATGTTCGTTCATCTCCATGCGTTAGCAGAGTTTATTATGGCATAATACTGGTTTTTAGTTGTGCTCTGACAGCAACCAGTAAATTACCAAGGAAGCTATAGTGTATGGAATGAACAGTCTCTCTCTCCCCCCTGCCCCCCTGCTTCTAATTATTGTTTGTCTGGATTTGTGTTCGTTAGGAAACCACAATTTGGTAACAAATCTACTAAAATGGACAGGAAAATGTCTCGTTTCAGATAGTTGCACATTTCTTGGGACAGCGGCAGTTCTTATTAGCAGGGCATCAGATTTGTAGACTCTATAAGCTTCCTTTGGTCACATTGTAAAGCATTGTCCTTGATTCCTTTCTTCATTCTAACTCGGCGATTCAAAATGTTTCTCAAGTGTGCAGCCCCCAAAAAGTGGAAAGCATTTGATGGCAAAGTTACCGAGATGGATACGCAGTTCACGCTGCGGGCCAGGGAGCTGCTCGAAATCTACCGCAGCATTAGTATGAAAGACCTTCCGCAGGATGAACGGCTGGACGTGCTGCTAACGCTGAAGCACACGGTGAAGGTATCTCTCTCTCTCAAGCTTTTAAAGAAGCCCTACTGAGATCACACACAGTACACTGTCAATTACGGACGGTTTGCAAGGGCTTAAGGGGCCCCTGCTTTCATCTTTCGACACCAGGGTGCCCACTATATACCGATACTTTTACATTAGCTAAGAAGTGTAAAACCGAAGTCCTAAGCACACTTGAACATAGCGGGACATCTGAATAAACCTGTATAGGAGGATTTATTTGCTGCATTAATATATCCCCTTTTTGCCAAGGCAGTTTACAGTTCAAAATATGCCTGAGCTCAATCCCAAACCCAAACAGCCAGGAAGGAAAATCCCTTTGATTTCAGGAAGCATCGGAGCCAAACTGTACCACACACTGTTCAGCTATTTACAAGTAAATATTGCATGTCTGTCCAATTTGCATTAAGAGCCTGGTGTGGTGTAAGGACCTTTAACCTTCTTATTCATGCACACTCTCATAGAGTCATAGAACACAGGTATGTTAAATAAGTTATATACTGTATTTTCCGCTCTATAAGACGCACCAGACCACAAGACGCACCTAGTTTTTGGAGGAGGAAAACAAGAAAAAAAATATTCTGAATCTCAGAAGCCAGAACAGCAAGAGGGATCGCTGTGCAGTGAAAGCAGCAATCCCTCTTGCTGTTCTGGCTTCTGGGACAGCTGCGCAGCCTGCATTTGCTCCATTAGACGCACACACATTTCCCCTTACTTTTTTTTAGGAGGGAAAAAGTGAGTCTTATAGAGCAAAAAATATGGTAATTGTAGAGTTGGCAGGGACCACAAGCGCCATCTAGTCCAACCCTCTGCAATGCAGGAATCTTTCGCCCAACATGGGGCTTGAACCCACAACCCTGAAATTAAGAGTCTCGTGCTCTACCAACTGAGCTATCCCAGAGCTAGCAAGCACACACATGCACTCTCACAAACACATACACTGTAGTACCAGTCTGGTCTGGGCAGGACTGTGCTTGATACTGCATTGGTGGGAAAGAGCTCTTATTCGCTCCAGTCAGTGAACACTTTCTATATATAAACATAGCATAAAATTGATCTGGACAGACAGTTATTTAAAGACAGTGAGATAGGTGTGTGGATACACGATTCCCATTTCCCAAAAAGCTAAGCTTTAAGAAGCCTTGGAGCATTTGCTCTCTCATAATTGACAGGCAATCGGTGTAAGGAATTAAGAAATGATGTGCATGTGATTTGCTAAACATCTTGCTTGCCTTTGCAGGAACATGACTCTAAACTCACACATGAGATAGTGGAATTGATTGACAGAGAAGCAGACCTCATGATGAGGGGAGTGAAGGAATGTAACTTAGACGGGCTCAGACAAAGAATATGTACATTATTTCTTCAGTATATCAAAACACCACTTTTTAATCCAGAGGTTGCTAGACATCTCAAGGTATTTTGTTCCTTTTCTTCTCTGTTACAGTTGTTTCTTGGCATGCAGCTAAGTGAAACTACTCGCTAAAGAGTCCATAGTCTACCCAGAGGCAGTTGAATTTCTGCATAATGTAGAGAGGAATTGTTTCTTTTTCCTTATTCAGTTATTCAGCTGAAGACTTTTGAGAAGGCTGTGCTGTGTATATGAATGAAACCCAGGTATTGCTTCTAAACAGCAGGACAACGGATGCTAACTTGCCCCTAGTGAATAGGAAGAGATCAACATGGAAAGCGGTAAAACAAACTGATAACAGTAGCTAAGAGTATGAGCTGGGAAGTCAAGCTCAAGTTCCACTTTAGACACATAGTCATTAAATTGCCTTAGTCAAGTCATTATTTTCGCAGTCTCTGTCTTCCTTTTATCATATGAGGATAATAATACTGCCAAGGCTGTATGGCTCAAGCATGTTGAGCTATAAATGTTAGTGTTGCCATTGTTACTGAGCTTGAACTTAGCGTAATTCGCTTGAGTTCTCAGGTTCCATAAAAAGGTAAGATGAACATGATTACAAAATGTAAGGTGCCTTGCTGAAATCATTCAGATGGCACTCATATTTATATGTCATTTTCATGGAGATGTCACCATTCTCTAGTGATTATGACATCTGTCAGAAGAACAAGTAACTTTCTGCTGATACAAGCAGATTGGTTTTAGGCCAGAAGCGTTTTCCCCCAGCCAGCATCATGAAACTAGAATGGAGAAATGTCGAACAGGGTTATTGGCTACAGCTTTATTTCTCCCCCAAAATTTGGGCTTCTGAGTCATTGCATCTGGAGACCAAAGGCTATAGGATAGCTATGTTTGGATTTAATACACATTGGCAGGAATGCCAGGCTCAGAAATAACCTTTAAAGCAGTTTTAAGAACATTAGTGGCAACCAGACAAACCAAACTAATTACTTACTTAGTATGCTGGAAGAGCTGCTCATTTGGCACTGAAAATACCAGACAGGTTTGAGTGCATGAAACCACAATGAAAAGAAATGGGTGCTTCTCTTTCTTATTTAACTTTATTGCACAAAACACACATGAGAATAGATTTCTAACCATCTGATAATTTGTGTGTGTTTAAAACTGTTTAAAATAAAGTATTTTAAAGTGTTTCTGTCAAAGCAACTGAATGCTAGCTGGAGGGTGGGTTTTATCAGCTTTGCAGCTGATATTCTCTCTGTTTTGTAAAAGGTTGAAGGCACTGAAAGTGAAAGGGCACACATATAAAAATGAAAAATATTTCCTCAAAACAAACACTTCTTGTTATTGGCAAATATAGAGAATAACTAAAATGTGCACTTACTGCTTCTTCAAAATCGTTATGGCAATTAAAAGGAGATCATTCTATATAATTTTTGTAGTAGGTTGCATTGACAATAAAGGAATAAAGAGATAAAAATAAAATAAATGACTAAACAATGGATTCTGAAGCCTTTAGTGTTTCCACCTTCATCTCTTGCTCTGCATCATCTCAAAAACACAACCATAGTAGTCCATATGGACAATTTCATTCTTCTCAAAGTGTTTTTATATAATTTAGCAGAATATTTATCCCTTTAAACCCATCCTCACATATCAAACTTCAAAAATATGTTCATAATCACTCGGTTTACTGTATATAATGGGGAAACAGATTGCATTTGACAGGCCGCATGCTGTGCTGCAACAGAATTGTTTTGCAGATATATATTTCTTCAATTTCAAAGGTTTCTATGCATACAGTTGTCAGTGACTACTGTACTTTGGGACGAGATCTGTGGGCCAGGCTAATGACTGAATGTGGAAAATACTGTTATCGTTCATTAGCTGATCTGCTTTCCTTGCAGGTTCCACCTGATCCCATGAGGCTTTACCACAACATCCACTTTTGCCTTGGTTGCAAAAGGTATTTGCCCTCTACGGATTTTGCCATATCTGCTAGTTCCCACACTGTTGGCCGTTGTCGTCTGTGCTGCAAGCTGGATAATGAGGCTCGCCAGAGGGAAGCCTTCTTGAAATACAAACGTATGCTCCGAAATCTCCGAGAATCAGAATTGAATTATAAGGACGGTGCTAAGATTGCCTTCATATTACAGGTATGCAGAGGACAGAGAATAGTGATGTTAAAGATAATATTTTCAGACAGCACAAAATGGAACAGAGTTTTATATTGTGCCGGCTGTAAGTAGTGGCAGAGCACAGAGGCTTTTACATTACACGGAACTTTCCTTTTGTTTCTTGCCTTGATGATAAATCAATTCCTGCCAGTGGCCCGTTTGCAGTTCCCAACCCTTTTGTGACACCAGTCGTGCTATTTCTTCTTCACATATAGACTTGCCTTTGCTTCCACACGTGGGCGTGCTACCAAATCCAAGTCTAAACCCAATCAGAGTAGACAGAGATGAACATTTGTGGAAATCTTGAGTCATGGAGATTTTGTATGGTGTGTGTGTGTGTGTGTGTGTGTGTGTGTTTCCAGAGGCATTTTGGAGAAAAATACTCAACAAATATGATCTTACTTTGCTACTTTAAGAACGTGAAAGACAACTTAGCAGCACATAAAATTGTATTGTTCAATGTAGTCCTAGAACAGGGATTTTTGGGGTGGGGACATGTCATGCTCCTTCTGGGGCAGTTTGCCCACCTTTGGTACTCACCCTGCACTCAGCTCTCACCTGCGGCTCCTAGAAACATCAGCCACACCCCAGGAAACAGCTTTGACTGGCCAGCTGAACCAGGTGAGGGTAGCCAATGGGTCTCAAACTGTGAGTTAGGGACTTCCTCTACATGCAAAGACAGATTCCAGTGGATTGAGTGGACAAGACCAAGAGTGGGTCCAACGGTCAAGAAGATGGTTTCTGCACACGCTTTAAAGGGAAGTGGGGGGCAGATGGGACTTGTCAACTTGGGAAGGTAGCCCATCTAGGAGAAGGAAAACGCTGACCCTAAACCTCCGCTGCCTTGTGGGATTTCTTTGGGAGAAATCTGGAGAAGAGTCCCGTAGATTGGATGGCACCTTGTACGCCTCCTTCCAGCGACTCCTACAGCCAAGCATATTGCTCTGCTTTCCTTTGGCGGGGGTGGGGGTGGGGGGTGTTGTCGTCTGGGCAGCCCAGAACCTCCATATATGCTTCCCGGGCTTGTGTCCCAGGGAGGTCACTTTGGTGGTGCTGGCACAGCAGTTTGACTTCACCCTGGAGTCACACTCCCTAGTCTCTCGAGACAGACGGATGCCAGCAACAACAGTCCTGAAATAAAACAGCATAACTGCTGTTGTTTTACTAAAACAATAGCTACAAATATAGGGTTGTGTTCAGTTGTATCCCTTACCTTACAGAATGTTCTTTTTTTCCAGTGGAGGCTTCCATGCATGGAAGGGAGAGGTCAATTTTTTATTTTTTATAAATTCCTCCTTCTCTTGCAGCTCCCCATGCCATGTCCCATTCTGATCCAAAGGGTCCCTCGACCCTCTGGAGCAGAATTTGGATGGGTGGGGGCAGCAGGGGGATGGATAACTCCTCCCCCACTTCACAGAAGCATCAGCTGGACCAAAGAGCCTTCCATGAGCAGAGGGACACAATCGGATGCAATCTAGTGCCACTGTTGGAATTTGAGCTGCATCCTACCTTACTTAAGTATGATGTTCTACCTAATCCAATATGATACAGTCGTACCTTGGCTCCTGAACGCCTTGCGAGTCGAACGTTTTGGCTCCCGACCGCTGCATACCCAGAAGTTCTTTGGAACCTGAACGTTCTCATGTGGCTCCCACAGCTTCCGGTTGGCTGCAGGAACTTCCTGCAGCCATTTGGAAGCTGTGCCTTGGTTTCCAAACATTTTGGAAGTTGAACGGACTTCCGGAACGGATTCCACTCTACTTCTAAGGTACCACTGTATTCTGTCTGCATCACCCACTCAGAAGAAAAGTGAACAGTAAGCAAGGGAAGGGGGTTTATAGAAGTGGATGAGACATGCTTCACTTTGCCTGTGTTACTTCTTACTCTGCCGCTGCCAAAACCTGCCTCTCATTTCTGACAAGCTGCTCAGTTCCTCTGCCACGCCACACTCAGCTGCTGTCTGAGAGTGAAACTTGTTTGCACAGGCACTGACAGAACTAGTTAAATTTCCTATCACCCCAAACCTTTATTGTGGTGGCACCTACATTTTGGAGCAGCCTCCCAGTACATTTCAGGCTTGTCTTTTAGGTTTCCTTTTACAACAAGCCTTTTCAGTGAAGATTTTTATCCCAGTCCTCATTTGTATTGGACTTGATTTTTGTTTTGATACATGTTTTTATGGTTAAATTGCTTGGGGACGTTTTACAGGAAGCAGATTCATAAATGAAATAAAAAATTAAAAAACATCTCAGCATAATCTGCAAAAGAGCATGTTTCTTAAGATGAATTTTTAATTTACTCCCAAGTTTTCAGTTTCTCCACTTCAGGCCTCAGGAGAAAAATGAGGGAAAAGGAAGGGATTCTGATATCCCCCTCCCCTTTGCCTTCACATCTCTAGGCTCTCTTTGCATTAGTACCATATTACCAGGCCAATATGAGGCTTTCCCTTCCTTTCTGAATTCCCCTTTCTTGTTCTCCTATTATCTCAGTTCTACTTGGCAATTCTGGATCCCAAAACCACTGAGGCCAGCTTTACACAATGCAGCAGACTTTACAGAACATTATAAGACTGAGTGTCAATGGCACTTTTTTTTTTTAATGCTTCTACTGTACGGGGGTACTGTACGGGACGCGGGTGGCGCTGTGGGTTAAACCACAGAGCCTAGGACTTGCTGATCAGAAGGTCGGCGGTTCGAATCCCCGCGACGGGGTGAGCTCCCGTTGCTCGGTCCTGCTCCTGCCAACCTAGCAGTTCGAAAGCACGTCAAAGTGCAAGTAGATAAATAGGTACCGCTCTGCCGGGAAGGTAAATGGCGTTTCTGTGCGCTGCTCTGGTTCGCCAGAAGCGGCTTAGTCATACTGGCCACATGACCTGGAAGCTGTACGCCGGCTCCCTTGGCCAGTAAAGCGAGATGAGCGCCGCAACCCCAGAGTTGGTCACGACTGGACTTAATGGTCAGGGGTCCCTTTACCTTTGCCTTACTGTACGGGGGAGAGGGGGAACACCTTCCAGTAAGAAATCTGGTATGTCAGAGAGTTACATTGCAACCTAGGTTGCTCTCTTTGTGCTAGTTTTCTCCGTGCAGGAAGTTTCACATAGGGAAACATTCAAAAATACGATCTCCTACCTGGAGCGTTGAATTGGTTCAGTCCACTCTGCCAGCTCAGGTTTCTGCCACCTTTTTCTGCCACATGGGTAGACTGGGCTTCATTCATTGGCTCTTCCCCATTACTCTGACCACTCCACTTATTGCTGACAGCCAATAAACAAGCTATCATTATCGTTCGGCAAAGTCCTAGTGAGGTTATTCATAAGCCATGATGCGCAGAGGTCAGGCAACTCAAGAAGAATGTTATAGAGATGAAAATATTAGCAACAGCTCACATTCTAGATTTTGTTTCAGTGAGAAGGATATGTCCCTTGATTTGCTTGGATTAGATTTCATCTTGCTCTTACCTAGTTGTCATTTTGTTTAGAACTCGGGAGTGATTTCTTTTAATTGGCACGGATTTAAAAATAGACTGCTATCCTAAGTTTATAAAGAATTCTTCAGTCTCTGATCTGTGCTGTGTGTATAACGGAAGGGATTTTATTCTATGGACTGTTATATACTGCCTTACAATGCTGGTGGCAAAAAATATTTATTATTATGATTATTAGATTTTCTAGCAATATTCTTTTATTTAGTCATGGATGTTTCCTCCCATCTTCCACGATAGTTATTAATTTCACTGCTAGAACTGTTGTGATGCTTGTCATACAGATACAGAACTATTCATGTTCATATTTAGGTTCTCATGGGAAAAATATCCCCCCGCCGCCCCCCCCCCAAAAACCCCAGATTGCCCAGTGAACCTGGAGGTTTTTGTTCTCTGCCTAGCCCACTTTCTTGAGTCATTTGGACACATTTGTTCTATAAGCACCTTACTGCAGTGGACTTTTTGCAGTCTTTCTACCATCACTCTCTAACCGTTTACATTAGGTTTTTGCTCTCATCATTTTAGCTTATGCTGTAAGGAAATAATTCAGCGTCACACTAACCGTGATCGTTCCATCTGGGCAAGCGTTTTGATCCCACCTCCTCACCCTGTGTTGGTGTTCTGAGGGTTCTTCTGACCCCATTCTCTGAGCCCATTTCAGAAGGGCATGGGCTGAGGAGACGGGGGAAACCCCATTACCCAAGCCACAGAACTTATTAGATAATAGAATCATAGATTCACAGAATTGTAGAGTTGGAAGGCCATGTCAGATGGCCATCGAACCTCTGCTTAAAAACCTCCAAGGAAAGAGAGTCCACAACCTCGCTAGGGAGACCATTCCACTGTTGAACACCCCTTACTGTCAGAAAGTTTTTCCTGATGTTCAGATGAATTGCCCTCTGTAATTTTAAACAAGTGTGCAAATGATTTTGGCAGACATTTCGTGATTGATTGTGGTGGATTTCCAAACATTTATGGCAGAGCATCTGCCTTTCCAGAATCATCCAGTGTATAAATTACCTTTATTATTTTGTTGCACAAATATGCAATTTCACTTATTAAGTCAGCAGCCTTTGGCAAATCCAACTTGAACATCCAGGCTTTCACATGTCTGAAGCACAGAGTACCTTGATTTATTTCATTCACCAACATATTGCTATAGCTTTGAATTTAATTATGTGCATATAGTTGAAGGCTTGACAATGTGGATTGTTTATTCTTTTTAAAAAGCATGGACTTGATGTGGGGCAAGCTGTAAGAAAAAGTTCTGACAGCAAGTTAATAGTTAAGCAAACTGTCAAGAGAGGATACAGAATTTCCATCTGCAGAGGGATCCAAAAATAAGCTTTTAGAAACTTGCATTTTAGGCATGCATGTCTTAGAATAATAGAAACTGTGCCTTATTTATTCAAATAAGAGTCTAAATGCTATTTGAATGTGGCAGTTTTGTAGTGAGCTTTATTTCTTCTTTTCCCCCCTCCTTTCCTTGCTTTTCCATTGCAGCTGCAAGACCTGCGCTATATGGTTGAAAATTTCTGGGGTTCTCAGTCAGCTATCAGTGCCTGGGGTGATCTGCATGATCTTGTCATGGTCAGGTGGAATAAATACCAAGAATGGTCTCCCTGGAACACGCTCCTTATCAAAAAGAGCGAGGCAGAGGCTCACCTCAGACTGAAGGATCTCGAAAAGGTATAGTTAATGTTAAAATTCAAAATGTGCTCTGTGTTACAGTGACTAAATTCTGTACGCGTTGCACCTCTGCAGACTAGTGAAATGGAAAGCTCTCTTTCATATACTTCATGAGGGTTCAGTATTCCTTAGTTTTTGGCTGGCTTTCCCATTCTTCTGATGTAGAGATGGAGAACCTCAGGCCTGAGGGCCAAATCTAGGCCTCACTGTCTGGCTCTTGAGAAGCCCCAAGCCTCACACCCTGTGGTGAAATTGTATTCATTGCTTTCACCCAAGCTGAAAAAGGTCCCCTCCGTTCTAAAGTCTTTGGGGCTGCTTTTAATTGCAAACACTGAATCATTTCATGTCGCATTAGGGAGTTTTAAAAGAGAATGTTCACCTCTAAATCTAATTTGTAAGGTTTTCACATCTGGCCATGCCTTACTCATCTCTGTTTAAATCCTGCCCTTTTTGTCCTAGTCATTTCTGATACATTCTTCACCAGGTGTTCTTGACTATATTCTTGTTCTGGGAAGTCGGTTTTTGAAAGGTTTTGTGGTTTTTACTTTATTTACAGTGGAACCTTGGTTCTCGAACTTAATCCGTTCCGGGAATCCGTTCGATTCCCGAAACCGTTCGAAAACCAAGGCGCGGCTTCCGATTGGCTGCAGGAGCTTCCTGCACTCAAGCGAAATCCCCATTGGATGTTCGGCTTCCGAAAAGTGTTCAAAAACCAGAACACTTACTTCCGGGTTTTCGGTGTTCGGGAGCCAATTTGTTTGTCAACTAAGCTGTTCGAGAACCAAGGTTCCACTGTACTTAAAAGCCGGTTCCCCTAGTTCAGAGTCCCACAGCAATGTCCAGCACTCACATGCAGCTCTCAGTAAGCATGGGCTTCCCATGTTGCTGGATGAAATTTTATTTTTTTAACAAGTATTCACTGACAGTTCAATCCTTTGCATGCCTACTCAAAAACAAGCTCCATTATGTCGAGTCGGATGTACTTTCTCGTGTGGTGTTTTGAAATTGCAGCTTAAATTAATCATTTCTCAGTATTTTGTAAACACTCTGCACAAGTTGATTTGCAGTCGTTATGAACTTCCATTGTAGGGCTATTCTGTTCAGAAACAAACGAAACCAAGATTATTATCGTGCTTTGTATTTTTAAAAAAAGTTTATGACTTATTAAATTCTGGGCTTGTGGGCCTGCAGAACAGACATGTGATCAAAATTATAAGGTTAATTAAAATAGATTTAATTAACCTTCTTATTTTATTTTAGCTCATTTAATAACCTTGGATATTTTTCTTCCTTTCAGAATTATGAGATGATGTTTATCCATAAGATAAGGCACAAGCATATCCTTGCAAGAAACTATTTCTCCCAGTTTCCAGAGCTGGCAGCAGCTTTGCATAGGGATGACAAACAGACCAACACTGATGATCTCTTAGTAACAAGGTCTTTAACGGCTGGCCCATCCAAGTAACACTCCAAGGATCTACAAGCTTGGTTCTGCTTGAAGGATATACATACAAGTATTCACAGCACTCATTTGTTGTTTGAAGAACCAGTGCAATCTCAAGAGGCAGAAACACTTTTTCTGTCTTTTTCTTAATTGTGCCTTGGCAAGCATGCAACTATGTTAACAAATGGATTCCAAATAATTAATTTTGTGCTGCGTTTATCTCTTTGAAATTTAACTCTGCTTCATATGTAGCCCCATTGGTCTTTACAAAAACCAAGCAAACCCTTTTGTTAAACATTCTTGTTATTCAACAGAAAGGGGCTGCATTATCCTCCTTATGCAACCCCTAGGGGTAGGGAAATAATATCAGTTGGTTCCTTGATCAGCCTTTGCTGTACTTTACTACCAGTCTTTCAGCTGAAGGAAGCATCACTTTTAAAATCAAAACAAAATTGAGATAGCTGCAGTGGATGTTAAATCTGCCCTTCAGCGCAAGGCGCAGTGATCAATATTATTAGCAAGCGCACAAATTCTGTCCAAACCACTTCCTCAGCATTAAATACTGATACGAAACAGGTTACTTTTTGGGAAATACTTTTCAAAAACCTCCCTATAAAGAACTATTTCTATGCATTTGGTTAGAGTGAATGAACTACTTTAATCGCACACATAGACCTCCTTGCACCTAGTGGAATTTTGACTGGCTTTCAGTGGCTTCATACTGTATTACAAACTGTCTTTAAAACTCTCCACATTTTCAGAAGGCAGCATGGAACTGCTGTTCAGGAAACACCAAGCCCAATGGTACCCCCAGAACTGGCTAAGGAGTTTATTTGGAGTTAGGAAGAGGGGCCTTTGCTGTTGTGGCCTGTTTGGTAGCTAACTAGTGCTACATCACCTTTACATATAACCAAGTTAGTTACATGCTAGTTATTTGGCATACTTTGAGCTGCTGAATCAAAGTGATCAGCATGCAGGTACTAACAGGCTATTAAGGAGCAAACTACAGCTAACTGAACTTGCAAAGAGGAAACCTGATCGCTAATATCTGCTGCCTTTTGCAGAGCTGTCAAGCAGTACTTTGTGATCTCATTAAACCTCCACTAAGGAAGTCAATAGCATCATCTTCAATTCTATTCATACAGTTGGCATCAGCTCCTTAATAGCCCCCAGCACTTGAAGTTTATTCTGGGAGTATTATTATTTATTGAGTTTACATACTGCCCTATACCCGGAGGTCTCAGGGCAGTTCACAGAAAAGATCACAACATATATAATCAGAATAAAAACAACAACCCAATAACACGCACACATCCGGATGAGTGCACAAATTCTTCTGAACATCAGAGGTGTTCTGTTGAGCTTAGAAGTTTTTTGACATCTACTTGGGAGTCATGAACCTTTTGGTCAGTCACAGAACAAGGACTTCAAAAATGCTGGCTGTCAGCTTTTGTATACTATTTATACTGAACTGCTAATTGGGGTGATTCCTGCCTGATGTATTCAGAGAAACATCTGGCTTGACAATGCACAAGTGGAAAGCTGTGTTTGTTTATGCAAAATCAAACCAATGTCAGTCTTCCGTTGGCGTTCAGACCCAATGAAGGCACAGGAGAATACAAAGAACCAAAGTTTCGATGTGTCTTATATATTGCTTTTAAAAATTCAGCTCACTGAAATGAAATAATCTCTGAAAAGAGTGAAGTAAGCGCCAGTTCAGCACATTTACTATAGCTTGGATGACCACCACCACAAATACTTGATAACTGCCACCGAAAACAATTAAGTTATATACATAGTATCTTTTCGTATCTCATTAATTGGACAAAATTTATTCACGCTATTCATTCATATTGCATAAGAAAGTGCAATTGAACTTATCTTTTCCCCTGAAAGATCTTGAGTTAGAAATTAATGCAAAATACAGTGGTACCTCGGGTTCCATACACTTCAGGTTACAGACTCCGCTAACCCAGAAATAGTGCTTCAGGTTAAGAACTTTGCTTCAGGATGAGAACAGAAATCGTGCTCCAGCAGCGTGGCAGCAGCAGGAGGCCCCATTAGCTAAAGTGGTGCTTCAGGTTAAGAACAGTTTCAGGTTAAGTACGGACATCCGGAACAAATTAAGTACGTAACCCGGGGTACCACTGTAGTAGTTTACTTTAGTTAAATTTGGCTAAATTAAATATTTTAAAAAGCAAGGCAGTGCCGATTGCAAGATTCTGCAGTGGGCCACGGTGCGTTGCTATAGAAATCTATGTTGACTGTCAGCAAGCTATGGTTTTGAGGCACAACACATGCACATAACATAAACACGAATGTTGTCATCAAAACACACCTCGTAAGAGTTGTTGGTTTCTGCTTGAGATTCTTCCATTTTTGTTCCAGACCAGTTCCCCTGCTTTGGTGTACAGCAGGGGTCAGCAAACGTTTTCAGCAGGGGCTGGTCCACTTTCCCTCAGACCTTGTGGGGGGCCAGACTATACTTTTTTTGGGGAAATGAATGAATTCCTGTGCCACACAAATAACCCAGAGATGCATTTTAAATAAAAGCACACATTCTACTCATGTAAAAACACGCTGATTCCCGGATCGTTTGCAAGCCAGATTGAGAAGGCGAATGGGTCGGCCCCGGCCCCCGGGCCTTAAGTTTGCCTACCCATGGTGTACAGCAATGTAACCCACTTCCAGTCAATCATTTGTCACAATCAAATCTTAAGTCTTCAGAGAGGAAAAGGGGTAATATCCAGTTATCGTGGAAGGAAGTACTGTGTATTTGCAATGTCAAAAGAGTTGTTTTCAACAGCAAAGTGGACAAGGACAGGATTTCACACTTTCATCAATTTTCCGCAAGCAAGATTTGTGTGCACACCATCAGTGTGGATTTGTGTGCATGTCTGAGACCTTTTGAAATGACTGAATGTGTCTTTTGATGTAAATGGGGATGTACAATTTCTAGGAGACCTGCTAAGGCATAGCAATTGCTCACAGCAAAGGTCTATGGAGGTGCTTCACTTTACTGAAAGAGTTGGGAGTCAGACTGAAATACTCCCAGCTTGCAGTCTCATCAAATCTTAGGCTGAGTAAGGAAATAAAACCAGCTGTGAAGTAAATATATAGGACAGAACGTGGCTGCACTTTGATGATCAAATGTTCAACACAGAACGGAGCATTTGGCCCCAAGAGGAGCACTGAATGGGCCACACTTCTAGCTACATGGTTTTTACAATCGCCTTTTAGCATAAAATACAGTTTAGGATATATCTTAGCCAGTGAGATTAATCTGAGGCATGCATGATTGTTGCTAATTGAAAACTTGGGAAGGCTTTTAATTGAAGATTTATAATTGAAGACTTATAATTAATGAACTTACCCCAACGAGTAAGAAGGAAGATACCTTTTTAAGTACAGGATTCCTATAGTATTAATATTATGCTAATTGGGTCACACTGCAATCCTATTGAAATTAGCTGGATAGGTCAGGCATGTCAAATTTAAATGATCTCAGTGGGACTAAAGCATAGTTAAGTTATTCTGGATCCATTTCACCATTAAAAAAATTATATATATAAAAAAACCTTAAAATTTATCTAAAGTGACTCTCTAAATCAAATATGCACTTACTTTCATTTTGCCCTAAAAGCTGATTTCTTCATCAAAGAGCCTGTATTTTTTGTTGCACAGCATCTCAAAAATGCCTCTTCAGAAATGCAGTTAGCAAATACCCATAAATTGTCTCTTTTACAGCAGTACCACTTTTATACAAGTTTAGATCTCTAAATTTATCATTGTACCACACGAATATGGTGTTGACATGTGTTCGCAGTCAAAATAATTTACATCAGGAAGTAAACACTTATACAGCTGGAGAATATATTTCAATATGCAGGAAGGATATCTGTAAAAGAACTGAAGACCAAATAATTCTGAACATCCTTACCTATTACCTGCCTTGTGTACCACAGTGAAAGGTCGTGATTAACGCTGTCAACTACTGGAAGACAAAAATCTGGTACCTGGGCAGGGCCCTAAGGTCAAAACTAGAGGTTAAGGAGCTGATAAAATCATCATTAGCAAAAGATTCCTATGGAAGAGGGGGAAGTAATCAGTGGTAGAATTACTGCTATGTGTAATTATCCTATGTGTAATTAGGGCAAAAATCTAGAGACTCTACCCCATACCATAGAGTTTTTTACTCTCATCCCCTGTCCCACTGACACAAATCAGAATCGTAGAGTTGGAAGGGACCCTGAGGATAATCTAGTCCAACCCCCTGCAATGCAGGAATATGCAGCTGTACCATACCGGGATTGAACCTGCAACCTTGGCGTTCTCAGTACCATCCTAACCAACGGAGTTATCCAAGCTATATGAGGGAGCTATCCAACCTATGGGAAGGAGATTGCCCCAACAGGGCTTGCATAGTTCTTGACCCTGCTTTGGACACAGGTCAAGCCCCACACCCGTAGTTGCTCCCCACGTGGGTTGGAGTTTTCCATAAGGTTTCCACCATAGACCTTCCCTCAACCATAGTAGGGGATCCTCAGGGCCAAGGTCCTCTCTGCCAACGTGAGCACCAACCCCCCTTCCCAGGCAGCTCCTGGCCATTTGTAGTTTTGCAGCCTAAGGTAAGCCACAATTCCCAGAATTCCTGGAGGATGTGTGTGCTTTAAATGTATAGTGTGTACACTAGTGGGCAAAATGGTGGAAACCTTTGGGGGAAAGTGCATTTCTGAGGTTTGATGGCTCATAACACCACTTTTCTTGGAGTAATACCATTTATCAATGGAAAGAAAATATAATGAAGAATGTAATGCAACAAAGTTTGTTCAATTATCTGTATTTTGTCAATAACCAGAAAAAATAATCAACCTTGCTTAGGTTGATATATGCAGCAGCTTTCCTTCATTTGAATGTAGCCAATGAGCATGAGTGTTCAGAGAGCCAACCAGGTGGTGGTGTTGTTGTTTAGTCATTTAGTTGTGTCCGACTCTTCGTGACCCCATGGACCAGAGCACGCCAGGCACTCCTGTCTTCCACTGCCTCCCGCAGTTTGGTCAGACTCATGTTGGTAGCTTCGAGAACACTGTCCAACCATCTCGTCCTCTGCCGTCCCCTTCTCCTTGTGCCTTCAATCTTCCTCAGCATCAGGGTCTTTTCCAGGGAGACTTCTCTTCTCATAAGGTGGCCAAAGTACTGGAGCCTCAGCTTCACAATCTGTCCTTCCAGTGAGCACTCAGGGCTGATTTCCTTAAGAATGGATAGGTTTGATTTTCTTGCAGTCCATGGGACTCTCAAGAGTCTCCTCCAGCACCATAATTCAAAAGCATCAATTCTTCTGCGATCAGACTTCTTTATGGTCCCCTTCATGGATCACTGCCTGGCCGTGGTGAAGGGGCTTGAATAACTCAGAGAAGCTGTGAGCTATGCTCCATGGACAATGACAACCAGGTGTTATGACCATTAAACCTCGGAAATACATTTTCCCCAAAAGGTTTCCACAGTTTTGGCCTCTAATGTATGCAGAGGCTGTGAGAACAGCCGTGTGACCTGTAAGCACACATGTTGGGTTTTCTGAAGGGTGAAGATCAACAGTTGCTTCCCTTTCCCCTTCTCCACTTTTAGTCCTCCTATTCAGGCAGAACCCCTAAAGAGGACCAGAGCTGTCTAGCTGTCTAGGGATTTGGGCCAGCAATGGACTCTTAGGGGATGGTTTTTAGTCACCACTGCACCAATGCGTGGTTTTGCACTACAAATTTAAAGAGAAAAAACAGGGTTTAGGAGAGGAAATAAAAGGCACTTGGGCAAAAATTGCGAATATATGAAATGAATTTGGTATGTTGTCTTTGTCCTGTAACTACAAACTTCAAGGGAAAGGGGGATTATCCTGAGGCACAGAATTTTGGAAAACTGCTGCTGTTGAACTGTATTGTTGTACATAGGCTACTGTGGGACATAGGAAGAGCTTTATTAGATAGGACTCTCGGATGGTGACCCAAACAGTAGCAAACAAAATTAAGGTTACCATTAAGGTTATGGATAATTAAAGTTATCCATAAAGGTTGCCTTTATGGATGTTCTGATACCCATACAGACATGAGATAAGAACTGGCTTCACCCTCCTTCACAAACAATAGGTTACTTAAATCAGTTCTATGTCTTCAGCTGATAAGAGCTTGCATTATTGTCTTCTCATCGTCGCCCACAAGGAAGAGTGGTTGTGTACAAATATATGCCGTAGTTTCAACTTGCCAACATCCAAAATGTGTGACATGAGCTTTTGGAGGATGTGTGAAGGAGAACAAAAGTGAAAGATACAAGAATAAACTAGAAATGAGTTGAGTTTAATTTCTGGAACCCAAAAGGACATCCCTGTTTTCATCAGAGAAATGTTGGGGGGGTATAGAATAGGGTGTCCCTATTTTCGGAGAAATGTTGGGGGGTATGCACTTCAAGTAAGAAAACGATTGCTCAGCTGAGCGATTTGTGACCGTGAAAAATCCAGAAATGGAGAATTTCTGTGGTGTCCCTCTTTCCCTTGATGGCCCTAAGCACGTGCTTCTTTTTCTCAGTAGTTAATCCAGCCTTGCCAATGGCTCCCAGCAAACTCTGCTTAAGTTATAAGGTAAAGGTAAAGGGACCCCTGACCATTAAGTCCAGTCGTGACCGACTCTGGGGTTGCGGCGCTCATCTCGCTTTATTGGCCGAGGTACAGCTTCTGGGTCATGTGGCCAGCATGACTAAGCCGATTTCTGGCAGACCAGAGCAGCGCATGGAAATGCCGTTTACCTTCCCACCGGAGCGGTACCTATTTATCTACTTGCACTTTGATGTGCTTTCAAACTGCTAGGTGGGCAGGAGCACGGACCGAGCAACGGGAGCTCACCCCGTCGCGGGGATTCGAACCGCCGACCTTCAGAGTCCTCGGCTCTGTGGTTTAACCCACAGCGCCACCCATGTCCCTGCTTAAGTTATAGCTGTGGGAAATTCAGACGAGGTAATCATGAGCCTACTAACTCAGAGCAAACTACTAACTGCTGCCTCCAAAAAATGTATGTGAAGCCGGATAGAAGAACACTTTCCCTTGACGTCAAAGTGATCTGAAAGTTCACACCCACGTTAGACCTGGTTTGCTTTCTCTTGTTATCATAAAACAATTCCACCTTTGTTGGCTCAAAACAGTCCTGCTGGAAGCCAGAAGCTTCCTTACCCAGCCGTGTCAAAATCTCTCTTACTTACTTCCCCACCTTCTCTGACTGGCTATAGTTTCCTGTTCAAGCGGCAGACCACACACAAACCCTGCCGGCATCATGGCAAGATGTAGCACTGTTTCGTGGATACAACTCATCTGCTTCTCCAGCGTGCTTTGCAAAGGAGTTTTGTCCTTGGATCATGTGCCAATGCTGCTCTGGTCGACACACAGGTGAGACTTTCTGATAAGCCTCAGTACAGTCCATTTTAGAACGCTGCTCCTTACCTTTAAAAAAGGCCTAAAACCAAGAGATGGGAAATTGTGGCCCTCTAGATGTTGCTGGATTCCAGCCCCGCAACAGCCTCAGCTGGCATGCCCAATGGTCACAGGTGGTAGGAGTCGGGGACTAGCATCATGTAGAGCAGGGGTAGGCAACCTAAGGCCTGGGGACCGGATGCGGCCCATTCGTCTTCCCAATCTGGCCTGCAGATGGTCCGGGAACCAGCGTGTTTTTACATGAGTAGAATGTGTCCTTTTATTTAAAATGCATCTCAGGGTTATTTGTGGGGCTTGCCTGGTGTTTTTACTTGAGTAGAATGTGTGCTTTTATTTAAAATGCATCTCTGGGTTTTTTGTGGGGCATAGGTATTAGTTCATTCCCCCCCCAAAAAAAATATAGTCCGGCCCCCCACAAGGTCTGAGGGACAGTGGACCGGCCCCTTGCTGAAAAAGGTTGCTGGCCCCTGATGTAGAGGACCATAGGTTCCTTACCCCTAGCTTAAACGGTTTTAAGGCCAGGATATTTGAAGGTCTTAAATCCCTTCCTCTGTGCTTCTGCCTACCTTGACCATTCAGATCCTTAGCACTGTTTCATGTCAAAGGTTTGGTTGGTAGGTATGCAGGAGAGGGGCTCTGCAATGGCATGCAGTCTCTAAGGCTATGCTGAGGGGGAATCTGTTTGTCCCCCCACCTTGTGCTGATGGCCTTGTTCTAAGACATTTCTATTATGGCACGTTTGATTCTTGAGCCCTGATAATTTAGTATCTGTTTTGGCCAGATGGCTGTCCCGCCTCCACCTCCATTATGATGTGTGTGTTGATTTTAATCTGGCACTACTATTCAGTCACTATATGCACTGGTTAAGGCATCAGGTTGGGTAGATATACAGTGGTACCTCGGGTTAAGAACTTAATTCATTCCAGAGGTCCATTCTTAACCTGAAACTGTTTTTAGCCTGAGGTACCACTTTAGCTAATGGGGCCTCCTGCCGCCACCACACGATTTCTGTTCTTATCCTGAAGCAAAGTTCTTAACCCGAGGTACTATTTCTGGGTTAGCGGAGTCTGTAACCTGAAGCGTCTGTAACCTGAGGTACCACTGAATATATATTGCCTTGGATCCCATTTGTGAGCCAAGTCCAGGAAATGGTCTGAGCTATAGGATGTCCATATTTTCGTTGGTGAAATGCAACGGAACTGGAAGAACTGAACATGTGATTCCCAGGAGGTTCTCCATTCTTGCAGTTCTGAAATGAAAGGGACAGTCCCTTTCAATGTGGGCAAGAGGGGTTCTGGATGCCTGCCAGAACTCCGAGGCCCGAAAGAAATAACTAGATGGGGACAAAATGCCATGAGGAAAGGGGTGTATCGCTTCTTCTTTCTGCCTCTGAAGAAGGACGCTTCCCTGTGTGGAGACCTCAAGCACAGTGTGTGCTAGCAGGAGGATACATTATCTGGAAGAAAGCTAATCAATGCTTCCTCAGGATTTGTGGGGTGTGGGGCTTGGGTCTGGCACCTTCCATGGGACCCGCTAAACCTGGAACACAGAGGACATGGCAACATAATTTTATTAAGCTGTATTGACTTGCCTTCTGTGGTGCATTTGGCTGTTAACCAGAATCACATCTTCTTAGATAATTTTCTGCAAAAGCGGCTGAATTTTTAAGTGCTGTCCATGAAGAAAGAATGGGCCATGATAAAGAGACTTGGTGGTTTTTAATGGTAGGTGAGGTTGTTGTGTTGTTGTATTATATTATCTATGTACATCGATTTACTTCTTGGAGTTAAGAATAGGACTGGGATAAATTGTGTTCGCTGAGCCCGTATTTTATACAGTCTGTATATGATGTTTGTTTGTTAGTGTGTGGTGTGCTATGCCTAATAAAGGATTTTAATTTACTTTAATTTAATTTTCTGCAAAATGGAAATATTAACAACTTTTTAGGGCAATGTGCCCTCTGCTGGTTTGGGGGCCCTGGAAAATGGCCTACTTTGCTACCTGATTGAGCCAGCCCAGAGCGTGTGTGTGTGTGTGTGTGTGTTTGTGAGAGAGAGAGGCTAAGTGCATTTTAAAAAAACCTAAGTTCTGTAATTTTGAAAGCAAATAGTCAGTGGGGAAAAACAATAATTTATTCTGAAATAACACTGCTTATTAAAAATGAAAATGCTTTCAAGTCCCCTTCGCCCTTTATCCTTATCTGATAATGGCTGCACCTGTTGTCACCACAAACAGGTGAAACAGGAGCTCTTCTCTGTAGAAATAAGATGACCTAGAATTAGAAAACTTCAGTTCATGCAGGTAATAAAGCCAGGCTTCTCCCTGAAGAACAGCCAGAAACTTGCTCCGTGCAGTTTCTTTCTCCCCGATTCCATATTAAAGCCGGTTTGTGTTTGTAGTGTGATGCAATCAGGAATCCGTGAACTTTGAATTTCAAGAATCCAACAGCCTGACCTAGGAGATGTTTGACAACAGGAAGGGGGAGGGTGAAGAAGGGTGTGGTTGTCCTTGAAGTATCTCCACTATTATGGTGTCAAGAAGCTCTGCTGAGATAGGAAATGACTCCTGTGGTTTGAACTGTGATTGTGGGTGGGACAACCATTTCGTGCATAGTTTTGATGTGCCCATAATGCAGGTCTGGACAGAGGATGCCCATATCCTATTTCTACTTGAAGACATTATTCAGAAGTGGCCTGTGGTCCTCCAGATTCTTTCGGACTCCAGCTCTCATTATCCCTGGCCCGCATGAAACATCTGGAGAGCCACATGTTCCTCATCCCTGTTCTGTTTGAAAGTCCATTCAGTCCTAAATCTGGTTCCCTAGTTGGTCAGGGAGCAGATTGGGGCAGAGAAATCTTGTTGGGTCAAGCAAGGGAAAAATCAAAGGTTGAAGAACTGCCAGATTCATGTATATTTCCTCCCTTCTCCTTCCATCAGTCTATTTTTTTAAAAAAAAAATCCCTTCCAACGCTTCCAATGGAAGGGGATATCGTTATGCCAGCTCTGCAGATGTTTGGGGAATGTGGCAGGGAAATTAAATAAGCCACACCAACCCCTCCCTCAGAGCACACACACACACACACACACACACACCCTTGCTGTTGGTGCACTAACAGCAGAGTGGCAATAGCTGTAGTCCTTTTCACGCTACCTGGGCAGAGGGACTCTCCCTCTACTGCCATGGCCACAGAGATCCACAACATGTCATGGCCCCTGAGGGACCACACAGTTGCACCCTTAATTCCTTTTTTGCAAGTACCTTTCAAAACCTGCAGAGAGCATGCACCACCTGAAAAGAGGGAGAAGAGGGAATGCCTTTATTATTATCTTACATGGTGAAACAAACCTGCTCTGCCATCTAACACAACAATGCACGCATCTCCAGAGGCAAATGTGTGCAAATTCAATCAAGCTAGAACTCATACAGTTCATTGACTAAGGCCCCCCTCACCCCAGTTAGATAGCAGCTCTAAGAAATGCTCACTACCACCTCTTGCTCAACGTAGAAAAGGTCAGTTTGTTTATTTCTAAAAAATGCTAGTTTGCTAGCAGGGGCGGAGGAAGGGGGGGTGAGGTGGGTGTGGCCCACCACGGGTGTCACCACTGAGGGGGGTGACAAAATGATGGGTGGCACTCATCGCAGGGCCTGCAGCATGCCTGAGCCACGTGTCTCTCCTGGAATAGATGCGGTGGCTTGCACGTGCGCAGGCTCCACGCTGCCCAAGCAGTCCTCCCGCTGCCTCTCCCCCTGTCACGGTCCAGTTTAGGTGCAGTCAAAATCCTGGTAGAGGACATCGGGACTGGGGGCAAGACAGTGGAGTAGGAGCAGGAACAGGAGTCAGGAAGCCAAGGGTCCGAGAGCCAGAAGCCAAGAAGCCAAGGGTCCAAGGATCAGGAAGCAGGGAGTCAAGAAGCCACACGTGGCAAGGCAGGAAGCATGTTGCTGTGTCAAAGAGCCAAAGGGAAATGCTGACCTTATATCCCTTCCCGGCTCTTGCCACCAGGTGCTGTGAGTTACCAATCGGCCTCACCTGTGCGGCCGCGCCTTGCCTCTTGAGAACAAACTTAGGAAAGCCCCAGTCCTGCAAAGTCCTACCCGTCACGGGGCCTGGCTTCTGCACGCACTCCTGACACCCCCAGCCCTATGGATTGCTCACCCCACCCCTGGGTGCGCCGCCCCAGGTGCCCGAGCAGCTTCCTCCACCACTGTTTGCTAGCCATAGAGTAAAGGTAAAGGGACCCCTGACCATTAGGCCCAGTCGTGACTGATTCTGGAGTTGCGGCGCTCATCTCACTTTATTGGCCGAGGGAGCCAGTGTACAGCTTCCGGGTCATGTGGCCAGCATGACTAAGCCGCTTCTGGTGACCCAGAGCAGCGTACAGAAATGCTGTTTACCTTCCCGCCAGAGCGGTACCTATTTATCTACTTGCACTTCAACGTGCTTTCAAACTGCTAGGTTGGCAGGAGCAGGGACCGAGCAACGGGAGCTCACCCTGTCTTTGGGATTCGAACCACCGACCTTCTGATCAGCAAGTCCTAGGCTCTGTGGTTTAACCCACAGTGCCACCCGCGTCCCTCAGCCACAGAGTAGGTAGGAGCAATTGTAAAGAAGGCCGCATGCCTTGTTCTTTTGAAATATCCATAGCGTTCAATCAGAGGAAACCTTTGACAGTTTGTATAGTGACGGCCTGCTTTTGTGCCAAGATTGGGAGTGAAAGAAGCTCCTAAATGATTTCCCCCGATTTGACAGTGCCACTCTGACCAATATTTCCCCCTTCCTGCTTAAAAGAGAGATGCGGGCTGTTTTATTTGGCATATGGAATGATCTGGTGAATACCAACAAGGTGAGCTATCTGACTGCATGGGCAAGAGATTTTTCTTTGAGGAATCAGACGTGCTAAATTTGAAGATGACATTTCATATCAGACCATTGTTGGGTTGCCACTCCAAATAAAATTCCCTCGGCTAGAAGTGAATTGGGCTGTCACAGTCATATCACTCAGCGAGATGCTTCGGTACCTGTTTGAAATTCCACTAAAGCAGCCGCTTGTTTTAATTATGTAGCTCCAACTGCCGCCGTCGGCAACCGGAGCATCTTCCGTCGGTTTCTAGCAGCCGAATACAGATCCTGAAATTGTTTTAATTGGGGCATCTGTTTACATGAGACCGAGCAGGAGAGGAGTCTTCTTGTTTGTTGGCCTTCTCCTGGTTGAAAACCATACCAAAAATGACCAAAACTTAACAAATCTGCCACTGTTTGGGCTGATAGATAACTTGTGGACTTGCAAGCTCTAAATGTTTGGTTGGCAAATTGTTTGGCCGGAAGTGACTATGGACAGTTGCAGAGTGGGATAGTGATGGTCCTTACCTTTCAGCAGTTTTCTAGATGCCAAGAATAGTATTCCTTCTCCTTTTCTCTCATCTAAAGCAGGTCTGCAACCACATAGATCAGCTTTCCTCATCCTGGTGCTCTCCATGTGTCTCTGCCTACAACTCCCATCAACCCCAGCCAGTGAAGCTATGCTCTCAATAGCCTCACCATCGTATTCCCATGCTGGCAGTGGCTCATGGGCATTGTAGTCCACAGCATCTGTCAGGGGTGGACTTTAGTAATCTTTCATAATAGGGAGCCATGTAAGACAAAAACCTGGCGCCCACAAATGGATCTTCTCAATTTTGCATCTTCTCAATTTTGCATCTTCTTGGCTTGGCACCCTGTGGGGGGAAATCACCTGCACCACCCAAAATCTAGAGGGCACCAAGCTGAGAAAGGTTGACCTGGAAATAACAACATGGGGGGGGGAGGAGGTTGGTAGAAGATTGGCTTCCACCATTCGTCTCGAAAATGCAAAACAGCTCTGAAAGAAAAACAGTTGTTCTAAGAGAAGGATTCTAAATAGGCCATGAACCCATGAGAAGTAAAATGAGCTGCATTTTAACAATGAATCCTAGTTTTCCAAAAGTTTTCTGTGCTCATATCCCTTCAAATGTAATGTCATTTATTATTTTTGTTACATCTAATTAATTCTGATTCATGTTTCACATATTATTTTTAAATTAATAGCAGATTTTTTTAATTAAATAAAAAACCCTTGGAAAAATCCATCTGTGAGTATTTATTTCACACAAACTTGTGCTATTTTCACACATTATTTAAAACAAAATAGATGGGTGTTTGTTCTCTACAGAATCATTTTGGATGGTGTTTATTTATTTCTCTGCTCTGATGTGAACCACGTAGATAATTTAACAAAGCCAAAAATGCTACCGTGGACCCAAAACACCAATGAGCCCTCAGAGATTCTACTAACTAAATTAAAGGAAGAACTTACCTTGATTTAGAGAGCTTATCAGATTTATAAAGCCACTTACAGAACCTGTAAAATATAATTATATTAGTCTGAATTATATATTTGTAAAACATGCAGATAAACATAATCCCATGTAACCACATATAATTAGCTCCTTCAACCTGAAATCTTATACACACTTAGGAGTAGGGATGGCTGAACTAATTTCAGTTTGCCTCAGTTTTCCCCCCATTTGTTCATTCTTCAGTGCTGTTTGCCACATTTTTACATCTGTTTATTTTATTTTAAAAAAGAAACCACACATTTCTCCCACTAAACATGTCTCTATTTGCAATTTCCCTGTATCTACAGATTTTTCCAAGCGTTTCCCCTCAATATGATGCATTTTATTTGCTTTCTTTTTGGAGAAAGTGTGAATTAGATAGGATGTCACAGAGCAAGCTTGCCAGTAAACCACCCAGTTCAAAACTAGCGCTGACTCTTTATTAGCGAAAAATGATCGCCACAGACTTGGCTGAGTGTCAGGCCTAAGGAGCACAACACCTCATGCCCTGTCGGCCCTAAGCCACGGGTGTCAAACACAAGGCCCGTGGGCCGAATCCGGCCCGCCAGACCTCGTCATGTGGCCCGTGTAGCCGCCGCTGGCCACCAGCCTTCACCTTTTATTCTCGCTTTTTATTTTTTTTTAGGAGAAAGCTTGTGTGTATTCATTGAGGGAAAGACCGGGGCAGGGGGGGGGGTTGGCAGCACCGCACATTCAGAGAAAAGGAGGCCGGCCCCGGGGGCGGGCTGATGCTTTCACATGACTGACTGGCTCGAGGTTGTGCAAACAAGGCTGGGCTTTCCCTCCGCACGAAATCTGGCTGCCGCAGCGCCGCCTCTTCGCTTTAGCGCGCAGAAGGCGAAGCACACGGGAGTCCAGTCCGGCTACGAGCAGCAAAGCGGGAAAGGAGGCACCGCGCCATCCCATCCCTTCCTCCCCCCCCCAGGAGAGAAAAATGCCAGACAAGCCATAGTGCATTCCTAAAGGAGGGCTCTCCCCTTCACGCTGCCCAATAGCAAGCCGCGACCGTTCCTGCTAGCCAATGGCGAGGCGACAGAGGACTTTTCCATTCAGTTCTGCGCTACATTTCGGGGGGTGGCGTTTTGCTGCGCCAGCCGGGCCCGGGGGCAGTGGCGTAGCGTGGGTTGTCAGCACCCGGGGCAAGGCAAGTAATTTGCGCCCCCTAACCCGTGTATTTGCGGCCTCTAACCCGTGGATTTGTGCCCCCTAACCCTAACCCCCAGAGGTTGCGCCCGGTGCGGCCGCCCCCCCTGCACCCCCCACGCTACGCCACTGCTCGGGGGATCAGAGCGCCGGATTCGCACCGGCCTGACCCTGATCTCAAATACTCAGCGGCTCGCTCTGCAGATCTTTCTCCGAAAAGCGGTTGTTGCAGCGAAAGAGATGTCAGGTTATAGGTTCCTCTCTCCGCGCCTCCCCAGTTGGCACCAGCGGCAATCACGCGAAAAAGCGCACTGGTTTCTAAAGAAGTCTTGTTCCTCCCAAGGCACGTGTTGACTTTTTGCAGAGAGGCAGTTGCAAGGCGAGGAAAGCTCCTGGTAATCATAAAAATCCCATAAGGATAATTAAATTGGGATGGGGAAACTAGCTGGGAATTGCATTAGGGCCATGATCCACAAACCGCTTCCTTCGGAGCAAACACTTAAATAAATCCCAGTGGAACTTCGACCTTGCTTGTCGACATCATAGAGTGGTTACTGCTGTCGCAGTGTCTATTGTTCAAGAAGTGGCAGTTTTAACTATTTGCAGGCTACCGATCCACATCAGCCGCTAACGCAACATAAGGAGTTTGTGGGTTGGTCTGAACGTGACCATTTGTGCTCTGCGAGCAACCCCTCGCTGGAGAGAGGCTGTTTAGTGACAGAGCGCATGCTCAACCCTCACTGTCACCTGATATGGCTGGGAAAGACTCTTGCCTGAACCCTTGCAGAGCCGCTGCTGGTCAGTGCCTGGCAGTGCCGGGCTAGATGGACCAATGGTCCGAATCGAATTGTTACAATACCGATGAGACAAATACACCAGTCGATGGCAAACCTTTATTCTGAATGTGGCGGTGATTTGGAATCACTACCCTGCTCCAGTTTCACCTTGTCAGTCACTAATGCGGATTAAAATGCCACCCACACACGCGAAAGCACGTATTGGAAATCAGGCTTTGGTAGTTACAGCACGTTAACCAGTCTCGAGTAAGATACCAGTACTTACTGCCTGGAATAAAATTGGCGTGATGCATGTGGGTACTGGGAAGACAAAAGCAAAATACTGCTAGATACAGGACTCGCGGGATAAAGCCGTGTATAATTCCCCGAAGCAACAATACCTAACATTATTACAAAAAACAGTAATAATTGAATGCAGTGACAATAATTTATGATAATAAAGAGTGGACACATAGTCCTACAGATACAACCGGCCCTTTGAGGGTGACCAAACTGCTGATGCGGCCCCTGATGAATTTGAGTTTGACACCCCTGCCCTAAGCCATGAAATCAGTTGCCAAGATTAAAGGTCCCTGCCTCTCCACAGCCATCTATGTCTCCTCCTCCCTGGGGCTCTTTCCAAGCAGTCGGAGAGTGCACCTGCATGCGTCTTTGCTCTTCGCATTTCATGCCTCTTCTGGTTCTGGGAGTCAGGCAAGGAGGGGAGCTTGTCACAATGGGGTGCAGGGAGACACCCGTGACTCTTCACCAGCCTGACTCCTCTCTGCTTCTTAACCTCCCTCCTTCCACTCGCCTGCTTCAGCTTCTCCCTCTGATTCTGGACTTTCTAAGCCCCGTTGCCCCTTCAGCTTCCAACACCTCCTCTTCCTAGTCTTCTCCCTCTTTGACCACTCATGTGCTGAATTCTTCTGGGAACAATGCATGGAGAATCAATTCTTCTTTCTTTTTTCTTTAAAGTACTGAGTCAGTTTCCTAGGTGTAACCATTTCCACCAAAGATCCAAAGGGTGACCTACAACATTGACACGATATATTGAAGGAAGTCTATCATACAGTCCATTTTTGAGTGAAGGCCATGGCTCCTTCTTCCTCCAGCCCCGGAAAACAGCAAACTATTAAAATCCAAAGGCTTTATGTGAGCAAACACAGATGTGAAAGCCGAATGGATTGTGAAAAGGATTATTTCCAAAATGAGCCCAAGTGTACTGACATTCAGTGGTGTCTGTGAATAACAGGAAGAGGACTTTGTGTGTGCCATGCTTCTGTATGCTTCTTCTTCTTCTTCTTCTTCTTCTTCTTCTTCTTCTTCTTCTTCTTCTTCTTCTGTGATTACTCGTAGCCACGTAAGATTGTCTTCCATGAACACGGTTTTAACAGCGAGTCTGTAAGTGACTGTGGAGGCCAATTCTGGACCCACACGTCCTTCCACAGTGGGGACATAGGTTTCCAGGTGGGAGTTGATCATGGTGAGGGTTTGCTGAACGTGCCTTCCTCTTAGCACATTTCTCTCTTTTGTCCTGAGTTCGAGCATCTTCAAAGCCCATGACAGCTTTGGTAAAGGCTGTTCTCTAATTGGAGCACTTGCAGGCCAGTGTTTCCCAGTTGTTGGTGTTTATACTACATTTTTTTAGATTTCCCTTGAGAGAGTCTTTAAACCTCTTTCACTGACCACCAGCATTACGCTTTCCATTTGTACGTTCGGAATAGAGTAGTTGCTTTGGAAGACGATAATCAGGCAACCACACAACATGACCAATCCAACGAGGTTGATGTTGAAGAATCATTTCTTTGACACTGGTGATCTTTGCTTCTTTCAGTACACTGGCATTTGTTCACTTGTCTTCCCAAGTGACGTGGAATTCTTTTCGGAGATACCGTTGATGGAATCTTTCAAGGAGTTGGAGATGGCATTTATAAGTGGTCCATGTTTCACTTTGTGTGTGCCATGCTTCTATATGCAGAGGAGACCAGACTGTGTTAGAACTGCAATGGGTTGAGAGAGAAAGTTTGACACTTCCCCCCCTGTTGCAGTCCCCACCCAAAATTGTGTGCATACACACCCCAAAGCTGCTATTTTAGTTGGGGGTGGAGCCTCCACTGGCCCCATGCAATAGTTTAAGAACCCAAAGTCAGCATCTGGCTGCTTAGTAAATGGTGAGATCAGCAGGGCTTGGCAGATTGTACTAGCTGAAAAATTAACATCATTTGGTAGTTTGATCAGAAGGTTAATGAAGAGAAATCAGTTCATGGCTAAACTGTTCCCATTCATCATGAGTAAGAATGATGGGACAACTGAATATCAGCCGTCAACTTCTTTTGGGACTGAGTTAAAACAAGAATATATTAACCAAACGTACATGTTTAATACACAGAAATAATGGTGCAGCCACAGGAGACCTGTTATAGGGAATTTTGTTTTGTTTTGTTATATGTTGTTATTGCTCCCTGGGCTTTCATTTTATACAAAGCGTAATTTAAAAAATCATCTTGCTTCAGTCTCAGATTTGCTTAAAAGGTCAAGAGATTAACCTAGCCTTTGTCAACCTGGTATCGTCCACATGCTTTGGACTACAATTCCCATCAGCTCTTGCCACCCCCTGCTGGCTGGGGTCGACAGGAATCTCATCCAGAGGGTGGCAAAACAAGAACAGGCCTTTTCTGCAGTGGCCCCCCTCTGTGGAATGCTCTCCCCAGGGAGGTTTGCCAGGCACCAGGCAAAAACATTCCTTTTTAACCAGGCCTTTGTTTGATTGACATCCTATGCCCTTTAAAAATGTGTGTGTGCGTGTTTTATTGGGTTTTTTTATTATGTATTTTGTGGTTTTATATTCTGATTTTATCCTGTGAACCGCCCTGACACCTTTGGGTATAGGGCGGTGTCAGGGGTTCAGGAACAGAGGCACAGGGTAGGGAGGAGATGGAGAGCGATGGGGATGAATCCCAGGACAGCGAGGAATTTGATAAATCGACCCATCATCATAGAGATTCCTTGCATTTTCCTCTGTCACCAGTCACTTAACTATCTGAAGCTGCCTCAAGAGTGCAATGAAGGAATGTTTTCCTTCATCCTCGAAATGATGGATCAGGAAGAACACACAATAGCTCTCTGCTAGCAAAGCCCTGATGTATTTTCTCCTTGCTCTCCTGTGCACTGGGGGTCATCCTTATGAAAATAAAGTTAATATATGGTTTGTACACTGATTAAGCAAAATGTGCTGTGCAATACCAGTTGCATAATGTTCAACAGTTCCTTCCGTTAAGAACAGAGAGCAAACAATTCAGAATTCTGATGGCTTTCGCTGGTGAGATTTTACAGGTTTATTTATATCTTCTGCTCCGAACACTGTGATAGTAGATGTTTCTTTGTCTGCAAGTTCTAGACATAGCTCTGAAGTAATTTCTAATCTCATGGGCTATGTATGTGCCTATTTAATGTCACCTTCAAGACACAAATGAATTTGCAGACGGTAAATGGAACATGTTTTAAAATGCTTATGGAAGCAACTCATGGGAAAACAGCTTCATATTGTGTTACGTAACTCCTCTTGCACCCTCACATGAAATGGCTGGAATTCATTTCACCAGCAGAATCAAAAGAAGATTTACAACATTATATGCATTCACATTTTTTTTTAATATTAGTTTTTCAAATATATAAATAGTTCTCAGCTTATGCGTTTGTTTTCATGGAACCTGCCACAAAACTAGCCTACTTTAAAGTTGCACGCTGTGTGTGAGAGAGGGAGAGACATTCCTGAGCAGAGATGGAGACATGATTGTGTGGTTGTGCACAAGTGATGAGATATAGGGACATGTATGTGTGTCTGCAGCCTCTCTGTATGGTGAGTGCATGTGTGTGCTCTCTGTTTGTGCAGGAGAGTGTGTGGTAATAATAATAATAATTTATTTATTTATTTATATCCCACGCATCTGGCTGGGTTTCCCCAGCCACTCTGGGCGGCTCCCAAAAGAATATTAAAAACACAATAAAACGTCAAACATTAAAAACTTCCTGAAACAGGGTTGCCTTCAGATGTCTTCTAAAAGTCAGAGTTGTTTATTTTCTTGACATCTGATGGGAGGGCGTTCCTCAGGACAGGCACCACCACAGAGAAGGCTCTCTGCCTGGTTCCCTGTAGCCTCACTTCTCGAAGGGGGGGAACCACCAGAAGGCCCTCAGAGCTGGACCTCAGTGTCCAAGCTGAACAATGGGGGTGGAGACGCTCCTTCAGGTATACTGGTTCGAGGCCGTTTAGGGCTTTAAAGATCAGCACCAACACTTTGAATTGTGCTTGGAAATGTACTGGGAGCCAATGTAGGTCTTCCAGGACCGGTGTTATGTGGTCTCGGCGGCCACTCCCAGTCATCAGTCTAGCTGCCGCATTCTGGATTAATTGTAGTTTCTGGGTCACCTTCAAAGGTAGCCCCACGTAGAGTGCATTGCAGTAGTCCAAGATGGTTGGCCATCTTGTATATTTTCTTTGGTACCAGGAAATGCTCCCTGTTGTTAATAGGTGACAACAGCATCAGTATTTTGTGATTGTGAAGGCCCGCAGGACATAATACTGGCTTCCCATGGTAGTGGAGCTGGGGCAAGCACCAATGACTCTCTCTCATTTGGTGCAATGCTCTATCCCTGTGACAGACATTGTGTGCTAGGCCACACACTTCACGGTGGCCATTTTGTGACTGGGACCCTTGGCACCGGTCTCAATTTTTAAGTCTTTATAGCTCAAAGTGATAAACATCATCTCTAAAATGTTGTAAATAATATTTTTATTGTGTAGAATTCAGTAGAGAAGCGGAAGGGGCAGCGGTAAGAAAGCCATTTTCTAATTTATCAACATGCAAGCATCTGCACCTCTCTCTCTTTTACGAAAAGGAGTACATACACACACACTTCACAAACATCACACACATGTACAAATTGCTGTGCGAAATTTTCGATCCTGTTAAAAGAAAAGTAAACAGCCCTTTGAAAAATTAATTTCTTTCAGATCCTTCCAAGGCTTGGCAACCACTTTACATGAAGGGCATGTTATCTCAAAGCATGAGCTGCACACATTGCTGAAGCAAGCTCTGGCTTCTCCAGACCCCAGAAACGTCGCCTTGTTTCTTCAAGATGCGGTAGGTGTCGGCAATTTGTCTTGTCTCATAGCCGAGGAGTGCAGCTTGTGTCTAATGAGCCGAGATGTCCCCCCCAGCGACCTATGCTATCTTTTTGTTTTGTTTTTCAGCTTAGTGTGGATGACTTCACACGTTACGCCAGCTCCTCTGGAAATGAGACACCGTTTCGCAATGTTCAGGCAAGCATAACTATCTCATATGGCGTCTCCCAGCAGTTTTCAAAAGGAAAACAAAACGACACCTGAAAGGAATGACAGAGACATTGCAATTCTGGTAACAGGCTGAAGGCTCTTTCCAGCTCGAGAAAGCAATAGTCGTAAAATAAACTTAAGCACCTGCAATTTTCAGGAAAGTGTTTGACGTTACCCAAGACTTGCTGTTTCTTTCTGTGCGTGGATCTTTGGCAATGTGGGAGTTTCTCAGCTTCTGAGGGGTGGTTCAGTTAAGGAGATTCTGCCAGGTTCAGAGGAATATTTTGTGAACTGAATTAAAGGTGATAACTAAGGGCTGTATTCAACTAAATTTTACACACGGTAGACCCATTGAAATGAATGAATTTACTCTGAGTTGAATACCTACGTTTCCACTGGAGTTAAATGAATGATTGGTAGAAGAATTCTCATTCCAGCAATAGGGCATATTTTAAAAAACAAACAAACCTGGATGATAGGAAATCTAAATGCTTTAAGGAATGTAGTGATGCTAATTATCCATTGATTTGATGATGCTCACATAGCCATTACCTGAGAGGAAACAGATGGCTCTTTGATCTCCTTTTAACAAAGAGTACTAATGAGTCTGTGTTTTGGAAAATGAACATGTACTGTAACTAAAATACTTATAAACAGGAATGGGGAACCCCAAGCCACGGCCAGATTTCTTAGGGATGTATGGATCCGCTCCTGGCCATCAGTTGTACAGTGGGGAGCAGATTAGAAAGGAAAGGACTTTGCTGTTGTAGAATCATAGGATTGTAGAGTTAAACGGGACCACAATGCCCTGCAATGCAAGAACCTTTCACCCAACATGGGGATTGAACCCATTGCCCTGAGATTAAGAGTCCTATGCCCTATCAACTGAGCTATCCAGCAACTGAGGCTGGATAAGATCTGTAAGAAGATCAGCTGCGATAAATGTCTCAGAGGTTTTGTGTTCCTTGTAAATATGGAAAAAGTAGTCCATGCATTTTGCAAGTGCATGCAATTTTGGGTATGCAATTGCATCTTGAAGCATGAGGCTTTAAATACAGTAAAATAGGACCTGGGCCAGAGAGATGTGGAGATCTGTGTTATCACCTGAACCTCAGGTCACTTCACTGCCTGGCGACTGTAATAATCATCATGAGAGAATTGCGTGGTGTGTACCCGCCTCTCCCCTTGGAAAATAAAGACACAAGCCACAGCATTTAAGGTTAATGGGCAAAAAAAGGCCACAACTTTATTGATTGCAGGAATTGAGCGGTATTGGCTTAGGCATTGGTTCTATCGACTAACCGGCTTCAGCCTGATTGCTTGAAGACCGGCATGGGTTAACCGCCAGCAGGGGGAGTCCTGCTGATGTACATCAACTAGGAGCTCCCTCAGGGTCACTGCTCGGGGGCATGCCTTAGGCCCACACCTCCATAGGCTTCGGACAGGGCAACACCCCCCGGAATCCTTTACCGAACTACCCTTCGATTTGGGGGAAGGTGATGGCGCTTCCTCCTCATCTGAATAACAATACCCTTACCAATGCCTAACCGCCATTGCCAAGGAAGTTGTGACAATTTGCTACGAGGTAGGTGAAAAACCAAATGGCTGGTGCCAATTTGCCAAGTGGAAAAAATTCCTACCAGGCCCCTTGACGGCAACCAACCGAAGTCCATATCAAGGTCAAAGAGCCAAACCTAAGGGCGGGTGGGGTGGGAAACCGGAGCAGCTGGAGCGAAGAAGAGAGGGAAATCCTCGGCTGCGCCGGCCCTAAATAGCCCGGGGCGATTGGCTGGCCAGGGAGATGACGCGTCCGAGGATTCCCCCAGTCTCGCGGGGGCTGTGATTCAGCCCCCGCACATGTGGGGAGGGCGTGGAGCCCACAACCCCACCTCCTCTCCAGCTCGGAAGTGGCTTTGTGAGGCTTCCTTAAAACTGCTAGTATGCCACATCATAGGACAGGACCATTTGTAGTTCACACACACACACACACACACACACACACACGAACACTATTTTAAACACAAGGTTGACTTTTTCATCAACCTATAAACTGCTTGCAAAACAGCCAATTTTCACATGTACACACAGAGATTAATTAACCTCCCCCCCCCAAATAAAAACATTCAGAAAATTGTGAACACTTGAACATTTTTTTTGTTCAGCTTGATGATGATGATGATTATCGGGTTGTTTATATAATGAAATTGCATGTCAAATTCTTGTTGAGGATAACAGAGTTTATTTTGCATAATGGAGGCTCTAAACGACTGTAATCAAGCCTATCAGAGTAAAAAAGAAAAAGAAAGCAATCATTCCTGCTTTAATCATCCAATTCATAATTAACTGTTCTTTGTGCTTACTACAGGAACTTCTGAGGCCTTCATCATCTTCTTTAGTCTTGCCAGCTGTGGACTGCCATGCCGTGAGTCACCTTTCAGTGTACCTCCAAGAAACGCTGAACTGGGCCTTGGTAAATGTAGACGGCAAAGAAACATCCCAGCTGATGGTTAATGGATCCAAACCCAATGTGTTTGTGATAAAGCTACCACTGACCAGCAGGTATGAGGTGCTGTAAAGGCTATTATTATTATTATTATTATTATTTATTAAATTTGTATGCCACCTGTGGAAATAAGGATGGATGACATGGGAGTTGAATGCATGTGACCTGTGCAGGAGCAAGCAAGCTGCCGGCTAGCTTCGCAGAGCCTCTTTTTATTAGCAGAAATCAAAAGTTGGAAACAGTAGTGAAACCACTCTGAACTTAACAAATTTCCAGCAAGGCACATTTCCAGCGTTAGCAATTGACATGTCAAACCAGGTCCTTCCCCCAAATGTTCCCCTGATACTTGATAACGGCTGCCTTCAGCTAGTTTGGTGTAGTGGTTAAGAGCGGTAGACTCGTAATCTGGTGAACCGGGTTTGTGTCTCCGCTCCTCCACATGCAGCTGCTGGGTGACCTTGGGCTAGTCATACTTCTCTGAAGTCTCTCATCCCCACTCACCTCACAGAGTGTTTGTTGTGGGGGAGGGAGGGAAAGGAGAATGTTAGCCGCTTTGAGACTCCTTCAGGTAGTGATAAAGCGGGATATCAAATCCAAACTCTTCTTCTTCTTTTTCTTCTTCTTCACTCGTCATGCTCCAGCCAAGTGGAACATTAAGCAAAGCTTTCTGCGAGGGAGGCTAAGGGCAGAGACTGGGCATGGCGGCTAGACACGCTGTGGCATGTCGTATGCTTAGGTGGGGGTATGCCCCCATGCTGCATCCGCCATCCCCACACGACCCTTCATCCAGAAATCTCAGGAAGTTCACAGCACTCTTGCATGCATGTACAAAACTCTTGTGGCTTTTTACGCAGGTCTTATGTAAGAATCATACATGTAGCAGACTCACTGAAATGAATGAAACTAAGTTAGTCACATCTATAGGCGTTTTCTGTGTAGGACTTGCATTGGATACAGCTCATAGATACAGCATCTCCACCCCCTATTATTCAGCCCGGATGCTGAAATCCAGCTCCGAGGGTCTTCTGGTGGTTCCCTCACGGTAGAGAAGAGAAGCTACAGGGAACCAGAAGTGAGCATTCCAACTGGAGAACAGCCTTTACCAAAGGTGTCATGGACTTCGAAGACACTCAAACTCAGGACAAAAGGGAGAAATGAGCTAAGAGGAGTGCACATTTGGCAAACCCTCACCGTGATCAACTCCTGCCCGGAAACCTATGTCCCCACTGTGGAAGGACATGTGGATCCAGAATTGGCCTCCACAGTCACTTATGGAATCACTGTTAAGATCGTGTTCATGGAAGACAATCATACTTGGCGATGAGTGATCACCAAAGAAGAAGAAAGACAGGGAACCAGGCAGAGAGTCTTCTCGGTAGTGACACCCGCCCTGTGGAACACCCTCCCATCAGATGTCAAGGAGATGAGTAACTATACAACCTTTAGAAGACATCTAAAAGCCCAGTATACCTGAAGGAGTGTCTCCACCCCCATTGTTCAACCCAGACACTTGAGGTCCAGCGCTGAGGACCTTCTGTGGTTTCCTCACTGCGAGAAGCAAAGTTACAGGGAACAAGGCAGAGGACCTTCTCGGTAGTGGTGCCAGCCCTGTGGAACGCCCTCCCATCAAATGTCAAATAAATTAACAACTATCTGATGTTCAAAAGACATATGAAGGCAACCCTGTTTAGGGAAGTTTTTAATGATTGATGTTTTAATGTATTTTTACTCTTTAGTTGGAAGCTGCCCAGAGCGTCTGTGGCAACCCAGCCAGATGGGCAGGGTACTACTACTACTACTACTAATAGTAGTTGTTATGATGATGAAAGGTTTTGACCACCAGATACTGCCTCCTATGATGTTCCAAAAGTCCAAGACTGCCACACGTTATGTTATCACTTCTTTAATTAATGCCAAGGCACTCTGGTTTCTATAGCCTGGGGTGGAGAACCTGTAGCCCTTCAGGTGAAGTTTGATTTCAACTTCCAACTCCCATCAGCCAGCGTGACCTCTGAGCCAGACAACTCCCATCATTCTTGACCATTGGCCATGCTGCCAGGGGCTGTTTAGAGGTGTAGTCCAAAACACCTGGACTACAAGTTGAAGAAAGCTGATCAAGGATTTTGGGAACCATAGTCCAACAAGTTCCAGAGAGTCACAGGCTCCTCCAGTCTGTGTTATGAATTTATGGTGTGGACATGACCTTTGAGAATCATCTTTCCAAGCTTCCTGGAGATGACGGGTATTGAACCTGAGTCCTTCCACATGCAAAATTTATGTGCTATGATTGATCTATGGGCCTTTCCCTAAGGGGAAGAACCCCTTACACTGAGGAACAATGTTAGGAAAAACAACATGCCAAACACATTCCATATTATTAAATTTTCCAAGTGCATCATTTGAATAAAGCTGGGAGGCGAGTCATTCATCTTGACTCCTATTGCCTGACACAAGAAGCAGGCAAAAATAAAATAGGTGACACATTTGTAAATGATAAATGGATTTTTTTTAAAAAAAGGAACCCTGAACAATTCTGTGAAATCCAGTATCGTCTAAGTAAACAGAAAAAAAGATATTGATATAATAAAAATGTTTTAGATGTGCTGTGTCTCTTTCAATATCCGTAACCTCCTAAGGTTCTGTTCACCTGACTTACGCCATCATCTGTTGTATGTTAACAGTCAGCACAGAGTGATTTTTCACCTTCATAGTAATATGGTGAACCTGCCTTCTGAATATTTTATCCTCTGGGACAACCACAGAAAAATGAATGCATTCCAACCGACAGGTAAATTTATTGCCTTATCATGTAGCATCATATTCAGAAGACAATTTCATGTCTCGCATTTTCTTAGAAGGCTTTTTGGAATGACCCCTGAGAATTCACACACACATGCATGTATGTATGCACGCATATACACAACTCTGAATGGTTTGAGAGTGCTTCTTGTGATTTTTATCCAAATGCACCACCTCGCAGTGCAAAGCAATCGCTTAAAAACCTCACCTATGCAAGCAATTCCACAGGCATTGCCCTCTACCATCTCCCAATGCACACAACACGCAGATACCATACAGCCGGTTTCCTCCAGAGACACATGTGTATCTAACATGCGTGCTGGAATTCAACAACATCCTGTGAGTGCACAGCACAGGATCCTCACCTCTGGCTCCCAGAAAAGGTGGCACAACTTGAGAGAACCAGGTGGCAATTTAATGCATCTTTAGCATGAGGTCAACTTGGCTAAAGTTTGGCAGTTTTGCTTCCCCAAGCAGCTTGGCTAGACCTGGCTAGTTTGGGAGGTATGCTTGGGGATAATTGCATTGTCCCTTTCTGAACAACTCAAATAGTTTCGGTGGCACATGTGGGGGCATGTTGGCGCTAGTCTCCCCTTTACAGAGGACAGCATTTCCATTGCAAGAGTTGTCGGAAAGTGCGGTCCTGTATCTAAAGTCCAAATATGTTTTAAATGTAGAGAACTATAAGACAGGAGAGCAGCAGGGGCCTTGAGGTTACTAATCAACAGCACACCTACCCAGTGGTGGAGGAAGACTCTCGGGCACCTGGGGCGGTGTGCTCAGGGCGAACTGCCCATAGGGGCAGGGTGAACTGCCCATAAGGACAGGGCGCATGGTGCCCAGAAGAAGAAGAAGAAGAAGAAGAAGAAGAAGAAGAAGAGGAGGAGGAGTTTGGATTTGATATCCCACTTTATCACTACCTGAAGGAATCTCAAAGCAGCTAACATTCTCCTTTCCCTTCCTCCCCCACAACAAACACTCTGTGAGGTGAGTGGGGCTGAGACACTTCAAGAAGTGTGACTAGCCCAAGGTCACCCAGCAACTGCATGTGGAGGAGCGGCGACGCGAACCCGGTTCCCCAGATTACAACTCTACCGCTCTTAACCACTACACTACACTGGCTCCCTCCCATAGGGAGGGACAGGATGGGCAGCGCCCATAGGGACGTACGGGGCACACGGCACCCATAGGGACAGGGCGTGCCGTGGGGCCTCAGCTGTCCTACATCTGGGGGGAAGAGGCAGTGGGCAGACAGCGTAGAGTGTCACGGTCCAGTTTACAGGCGGTCAAAGTCCTGGCGGAGGACGTCCGGACCAGGGGCAAGATGGCGGGGTGAGAGCAGGAACGAGAGTCCAGAAGCCAGGAGTCCAGAAGCCAAGGGTCAGAGAGCTGGGAGTCAAGAAGCCAAAGGTCTGAGGATCAGGAAACCAGGAGTCAAGAAGCCAAACGCAGCAAGCCAGGAAGTGTGTTGCTGTGGCAAAGAGCCAAAGGGAAATGCTGACCTTATATCCCTTCCTGGCTCTTGCCACCAGATGCTGTGAGTTATCATTCGGCCTCACCTGTGCAGCCACGCCTTGCCTCTTCAGAACAAATTTAGGAAAGCCCTAGTCCTGCGAAGCCCTACTGGTCACAGGGCCTGGCTCCTGCCCGCACTCCTGACATAGGGCCCGTGGGCACTGGAGACACATGGCTTGGGAGTGCTGCAAGCCCCACAGTGAATGCTGCCCGCCATTTTGTCACCCCCCTCAGTGGTGACACCCGGGGTGTGAGCTGCACCTATTGCACCCCATTTCTACGCCCCTGCACCTATCTGTTCAAGGGCGACATCATGGCCCCTATTTTTCTTGGACTAGATAAACTAAAATTACGTATTATGCAAGATACCTAGATTGCATTGAATGGCTCTGTTGGACTACCCTGAATGGACTTGTTAATCTAATACAGACATTTCTGCCTCCCTGTCTTGCTCTTCAAACATGATCTCTCATTATAGGCTGTCCTATAGGTGTTGTCAATAGTCACATTACGTAAAGTCATTCAATGGAGGCATAAATTATTGAGTCTGACAAGGATCTGATTATCTGTCTTATCCAATACCAGCTTGTTCTTCTGTCAGTTTACCCATTGTTGGATTTGTTTTTTAATCAGCTTTTCCTTACTCAACAGCAAATTACCCTGAAAACATTAGGTCTCTTAGGAAGGCAATCATTGTTAATAACAAATCTAAGTTTTAAGGGGCCAGCCTAAACACAACGCATTCATTGTTTTTCCCCGTGGAAAGTTTTATTAATTTTTTAAACAATAAAACAAAAATTGCAAGGCAACAATTTCATCAAAAACAAGAAAGCTGGTATACACATTTACATCCAGTTTATATAATTTATGGGTTGTGCAACTGTTTCTACAGTATGTTATCAATGTACATATCCTCTTCATAGGCTTTATTGAGATAAGGGGGGAGAAAACGATCCCCCCCTTATTAACATATGCAAAAAAGGAAGCCATATGTTGCCAAAATTGCCATTTTTTGTTATCCCTTTTCATACCCTCCAACATAAAACAAAGGAAAATCGGGATGTGCCTTTTTGGGGGCCGTGCTCCTGTGTAAGTTGTGATTTTTTGAGAACGCACCTTCCCCAATTGCTCATATTTTGGGGCTGAGTTCTCGTGGGAGCCAGGTGACTTGTGTGAGAGCACGCCCCACACCCCAAAATAGGCATCTTGGAGAGCTGTGCTTTAACAGGAAACAAAACAAGACATCCCAGGATCCAATCAGAAACCAGGATGGCTTCTGTAATTCCAGGATGTCAAAGTGCAACAGTTGAGGGGCATACCTTTCATTGCTCTTCTATGTCACAATGCATTCATGTGGCTTGAGGGAAAAGGTTAGCTTCCCAATGCCATGGTCCCAATCTGGATAACCCCCTCCCCCCACTAAATAGCCTTGGGACCCTGATGTTGGGGGGCGGGCGTCATTAACCCTTTATCTCATGCCACTGTCCGATTCCCGTTTTGTATTCTCCATTTTGCAATCTCTACCCAAGACAACTGGCGTCTTTCGGAATTAAATTAAACCGCTGATTGAAGATTAGATTTCCAGCTCTGGAGTTATCCTTGCATTCTATATGTGATCTGATTTTGCAGCCCTCCCCTCTTTCTGGAATACTGTTCCCTTACTGATTCCCCTGGATGCTTCAGTTTGGAACATGCCCTGTCTAGCAAACCTAGAATCATAGAGTTGGAAGAGACCACAAGGGCCATCGAGTCCAACCCCCTGCCAAGCAGGAAACACCATCAGAGCACTCCTGACATATGGTTGCCAAGCCTCTGCTTAAAGACCTCCAAAGAAGGAGACTCCACCACACTCCTTGGCAGCAAATTCCACTGTCGAACAGCTCTTACTGTCAGGAAGTTCTTCCTAATGTTTAGGTGGAATCTTCTTTCTTGTAGTTTGGATCCATTGCTCCGTGTCCGCCTCTCTGGAGCAGCAGAAAACAACCTTTCTCCCTCCTCTATGTGACATCCTTTTATATATTTGAACATGGCTATCATATCACCCCTTAACCTCCTCTTCTCCAGGCTAAACATGCCCAGCTCCCTTAGCCGTTCCTCATAAGGCATCGTTTCCAGGCCTTTGACCATTTTGGTTGCCCTCCTCTGGACACGTTCCAGTTTGTCAGTGTCCTTCTTGAACTGTGGTGCCCAGAACTGGACACAGTACTCCAGGTGAGGTCTGACCAGAGCAGAATACAGTGGCACTATTACTTCCCTTGATCTAGATGCTATACTCTTATACCTAAATCCTTAAAATAAAATTAAAAAACCCCCAGAGCTACCGGTAAGTTGTTTGGTTGATATATTTCTGTGCTGTTCTTTTTTCTTTCCTGTGTTTTCATTTTCATTCAAGTCATAGTAGTATTGTTGTTTCAACTGCAAGTGGTAGGCCATGTCAGTATTCTTCCCCTTCCAACATTTTCAATTTCTTTCTTTCTATGTTTCCCATGTAGGACGAATGACCTATCCACACGAAAGCAATTCCTGGAAAATGGTAAGTGAAACAATCCACAAGTGAGCCAGGTTGTTGTTAACAACAATTAAGCATGAAAGATCAGCATTCAGGGGGGAGAGAGGCTTTCATGCATATTCCCTTGCTAGAGAAGGAATAACGTGTACAAAGTGAACAGAGATCTAGTGGTAGTGGATCCACTGTGATCCGCACCTACTCTGTGGATATGCGTCCCATAGCTGTCAACGTTTCCCTTTTTAAAAGGGAAATTCCCTTATTCCGAATAGGATTCCTTGCAAGAAAAGGCAAAAGTTGACAGCTATGATGTGCCCTCTTGGGGTCATATGCCAGTTGAGCCCAATAATAAGCAACTGTACTTTTATTTAATTAATTAGTACAGCAATATCTCTATCATAGAACTCAAGGCATGAAACATCACAGTTTCCCCAAATTCATGGTCAATGGTCAGTGATGTCAGACACTGTAGACCAACAACATATGGAGGACAACATATGGAGGAATACAGATCTCCTCTTATTGTAAAGGAATTTTTTAACCACTTCATGTGTTATCACCCCAGTTCACATGTCAACCAGATTCATATCTTAGCAAAAAATTGAGCTGCCTGAATAGTATGTGGGCAGTGCTGGTGGTCTGCCTACTTCATCTAATCTTTCCCTCACTTCAACTTACTTTTTAATCACTTTAAATAGTCAGTAAACCTCTGGACCTTTTCTGAAGCATTGTTTTGATCGGGGAAACTTAGATGTCTTACTTTGCTTTTGTAATTTGTCAAGTACATTGTTTAACGGTTAATATTTCAGTATAAATGAGCATGGACACTTCTTTACTGCCTGAGAATTGTTGCCTTCCAAGATATCATAGCAATTTTGCTATGACATTTAATGACATTGTTAAGCAGTTATAATAAATTTTATGTCTACAGACAAAATAATTGGAGAGTTTACTAAGTCTTTGCAGCAACAAGGAATTGAGTCTGTGGCCATTTATACAGCAAGCCGACCTTCAAAGGTGAGTATTTTCCAGAGCCTAGAGTCCTCAAATGTTTGGCATGTGGTAAATTAGCAGATATAGTGTTTGATTTTCCCCATTTCACAAGTGTTGCGTTCGCTGTATATTATTTTGCTCAGCAAATGGGGTGAGACTCTGTGCTTAAAGTCAAAGCAACCAAGGCTTCTAGCAAGAAACTTAGAATATGAATGTTACTAACAACGATGAACACTTTAAATATAGCACTAATGTTCTGCCATAAGGATTAGGCAACTGTTATGTTTTGGGTGAAGGGACAGTCCCCACATCATAACTTCAAACAAGACACAAGATTTGGTAAGAAAAATGAAATAAGATGGGTTATGTTTTTACACTGGTAGGGTTATTGGCCCCTGGAGTGCTCTCAGACAGAAAAACAAATGGCTTCTAATGTGCACACACAGCTGTGTGGAAACAGGAGCTGCTCGTTCATTTAAATATTGTGGAGACAACCATTCACTCATCATCGTATTGTAATGCGACATTTTATGAAGTTAATTGGTTAGGCCAAGGCTGGGCTCCCTGATGGATATCCTCCAAATATTGTTGGATTACAACTCCCATCCTTCTTTACCATTGATGATGATGAGAGGTGAAGTTCAACAACACTTGGAGGACCAAAGATTCCTCAGCCTTGGGCTGGGCCCTGATCCTGCAGAGCTTCCTGTGCTCATTATAATATGCAGAATTCATGGATTTAGCAACTTTCTCTCACCCCCAGTTTTTCACTTGTCCTCCTGCAAACCTGAAGGTTTCCCGAAGCCTGCTGATACCTCCATTTTGTACATGGATGATGCTGTTTTATTTTTCTACATAAAGATACACACTCAGAGTGAATTAACAATTTGTATACAGCAGCATTCTCCAACCCAGTGCCCTCCAAATGTTGGATTACAATTCCTATCAGCCCTAGCCAACATGGCCAGGGGTCAAGGATGATGGGATTTGGAGTCCAACAAAACGTTGGAGTCCATCAGGTTGATGAACTTCAAAACCTGCAATGGATCATCCAAAATAACACACAGTATCTGGTTCCAGAGACCTAGCAGTCTCTTACCAGAACTCTCTCAAAAAAGGTTGGTGGAGCTTAATTTAAGTGATACTGTAATGGGCAGAAACCAGAACCTTCATTCATAATCCATCACTGATGTACATATTTTATTTCCCCTTCCGATGAAGGCATTGTTCAGTGCCTGAAGAATTGGAAATGCAAAATTAAACTTCTTTGGTTAAGTGATCTTTACTGAGCATCACAGACCTCACAAATTTTACATGCAGCTGAGGTCAAGATGGGCATGAATAGTCTGATTCATGGGTCAAAGATAATGGATTAATTCCAGAGTAACAGAGCCATCATGGAGAGCTGGTGAGGTGACACTCTGTAGGCTCTTTGCATATACTGCAAAGAGTTCTGCAGGCATATATCTGCTGCTGGTGATATTTTCCCCAGTAGTGTGATATGAGACACCCGAACAGAGCATTCTGAGGGTTGATTGAAGGGAGGGCAGAAGTGGCCTTGGACCCATGAGGTTTAAAGCTTCTTCATCCCTCCAATAGGCCCCAAGGTTGGGCTTATCACCTACATCAGCTTGTAGCTGTCATAGTTAATTTATTAGCTTCAGTGGGTGTGAAATTTTAAAAATGAGATCTGCAGGGGCAAATAAGAAAATCCGCACCTCCCATCCTGGTTAGCATAACAGACAATCTGCCACTTCCCTTCCCTGTGTACCCCTTTGGTTTTCTCTGCTGATCAGTACAGTGGTACCTCGGGTTAAGAACTTAATTCGTTCTGGAGGTCCATTCTTAACCTGAAACTGTTCTTAACCTGAAGCACCACTTTAGCTAATGGGGCCTCTCCTGCTGCTGCACGATTTCTGTTCTCATCCTGAAGCAAAGTTCTTAACCCGAGGTACTATTTCTGGGTTAGCGGAGTCTGTAACCTGAAGCGTATGTAACCCGAGGTACCACTGTATAATTTAGTTCCCATTCAAAGGTGGGTGGGGAATCCTGACTTCAGCTCCATTGATTTCAGTGGGAACTATGTGCTTACAATCCTAACCATGTCTGCTAAATTAATTCAGTGGGGCTCATGCCCAAACAGTTGGGGTTAGGATTTCAGCCTTAGTTTGGCTCCAACAGATGCAAGGGTAATTCATCTACTGTCATTTTCAATGCATTACGAATGCTGGAGGGGGAAAATGAATGCACGGGAGACAGACGAAAGGGAACAAGGCGTCCCATCTACCCCCCAGCTTTTTTTCTGTTTTCCTCTCCATTTGAGCACTGCTTTACATTAAGAAACTAAATTTTAACTTGTAGCTGTAGACAATATACTTAATTATTTCCCAGCTGGGTCAGCCAGAATCCTACATGCAAAACAAAGCAGAGTTTAAAATAATTACAGCAGAACTGCTTCAAGCTGGCTGAAGCTAGCTGTGTGTTACTCTGGGGAAAGCAAACATCAGTTTGACTAGATAGTAGACGGAACGGCGCAGAGACTGTGAAATATGCTTGTTAGTAGTGTCTTGTTATTCATTCTGTGCGATAGTCCTATATTTGGTAAAAGGAAGAACACTAGTTTCTGCACTGGAATTTTGTTGTTTGTTTTTCTGCCGGAACTGAAATAGCATCTCTTTTGATTTTGATAGTACCTTGGTTTTCTTACAGTGATAAAGGGGGATTTTATACCCATTATGCCACCGTACTCTTATGAAGGTTAGAGACAAAGTGTACACAAATGGATAGGCCAGCAATGACATTTGTTCTCATTTCCTAGCATGACACCTGGAAAAAATCCAGAGCGGATACTAAATTGGGGAATTTGTCACTATAGCAAGGAGAAGGTTAGAGACAAGGTCTGCTTCCAGATGAGGGGCTCTTAGTTGTAAGCTACACACAGGATTGCAATTGACTTTCAACACTTTCTTCAGGAGTGGGGAATCTTTTTCAGCTTGAGGTCCACATTCTCTTCTGGGACAGGAAAAGTGGACAGGGGAATGAATGTAAATTGGAGCAGTAGGCTAGTTTTACACGTACTCAGACAGCCCTCTCTGTCCAGGGCTGCCTTCGGATGTCTTCTGAAGGTTGTATAATTACTTATCTCCTTGGTTCGGGGGTTGCATAACTCCATACGCTCCAACATTTCTCCCATGATAATAGGGACGTCCTAAGCAAAATTGGATCAAATCAGAAACCAGGACAGCTTCTGTAAATCCTGGAAAATAGGGACACTTGGAGGGTCTTTAAGAAGCTTTGTCAGAGTTCAAGGATATATTCAAACCAGGCAAAGTCACTCAGGGAGATGCAAAAGAGGGCTTGTGAGTAGTGTAGCAGAGACAGGAGTATGGCCTGGGGACCAGAGTCCAGAAGTCCAGACACAGAGGGACAAAGGGCTGGAGGGCCACATTTGGCCCCTGGATCAGAGGTTCCCAATCCCTGGTGTACATCCCGCTATGTTCTGTCCACACCAATGGGTGTGTTTTAGGCTGTATCCTTTGAAAGCACTATGAAACCACTTCAATCAGCCATGCCTTTGCCCAAAGAGTCATGAGCGCTGTAGCTTGTTAAGGGTGCTGAGGCTTGTTAGGAGACTCCTATTCTCCTCATGGAGCCACATTTCCCAGAGTTCCCTGGGAACAGGGATTGGTTGCTGAGCCACTCTAGGAATTGTAGCTTGGCGGGTGGGGGGAGAAAGGTGTCTCAAGAACTCTCAGCACCCTTAACAGATGACAGACCTAGGGTTCTTCGTGGGACTGATTAAAGACTGATTATAGTGGTATCATAGTGCTTTCAGTGAATGGTGTGACTGTGGCCTTAGTTGCTTTGAAACTCAGCACACTATAGTCGTTGCTGTGGGTGGCATTTTCTGACACCCCATCACAGATGGGAGTTGTAATTCAGCAGCATCTGAAAGGTCAAAGGTTCCCCGCACCTGATCTACACCTGACACACATAAAGTCATAAAGGTGTAGAGTTTGACCACAGAATCTACTGAACTTAGTAATAATTTTATTATTTATACCCTGCCCATCTGGCTGGGTTTCTTCAGCCACTGTGGACGGCTTCTAGCACATATAAAAACATAATAAAACGTCCAACATTAAAAACTTCCCAATACAGGGCTGCCTTCGGATGTCTTCTAAAAGTAGTGTAGTTCTTTATCTCCTTGGCATCTGCTGGGAGGGCGTTCCACAGGGTGGATGCCACTGCTGAGAAGGCCCTCTGCCTGGTTCCCTGTAACTTCACTTCTCGCAGTGAGGGAACTGCCAGAAGACCCTTGGAGCTGGACCTCAGTGTCTGAGCTGAATGGTGGTGGTGGAGACACGCCTTCAGGTATACTAACCTGAGGGCTGAAAAGGTCAGCAGCAACTATTTGAAGTGTGCTCGGAAACGTACTAGGAGCCAGTGAAGATCCTTTAGGACCAGTGTTATATGGTCCTGGCAGTCACTCCTAGTTACCAGTCTAGCTACCAGTCTAGCTACTCCTAGTTACCTGTCTAGCTACCAGGTGGTTTCTGGGCCACCTTCAAAGGTAGCCCCACATAGAGCACATTGCAGTAGTGCAAGCAGGAGGTAACCAGAGCATGCACCACTCTGATGAAACAGTCTGCGGGCAGGCTGGTAGAAAGCTTCCGTGGTACTGATAGACACCTTCTGTGGACACAGAATTGACCTGTGCCTCCCTGGACAGCTCTGGGTCTAAAATGACTCCCAGGTTGCGCACCTGGTCCTTCAGGGGAACAGTTACCCCATCAGGACCAAGGAGTCCCCCATACCTGCCCCCCAAAACAGTATTTCTGTCTTGTCAAATTCAACCTCAATCCATTGGGGGCTGGGGCTGCCACTGTGATTCCACTCCATCTGAATGTACATGGTTGTCTGAACCAGGTTGCAAGGTATTCCTGAAAGAATAGTATGTGGTTGTTTGGCTAGGTCCAGCTCATAGTAAGCATGCAGAACAAGAAAAACCCAGACTGGAATGCCTCCGGATTCCAGTATTGAAAACAAAATGATGGCATTGCCTCATGACGCATGGTGGAACAAAACTCTAAGCACTGCAGCCAGGCACTGAAAGGGCATCAGTATTGTAAGGTTTTCACATATTAAATAACGATTCGATCACCTGTAGACAAAGATGACATTCTCACAATGCAAAATTGTTTGGAAAAGTCATCATGCTTTCTGCACGCCAAGATTAAAATCTTGAGCACGCTGGCTCTTGAATAGGCTCCATTGGAGGCAGCAGAACTTTCTTCTGCGTAAACAAGCTTAGACTCAGGTCACCAAAGTTGTTAATGCAAACCATGCTCCCCCCACAAAAAAACCCCCCAGAGAATAAAGCATGAACTTTCCCTCAATACCACACAAAATTCTGTTTTCAAGGAAGTGATGAGAGGCACTATGCATAGGCATGGATGAAAGGATGTACCTCCCAGATCCCCCACCTGAGAAAAGTCGCACTCATTTATTACTGCAGCAGTTATTTTTTTGCAGCTTTACACAGTTGCAAAGCATGTACAAGCCATGGCGTTAGCCAGAGAGGCCTCTAATGATTTGTTACTGGCTGTGATCAAAGTCATCCATGAATGTGAAAGAGTGCATTTTTCAGAAGGAGCACATTTCCTGAAAGTTTCATTTCATCTTTGCGAAAAGTCAAAGAGCCCATTCCAGTTTCAACAAGTTAAGCTGAATCCTGTTTTGAAAATACAGTGCCTGCTGTGCACTTGTAAATGCAACCACTGCCTCAATTTTCTCTACTTTCTTCTTGTGAATAGGCTCTAATCTAATGCTCGCCAGCATCCTCCTGGCTCGTCGATCCATACAGACTGCTGCGATTTCATTTCCTTGTGGCTCAAGTCCTCTGCTTTTATGGATGTGCGCTCTCGCCTAAATGCTGATTCCTATACATTGCCACGCCAATCATGTCTTTCCATGCAACAATCTTTTTCTAAAAGGGTATCTTCCGCAGAATCTGGAGTTTTTAAGGCTGCATATTGTTAGCTTTAAGACCATACGTACATTTTTTTGAAGGGAGATATCGATCTTTAATTATTATTTTCTTTCATATTTCGAATGCTCTTCAGGTTCGGCGTGTTGATTTTAACGGCACAAAGAGGTAGCTTGTAGGAATAAGAAGACAAACTTTGCATTCTGTTTGGCTAAGCAAAAGGAAATTGCAAGTAACTACCTGGAAGACATATCCCTCTCTCTGTTTTAGCTGTTCAGTTCCCTCACCACAGTAAGCCACAGTTAACTTATCTGGGATATTTTACTTCTTTCCAGAAGTAAAGTGTGAGCCAGTGTGGTGTAGTGGTTAAGAGCGGTAGTCTCGTCATCTGGGGAACCGGGTTCACGTCTCCGCTCCTCCACATGCAGCTGCTGGGTGACCTTGGGCCAGTCACACCTCTTTGAAGTCTCTCAGCCCCACTCACCTCACAGAGTGTTTGTTGTGGGGGAGGAAGGGAAAGGAGAATGTTAGCCTCTTTGAGACTCCTGAAGGGGAGTGAAAGGTGGGATATCAAATCCAAACTCTTCTTCTTCTTCTTTCCACTGGTGCAAGGAGGAAACAAACCTGATCCCTGGATTAGTCTTATATCCAAAACCACTGGTTTTGATTTGTTTCACTTTAACCAACAACAATCAGTTACAAGCCCAAAACAAGGCTTGGCTCCAGATCATGGTTTGTTGAGAGAACAGCAAACCATGATTCCTGAATCAGACACAATGCTAAGCCACTTCCCGTCTCTAATGGGAAGGAGCCAATTGCACATGACTGGCTTATCCAATATAAGTAGGGATTGGTGAATAGGTCAATATCTCCCAGTTTCTCCTTTTTCTAACCATCAATTCTCCACGTTTCTATATCAGCTTGCAGTTTTTGTTTTGGAAGGAAAAAGATCTCATGAACATTCACCAGCATTTTCATGTGAATTTCTCCTACTGTACTCGTATCTGCATGCGATTTTCCTGACTATACACATTTTTGCAAACCCATTTTGCAAACATATTGACTTTTTGTATGCTATTTTTAACTAATACATGCATTTATGTACACACTTTACTATAGCATATGCGCTTTCCTACACATTACTTGGCTGGAGAACAGCATTGCAAAATTCAGATAAGTGTTTCGCATTCGGATAATAATTTTGAAGGCTATGTGTGTTTCGAATTGCAAATTATTTCAGAAAATGCAGACTTTGTAAGTTTACTTTTAAATATGAACAGAACCAAATTTCTTCCCCAAGTCTAATGTGTTGACATGTCCTCGTGTTCAAAAATTCTCAGCCAATATCCCTCCTCATTTTCACTTCCAGCCTTCCTCATTTCCCAAGCTGTTCTCATTTTGGCAATGTTTATTTTTTACAGAGAATTTTTAAAAGCCCTTTCATATACAATGTTTTGCAGAGGCATTCTTTCAGCAGAATTTAGCGCTATATTTCATTTTTCTGGTTACCTATTAATTCACCTATCCACCTATAACCCCCAGACAATGTAATAGGGGGCACATATCTAGTAGTGCATGGCAGTTCTCGGTTTTCTGCATATATTTCAAAGACATTAACTCCCATCCCCTAGTTTTTGCTTTCAGCTAGCTCCAAGTAACACCCAATAATTATATGCGGAGAGATGAATAGGTATTAACATCAGTTTCCATGGAACTAAATCAGAGACATTTTCTCCCCACACATTTTTGTTGCCCATATTCTTCACTCCTGTGCAGAGCTGCCAGTAGGCCTGAAAAGACATGTCCTTTTGTGAACTGTTTTGAAAGGTTTTGTAACGTATAAATCTCCAGTTGTCATTCCATTTATTCTGACAATCTCCAGTGCTTTGAAAGATAGGCTACATATAATTTGGCCATCTTTAACTATGCCCTCTCTCAATTTTAATATCCCACTTAAGGTGTTATAACTGTTGCCCCTTTATCAAAACTCAAGGAACCACTAAAAATAAAGAAAGATATAAACTACACCATAAAATGGTCCCTCTTGTTCATTTTTGCATTTATTGCCCACTCTGTGAATATTATATCTTCATTAATCCTCAGAATAGAAACCAGAAATTAATGTATCATCAATTCCTGTATCATCATGATTTCATCTGATCTCAACAGCAAAGAAAAAGATAGCACCAAGAATGCATAGCCATTGATTTAACATGTGATGAAACAAAAGAATCTTCCTCCACATGTCTTAAAGGACAAAATTCTCTAAAGGGATGTAGCATTTAAAATGAAGGCTTCATAGCAGGGGTAGAAGACAAATCCAGTTCAGTTTGCATTTAAAGGTCAGCCTACAAAATTCACACTTTCTGAAACGAAACACAAAGCACAATCCTTCAACTTTCTCACTTCCATGAACTTTGCAGTTCCTTTTTCCAGCCTAGTAATGTGTACAAAATCCCACTAGGGTAAAGTGTTGAGATTTCTATTCCACCTTAAGGAGCAGACGTGTGGAACTGTTGCATGTCACATGTCTGTTTACATTCCAGCACAGCTTGCTGGGAACTTCCGTTGTGTGTATAGCTTTTGCTTTTCCTGGTCTCTCTGAGAAGACGAAGAAGAAGAAGAAGAAGAAGAAGAAGAAGAAGAGTTGTTTGGATTTGATATCCCGCTTTATCACTACCCTAAGGAGTCTCAAAGCGGCCAACATTCCCCTTTCCCTTCCTCCCCCACAACAAACACTCTGTGAGATGAGTGAGGCTGAGAGACTTCAGAGAAGTGTGACTGGCCCAATGTCACCCAGCAGCTGCATGTGGAGGAGCAGGGAATCGAACCCAGTCCACCAGATTACGAGTCCACTGCTCTTAACCACTATACCACACTGGCTCTCAGAGAGAGAGAGACGACATGTTTCTTTGTCCTGATTTATGATTAATAAATCTGTAGTTATAGTATGCTTTCACAAGCCTCACGCCTATTCTGTATGCACAGTTCAATCTGCTGACATAGTGTGTCCTGGCTTTGAAGCCCATGTTGCTGATTTTCATTGGTGCAGAGGCCGATGGGTCTTCGCAGCGGACGGCTAGAAGGAGGCGGCCCAGCTGGCCTCCTGGCCCTCTGCATGTTGACATAAACATGTATATATTAATAAAAAGGGCATATAATTAGGGAAATTGTTTTGTAAAAATGTGTATATGGGGGAGATGCACTATAATGCTGGCGATTTTTCCTGAGGAATAGTAATAATTTAAAAATTGCAAACAGATATGGAAGTGAATTTAGGATTGGAAAAAAGAAGCCGAGAGAAACTTAAGTCGACAAAGTAACCCATGCCTATAGGTAAAGGTAAAGGGACCCCTGACCATTAGGTCCAGTCGTGACCGACTCTGGGGTTGCGGTGCTCATCTCGCTTTTATTGGCCGAGGGAACTGGCGTGCAGCTTCTGGGTCACGTGGCCAGCATGACTAAGCTGCTTCTGGCGAACTAGAGCAGTGCACGGAAACACCGTTTACCTTCCCGCCAGAGCGGTACCTCTTTGTCTATTTGCACTTTGACGTGCTTTCGAACTGCTAGGTTGGCAGGAGCAGGGACCGAGCAACGGGCGCTCACCCTGTTGCAGGGATTCGAACTGCTGACCTTCTGATCAGCAGGTCCTAGGCTCTGTGGTTTAACCCATTTCAGAGTGTTGCATGAAATAAAATTCTTTTTCTTACTTTTGCAAAATAATACTAATCATCCTCACTAGTTGTCAAACGGGGCTTCAGTCTTGAGATGCATTGGGTTCACATGTCTATGAAGAAAGCAGGGGTGGGTTTATAGACAGAGAGAGCACCCCTCCCCAGATCTGCAGGTAAATCCTAGCTTTTCTTTTCTTTCTTTCTTTCTTTCTTTCTTTCTTTCTTTCTTTCTTTCTTTCTTTCTTTCTACCTGCTCCCAAAACTCTTTGAGGACAAGTGATGCATATGGAGCTCAGGCAGCAGTGAAAAAAAACGTTCCCAAAATGACTGCATTTCATTTCTGTGTTTTGCAGCCACAGGAAGGCTCCATCAGGACCATAGTGTATGGGTTAAGCCTTTCCTTCCCTGTGACCATAATGACTAAAATGATTGCCTCTCAAAGTTATTACTCCCTTCCCCCAGAAATGTTTGCTCCTAAATTTGCTGATGATAACTCATGTTTGAGCAGCAGCAGCAGCATATTGTGGCTTCCAAATGGTGGTAGTAGTTTTGTGCAACAGCTGGGTTATTCTAGAAGAGCCATTGTATACTGCAGCTATAGGGAACCGAATCTGACTAGAGCCTTCACTCCTCCACTCTCTTGAGTCGTGTTTGACCTACCCACCTGAGGTCACCATGACACCTGATTATTTGTTTTTGCATAGCACTGTGCACAGAAGTCCTGATGATCGTCTGATAGTTGATCATATATGATCATATACATGTACAACTTTTAGAAGACATCTGAAGGCAGCCCAGCTTAGGGAAGCTATTAATGTTTGACAGACTATTGTATTTTAATATTCTGTTGAGAGCTGCCCAGAGTGGCTGGGGAAACCCAGCCAGATGGGCGGGGTATAAATAATAAATTATTTATTTATTTATTTATTTATTTATTTATTAGGTGTTAGGTGTAGGGCAGGTGTTTGTGGCATGGCCAAAATGGCCTCTCGGGAGTAATCATAAAGTTTACCAGATCTGTGTGCATTGGTGTCCTCCTCTTCTGAAGAAGCATGATGAAAACTGCAGCCATGATATGTTGTGAAGCTTACATTCTGCTAACTTCAGTGAGCAGCTTGTGTGTGGGATTCCAGCCAGCACCGCTAGTTAATCAAAAGTTTGCCCGAGAGGCTGCATTTATCCCTTTGTAATCAAATAGCACAAATCAAAAAGAAGATCAAGCCCTGATTATTGTCATACTGTGCTTTGAAAATAAGTTTCAGTCTACCATTGTCTGCCTTGTTATTGTGAAATCAAAATTACTGATTGCCAGCACAGCAGTAATGAAGATGGCAAAGAAGTACCGCTTATGTGTTACCCTGCGAAACGATGATTTTCCTAGTTTGACATAGTGAAGAACATGCAGAACTGCCCCTGGAACCTCTAGTTTGGGTACCTAATCATCACATGCACTGACAGCGATTCAGCAATGACCTGAACAGAGCTGCCATCTTCTCCAGTTGCTTGAGGGGGCCCGACATGACGTCCTGACATCATGCTCGTGATGTCATGTGATGTCACAAGGAGCAGAGCTGAATGCCCACTGAACATTGAGGGGGTCCAGCCCCCTGAAAAAACATGAGGGGAGGGCATGAGCGAAAGATTCCCAGAGCAATCCTATATAGATTTAGTCAGGAGGCAATCTCACCAAGTGAGATTGGGAAATGTACACAGGATTGCAGCCTTCGAAAGGAAGGGGAGAAATAAAGACAAGACTTGGAGTCTAAATGGTGCAGCAAGACTTTTCCCATAGAAAAGCTGCATTCTGCTTTAGACAGCAAAATTCCTTGAGCGGGCACTATTTTATCTGAATAGGTTGAAATAGCAAGAAACAGTCATCTCAGTATTGCATATCCAGTTGGAGTGGCCACATAAATACCAAACTCTCTCCCTGACTTCCAATCAAACACACACACACACACACACACACACACACACACACACACACACACTATAGGACATTGTGCTAAGTATTGTGAACATCACTTTCACAAGATGAATTTCTATATCCTCCTCTCCGCTGCAGCCAATCAGAAAATTTAAGGAGAAAAAGTTTGTGTAGGGATGCAAAACACTTGGATTTGGCAGGAAAGTGCCCTTAGCAGAAATAGCCAAGAATTTAATCTCCTGCTTATTGATACTTCCTGCATAATCCGCACAGCTTTCGCTTTTTCGAACGATGTGTTCCCTTAGGTTATACCTGTGTTCAAGGAAAAGTTGTGTTAAAACTTGCTCTCATTCTCTTATCTGGGTAGCTATTTAACCGGACTCATCCCGCTCAGCCAGGATTACTCAGTGCTAGCTATTGCAGAAATTTAAATGTGTTATCATGTGCATTCGCACATTTGCCAGGGATCTTATTTTAATCTGGTTACGTGGCTACTCACTTCACTTTTGCATACCATGTAATTCAATAAGAAGTTTCATGTAAATATTTTATGTTTAATTGTTTTATTGAAGGGTGGGATACTTCTGGCTAAACTTGCTAGAGGAGTTGTGGCGCAGCTTTTGGATTCCTGAAAATCTGTTCTTGACTTCATTCTTTCTCCAAAATCAAAGTATTCCCCATAGCTCAGTCATCAGTTCCTCCTACAAAATCTTATTTCTGTTATTAGCGTTACAATTCTCCCCAGACAACGTGCTAGCCCCAGTGTCCCTTAACATACAGACAATTGATTAAACACAGTATAGTTTAGTCTTCATAACCTTTTCCTTGTGTGAAATAAAACAGCTACACTTTGGGGGGAAGAAGAGAGATTAATTTTTTTAATTAAAAAGTGAAATACTTAACGTATTTCTTTGCGATATATTGCTTTCTTAAAGGGAACGTTTTCTTCCTTCAAATACCACATTCTGGCAATAATAGTTGCAACTGTTGTTGTTGGCACCTGTCTGTCTCGAGAGACAATGGAGTGCACCTGCAGGGGTGAAAAACTGTTGTGTTAATAGCACCAAAGTGACCTCCTTGGGGCACAAGTCTGGGCAGTGCGTATGGAGGTCCTGGGCTGCCCAGATGACAATACTGATGTAGTCCAAAGGAAAGCAGAGCAATACGTTCAGCATGTGAACCGCCAGCTTTAACTCAGTATCTGTGTTTCACCTCAAGGTTTTGTTTTCTGTTGAAATAATCTGCAGAATTCTCTTTTAGGTACCAGTGGGACCTGATGTAGAATGGCAGAGCAGAAGGCACCTAATGTCTGTTGAAAAGCAGGAAGCTAATCTGTATGCCCCAATAAATGTAACCAATGGAACAGGCCCCAATGCCACGTGCATCCTTTTTTATGCCACAGATTTAAACTTTACAGCCGATGGCACTGTCATGAATCTAACCCATCGCACATTTGAATCTCACGAAGTGGATACCAGCAATTCCATTTGTTCAGGGACCAATGCCACGTGAGTAGCCTGACTTTCACTACTAATTGTCTTTCATGGTACATTGACTGAGGAAGCTGATTTTTTTTTTGTTCCCAGATAGCATTACCATTTAGCTTAGCCAAGACTTGAAATCAAAGTCCTAGAAAGATCAGATTAAGGTACAGTCATGAAACTGCATAGCTCTCATAGCTTTGGTTATCTCTATTCTTATGCATTTTAAGTGTCCAAAATGCTTTACAAGCCTTCTTATTAATTTACTCCACGAAGTAGGCTATTAACTACTTTGCAGCTGGAGAACTGAGGCTGTCAACTTGCTAAAAATTAGAGATGGACAAGCTTTCCCCAGCAAATACCTTTTTCAACCCACTGACAGCCAGCCTTGCTCATTAAGATGTAGATGTTTTTGGTACAGCCTAAAGATATAAAACTTGCAGTTAACGGATTTTTTCCCCTGTTCAGTTTTCAAGAGAAACAGAATTTTGGGAGGAAATGATAGTTTTTAATATTTTACAGATCAAAAGTGACTTTCCTACATTAGAAACATAGTATATATTATGTATAACTTGATTTGCCATTAAATGACCATCTTTGTAACATTTAAAGTACGGTTTATTCGGACAATATTTACAAGTTGAATTAATTCCTTTCCATTTTGGTTACAAATGGAACTACAAGCTGTAGGACTGGAAAGAACCTAGTCTCTCATTGGTTTTACCAGTTCACGAGGAACATGCAAAGCACAATAGAAGCAGGAGAAACCATCAGCATTATAGGAAAAGGAAAATGAAACAATGTATTGGGGGGGGGGGAGAGAATAATTCTGAAATACTCAGAAAATTATTATGTCTCCTCCAGTGTTCCATAATGCATAAAGCATTTATTTCCACAAAAGGGTCTGGAAAAAGGAGGGAGGAGCACCTGGTTTGTATGCAGAAAGTCCCAGGTTCAGTAGGGCTGGGAATAAAATCTGCTCCTGGAGAGCAACTCCCAGTTAGTGAAGACAATACTGAACTCGATGGACCAATGGCCTGGCTTGCAATATTTTTATGTAGTAAACAGCTGTTGTTCACCTCTATGGGAACAAATAAACAGGGCATGGTTTTGATGGGGAGAAGATCTATCTAACCCCCCTGACCACAGGTGGTCTGACCTAATGGGATGCTGCAATAGGGATGCTCAGACCATTGTCTGTACCTCTCCCATCATTATCACACTTGGCATATGTGTGGAAAGCCTGTATGCAGATACTCACCTATGTCAGTATCCTATGTATTCCTGTGCCATTCACAGGAATCGTATCGTTATTATTTATTAATATTCTATACCACCCTTCATCTAAAGATCACAGGGCACTTTACAATATAAAAACACAAAAATGCATGCCATAATAACAAACAGAAACAATAACTCCCTTCCATATATATCATAACACTGTAGGAATGACACCTGTGTCAATGTTGGCTTCATTTTGTTGATGTGGATTTGGTACCCCAAACGTCGTCATCCTCTAAAATGTGGCACCTCGTATCCTGAGCTTTTTGAAACCAAAACCAGAATTCCACATGCATTCTGATACGCATCCAAACTTTTGTATGAATTGTGGTCCTTATTCAGTGGCGTTGCGTCCTTTATTGTGCCCGGGGCATGTGAGTGCACCAGGTGGGTCCAGGGGCTGGGCGTGGAGGGTGGACAAAACCTGCTGAACCATCCGAACCCTAGCCACTGCCAGTGCCAGGTGGGCATGGGGCACGGAGGGTTCTTGGGGCCACACTGTGCTGCCGCCCGCCCACCACCAGCACAGAGGGAACCTTGTTGACCGATGTGGGCCAGGGGTGCAGCAGCAAGACTGGGCTCTGGGGCCCAGAGACCCCCAGTGGCAGGCAGGGCAGGGATTGTGAAATTCAACGTCCGGTACGCTTCCACTGCGACTCAGTGTTGTCCCGGCATTTAGCAGAGACTGCGCACAGCGGTGTGTGTTCTGTGTGGAGATATTTCAAGCATGCAGAAAAGACTCTGTACGCAGCTTCTTTCCTAATCTAAGAAGCGTTTATTTACAGCAGCAATTAATCAGCAATCCGGGAGAAAACAGCAACATGCTGGCTCTTTCAGTCGAAAGTAATCTCACATAACAAAGCAGACAAAACCCCCGTATGTGGGCACCCCCCCCCCCAGCATCAGGACGCACACTCTGAGCTATTAACCCTATAAGCTCTGGTTCTCCTCACAGGGATCCCTGTGTGGGGGTACCTGACTCACACCTTCTCAAAACCATGTCCCCGAGGCTACAACCCCCTGGCCCTCCCCATGCTATGCCCCTGTCCTTATTCATATCAGTGCAAGAGCCAATTGTGCAAAGAAATCTGTACATGGACTACCCATTCCTTTTGGTTCAGCCAAGAAATACCATGCCTTAAATCTCGGGCCGCCACAGCTTGTCACTCCTCAAACCAAACACAGCGAGCAAGCCATTCCTTGTGTTCCATGCTCAGATAGTGGAGGGTGTGGCCATCAGGCATGTCAGTGGTAGGGTGTGCAGCTAGATCACAGATCCCTGTGAAGCCCTGTGTGTGTGTGTGTGTGTGTGTGTGTGTGTATTCATCTGAATTCTTCTCTTACGTCAGGGAGCCTGTGCATTACGTTGGCCTAGGCCTGTCATTTCCCATTGAAACGAGCATTTCCCTAGCGAATAAAGAGGAGCGTGAACTTCAGAACACACAGGGTACTTTCCCTTCGAAGCACATACCGTATTTTTCGCTCCATAAGGTACACCTGATCATAAGGCGCACCTAGTTTCTAGAGGGGGAATTCAAGAAAAAAAATATTATTTAAAGGGAGCACTGAGCAGAGCCTGCGTGCATCCCAGGCTCTGCTCGGCGCTCCCTTTCACAAGCCGCATAGAGTGTGTGTGTGGCTCTTGGGGGCTTTTCCTCGAGGAGGGAGAAGGGCAGCCCGTCAGAAGCCCCCACCTCCCACAAAAGCCATGCACCCTTTAAAGAGAGCACTGCTTTTGGGGGCTTTTCCCTGAGGAGGGAGAAGGGACTCACTGGCTGCGTCAGTCCCTTCTCCCGCCTCATAGAAAAGCCCGCAGGAGCCGCTCGCTCTTTAAAGGGTGCATGGCTCCTGTGGGCTTTTCTACGAGGTGGGAGAAGGGACTGATGCTGCCAGTCAGTCCCTTCTCCCTCCTGGGGAAAAGCCCCCAAGAGCAGCACAGAGCTTGTGTGCGGCTCTTGGGGCTTTCCCCGCCTGCCTCCCCCCTGCATTCGCTCCATAAGACGCACACACATTTCCCCTTGCTTTTTAGGAGGGAAAAAGTGCATCTTGCGGAGCGAAAAATACGGTATCTCCTCCCAGAGAGCTGCTATTTCAGAGCGAAAAACACTGTAGGACCTTTTTGTGCCCCATTTCCAAACTCTTTCTCATCAAGCCAGATTTGTGTCCAGATCCATTATTTTCATGGAAAAGAAGAAGAAAGCTAATAAGCAGTTCAGCTTGTATGTATGCATGAGGTGCAAAAAAGAGAATTGTGCCAACATATAGCTGCTTCTTTTGTCTTCCTTTCATTGTTCCTTTCCAAGAGAATAATTATGCATGACTTCTATTCACCCACATGTCTTCTCTTACTGCCGCGCTCTCTCCTTGCCTGTGCCCTCATTTTCTTCAAATGTCTTGGTCCCCACAACCACCACCACGATCAAAACTCCCATTAACATTACGCGAGGCAATAATTTCATTGTAAGGTGTCGTTGCAGGGAATCCTTGCCACCACTTAAATTTAAGTGAGCTGTAAATACCGCCATAGATCAAGCTCTTCAATATAGTCCCCCTTTTGTTTGAAAGGGAGATAAGGAAACAGCTTTCTGCTCTGCAATATTTTCTGCTTCGCCATCTCTTTGTCTTTACCTACCAATTTAGATGTGCTCCTATTTTTCTAAAGAAATAATGAAAAAGGTTCATATGAAAATTATATGATGTACATTTTCTTGCATTTCTCCCTCCTCCCCGACCCTCTTGTCAGGTTGTCGTTAAAATACACCAACCCTGTGAAGGGCATTGAGAGTCTGGAAATCAGGTATGTTTATGAATTAATTTACTTACACAATTTTTTAAATGAATGTTGAGGTGCTTTCCACTTACAGAATGGGACATCCTCTTATCTCTCCACAAGTCTACAAAATCCCAGGCAAGCAGAAACTAATGGCGATAGTCTACCCACTATTGCTTGTGTTAAAGTTTTATTCATGATTAAGACTTGTGATGATTAGTCCAAATATAATTGTACTGGTTGTGGAAACATGGAAGCAGGCTGTGAGGAGGATCTGCTGGGTGATTATATCTGCAACGGAGCCAGGTGATGTAGCATACAAACAAATGCCCTGTATACCTGGAGGAGCATCTCCACCCCCATCATTCAGCCAGGACACTGAGGTCCAGCACTGAGGGTCTTCTGGCAGTTCACTCACTGTGAGAAGTGAAGTTGCCGGGAACCAGGCAGAGGGCCTTCTTGTCAGTGGCGCCCTCCCATCGGATGTCAAGGACATAAATAACAGTATACAGTGGTACCTCAGGTTACAGACGCTTCAGGTTACAGACACTTCAGGTTACAGACTTCGCTAACCCAGAAATAGTACCTCGGGTTAAGAACTTTACCTCAGGATGAGAAAAGAAATCGCGTGGTGGCGGTGCAGCAGCAGCTGGAGGCCCCATTAGCTAAAGTGGTACTTCAGGTTGAGAACAGTTTCAGGTTAAGAACGGACTTCCAGAATGAATTAAGTTCTTAACCTGAGGTACCACTGTACAACTTTTAGAAGACATCTGAAGGCAGCCCCATATTGGAAATTCTTTAATGTTTGATGTTTTCTTATGTTTTTATATGTGTTAGAAGCTGCCCAGAGTGGCTGGAGCAACCTAGCCAGATGGGTGGGGTATAAATAACAAAATTATTATTATTACTACTACTACTACTACCCAAAGCCAGCGTTTCTTCTTAAATCACTCTGAATAAGGATGTAGTTCACTTGACGCTAGTGCCGCTACGTGTCCTGGGTCTTCAACCCTGCCTCAGAAGGTGCCTTAGCAAATGGATTATACGGTACTTCAGGGAAAAGACAGTTTGGGATTGAGGTCAAGCTAGAATGTCTGGCCGGAAATTTGTAACAAGTAATAAAGACCATCTCGGGTATGAGTAAATAGAATAAAACGGAGATGATTTCAAATTAAAAAGCTTAAATCTTTCCTCACTGCGGTTCAGAGTGCTATTAACCGGGCAGCGAATGGTTCACCAAAGTAAGCAATGCCGTATCACAGCCTCTTCCACTAGAATAGCCTCAGGCACCGGGCCAAATGAAAGACTTGTAATCAACACAATACGATCCTGGGAAAAATAAGTAAAAAAATAACCCTCTGCTGACAGACAGGAGAGCTTGTCCATTGCACAACTCACATTGCAAAAAGTATCATGAGCTGTAAACAGGCTCCTCTAAGCTGGAAAACATGATTACTGTGTTATTTATTACAAATCCGCTCTAGCTACCTAGGCTTCCAGTCTGCTAGCAAGAGTGGGGTGGGGAAGCAATACCTGCCCCTACGTGCTCAATCAAGTTATTCCCTTCACATTTAACATACAGTATATGCTCCTCTGTTTTCTGTTAAGATAAACTTATCATCCCATTTCTTGATTTGGTATAGACCCTGATAATTTCAAAACAGTTGGTGGATTGTGCTTTATTGCATACAATCACATCAAGTCAGTTGAAAAATCCCCCCCAAAAAACAGAGAAGGGGAGAAATGCAACAGCAGCTGAATCAGGCAACCAGTGCTGCATGTCTTAGGAACAAAAGAAGTTGCTTATAGTAAATCAGACTATTTGTTCATTTATCCTACTATTGCCTGCTCTGACTGGCAGTGCCTATCCAGGATCTGAAGGCAGAGGGCTTTCCCAGCATCTCTTACCTGAACCTTTTACTAGAGGTGCCTGGAACTGAACCTGAGGCCTTTGCATCATCACCATTATTATTATTATTATTATTATTATTATTATTAGCACCATCCAGCCAGATGGGCAGGGTACAAATAATAAAGTTGTTGTTGTTGCGAAACTGCAGGATAGACAACAAGAAATGGGAATCACGTGGCAAGGCCAAAATTGTGCTACAGTTCTTGCAGGCTTATAAAAGGAGTGCATAAGTGCCGTATTTTTCGTTCTATAAGATGCAGGCCATAAGACGCACCTAGTTTTTGGAAGAGGAAAACAAGAAAAAGAATATTCTGAATCCCAGAAGCCAGGACAGCAAGCGGGACCGCCGCGCAGCGATCCCGCTTGCTGCCCTGGCTTCTTGTTTGGCCGCACGCAGCCTCTCCCGGGCAAGGGGGGCCTTCATTCCCTGCCCGGGAGAGGCTGCACGCGGCTAATGCTGCCCCAAGAGCCGCGCGCCCCTTAAAGAGAACGGAGTGTGTGTGCAGCTCTTGGGGGCTTTTCCCCGAGGAGGGAGAAGGGCTGGTGTGAACCAGTGTGGTGTAGTGGTTAAGAGCGGTAGTCTCGTAATCTGGGGAACCGGGTTCGCGTCTCCGCTCCTCCACATGCAGCTGCTGGGTGACCTTGGGCCAGTCACACTTCTTTGAAGTCTCTCAGCCCCACTCACCTCACAGAGTGTTTGTTGTGGGGGAGGAAGGGAAAGGAGAATGTTAGCCGCTTTGAGACTCCTTAAAGGGAGTGAAAGGCGGGATATCAAATCCAAACACTTCTTCTTCTTCTTCTTCTGCCCTTCTCCCTCCTTGGGGAAAAGCCCTCAAGAACCGGACACACGTTCCACACATCTCTTTAAAGGGATCACTGAGCAGAGCCTCCCGCCTGTATTCGCTCCATAAGACACACACACATTTCCCCTTACTTTTTAGGAGGGGAAAAGTGCGTCTTATAGAGCGAAAAATGCGGTATTTTCCTCTTATGTTTGGTTCATTCCCACCTCATGCACATTCTTTTTTGTGCTCGCCTCATTGGCTTTTCAGTGAATTTATCCATATTTGTATCCGTATTCACACATGGCCCTTTCCATTAAGGAACAGAAGCCTCTTTTCTTCTTCCCAGGGAGAATCAGCTTGTTCCCTTCTCTCCATTGCCCATCAGCAGAAGGCTCAAACCCAGAAATTCTGTAGCCTCTCTGCGAGTACATCACAGTATGAACCACTGAACTCCACCCTTGTATCCTTCATTTGCTGCAGCACGCGAGACAACCTTGGGGGTCTCATTGTCGCTGCTAAGCCGAATGGCATGTTTGAAGAGACATCTCTTAAACCCAAATGCGCCTGCTTAATCCTATCTCACGGCCGCCCGGTAATTCCTAAAGGAAAAGATGCCGCGGCAGAATGAATCGATGCATTCTATGTTTCTCCTTTCTCTAGATTTTTGATGACCAACAAGATGTACGTAGGCTCTGCTCGAGAGTGGTTCACTTTAGATTTTGTTCACATTCAACAAGACAACAAGGAAACGGCTATATTTACTGCCCCTTCCATCTCTGGTCCTGCGGAGTATTCATTCCATTGCCAGCTGGTGGGAACAAGCGACCATTATGGGGCAACGTTGACTCCCAACAATGCTGCGGCGAAAGAGTGGCAGGTTGTCATCTCTGAGTTCCAGGTGAGTACACAGTGCAGTTTCAGAGGCAATTCTAACAGCTATTAGTTTGCTGTCGGAGTTTCTGAAAGGTCTGCCTCACCACTTACTTTCCCCTTCAACCCTAAGAGAAAGTTTTAACCAACACCCTTTCTTGGATCCCCAGTGAGCTCTTCAGTAATGTGAAGGTGAAGGATTGACAGGGTTGGGGCAGCCTATAAATGGGGAGAACAAGGAAAAAAGAAGATTCTCCAGAAAGCTATCCATAGAAAGCAACAGACCAACACCAATCATTATCCATTTTTTATCCAGTCAAACAACTAAACAAATTATACTGTATTTTTTCATATATAAGACGTCCCCATGTATAAGACAACCCCTATTTTTGAACCCTAAATTAAGAAATGAATATTTTAAACACCCAATATCACCCAACCTTGTTGAGTCCCCCCCCCCCCCAATTTGCAGAACGAGCAGCTGAAGCTCTGGACCGTATTTTTCCATGTATAGGACTAAAAAAAAATAAGCAAAAAAGATTGTCTTATACATGGAAAAAGATGGTATTTTGCCACTTCAGTGAATGGGGTCATTTTTGCAAAGGAATGATGTGTGAATCATGGCTTAGTAATAGAGTATATCCAATATACATGAAAAGCCATAATCTTTGTCAACTTAAAAGTACTTGGGGTGAGCTCTCCGCTTGAGATTCTGGAAAGGTGATGGCACAAGCCGGAATTCTTTTATAAAGACCTTGAAAAATCTTCAGTGAGTTACAGACAAAAAGAGAATATTGTTTTATAGGCTTTTCTTGCTTGTCAACAACAGGATGTGAGGTGGCACATCTTTATTTTATGAGTGGAAGACAACTGCCCCCTACCACTGCTGTGGCAAAATATAAGCAAGGATATTGCCAAGTGCAGAAATTACAATAGGTATTTTTAAAAACTAGAAAGGCACATTGATACAGTCAAACTTCCAGACTGAAACTTCAGAAGAGACATCTCAGACTGGCGTGTTGCGGGTTTATTTTATTCTTTAAAAAAGATCAATATTGCTGTACCCTGCAAACATTGTCTTCCCACCTTTAGCCTCCTCAGTCTGTTTCAGCTAAAGTGCTTTAGCAACATCAAAGCCTTGTTACATGCTTCAAGCACTTTGGCACCGAGAATGGTATTGAGTCTGTATTATATCATAGCCACTCAGTGCTCTCTGGGAGCCATAACAACATTATGCAACCTCACCATTTTGTCAGCCATCCAGCCAGCCAGATAATGTGTGTCTTCCCTTTGCAACTTTTGCCTGAAGCCTGAAAAGAACAGACCCTCCATTTTCCATGAACAGTCCTGGATTTACAGAAGCTGCACCAGATTTTTATTAGATCCCAAAATGTCCCGCTTTTCCTTAAAGGTAAAGGGACCCCTTGACCATTAGGTCCAGTCGTGGCCGACTCTGGGGTTGCGGCGCTCATCTCGCTTTATTGGCCGCTTCTGGCGAACCGCAGCAGTGCACGGAAACGCCGTTTACCTTCCCACCAGAGCGGTACCTATTTATCTACTTGCAGTTTGATGTGCTTTTAAACTGCTAGGTTGGCAGCAGCTGGAACCGAGCAACGGGAGCTCACCCCATTGCGGGGATTCGAAGCACCAACCTTCTAATCGGCAAGTCCTAGGCTCTGTAGTTTAACCCACAGCGCCACCCACGTCCCTCCACTTTTCCTTAGGACGTCCCTATTTTCATCTGAGAAATGTTGGATGGTATGGAGTTATGCGACTCCAGAGCCAAGGAGATACAAACTTTAGAAGACATCTGAAGGCAGCCCTGTATAGGGAAGCTTTTTAAAAATGTTTAATACTTTGTTATGTTTTTAGAATAAAGGGTGGGTGGTGCTGTGGTCTAAACCACTGAGCTGCTTGAGCTTGCCAATTGGAAGGTCAGCGGTTTGAATCCATATGACGGAGTGAGCTCACATTGCTCTTTCTCAGCTTCTGCCAACCTAGCAGTTCGAAAGCACACCAATGCGAGTAGAGAATAGGTACCCGCTGTGGCGGGAAGGTAAACGGCATTTCCATGCGCTCTGGTTTCCGTCACGGTGTCTCGTTGCTCCAGAAGCGGTTTAGTCATGCCGGCCACATGACCCGGAAAGCTGTCTGTGGACAAACAATGGCTCCCTCAGCCTGAAAGCCAGATGAGCGCCACAACCCCACAGTTGCCTTTGACTGAACTGTCCAGGGGTCCTTTACCTATTCCCCTTATCTATCTATATCTATGTATCTATCTATCTATATCTATCTGTATCTATCTATCTATCTATCTATCTATCTATATCTATCTATCTATCATCTATCTATCATCTACTATTACTATTGAATAAGACATCCCTATTTTCACTGGAGAAATGTGGATGGTATGAGAGAAAGTAAGCAACGAAATGAAATGATGGTGTAAATGTAACCACGGCCTAAATATACAGGCTCCCCCCCCCAACACACAAAATGGAAATAGAGTTGCCAAGCTGTGAGTAAACACTCAGCCTGCTTATTTCCTACCCCTGTTTGAGAGGTGCCTTAGCTCAGTGGGAGACCCCCAACTTTGTGTCAGATTCCAAGTTCAGCCTCAGGCATTGTCCTAAGGAGTCTTCCTCAGATAGATGAGTCCTTTAGAAAATCAACGGAGCTGGGTTCAAAGGGCAGCTTGAACTATCACTCTGTGGGGCTTGTTTTGTTTTGTTTTTGGTGGAAGAAAAGTTTTTTAGCTACGTGAAGGTGGCCTAGCAATGTCTATGTGCTGAAGTTAATGGATTCTCCCCAGGGCTGTATCCTTAGAATACCCCTTGATTTTCCATCGTTTTAACTTACATCTTTCCTATGGTTCAACAAGCAAGATGGGTGTGTGGTTAATGAACACATTGCGAGCGGACATGGGACATAAAGTACAGATTCCTGGCAGCTCAATCCTCTCCCCCCTCCTTCTCTTTTGCAGATTCAAGCGTTTAGCGTTGAAGGCCACAAATTTTCCTATGCCAGTGACTGCACAACCTTCTTCACCCCTGGAATTTGGATGGGTTTGGTGTCCTCGCTAGTCTTATTACTGATCCTGACCTTTGGGATCCACATGATTGTGAACCTCACAACCAACAATAGGTTTGATGACCCCAAAGATCAACCTCTGTCAGTCCCGCAAGGAGAATAGCAGATGTGACATTTGTCACATGGTTGGGCCCTGCTGCGCAAGCCATCTTCATCATCATCATCATAGCCAGCTGCAGGGCATCCAAACTGGATCAAGTCCATGGCATGATGGGGGTGCTACTCTAATCCTTTTCTCCACTGTATTGATGGACATCCTTTCTGTCTCCTTCCCATGGAAGAAAAGTTCCAGTAGCATCAAACTGGAGATTTTCTCCCATTGTGAATAGCAGATGAGAGCCCCCAAATCTGATCAGACCACAGCATGGGGCAGGGGGAAAGGCCCACCCTTTTTCGAATCATAGAACTGTAGAGTTGGAAGGGACCCACAGGGTCATCTAGTCCAACCCCCTGCGATGCAGGAATCCTGCTCACACCCATTCCTGGGTGGGTTCAAACCACCAAACGTCTTGTTAACAGATGCACTGACCCTCTGTGCCTCAGGAGAGCTCTGTCATGGCTGCAACCCAGCTAAGCCCTCCTACACCAGCTAATTGCACACCAGGGCTAACCATGAGCAACATCTCAGTACCATACCACATTAAACAGTCATGGCTTCCGCTAAATAATACTGAGAGGTGTACAGTCATACCTTGCTTCTTGAACAGAATCCATTTCAGAAGTTTGTTCGACTTCCGAAAACATTCAAAAACCAAGGCGCGGCTTCCGATTTGCTGCAGGAGCTTCCTGCACTCAGTCAGAAGCAGTGTCGGACGTTTGGCTTCCGAAAAACGTTCACAAACCGGAACACATCCGGGTTTGTGGCATTAGGGGGCCAAAACTATTGAGTACCAAGGCGTTTGAGAACCAAGGTACGACTGTAGTTTGTAAAGGGTGCTGAGAGTTGTTAAAGGTAAAGGGTAAAGGGACCCCTGACCATTAGGTCCAGTCATGACCGACTCTGGGGTTGCGGCACTCATCTCGCTTTATTGGCCGAGGGAGCCGGCGTTTGTCCACAGACAGCTTCCGGATCATGTGGCCAGCATGACTAAGCCACTTCTGGCGAACCAGAGCAGCTCACGGAAACACTGTTTACCTTCCCGCTGGAGCAGTACCTGTTTATCTACTTGCACTATGATGTGCTTTTGAACTGCTAGATTGGCAGGAGTGAGAGTTGTTAGGAGACCCCTATTTGCCTCAGAGAGCTACAATTCTCAGAGTGGTTTAACAGTCAATCCCTCTTCCCAGGGCATTCTGGGAATTGTATCCCAGAATCAATTCTCAGCACCCATAACAATTCCTAGGACTCTGTGGGGTAGGCCATGGCTGTTTAATGTGGTCTAATCTGTTTAACAGAGACACAGGTGGTGCTGTGGTTTAAACCACCGTGCCTCTTGGGCTTGCCGATCGGAAGGTCGGCGGTTCGAATCTGCATGACGGGGTGAGCTCCCATTGCTTTGTCCCAGCTCCTGCCAACCTAGCAGTTTGAAAGCACACCAGTGCAAGTAGATAGATAGGTACCGCTGCAGCTGGAAGGTAAACAGCATTTCTGTGTGCTCTGGCTTCCCTCACGTTGTCTCATTGCACCAGAAGCAATTTAGTCATGCTGGCCACATGACCTGGAAAAGCTGTTTGCAGACAAACGCCGGCTCCCTCGGCCTGAAAGCGAGATGAGCGCCACAACCCCATAGTTGCCTTTGACTGGACTTAACCATCCAGGGTGCCTTTACCTTAATGTGATATGAGACTGCTTTAAATGCATAGTGCATGTACTTAGGAGAACTGTGAACTTCAGCTGTATTAATGCAGCAGGAAGCATTGACAAAATCAATAAAAGGTGTAAGCTTTTGTGGCAATGAAATCTTTTCCTGAAAACAGGAGGCTGCTGGCAGCAGTGTTTATTCTGTCAGCTGTTCATTCCTTTTTTTTTAATCACTGCCTAAATGAAAGCCCTCAGGTAAAGCAGAAACCAGTCGCAGATGTTGCCAGCCTTTAAGAAGACTGGTAGGTGGTGCCAGGAGTTTCACAAATGATTAAAAAACAAAATACTATTTTGGATACAGTTTGTTAAATAAAGCTTCATTAAGAAATTCCATATCCTTGAGACATTTTTAAAGGTGGGATAAAAAAGTTTCGATAAATAGGAAAGACTTTTTTTAATAAAAAAAAATCAAGCGTTTCCTCCATCAGATAAAGTACAGGGAAATGATCCTCAGATTAAACAAACAAAGAAACGGAAAATATTGCCTAGTTTGGCTCTAAGAGAATATAATTAGTGCATGCTATGCATCTACTGGGACACGGGTGGCGCTGTGGGTTAAACCACAGAGCCTAGGATTTGCCGATCAGAAGGTCAGCGGTTCGAATCCCCGTGATGGGGTGAGCTCCCATTGCTCGGTCCCAGCTCCTGCCAACCTAGCAGTTCGAAAGCACGTCAAAGTGCAAGTAGATAAATAGGTACCGCTCCGGCGGGAAGGTAGATGGTGTTTCCGTGCGCTGCTCTGGTTTGCCAGAAGCAGCTTAGTCATGCTGGCCACATGACCCGGAAGCTGTACGCTGGCTCCCTTGGCCAATAAAGCGAGATGAGAGCCGCAACCCCAGAGTCGGCCACGACTGGACCTAATTGTCAGGGGCCCCTTTACCTTTACCTTTATGCATCTACTAAATGGCTTGTGCATGAGAAAGTTGGTCATATATTACACCCACCCACTTGATTATTATAAAGAATAAACTACACATTGCACTAAATATGTCACATGCGACTGTGTTTTTCATTTCATTTTATTTATTTAATTACAGATGTGGTTTTCAGAGGGAGCAGTATGTGGGGAGGGGAGTTTAAAACCTCTATCTAGTTGTGATCCTGTCAAAAATTGGTTCCCTTCTGTGATGATGAGGCTTAGAAAAGAAGTTCCCATTGGCCTGCAGGGGGAGGTTTTATTGCTGGGGAGGAAACGATTGAAACTGTTCTTCTTGCATACTGTGGGTCTGAGAAAAGTCCCCCTGCGCCTGCAATTAAACAAAGCAAATCCTAGTTGCTCGCTGCATAATAAAAGTAACTTTTGAATGGAGATTCCCACGACTGGGCTTTGTCCTTAACGATTTTCCTTAGCATATTTGGTCTATACTGAACCTGTGCTTAATGTATATTGAAAATTCTGGTGTAAAAATAAAGTCATAAGCATCATAGTTGATTGTGTTTCCATGGCTTTGAACACCTTATTGTGAGTTGCTGCGAACACTGTCGGTAGAAAGAGAGGATAGAAGAGTTTCAAATGAATGAATCGTGCAGGTGGAAAAACCACATCTCACTAGTTACACGGAGAACCAGGGTTTCTTAAGTGAATGTAGAAACAAGCCCTGTTCGGTTGTTCAGATTTTTGTTAAATAAATGTGAATGGGGCTGAGGAACATTGTAATGGAAGATAATGTCCCAGCTTTGCACAGTCATTCCATCCCCATGCATACATTTGGCTAAGCAAGACCCTTAAGAAAAAAAAAAAGAAATTCGTCATCATCATCTCTGTTCAGTAATTCAGTAGCTATTTGGCCTTTTGCTATACATATCTATAGCACACCACTCTCCTATGTGCATTCTCTCAATGTGCTTCTGAATGACTGAACAGAGATGATGATGATGAATTTCTTTTCTTTTTTAATTTTTATTTATACTTTTCAGGTTTATACATTTCATTAATTTTACAATCATTTTAACATTTCAAGACTTGACTACCTTCCCTTTCTTTCTGCAGTTCCTTAAACTTATTTTTTAAATATCTTCTGCATATTCAAATCTATTTACCGTATTTTTTGCTCTATAAGACTCACTTTTTTCCTCCTAAAAAGTAAGGGGAAATGTGTGTGCGTCTTATGGAGCGAATGGAGGCTGCGCAGCTATCCCAGAAGCCAGAACAGCAAGAGGGATTGCTGCTTTCACTGCGTAGCAATCCCTCTTGCTGTTCTGGCTTCTGAGATTCAGAATATTTTTTTTCTTGTTTTCCTCCTCCAAAAACTAGGTGCGTCTTGTGGTCTGGTGCGTCTTATAGAGCAAAAAATACGGTAATTTGCTCATTTATTCATCGACTTTAAATATATACTCTCATGAAACTGCAGGTTATTACAATAATCCTGCCCATGTTTTTATCTGTTTGCAATTTATCTGTAAATATTCAATAAACCATTTCCTATTATTATTATTATTATTATTATTTATTGTTAAAATAATTCAGCGTTAATACACACATATTGCGAATATACAAGCATACAAACATACATTTCATACAATCCTTAAAAGTATTCAAACATACTTACACTCAGTCACACATATAATTCCTTTTCCCATCACCATCCACCACCCCTCACCCCACCTTTGTGTTAGACTTCCAATCTACTCAATTGCAATTTCTTTCCACTTCTATTACTTTCTTTCACACACTTTTAACCTAATTTCATGCTTCTTTTTCTATTACACATTGTTATCCATCTTATTTAGTATTTCAGTATTTAAAACGGAATTTGTTTATTCAATAAACCATTTCCATTCTTTTATTAAAAAAAGTTTTTTATCTTGATTTCTTATTCTTCTGGAGAGTTTCACCATTTCTGCATATTCCGTAAGTTTTTGTATCCATTCTTCCTTTGCTGGGACTTCTGCTTCTTTCCATTTTGTGATGATGAATTTCAGCAGCCTAAACAAGTTCTCTGACCAGTTTACATCAATGATAGAAATATAAAGGGTTGAATCTAGTGAAATTGCCCTGTTTGCACGACATAACTTTCCCTCCCTCTCCTCCCCATGTGCGTACAATTCCCACTAAGAGTTAATCTATGTCACAGTTGTAAATCTCTTTAATGGTTGCTCCCTCTTCCCAGGTGATCCTGAGAATTGTAGTTCTGAGAGAGAGGTGTGTGAATGATCTGGAACCAGAGAAGCCCAGCTGACTCACCAAAATACAACTGCCAGAATTCTTTTGGGGGAAGCATTAATGGCAAGTTGAATGGAATTAAACCAATTTATGTTTCGAAGCTCCCCAGGCTAGGTAAAATCAGTTGGAGCGAGAAAAAACTACAACTAATATCAGCATAGAACAATTAAAGGTAGCATAAAACCCAAAGGGAACTCTACTGTATATACTCAAAATACTATACGCAAATAAGCAGGGTCAGCTTAAAGGAAAGGAGTAGTGATTTCTGGCTGAAGTGCAAAGTATTATTATTATTAATAATAATAATAATACAGTCGTACCTTGGAAGTCAAACGGAATCCATTCGACTCCTACAACATTTAGAAACCAAAGTGCGGCTTCTGATTGGCCGCAGGAAGCTCCTGCAGCCAATTGGAAGCTGCGGAAACCACGCTGGATGTCTGGCTTCTGAAAATTGTTCAAAAACCGAAACACTCACTTCCAGTTTATGATCGTTTGGGAACCAAAACATACAAGTTCCAAGGCGTTTGGCAACCAAGGTACAACTGTAATAATAATAATAATAATAATAATAATAATAATAATAATACAGTGGTACCTCGGGTTACAGACACTTCAGGTTACAGACGCTTCAGGTTACAGACTCCGCTATGCCAGAAATAGTACCTTGGGTTAAGAACTTTCCTACTTTCCTTCAGGATGAGAACAGAGATCGTGCGGCGGCAGCAGGAGGCCCCATTAGCTAAAGTGGTACCTGAGATGAAGAACAGTTTGAGGTTAAGAACGGACCTCCAGAACGAATTAAGTTCTTAACCCGAGGTACCACTGTAACAATAATAATAATATGGCATTTCTTATACCTCACCCATCTGACTGGGTTGCCCCAGCCGCTCTGGGCAGCTTCCCTCAAACATATAGAGGGGAAGAAGAAGAAGAAGATGATGAAGAAGACTGAGAGCATGAAATGCTGCCCAAATCAGGGCTGCCTTCAGATGTCTACGAAAATGAAAGACAGCTCTCCCCTTCAGGTTTCTCTTTCATCTGACCTGACAGGGAGAGAAAGAGGCAGGCGACATGTCTGAGTGGCTTGAGTGGGTTGTGTGCTCTTTAACCTGACCATTAAAATTCCACATCCCACACAACCTGTCATTAAAGCTTCAGTGGAAACTCGCCAGCCCATGCTTGTATTTATTATGCATCAGCAGAGCTGTGTTTGTGAGAAGCCTGCAGAGTTTAGGCTCGGTGCAAGTGGCTGCAAAGTATATCGTGTCGTGTAATGGGATCTCCTAAGAGTGTGTCTTAACCACTGCAGATTTGGAAGAGCCTGGTTGGACACTTCCACTTGTTCCGTGTCTAGAAAGTGTAGGTCCAAGCAATTTTCTGCTTGCCCTGCTCCTTTGCCAGGGAAAACCCACTCTTTGGTGCTAAATCGGGGCAAATGTCAATCTGGAGAAAACCCATGTTGCTGTTTGTTCCGACTGAATGCCGAAGAGCAGATTTCCCTGGGGTAAAGAAGCAGGAGAAGTAGAATAATAATAATAATAATAATAATAATAATAATAATATATTTATACCCTGCCCATCTGGCTGGGTTGCCCCAGGCACTCTGGGCAGCTGCCAACAGAATATTAAAAACACGATCAAACATTAAAAACTTCCCGAAGCAGAGCTGCCTTCAGATGTCTTCTAAAAGTCAGATAGTTGTTTGTTTCCTTGATATCTGATGGGAGGGCGTTCCACAGGGTGGGCACCACTACCAAGAAGGCCCTCTGCCTGGTTCCCTGTGACCTCACTTCTCGCAGGGAGGGAACTGCCAGAAGGCCCTCAGAGCTGGACCTCAGTGTCCAGGCAGAACGATGGGGGTGGAGAAGCTCCTTCAGGCAGCATCAAACCATCTAGACTTTGGTTATCCACATCCACACCAGTAGGTGGCAGACAAATAACACCTGTTATGGATACCTAGTTTATTATGCAAAGTCTCCTGCCAACTTTTGTCTCATGAGCTCAGGTTTGACAGAAGAAGAAATCCTGAAGATAACCAGCTCATTCTGATGTGGAAACCTCTGCTGAGGAAGAAGAGGCAGATCTTGTGCAAAGCATTTCCTGAGATGTATCTCAAAATCAAAGATGGCAAGAAAATGGGGAAAATGTAGCGGCTGGGACTCAGTGGTGACTGGAGCCTGCTGGGTCTTGGTAGGATGAAAGGCATGGAGCCCAACTGCAGGTGGTGCCAGAACCAATGACAGCAGACACCAACAAATTCTCATCTTGTCGCCTTCCTTCTCCCTGCTGAGTTCTAGAAGGGCAACACTGAGACTGAGAAGAAGGAAGCTGGCAGGCGGTGCCACCTACATGACTGTCTGTAAGTAAGGAGGCACGCAAGTTGACGCCGGCTTAAAGCAGATTGTTCTTGGTGGGGCAGCACCCCACTCATCCTGCTTGGCTAACCTTCAGTGCTGGTATGGTGAATAAGGATGCATTTTTATTTTGGTTTTTTTTTTTAAAAAAAATATCTGCTTCAGAAGATAGCCTATTCTCTCCAGCAATGTTGTCTGCGAATAGTAGAACACTTGTAGAAGCTGAAGACCAAAACAACCAAGGAGTAACCACTCTCAACCCTTCTGCATGATGTACAGTAGCAGGAGTCTGTGCATCTACAGTGGTACCTCGGGTTATATATGCTTCAGGTTACATACGCTTCAGGTTACAGACTCCACTAGCCCAGAAATAGTGCTTCAGGTTAAGAACTTTGCTTCAGGATGAGAACAGAAATCGTGCTCCGGTGGTGCGGCAGCAGCAGGAGGCCTCATTAGCTAAAGTGGTGCTTCAGGTTAAGAACAGTTTCAGGTTAAGTACGGACCTCCGAAACGAATTAAGTACTTAACCCGAGGTACCAGTGTATTTAGGTGGCCGAAATTAAGAGCCTTTCCCATCTCTAGTTGGCCCTAGGATGGGGGAGCGCAAAATGAAAAGTAAAATGTATCCATCCGTTTACAGAAAACCACAAGCTCAGGGTAACATTTAAACCACATCCTCCAACGTTTCTCCAATGAAAATAGGGATGTCCTGTTGTTGTTGTTGTTGTTGTTGTTGTTGTTGTTGTTGCTGTTGTTGTTGCATTTATACCCTGTCCATCTGACTAGGTTGGTCCAGCCACTCTGGGCTGCTTCCAGAACATATAAAACATAATAAAATATTAAAAAAACCTTTCCTATACAGGGCTACCTTCAGATGTCTTCTAAAGGTTGTATAGTTACTTATTTCCTTGGCTCAAGGGTCACATAACTCCATACCCTTCAACATTTCTCCAATGAATCTAGGCATGTCCTAAGGAAAAGCAGGGCATTCAAGACTCAAACCAGAAACTGGGACAGCTTCTGTAAATCAGGTCCTGTCCCCGGAAAATAGGGGCACTTGGAAGGTCTGTTAAGCTAAGGGCCCCTTTAATTACAGTGGGTCTAAATAATCTTTAAAATCCAAGTAATCAACATGAATTGCTATGTGGATCACGGCCAAAACAAAAAAACAAAAGGAAAAAAACACCCTGATCCCTTTTGCCTCATTGTCCAGAGCACTTGCATTCTACAGTGATCAGAGTAAATTGGGCACAACAAGCCATTGCCTGTTATGAAGTCAGAAGCTGAAACAAAAGACGTACTTGTTCAGAGAAGTTGACTTTTGGAGGAAGAGAAAGAAAATGGAGCAACAACTTACCAAGAGCTGGTTCCCTCTTGTCCTAGTTTGCCTCTACCACGCCTCTCCCTTGACACATAAACCAACCTCCTATTTAATCTCTCTTCCTACGTGGTGGAGACTTCCCTCAAAGACAGCCAAGGCAGAAGCACCTGCTCTGGTTTACTACTCAGCGAAGCTCTTTTCATCACAGAACAAGCTCCCGTGGACATTTCATAAACCTTCCTCTTGGATCTAGCTCCTGATTGGGTTGACTCCTTTGCGGGTAAGTTTCTAAACTCTCTCCCCTGCCCTGTGTGGCTTCAGTAATCTGAATCCCAATGGTTTTCCTATCTACAGTCTTTTATGAGATAGGAAAGGTAGTTTGCTTTGCATTTTATAGTCTCTTTATCTAAAATATCGATTTTCTGCAAAATAGTTATAAGCGGTTGAGTAAGAGCCAAGAAAGTTGTTCCAACTTCGAAGTGTTTCTGTTCAACAGTGCAATCTGAACCCTGCTTACACAGAAGTCATGGGGCTTACTCCCAGGTAAGGGGAATTAGGATTGCAACTAAAAATCAAGATCTCTAAGGGAAGCATCTTTTAAGATAATGGTCTTTCAGCTTGAGGGCAAAGAGGATGCATGCGCTTGGAAAAGAACAAAAGAACCCTGTTTTCCTTAATGAATGGTGCTTGACCCTACAGAGTTGCTTCTGAAACAGGCTGAAGGATTCATAAAGATTTGTTGTGAGCAGGGTGTAGGCAAAGCACTGCCTCATATATTAAAAGCTTCTCCAAACTGGAAATGGCTGCATTCCAGAATGCATACCCTGCAAGAGTCCCGGAAAAAGCGGGACATCCTGTTTCCCCCTGCAAGAGCATGGCGACCATTTTGTGCTGAGAACTTGCCCCAGAAAAAGCACTTTTGGGGGTCCGCGAACTTGTGTGGCACCCCAAAACAGGCATTTCAGGGGCCCTGAAGAAAGTGCATCTTTGGGGCTCCATCATTTTGTGTGTGTCATGTGACTTCTGCAGACAGGAAGATACATGCCCCCGTTTTGGAACTCAACATGTTGGAGGGTATGAGATTGTCCATTTATAATTGAGAAAGAGTGAGCAGAAACTGTCGACAGAGGTTATAAATCTTTGTCCACTGTCTCTAAAACAGGGGTAGAGCCCTTTTCAAACTCATAGATCAGAGTGGTGAGCATTTTCTGTGAGAGTTCCTTTCCTGACCCCACCCTGTTCCTCCCCACACTGCCATTTTTGTGATGCATTTAGTGACATTTTCAGGTTACCTCAGGGTTGGAGCCGTGTGCGATTGCGGGTCATTCAGACACACATTAACCGGTCATTGTCTATATTGCAATGGAGGAAGCCACACAGCAGCGGTGGTGAACTAAAGGCCTGGACCCTCAGGCCATGCCCTCACCAGGCCATACTCCTTCCCTCAGGTCACAACATTCCTCACCCCTGATCTGTACCTTCCTTTAATGCTTTCTTCCTTGAATGTTAAAATGTGTCCATGAAATATTGTAATGCCTATTCCTTTCCTGGATGAAAGTGGAGGGGTGTTTGTAGCTGTAGAAATCTCCGGCATGCAGCTTGCCATACAAAAGTAAGAGCCATATCCATTGCTACACCCACTTTTGTCTGTGGTCAAACCCCTCCCTCCATACACAATTGCCTCAGGCCCCGGCTACAATGGGCCTGCAATCCCCTGAGAGTTCAGTTTTGTCTGTGGCTGAAAAAAGACTCCCACCCAGAGCAATCTAAGGATAATTCCAAAGATGTATGTCTTTTTATGCACATAGATCCATAATTGAACTAAGGGATAAAGGAGAGCATGATAATTTATATCCAATGTTAGGTAAAGGTAAAAGGTAAAGGACCCCTGGATGGTTAAGTTCAATCAAAGGCGACTATGGGGGTTGTGGTGCTCATCTGGCTTTCAGGCCGAGAGAGCCGGCGTTTGTCCACAGACAGCTTTCCGGGTCAAGTGGCCAGCATGACTAAACCACTTCTGGAGCAACAGAACAGAAACCAGAGCGCATGAAAATGCTGTTTACCTTCCTGCCACAGTGGCACCTTTTTATCTACTTGCACTGATGTGCTTTCGAACTGCTAGGTTGGCAGGAACTGGGACACAGCAACGGGAGCTCACCCCATCATGCAGATTCGAACCGCTGACCTTCCAATCCACAAGCCCAAGAGGCTCAGTGGTTTAGACCACAGTGCCACCCACGTGCCTATGTTAACCCTACTCAGAATAGATAGATGGATGGATGGATGGATAGAAACTTTATTTGCAGTAGCCAATTGCCATAGCACAAAGATAAAATATAGTGAGGATAGAGCTAAATAGTTAGCTACTCAGAGTAGACCCAATGACATTAATTGGCAGGATTAACTTAGGCCCATGAATTTCAATGAACCTACTCTGATTAATGAAGAAGTTCTCTCTGCCATCTTTGGGAAATGTCCACATAAATATTACTCTAGAATTAGCTTCCGTGGAAGGACTGGGCTGGCAAGCTGCAGGGTGGATTACATTTTCAAGTACCGCATCAGTGTAATCATTATGAGGCACACACACTTACATGGCAATTTCACTGCAATCTGCCAGAAACCCTCCAGCTCAAGGCAAGAACAACCTTTCCTTATCACCCATATTCCTTAACAACATGTTTGCTAAAAAAAACAAACCAGGAAACGGATGCTGAAAGGCAATTAAAATTTGGCTGAGCATATGCCTACATTGGATCTGACAGTTCAAAGCTGAGGATTCAGGAAGAAGTTCTGAAAGAGAAAACCACAAGGCCTGAAATCATTTTGATATAGACGTGTCTTTGGCAAACCCAGTGCTGTTTTTCTAGAAAAAGAGATGCTGGAATTTGCCATGAACGCCTCCCTTGTTCTCTTATAATGGCAAAGGAGCCCACCTGAGAGGCGCCGGAACTAAATTCTGGTGAGTTCCATCGGAAAAAAATACCTGGGGAAGCCCATGACTAAGATGAAGGGGAGATGGGACTAAGCAAGCCTTAAGTCAGAGATTACTGTGAGAATGGCGAACGGTGGCTGTTCAGGAACAAATGCACCTGATAAATAACAGCTCTCTTTTTTTTGTAGAATTAGTGGTTAGGTTAGGGAACTTGTGGCCTTCCAGGTATGTCGGGTTCCTGTTCCTATCATTTCATTTTAAAAAATAATAGATACATTTCTATACTGTTACTTTTTATTTTAAGAAAAAAATTCCAAAGAGGTTTACAGCCTACATCAAAACATCAAATCAAACAATCTGAAACTTTAAAAAATACAGAAGAAAATCAGATACAGAGCATAAATTCAAAGCCACATAATCAATAGGAAACTAAAATGTCATCTTAAAGATTTCAAAATAAGACGTAACAAAGGAGGTCCAGCATAGAATACACATTTAACACAGCAAAGTTAACGCAACTAACTTTTTTAATGTTTGATGTTTTACTATGTTTTTTAAATGCAGTAGGCTGCCCAGAATGGATGGGGAAACCCAGCCAGATGGGCATGGTATTATTATTATTATTATTATTAATCATCATCATCATCATCTTACATTTGTTGTTTGTTGGCATCCATCTGTCCTGGGACACAATGGGAGAGTGCACATTTTGGGGTGAAGAAAAATTGTTGAAAAGTTGCAGCGCCATTTGTGGCTGTAGAGACCATGGTCGAGTACAGAATACACATTAAATGCAACATAGTTCACCCAAAAAACTTATCAAATATTTCAAAATGAAACATTACTAAAGGAAGTCAGCTATAAAACACACATTCAAAACAGCATAGTTAACAGGAGAATAACATATTATCTTAAACACAGAACATATCTGCTGCTGTTGCTGCTGCTGCTGCTGCCAGTGGTGGTTTGTGGTGGGCAGTGGCTGTGGAAGTTCAGGCTCAAGGACCTGGGTTTACACTAAGAGACCTGGTACCTGGCAGAGTAGCATCAGGGTGATGCTAAGAGTTGCATGTGGCATGTCACTATTTGCTTGCTTGCTTGCTGCCCGTCTGACTAGGTTGCCCCAGCCACCCTGGGCGGTTTTCAACAAATCAAAACAGCCAACACAGTAAAACATCAACCATTAAAGGCTTCCTTATACAGAGCTGCCTTCATATGTCTTCTAAAAGTTGTATGGTTCTTTGACATCTGATGGGAGGGCGTTCCACAGGGCAGGCACTACTACCAAGAAGTCTCTCTGCCTGGTTACCCATAACTTCACTTCTCGCAGTGAGGGAACTGCCAGAAGGCCCTTGGAGGAGGACCTCAGTGTCTGGGCTGAGCGATGGAGGTGGAGATGCTCCTTTGGGCATACAGGGATACCTTTCACAGATACATCTCCTATTTCAACAACTCTGTACATTTCCCCTCCCTTCGCAACCATAGGACATACCACTAGCATGTCTACTGCTCCACTCACTTGTTCCCCTGGCCCCCCGCCCATCCCTGCCACGCAGCCCCCAAACGGTTACACAGAAGGGCTGAAAAAGGTTCTGCAGCTCTGATACGACTATAACCACACAGCGTATCCAAAAGACAGGAGCAAAATAATTCAACGGGGAAAAGCCAGCAGTCTGCTCAATAAAAGATGAAAGGGTGGCTTTAGCAGCAATACTCATGTAACCCTCCGAGCTAAATAATAAGCAAGGCTGCCAGTTTCCGACATCAATGACCCATCGTGTCACAAACCCTTCCTTTCTTTTAAATCTATTTTTCATTGAGGAGTAAGCACTCTCTTCTCCAGCATTAGAGGTTTAGAGTGAACAGCTCCTAGTTCCCCTTTTACTGTAGTTACACAGTTAATAAGTTGGAGGGCAGCTTTAAAGCTTAGCATGCCTTGGCAGTTAAATGGTTTGGCCATGAAAGTGATATTGAATTTGTACGATTCTAGTAGGACTGAGACTTCTGAGTTCTTCAGTACAGAAGCTTACAAACGGAAGGGGTAGAAACCAACTGGGGAGAGGGTCGAAGTGGTGTCCCTTTTTTTGGAAATGCATCCTTTTCAAATAACTCATAGGAAAAGCTTTGAGTTGAAGTACAGCAGAGTTTCCCAAACTTGGGTCTCCAGCTGTTTTGGGACTACAATTCCCATCATCGCTGACCACTAGTTCTACTAGCTAGGGATGATGGGAGTTGTAGTCCAACAACAGCTGGAGACCCAAGTTCGGGAAACCCTGAAATACAATGTTAGTTAAAATACAATGGACTGGATTTAATAGTGTTGATAATGTAATGAATGGCTCTTTAGTTATACATGAAATCCTTTAGTGGAAAACCCTCTTCGGGTTATGAAATACAGTAATCCCTCCTCTTACTGTGATGGCCTGGGATTCGGATTTGGAGGCTGAACCTGAGGAATCCCAGCCTACACAGGATTCCCTGCCTCCAGAACCAGCATGAGACTGAAGGGTCCTCACCTGTGCTGGGTCCTCAGGTTCAGGCACCAGCTGAGTCTGGCACCTGAGGTGATGGAGGACCCATTGCCTGCAGGTGCTCCACTCTCAGCCCCATCAGAGGAGGCTGAGGATGCCTCTGGGTCTGGTAACCCTCCAGCCTCTCCAGAGCTGCAGAGGCTCAGGGCAGAGAGGCGGAGGGAACTAAGTTCTCACAGGAGGAGTGCTCACCTCCAGGCCAGGAGAGGCAAGTCACCTGAGGCTCGGGGCCGCCCTATGCCTTGGGGCAGATAAAAGCCAGCCAGCCCCAGTCCAAAATTGTGGGAGCAACATTGCTGGTTGCCAGATCCTGCCTGAACCCTGCCCTGCACCCAGCTTCAGCTTTTACAGACTGCCTCTATATTGCACCTTCAGCCACAGACTGGACTTGGACCTCACCTCTCGGTTAACCCACGGGACCAGCACACTTACACACATTTGACTTGCAGGATTTCAACCATACGTGGTTGAAGGTGGGCTCACTGGCAGAGGGGGGTGGGGGAGCACACTGCCCCCAGCAGCGCAATCCTGGTGGGGTTCCATCACAGCTGTTCCCCCATCCCTGGGACTTGCGCCAGCCCTGCCCCCGCCTGCTTTCCACCCCGGTTCTGGAGCATGAATCTCCACCACTGGGTGGGCTGGTCAAAATTGTACAAGTCAAGTCACAAGTGAGTTGGGGAGCTTGAAAGCTCTTTGCACTGGGCCCACCTGAGGTTACCTGCTACAAATGGAGTTTTTAAGTCCTCTGCCTTGCTTGCCGGCTCCGGAAGGCAGATCTCACGGGACAATTTGACTTCATCAGAGATCTCACACCTTCTAGAGCCTGTGCATCAAGCAGATCTAGCCCCACCAAAGCAAGGCTTTTCGTGCCAGGTCACCCAAGCAGCCCCAGCATCAAAAAAGCTTTTTCAAGCTCCTGGCCTTGCTTGCTGGATGCGGAGGATTGCTGGGAGGAACCAGCTGGTGAACCACCAAAGGAAGAAGGGATTGGTGGTGGGTGAATGGTAAGTGGTCAGAGGGAGAAGGATGGGACGAGGAAGTGCCAGAAGCTGAAGAGGTAACATGGTTTAGTTAGCTGGGAGAGTTTGTGGCAGAGAGAAGTCCAGAATCCAGAGACAGAAACTGAAGCTGAAGCAGGAGGTAGGTTGGAGGGAAGTAAAGAGGCAGAGTTGAGAAGAGTCACGGGTGTTGCCCCATCCTGCTTCAGCAAGCTCCCCTCCCTCCTGACTCCCAGAATCAGGAGAGGCATGAAATGGGAGGCACAAAGACAGGCACATGGGTGGGTGGGTGGGTGGGTGGCTGTACATGTTGAAAATATTATTTAAATTAAAGCAAATATTTAAAATGGCATTTCGGAAAATCACTATTTACTGGGAGGAAGACAACAAAGAGACAGGACGACAAAGATGCTTCTTGCCTAACTTGGGGTACCATTTGGTCTGGGGATGGTGCTGATTACTGGACTACAGTTGCACATCTGTGCTAGTGATCTTGCTTATATCCCTGTTAGACCTTTGGTTCCAATAGCTCAGGAGCGTCCAAGCTGGTGCGTTCCAGATAGTTCGGACTACAGGCCCTATCAGCCCTGCTTGGCAAAACCTGCAATAGCTGGTGTAAATAAATAAAGAGTTTTGATAACCCTCCACAGCAACAGAATAAATTGGGGTCAAATACAATGCCACCTTTTGTATACCCACATTCTTGTGGCTACCTCCAACTCTTGGAACGAAAGCTGAGGTAATTCGAACCTTGTTGATGGAAGTGAGAGTGCTGCCAAGATACACGTTCGATCTTCTATGCTACCTTATTAGATTACGGAAAGAAGTTGCAAATAATTATTATGCTTCTTGGAAGGGAAGAAAGGGAAGAAAGAGGAGAGAAATGATGGCGATACCGTGGTATCTCTGGTTAATAACTTAATTCATCTTGGAGGTCCATTTTTAACCTGAAACTGTTCTTAACCTGAGGTAGCACTTTAGCTAATGGGGCCCCCTGCTGCCGCCACGCCACCACCGCATGATTTCTGTTCTCATCCTGAGGTAAAGTTCTTAACCTGAGGTACTACTTCCGAATTAGCTGAGTCTGTAACCTGAAGCGTTTGTAACCCAAAGCGTTTGTAACCCGAAGTACCACTGAACTTGAAATATCAAGAGGTTGCAAAAGCTCTTGCTTCTCTTTTCATGAAGTTCAGGCCATCTGTCAGTGTCCAAGTAAGCTATAAATGTGGTTTGATGAGATGTCTGGTGCAGTCCACAGATGATTCAGACAGATGAACCAGAAAAGCAATTTGGTTCTTAGCGATGTGAAGCTGAGGCTGCGTATAGACAGAAGAATTGGAAGATAACATTGAACTGGCATCGCGAGCAGCCAGAATCAGAAAGCAGGGAAGGAAATCACCCACCAGTGTAAATCTGTGATGGGAGAAATTGCACCAGTCAAAGTGACACCACCATTAAAGGTGAAGGTGCCTCGCTTTGAATTCAACAAATCTATTTAAAGAATGTGCCAGAAAATCCAATGTATTAAAGGAAGCATGAAAAGAGTCAAAGGAGTTTTTGAAGAGTGTACCGAGATCTGGGAAAATGCAAAGTCATCTGAATACTGCACAGGGAAAGTCCCATTACCTTACCATATACTGGTTTGCCATTCTGGTGCGATCAAATGTACCAATGCGGCTCCATGGTAGAGCATATTCCTTGCACACAAAGATTCCTCAGTTTGACTTCTGGCATATCCAGGTATGGCTGAGGTAGACCCCCCATTGAAACCCTGGAGAACTGTTGCCAGTCTGGATGTAAATAATACTGAACCAGCAGTTTGACTCCATGTCTCCAGGTCGTGAGTTCAAGCCCGATGTTGGGCAAAAAAATTCCTGCACTGCAGGGGGTTGGACTAAATGACCCTCACAATCGATCCCAACTCCTCAATTTTAGAATTATAGGATTCTAAGGCTGCGTCCTACGTTCTTAGAGTTTCTGCATTTCACAGTTCAAGAAGTCAGGAAATATTTTCATGTATGTGACAACAGCAGCATGGATGCTATTAGCCCAGAAATGGAAATAAGACAAAGTCTCTACCAGAGAGGAATGGCAAATTAAGCTGTTAGACTACACCGAAATGGCAAAACTGACAGGAAAGCTCAGGGACCAAGAATACAAAAATTTCAAGAAAGAATGAGGAAAATTAGATTATTACTGTAAGCAGATGAAAACATTAGCAGGATTTTAATCTCACTTGTAATGTTACAAATACTATGGACAATATGGATAGATACAAAATATAGGCTATGACATAATATGCAGTTGAAAACGTTGACATTAGAACCCATGGAGGGGATGGGGGAAGTCTCGAGAAATATATTTATATGGATATGTATTTGGTTTTGTTATAAATTTATTTTTGTAAAATCAAATAAAAATGATTTTTAAAAAAGAAGACAGGAAATAGACAGTGCAGGCTACCCAGGCCGTTGGAGAGATTGGGTGCCAAAGACAGCCTTGTTTCTTTTCCCTGTTGTGGAAAAGATGCCTTCTTCTGAAGATTGTTGTTGTTGTATAGTTGTGTCCAACTCTTCGTGACCCAATGAAGGTTAGCTCAACCATAGATACATTCCTGAAGAAGTAGCACCATGTACTTCTAGATGGCTTAGAAACTTTTGGTCTGAAATCAAAGCATCGGGAACAGTATGGGAACATAATGAGACATAGTTACAATAATGGGTAGAAATAGCTTATTCACTGAGCTTTGTAGTACAAATTAATCCATCTAAGATAAGGTGGGAATGCACAAGAATTCAGATGCTTGCTCAAAGTGAAGGAGCCTTTGAGTGCTTTCCAGGTGAAAAGTAGTGAAGGCTTCAAAGGCACTGCAAAGGTGGGGACTTTGACCACAATCTGAGTTGCCTACCTCTGCCACCGCCTTCCGCTTTCAGTACCCAAACTTATCCTGAGGGATTGGGAGGAAGCACGAGAAGTAGCAGAAGAGGAGGCCAATCCGTGAATCTGGGATCATCTAAGGAAGCTGAAGGGTGGGAGACTCAAGACAGATTCAAAGGAAGAGCTTCTTCATAAAACACATAATTATACTATAACATTTGTTACCTCAAGGTGTAGCGATGGCCACCATCTTGGACAACTTTAAATGATTAGTCAAATTCATGGAGGATAAAGCTTTCAATGGCGGCATATTACCTCCAGCGTGTCTCTGAATATAATTTGCTTGGGTACATGATCAGGAGAATGCTGTCAAGCTCCTGTCTTGCTTGTGGGTTTCGGATAGGCCTCCATTTGGCCACTGGGGGAACAGAACACTTTCCTAGATGGACTTTAGGTCTGATCTAGCAGGTTTCCTCTTATGAAATCACTTTCAGATGTTTTATAGGAAGCAGTTCATAAATGGAGTCTAAATCATCATCATCATCATCATCATCATCATCATCATCTCTTATCTTTTTCTCACTGGGCCTTTTTTTGCCTGGAAGAAGAGGTAAGGCATAGTCTCAGGCCTCAATGGAGCACCTTTGTCTACCAGAGATTGAGATTAGGACTACTGCTTGCTCCATCCATCATTTATGCCAGGAAGAAAGCCCTGGAGGAAAGGATGCACATAAATTTTCTATCAGGAATTTTATAACTGGTTGTCCTAGTCCAAGTCTCTGGTTGAGCCCTGAGACTGTACACTACTTCATCTTCCCCTCTGTGCTCCTAAGTAAGGTTCTGTCAAGGACTGGTTGAATGACGAAGAGCGGTGGGATACGCCAGCCCAAGAACACCCCCCCCCCGCTAGGGATGACACAGAGGAAGAAGACTTAGACCCAGGACAGTGGTGGTGGGACACTGAGGACCGGTCTGCGGAAGGGACAAGCTGGGAGGTGATAGAAGCAGGAAGTTTCAGAAGAAGAAAGCCATTCCAGGACAGGGTTGGGTGCTGAGGGTCACAGTATGAGCACAGACTCTGACAAGGAAGAGTCAAATGCTGCTTCAGTTGCTCAGCAGCAGCACAGCTCCTCTTCAGCTAACTCTCCTCCTTCACTGACACCCAGATCATAAAGAACCTTGCACATTGCTGAGCCAGACAGGCCCTCAGTGGGATCCCTTCCCCTCACCAGAGTTTTTGACTGCTTGTGAGGCGTCCCGAGGGAGAGGGCTAGAGAGGGAAGGAAGGAAGGAAGGAAGGAAGGAAGGAAGGGAGGAAGGAAGGAAGGAAGGACCAGATGCCAGTCCCAGCAACATCTTCAACTAGGGCAGATTTTGTGAATAAAAGCTGATTGCACTTCACGTCTTGAGTCCTCTTCCTGACCTGTGGATGAACCTTCATTCCTGACAGCCCCTTGATAGGATGCAACAGCAGTTTGTGAGCAGGACGGCATTGTGCTTGCTCTTGCCCACAAGTATTTGAGCAGGGGCGACCAACATATGTGAGGATGCTCCCGCCTGAATATTCACAACCCCCGTAAGATAAGTATGCCTGTTCCCACATCACTGTAATGGTCCCTACAGTACCACAACAATGTTTTGGGGCACCCCTGCCCCACTGCCCTCCATGATCCTTACTTCTAAGTAATGCATTTAGAATCAAACGTGTTTCCTATATCCTTTGGCTATGAGGCCGCTGGTTCTTTGCCACACATGGCAAAACACTTGCTGTTGACTTTAGCAAACACCTGCTCCTCTCCCTTATGCAAGATCAGGTGGCAGAACAGCAGTCCACTGGAAGCTGAAGCATAAACAGTTATGTTAATATTTCTGGCTCCTTCACCCTCGCTTTCCTCTTTTTGATGATCTAAGAGCTTAGAGTGGCCTAAGAGCTTAAGAGTCTGTCGCTCCAAAGTCACCAGGGGACACAGAGCAGGCGGGAGAGCTGCCTAAGTACCCTTTATACTCCCTTCACACAGGGATAAAGCTGCTTGGTTGCTTGGGAAATAAAGGTCAAAAGGTTTAAGTTGTGTTATTTCAGACATTTCCATGGCAACAGGCTCGAACAAACGGGGCCTGAATGCAAAACTGAGGCATTATTTTAAACACAATATTAATGGTCCATCCCCCCATTTGCAGTGTAATGGCGTCCTTCTTTCAAGAATGTGCTCATTGTTGCAGCATTGGGGTTCCAGAGCTGGGCTTCAGTCTTAAATCCTGCAGCCCATGGGTCCAGCGACAGTCCCAGATTTACAGAAGCCATCCCGGTTTCTGATTTGATCCCGGAAAGTCCCGCTTTTCCTTAGGACACCCCTATTTTCATTGAAGAAATGGTGGAGGGTATGGAATAGAACATCCCCATGGCTTTTTTTCCAGCCAGAACTCACTGGAACTCAGTTCCAGCACCTCTCAGGTGGGCACCATTGCCATTATAAGAGAACAAGGGAAGCTTTCATGGTGAGTTCTGGCACCTCTTTTTCTAGAAAAATTGCACTGAACATCCCTATTTTCATTGGAGAAATGTTGGAGAGGAAGCTCTCTATTTTCACTGGAGAAATGTTGGAGGGTATGGAATAAGATGTTCCTATTTTCATCCAAGAAATGTTGGAGGATTTGGCCAAAACCAACTTTCTTCCTGTAAGATAGCTTTCCCCAATCTGGGGTCCTCCAGACTACAAAACTCCTATCGTCTTTCGCCAATGGCCATGCTAGGTGGAGCTGCTTTGGAGTTCTGTTCCTAAACATATGGAAGGCACCAGGTTGTGGAAGCTCATTGGATGGGACAATCACTACTGAGGAGAATGTAGCACTGTGTTGGTGAGGAGTTACTAGTTTCTTGACATTTCTGTTGAAATAAGCTGTGCCCAGCCTAGACAGCAAGCTCAGAATCTGAGATCTTGACCAAACAATATGAAAGGCTAGCAGAACTTCTCCACCCTTCAAGCTCTGATTTGCACCCAATCCAGCCTTCTGAATGGTGAAGGTGTGGCATAATAGACCTTCCTAGGTTGGGTCAGCTTTAGCCCCGAACATGCTGCCTGCAACTTTTTGTAACTTACTCCTCCAGACCTGTTTTTCCTCCAACGTCTTTGCCTATCTTCCCCCGTATTTTTGTTTGTTTTCACTTTTAACATAAATCACTTATTGATCCTACTTCAGCCATTGTCACCTGGAAATAATCTAATCTCTACAATGGCAGAGAAGAAGCATAACAAAACTGAGATGGCCGTGGACAGGGAGTTACAACTTGTTAGCCAACCTCTTGACATAACACCTTGTGGAAACAACTTTTACACTATTTCTACTACTGCTGCAATTAAAAGACACCTGCTTCTTGGGAGAAAGGCGATGACAAACCTAGACAGCATCTTAAAAAGCAGAGACATCACCTTGCCAACAAAGGTCCGTATAGTTAAAGCCATGGTTTTCCCAGTAGTGATGTATGGAAGTGAGAGCTGGACCATCAAGAAGGCTGATCGCCGAAGAATTGATGCTTTTGAATTATGGTGCTGGAGGAGACTCTTGAGAGTCCCATGGACTGCAAGAAGATCAAACCTCTCCATTCTGAAGGAAATCAGCCCTGAGTGCTCACTGGAAGGACAGATCGTGAAGCTGAGGCTCCAATACTTTGGCCACCTTATGAGAAGAGAAGACTCCCTGGAAAAGACCCTGATGTTGGAAAAGATGGAGGGCACAAGGAGAAGGGGATGACAGAGGACGAGATGGTTGGATAGTGTTCTCGAAGATACAAACATGAGTTTGACCAAATTGCAGGAGACAGTGGAAGACAGGAGTGCCTGGCGTGCTCTGGTCCATGAGGTCACAAAGAGTCGGACATGACTAAACGACTAAACAACAACAATGCTGCTGCTGTTCCTGTTTCCTTTCTTTCAGTTTTCTTCTCTCTCTTATATTAGTTAAATTTAGAAAAACTGCACTAACTGAATATATCTAAGTAAATGAGTAATGGCAATCGATTTTCATTTTCTCCTTGACATCCTTGGTGACTGAGATGGGCAGATAGCACAACAATGTTCTCAAAATGTGCAGACATGCCAAAAAGTGAGCAGTTAGGTCTTCTCCTTTCTGATTCTCCTTCTTAGCCCCCCCCCCAAACTATTGTGTGAATTAGTCAATTTAAGCCGTAGCGATAACTTGAGTGGGAATAGATTATGGCAGCTTTCAGCAACCTGGGACTGTCCAAATCTGTGGTTCCCACAGGGGGGCAATTAGATTTTAATGGGGGCAATTCGAGAATGAGTTATTAACAGTTAATGGCCTTTTAGGCTTCCTCCATGTGAATAGTTCACTTTTTGAATAATAAGAATTATATGTCACGGGGGGCGGGTGTCAGGATTTTAGAGATGCTTAGGTGGGGCATGGCCGAAAAAAGGTTGGGAACTACGGGTCCAAATGTTTCGGTCCGCAATTAGTCACCTCTTTCTGGGCTGTACTACTTCAGAATTTAGGTGGGGTCTGCATGATTAAGTATTTTTCTTTATAGTTTAAGAAAATTATTCCCTGAACTCAGAACCATAGCTATCAACCGTCCCTTATTTGGCGGGAAAGTCCCTTATCACAGTGGCTGTGTCCCGCTGCTGTCCCTTATTGATGATGTCCCTTAAATTTCCTGGGTTTCAAAGGAAGCAGCTCCTCTCCCTCCCTCCCTGCTGGCCAGGGAGGAGGGAGGCTCCAACTGTGTTGCTTGGCTGTGTTGCTCACCCAATAAGGAGTCTAAGAATGACTGGGGGTGGAGCTTGCATGCCTTATGTCGATCAGATCAGCTGCGTTGCCTGGGGACTCACTTTTGCTCAGCCCTTCCCAGTGGAAAGGTGACGATGGTTTTCCTTGCTGCATCCCCTTTGCTGGGTTGCTGCGCTGTGGGAACCACCGCTTGAGGCTTCGTTTGGCTGCTGGCTGGGCTTTCTGCCTTTGGCTCGGAGGGGCTCAGAAGTTGAACATACCTGTGCTGGGAAAATCCCTTATTTTGGCTGCTGATCCCTTATTTTCAAGGCTGCTGGTCCCTTATTTTCAAATCTGTAAGTTGACAGCTATGCCCAGAACACTTGATAAAAGGGAAAGGGTTCCAATCTAACTCTCCCCTCCATACTGTTTTTTAATATGCGGGGATTGTTTTTTGCCCTTGGGTGAGCTTTCTATCATGAAAACCTTCAACTGCAGTCAAAGGTGGTGTGTTCCAGATAGAGCTTCACTATAACATCTGCTGTTTCTGAGATCTAAATCCAATGGAAAGTTGGTCCTTCTCTAGCCCATACAGGAAAGTTCACATATTTTTGTTTTCTGTGTGGTCAACATACAGAGCACCTATCATGCTACTCACATCTTATGTAGGAATGAAATGGTACAACCATCTTGGGTTTTGTTTTTAGTAGAAAAATCATTGTTTTCTTTTGTTGTTGGGAGGTTCAAAAGGTCAGCCAAGGAAGACTTAAGGGGTGGTGTAAAAGCATGCCTATTATGGGGAACTTAGACTTAGAAAAACTGAGAGGTAGGCTGAGAGGTTGGTGTGTGTGTGTGTGTGTGTGTGTGTGTGTGTGTGTAAAAAAAGTGTATATAAGTGAAACTAGCAAGCAGAGACGGTTTCCTGGGAATTCAAGAAAGCATTTTAAAATCCCAAGAAGAAGCCAGGACAGAGAGCGTTACAGAGGCACCAGACGCCAGGGATAAAAGAAGTTGAGCCAGAAGCTGCACTGCTATTAGACTAGGATGAGCTAAAATTGTGTTATTGGCTTAAGCAGGAAAGTGCCTAGATAGAAAAAAGGATTTTTCTATGCTACTTTCATATCCAAATTGCTTATTAGAGTTAACTGTATGGAAAGTACCTTCTAATCTTATGTTTCTTTCCTTCTGTTCCTTTTCTCTTGCTTTCTCTTTCTTCTCTTTCCTTTCCTTGTCTTTTCTTCCTTCTGACTTTGTTCCATCTTAGAGGCAGAGGGCCTTCTCGGTAGTGGCGCCTGCCCTGTGGAACACCCTCCCAGCAGATGTCAAGGCAATAAGCAACTATTTTACTTTTAAAAGACAAGTGAAGGCAGCCCTGTTTAAGGAAGAGTGGCTGGGGAAACCCAGCCAGATGGGCGGGGTATAAATAATAAATTATTATTATTATTAAAGTAGCTATTTTTTCTCACTATATTATAAAAAAGATCCTTTGTAATGGGAATGTGTTTTTGTACATCTTTGAATCAGTATCGATAAATACATTTAAAAAAATAAAATAAAATAAAGTGCCTTCCAATCAAAGAAGAGGAATTGCAGATTTCTGCCAGAGGGAATTGATCGGCAAAGTCATTGTCCCGAGATATTGTGATCAGCGATTATCTTTAAAAAGAATGATGACCAAACTGCGTGGATGATATGGTCTTTGCTGGCTTCTGGTTACAGCAGCCAGGAAGTGCAACCTCTATATGATACCTTCTTACCTGGCATCGGCAGTAGATATCTCCATCATAAAACCTGTATGTCAACTTCCCATTTTGACATTTTGCTGACCACTGTCAGTCGATGTAATTAAGTTGAGCTACCAGGAACATTGATCTAACCCAATATGGCAGCTGACATGTCCCCAGCTATAATCCAGCTCTGAAACAAAAAAAGTTTTGGCTCAGACTCTCCCCAACAGCAGATCCAATTAAACTAAGGGCTGAAAAATGTTCCATCAAGTTTATACCTTTTCTGAATTTTGCTCTGATTAAGGGAACATTGTTCTCTTTCCTGTTTATTCATCCTTCTTTATTACCTTTTCCCTCATGAACTCCTGATTACTCAACACCTAAAGCCTCTAATATGCTTGTGTTGTTTATTCCCTTTAATTTGTTAAATGCTTCACTGCTTTTCAGGCAATGGATGTGAAAACTCAGTCAAAGCCACCCAAGGACTGCTGTGTGTTGCTTCTTTCCCAGCAGAGACTGGATGGCTGGCCAGATCACAGAATCTTAGAGTTGGAAGGGACCCCAGTGATCATTTAGTCCAACCCCCTGCAATGCAGGAATACGCAGCTGCTCCGCACGGGGATCGAACCTGCAACCTGCATTATCAGAGCCATGTTCTAACCAACTGAGCTATCCAGGCTGACATGCATCAGCTAGCTTTCTATCAGGTTTCATATTGTCGCTCTTCCACATTAATGGAACTAGGTGCTATTAAAGCCATACCAAAGGCTGCCACTGAAAATGACACAAACAGCCTTCATGTGTTTTTCACATTTTGTGTCCTTTCCCCCCTCATTCAGCAGCAGTAGTACTGAAAAAACCATTTCAACTTTCCCTGTGATTTTATTATTTCCCAATTGCCCTCTGCGCATCAAGATGGGCAGTATCAAAACATCCCTCGTAGCTCATGTTTTGTTTCATTTTCCTAGCTTAAGGCATTCCTCATATGGTACGGTTCGGTGTACTATATCAGATAATGAATGAAACAGGGAGTGAAAGAGCATTTTATCTGGAAAGATCGCAAACATTGTTCAAATGCGTGGAACATTTCTCTTGACCCATGAGAAAAAGGAGGCTGTGCAAACTGTCGTTGATTTAGCTCTGGCAGCCGCAAATCTATCCCCCCCCCCCCCTTTGGTCTGTTTAGTACTGAAATGTGCTTGGATGGTGGCTGTTGAGTGAAATATGTAGACAATTTCCTTATATATCATCAGGCTAATTTTTCAAGAATTGTTTTTTAGCTGTACTTTTAGATTGGCCACCTGCATGGATTCATATATAATTTTTGTCAAGCCTCGGAGACAGGCCACACCCAAAACTTGATTCCAACACAGGTTGAAAGAGAACCAAGCCTGATCAGCAGCATCTCCTGAAGAGATTGAGGGGAGTAGCAAACTTAGATGGTTGGGTTTTATAGGGCAAGGTTTGCCAGTACCTCCAACAGTACCCACGAAAGAAAAGATCCCCTCAAAACTCCACAAGAGCCTGCTTTCTCTTCCTGCTCAGTTTCTGTTTGACCAGACTCAGCCTCTCCTACGTTGAATTATGACCCTTAAAACATGGCAGATGATGCACCCCCCCCTGATGGATGAGGTGGGAGGAATGCCCACACTATTTTGTGGTCCTCTCTCTTTCCCTGCTGTGGCAGCCATTCCCCCAATGTGGCAGCCATTTTGTGTTATGGAACACACACTCCATGGCAGCCATATTGTGACTGGCACCCACAGGGGTGCCAAAAATTGGGGGGGGGGACAGATAAATGTTGCCCTGCATAATGTGGCATGCACACACCTATTGAATGGCAATGGCCAGCAACTGGGGGGGGGGGAGCTGTTATGTATTGAAGTGCTCACCCTGGCCACCAGGGGTATTGTGTATATAGTTTTCACTCAGGTTCACGTCAGTTAATTTAGGCGGGAAACCCTGGGGTGTTGTTACAATGTTGACAGCCGGCTGCCTATAAAAGCAGGCTGGCTGAGCTGTTCAGTTCAGTTCAGTTCCAGTTTACTTATAAAGAACTACTTGGAGAAATCTCTGTGTCGTCTGCTTTGTCAACCCACTACTTGATAGGAGCCCACTCAAATATTTTATTGGGGTGGACGGACAAAGGGTCCTCGGCCCCTAGGAGTTGGCTCCTATGGGTGCCCATGGTGATTTTCTTCAAAATTCCAGCTGTGCCAACTGGTCCCAAATGGTTGGCGACCCCTGTAGGTAGATTCAGGTTGGTCTTGATTAGTCCATGGGGTGATCTGCCAGTACGCAGGCTGAGGTATTATTGGCCGTAGTCTGCTTTGGCGTCACCTTTGCACTGCAGCACTTAAGCAGCATTTATGCTGTGAAACAGAGCAGCTATTTCACAACCCTCCCCTCACCCCCAGTAAGTCTATTGCATTTTCATTGCTGGGAAGATGTGGTTTGACTGTTGGAGCAGGCATTGTCAGGGGAGGCTGTCCGGTGTGTTGGGTGTTAAAAAGTAATTTGACCACTGCCAGAGGCGGCTCTTTGGCCGTAAAGCTTGTTTAAAGTTCATCTAAGTGTGGCAAACATTCCTCTCTGCACTTTCATGGGTTTTGGAGAAGAAGGGGACCTGCAGTAATAAAATAGAAAACAAGATGTAAAGTCTAGCTTCTGCAGCATAGCATTTTGTGAGCAAACAAGTCCTGGAATAAACAGGATGCTTTAACATCTCTCACAGATTTTTTTGTCCCTGTTGCCGAGCGTTTGTTTTCTTCAAAATTCAAATCACACTTTAGGCAGGGACACTTTTTGCCATGTGGAAGCTTAAAACTTTTACATCTCCATCTGATGCACATCTGTTGCGAAAATTGCAGGCGAGGACTCGGGAATGAGAAATGCAGAACGATTTTGGCCGTTTGTAAAAGTCGAAAACCAACTGGATTTATTGTTTGGCCTCTGCATTGCTACACCTGGGAAACATCTAGTGTAGGAACGTGTGCCATTCTGGAAATGGGTGACAAGCTGATCAGTGCTATATCTCACTTTAAGACCTTGCAGAACCAAACAGCCTAATCGTGATGGCCATCTGAAAAACAAACAGTCAGCTCTTGTGCCTTTTTGCTACCCTCTGATGAGGTCCAGCTCACCTACCAACCTCTCTCTGCTAAACGAATATTACAGGAAAGCAGATCAGGGCAGGTCTGTCTGGAGAATTCCTCAAGACCAGCACTCACTACATAAGTTGATAATCTGAAATTTTGTACACTCTAAGTGTCCTGATTTTCCAGGGACAGTCCCGGAATTACACAAGCCATCCCAGCTTCTGATTTGATCCCAGAATGTCCTTATTTCCCCTGCCAGTGCCACTCCTGCCACAATTAGAGAAGACGATGAGCTGGTGCTTATTCTGAACGGTGGCGGTGAGGGAGCACCCTGTTGCCTGTGCATGGTTGCTGCTGCTGCCTCCCCACAACCTTGGGCAGTTCATGGCAGCCTCTGGAGAAAAGGCAAGAAGAGTTTGGATTTGATATCCAGCTTTATCACTACCCAAAGGAGTCGCAAAGCGGCTAACATTCTCCTTTCCCTTCCTGCCCCACAACAAACACTCTGTGAGGTGAGTGAGGCTGAGAGACTTTGAGAAGGGTGACTAGCCCAAGATCACCCAGCAGCTGCATGTGGAGGAGCAGGGAAGCGAACCCAGTTCACCAGATTACGAGACTACCGCTCTTAACCACTACACCACACAGGCAAGGAGGAGACGAGGCTGCTGCCACAACCCCATGTGATGCACCAGCTCTGAGGGGCAGGCAGAGGGCAGGGTCACTCTGGCCGGGGACAAAGGGGGAGCAGAGTGGAGCATGAGGAGTCTTGATAATTTATTTTAAAAATGTTTGGTGAGTCCGTGTCTAATCTTACCCCTTTCTAAAATATATTCATTGGTGTGCATTTTTCTTTTTATAATTTGACCAAACTGGTCCTTAAAGACCTACATTGGCTCCCAGTACGTTTCCGAGCACAATTCAAAGTGTTGGTGCTGACCTTTAGAACCCTAAATGGCCTCAGCCCAGTATACCTGAAGGAGCATCTCCACACCCATCGTTCAGCCCCAGACACCGGGGTCCAGATCCGAGGGCCTTCTGGTGGTTTCCTCACTGCGAGATGTGAGGTTGCAGGGAACCAGGCAGAGGGCCTTCTCGGTAGTGGCGTCTGCCCTGTGGAACGCCCTCCTGTCAGATGTCAAGGAAACAAACAACTATTTGCCTTTAGAAGACATCTGAAGGCGGCTTTTAATGTTTGAAGTTTTATTCTGTGTTTAGTGTTCTTTTGGGAGCCGCCCAGATCGTAACTGTCAACATTTTCCTTTTCTTGTGAGGAATCCTATTCGGAATAAAGGAATTTCCCTTAAAAAAAGGGAAACGTTGACAGCTATGCCCAGATGGGCAGGGTATACATAATAAAAATTATATTATTAAAATATAATCGGGATTATGAGGTTTTCTCAGAAGAGTGGAGGGTGCTGTGTCCCTGACAGGAAATGTTCTGCAGGAGGTGGGGGGGCAGTAAATGCAGGGTTGAGAAGGTCAGTTGGGGAGGGCAGAAATGTCCCTATTTTCAACTTTGGAATGTTGGAGGGTGTGAAATTTGTCGATAAAAGAGCATGCAAATATATTCACAAATAGTTCCAAAGGTTAGTCTTGCTAAGCAAGGCTCCCTCTCAGATGTGCACGTATCTTTTGACATTGATCTTTTCAGAGAGATGTTGGCAAGATACGCTTGCTCTCACTTCCTGGATCTGTGAAATCTTGCCATTCCTACTGCAGATGCAGTCCTTAATGTAAAACCCATTTCCGGGGAAAATATATATATTAAGGTTGCTGGCGATTCCCAGCAATGAATCATGCTGAGAGTTCCTTGAGGTGCAGTTATCTTTATTGTTATGGAATAGAGGAGTACACACGTGGATTATTTTGGCCACTAAGGCCCATTTTAATGGCAGTATATATCTGCCAGGGCCATTAACACATCACACTGTAGTCTCTCTAGCTTTATTAGAATTAACGAAGTGATCCTATGGAGGGGTGAAGTTGCTTGGTGGAGAAGCTGCCAGTTCATAAGCCCTGCCAGCTCACACCAGCCAAGGTTTTTAAAGCATTGATTTAAACCAAGCACATGAACGTGAAAAGATAGTTTCTCCCAGTTTCTCATTTTGTTCTAGCCTTACATTAAGTTCCTCACATTTCTGCATCAGTCTTGGGGAAGGGAAATTTACATTCGCATGGAAATCTGCCAGATTTTAGTGCACATTTTCCCCAATATACATGTTAGTTGTTTTTTAAATACATTTTTATTAAATTTTCACTTTAAACAACAAACAATAAATTTCCATATTCATCTACACAGCTCATTTTCCACAGGTCTGCTGAGCAATGACTTCCCCCCTCCCGGCCACAGGCTTTCTTTTTCAATCTACATCTCACAGTTTCCTCTCCTTTCCACAAATCCATGTCATAAGATTTATTTCAGTCCTGCTAATGTCTTCAAACTCCTACAGTTATTACTTATGTGGTCAATAAATTTACTCCAATCTCTTTGGAATTTTGATTCTTCCTGGTTTCAGATCTTGCAGGTCAGTTTTGCCAGTTCCGCATAATCCATCATCTTCGTATGCCACTCCTCCAACGTTGGTAACTCGTGTAATTTCCACTTTTGGGCTAATAAATTTCTTGCCGCAGTCGTTGCATACATAAATAGGCTTTGATCTGCCTTTTGCAATTTGCAGTGGGGGTGGGGGTGGGCCAATATACACGTTAGTTAATGCAATTTTGCCTGGTGTACACATTTTTGCAAGTAATTTCCCTAGCACAATGCGTTTTAGGTGTTGTTTTTCATGACTATATGCATTTGATTGGGTTGGAGAACTGCAAACACCAAATTCAGAAGAGTGTAAATTTCAAAGAATAGCTGTACTTCATCTTGCACATTACTTCTGAAAGTGAGAAACAGGTAGATTTGCATTAAAATCTGAATGGAACCATATATCTCCCCCATCCATAGCATAGGTGCATCTAATGAAGTTTGATGGCCATCTGCCATAGATGGGTTAGCTGAGATTCCTGCATTACAGCGGGTTGGACTAGATGACTCTTGGGTCCCTTCCAACTCTACGATTTTATGATTCAATAATAATAATAATAATAATAATAATAATAATAATAATAATTTGACTTTTATTTGTTGCCCACCCTCCCCGGTCAAAACCAGGCTCAGGGTGGCTAACACCAAATATATAATACAGTGGTACCTCGGGTTAAGTACTTAATTCGTTCCGGAGGTCCGTTCTTAACCTGAAACTGTTCTTAACCTGAAGCACCACTTTAGCTAATGGGGCCTCTCCTGCCGCTGCACGATTTCTGTTCTCATCCTGAAGCAAAGTTCTTAACCTGAGGTAATATTTCTGGGTTAGCAGAGTCTGTAACCTGAAGCGTATGTAACCCGAGGTACCACTGTACATTAAAAACACAAAATCAAACAATTGGTTAAAATACAGTTCTAAATCACATTTAAAATCAGAATAAAATTAAGTGGGAGTCCACAAATCACAATCGTAGGGGTAAGGAAATGTTCACCAGGAAATGAATAACTTACCCTCAGAGTCCATGCTCAGCTCATTCTTTCTCATGGCCTGATTTGATTGGGAAACTAGGAAAGCAAGGCACAAACTGGCAACAAGTCCCTGCAGCAACTTTGTCCTCACATCTCCCCAAACAGAACCAGACTGGATAACTTCAGCCATACCATCAAGACTCATTCAGTTCCACATCTGTCAGTGTGATACTCCATCATCTGTCAGAAATACCCGTCTACTCTGTCTATGTTGATCAACAGGACAGGCTTTATGCAAGATCCTAATATGAATGCACACAGGCCAGACATTTTTTAAAAAAGATAATATTCAGAAAACTGTGACATGGCATTTTGCTGCCGGCCTTGACATCACCATCATTCAACAACAGCATCTGAAAGAAGAGCTCCAGCATGAAGCCACAGAATTGGCATTCATTAGCACTTTAGATATGAGGGAACTGGGGTTCAGAAGAGACTGTGGCCACATTCTCAACAAACACTTAAAGTGCTATGATACCACTTTAAACAGTTATGGTTCTCCACCCCAATAATTCTGCGAGTTCTGGTTTGCTTGTACATCTCACTAATTTTATACATTTCATTAATTTTACAATCATTTTGACATTTCAAAACTTGACTTCCTCCTCTTTCTGAGGTTCCTTAAATTTATATTTAATATCTTCTGCATATCCAAATTAACCTAATTTGCTCATTTATTCATCTTCTTAAAATATATACTCTTATGAAACTGCAGGCTATTACAATAATCCTGCCAATGTTTTTATCCGTTTACAGTTTATCTGTAAATATTCAATAAACCATTTCCATTCTTTTATAAAAAGTTTGCTATCTTGATTTCTGATTCTTCTGGTAAGTTTTGCCATTTCTTCATATTCCATAAGTTTTTGTATCCATTCTTCCTTTGCTGGGACTTCTGCTTCTTTCCATTTTGGGGCAAGTAACATTCTTGCTGCTGTAGTAGCATACATGAATAAGTTTCCATACAATTTAGGTAGCTCTGTCCCTATAATTCCCAAAAGAAATTGAGAATTACAGAGCTACAATTTCCAGTTTAACAGTCAATACCTCTGCCTGAGGAACAAGGGGGGACTGTCACCCTGTGAGTGGAATAGTGGGGTCTCCGAACGACTCTCAGCACCTTTAACAAACTACAGCTCCCAGAATTCTTTGGGGGAAGCCACGATTGTTTAAAGTGCTATCATAGTGTCTTAAATGTACGGTGTGAATGTGACCTAGGAGTTAGTCTCGCTTTGAGGGGTGGGAAGCATTGTCCCACTTTAAGCATTTCGGTATTGATTTTGCAAGGACTATTTTGTCAGAAATAGCTCAGAATGTGTCACACTGACTGCATTCTCCCTGCATGTATAAACTTAATATGTAAAGGTAAAGGTAAAGGACCCCTGACAGTTAAGTCCATTTGCAGACGACTCTGGGGTTGTGCGCTCATCTCGCTTTACAGGCCGAGGGAGCCAGCGTTTTGTCCGCAGACAGTTTTTCTGGGTCATGTGGCCAGCGTGACTAAGCTGCTTCTGGTGCAATGGAACCAGAGCAGCACACGGAAATGCCATTTACCTTCCTGCCACGGTGTACCTATTTATCTACTTGCACTGGTGTGCTTTCGAACTGCTAGGTTGCCAGGATCTGGGACAGAGCAACGGCAGCTCACTCCGTCATGGGGATTTGAACCGCTGACCTTCTGATCAGCAAGCCAAAGAGGCTCAGTCGTTTAGACCACAGCGCCACCTGAGTCCAGCTAGGCTACAACCCTTTTCCTCTAGTCTTACATATGGAGGGGATTTGTTATCATCTAGAAGCATCCAGATATGAGCACACATGCCCAGTCTGAAGTGGTGCAGTTCATATAGAGGTTAACTTTCCTCAATGAAAATCAAAGCAGCATTTCTGAAAGGCTCAGACAGCAAACATAAGGATATTTCCATGTATCCCCGGGAGACTTCCGGGGAGGCGCCTCTGGTAATGGTGGAATTCCTCTGACCGGGAGGAATCTGCTCCGTGGGAATCTGGGTCTGGCCGCCACGGCGAAGGCGGACACCCGTTAAAATCACAGGCGGGAGAAGCCTGTGAGCGTGGGATTCGGCGGGCACCTTTTGCGCCTCCCCCACTCGCGGGGAACCCCGGTTTTTGGGGCTCCGGAGCGACGTGGGGTGAGTGGCGCGGTGCATCGAATCGTCTGCTTCTTCCATGGAGCGAAACCACATAGCTGTTGCCGGAGAGCGCTGACCTTTTCCTGTGGACATTTTGACTTTAAAGTAATTACCCGTGAGTAGATCTGAAATGGAAGAATTGGATTTCTAAATGTTTAATTTGGTATTGCAATGGGGAGGTTCAAAACAGGAAGTCCGCCTTCCCCTTTTGTAAATAGACTGAGGCAATGAAGTTGCAAGCTGGACTCCTGGAAAGTCTTTTGTAAAAGATCAAATTTCCATCGGTAAAGAACAAAACCCCCCTTTGGAGGCAGGAGAAGAGGAGGGGAAGTTATGGACTGAGTATGCCTGCAGGAGAGAGCGAAGAGATCTAAAACACCGCTGCTCTGACCCTGGAAACGGGCTGCTAGTAGGACTGACGTATTTTGGAATGTTCATTGACAGCGTTTAGAACGTTCATTGACAGCTAGTTAAACAAGAGAAATACATTGTTTCTACTGTTTCCGGCTGCTTTAAAAAGGAGTAAAAGTAACTGAAAATTGAAACTAACTTGAAACTAATTTTGGATTGTTTAAAAGAGGATACTATTGACTATTACAAATAGAAACTGTTTCCCCCTAGTGGAAGCCTTTGAAACTGGGTGCTTTACAAGAGTTGGGTTAGGGAAATTTCCAGCTGCAAGTTAAAAACCGTGAGACTCTGGGACTGACCTTGAATCTTTTAAGTGTTATGGTTAATGGAAGAGGAAAAACAGACCAGTCAACTGCTGACAAAACATTAAGGTCTGGGAGGACTTGGCAACAATCCAGGAGAGGTCCATCATCAGGCCCCCCTGCTCTTTTTGTTGCAGCCTTTGTACCAGTATATGTAAAACCAAGAGAAATGTTGACAGAAGAGGCTCTAGTGGCTGCATTACTTAAGATAAATGACTCATTGGATCAGCTTCACAGGAAAATGGACACGATAAATGCGAAAGTGGATGTTTCAATCACTAAAATTAACTTAAATATAGAAAGTATAAATAATACTAATATAGAAGCCACCCAGAAATTGACACAGGAATCTATTTCGATACAGCAAACTGAGGAGGAGGCCAGGGAAAAAGCTGTTGTTGCTGAATGTAAAGAAACACAACTGGAGAGAAAGAGAAAGAGAGCCCCAGTCCTACAGAAGCAACTTGATGAATATAAGTTGACACTTGCTATGACTGAACTTAAAGAAAAACAGACGAATTTGAGGATTAGAGTTCACCTTTGGTGGACATGCCCAAGGATTAAGACACTTTGGGAGATGATTCATAATGAAATGAAAAAGGTATTTAAATATACCTTCTTGAAGAAACCAGAGGCCTTTCTCCTGGGCATGGTCGGCCAATTGGTGTTAAAGAAGGATAGAACTCTTTTCACGTATGCAACAATAGCAGCAAGAATACTCATTGTGAAGTACTGGAAGACACAAGATTTATCTATCCGGGAAGAATGGCAGATGAAGTTGATGGACTATATGGAATTGGCGGAAACAACTGGCAGAAATCCGAGACCAGGGAGAAGAGTCGGTGGAAGAAGACTGGAAAAAGTTTAAGACTATTTATAGAAATATTGTAAAAATAATGAATGTTAGAAAAATGTTGGAATGAAGTTATATGGCTTTAGTAGAAATGCTATAAGGAATTAAGTATAAATAGATTAATAGAGTATTAAAGGGAAATAAGATTAGAAAATGTTAAGATAATTATAGGATAGAAAACAGAGGAAGATGGAAAGGAATTGCTGAAACAATTAATAGAAGTGGAATACAAAAAGGGAGGTGTGAGGAGGTCGTGGAAATAAGGGAATGAAAGTTAAGATATTGAAATTGTTTTGGGTTTTAAATGGTTTGCGTATTGTTTTGCTAATCTTATGTTTTTTCTTTTTTCTTTTCTCTTCTTTGCTTTTTCTTTTCCTTTTTTTCTTTTCTGTTTTATTGTGTTTAAATGATTGGAAAATCAATAAATATTATTTAAAATATATATATATATTTTTCCATGTATTTTGCTCCATGCATCACTACAGTTTTCAAAGATATAAAAAGAGATGATATTTTTTTTAAAAAACTGCAGCAATATTGAGAAGGCTTGGTAGAAAAGTTTTTTTGTGGTTTCAGATATCTGAGGCCACAGAATTACTGTTCACCTCACCAGATGGATGACCTGCTCAAATTATGTTGGGGTGAGGAACATAAAAGGCTTTCCAGTCTTATGACAGCTCATATCTGACCTCTTAAGGCTTTTGCCCCAGACAGCAGAGCTTCCATGTGGTAACTTATCTATGGCCAGCTGTTCTGGGAGAAAGAGGTGGCTGGGAGATTTCTATTATTATTATTTCCATAGCCCTAGATGATTTTCGGGGGATTTGAGAGGGATGCCACATATGCCAGGAATTATTGCCTCAGAATCCCCAAAAGCCAAGCCAAAGATTTAAGATTCCTTTCCAACATGTCCATCAGATCTGTTTGGGCCTCTTTCCCTCCATGTAAATATTTTTGCATGTGGGATGATTTACTGTTCAAACCAGCTGAGGCTAACTAGCTGCAGTTGCCATCTGGCCAACTTTAACCCAGCCTGAAATGGGCTGTGTGTGTTTGTTTTAAATCTTCTGGCTGCATCTTTTTAAAACATAGGCAGAAGAGACAACCTATCTGTAGCTCATAACCACCGCTTATGACGCATGTGAGCAGGGCCGGATTTAGGTTTGATGAGGCCCTAAGCTACTAAAGGTAATGGGGCCCTTTATATGTCCAGCTGTCCTTGTAAACAACAAATTGTCATTGTTTTTTGTGTTGAATATATGCTATATAGTAATTTATGGACCTAATAGGTATCTAAAGCCATTCACACATAACAAAATATGTATTTTATCAAAGTGCACCCAGGGTTTTTTCTTTACATTTTTGGGGGGCCCCCAAGAGAATGGGGCCCTAAGCTATAGCTTGTTTAGCTTATATGTAAATCCAGTGCTGCATGTGAGTTGAAAAGGAAAATGAGCAGATCAGCTTCTTTCCAAACCTTCTGCACAATAAATCAGTGGGATGGATTCACATACCTCGGGTGTGGTTCTCCAGGTGGTGCCAAACTACAACTCCCATCATCCCTGGCAGTTGGCTGTGCCTGCTGAGGCTGTTGGGAATTGCTGTTCAGCGAAACCTTGAAAGCCAAAGGTTTCCCGCAACTGATATACCTGTTTACGGGCAAGTTCAGTCTTGTCGTTGGCATCTGTCTGGTGTGCGCCTCCAGGTATGAAGTCAAACCACTGTGCTAGCAGCACCAAAGTGACCTCTCCAGAGCGCAAGCCTGGGCAATTCGTATGGAGGTCTTGGGCTGTCCAGAGAACATGACCCCACCCCCAACCTTGCTGATGTGGTCCAAAGGAAGCAGACCAATATGTTTGGCACCAGACTGGCTGCAGGAGCTGATGGAAGGAGACATACAAGGTGCCATCCAACCGTCTTAGGGACTCCTCTATGGATTTTTGCAGGGTTTCAGCCAATGCCCCCAAACAGTCAAAGATGAAATCAATTGAACAGACTTTAAAACATGAGATAGACAAGGGTCCTTGGTGCCACCAAGGGATTGGTCTTGTGAAGGTCTCGTGGGGTTCATGGATGCCACGATAGGGGTCCCATGTATATAAAATGAACTAGTCCACATACCCTGTCCATGTTTGATGTGAACTGTCTGTACTGCTATAAACCAATGCAGGCTAAAGCACTTTGCTCCCCTCCACATGTGATTTAGGGTCATCCTGCCAGCTTAGAAGTACAGACCAGTCACAGAATATGAGGAAACCTTTATAAGAGGTGAGGTTCACAGGGAGACCTGCACTTAGAGAGGCCAATAAAATTCCAGTTTGCTCAGACAAGTTTTCCATTCTACGGAATGTGGCTCTTTGCACCTTCTAAGAGCAAAAGATAGAAGGCAAAAATATAATTGTGCATCTGGGCTTCAGTTTGGCTCATCACTATTATTACCATAGGGTTCCTCACCGTTTCAGTGGAATTATCTGTGCAAGGAACCTGTATAAATAATTCCTCTGAAAGCATGGGGAAGCTGAGCCTAATAATGACTCGCTCAAGAAGATGAGCAGGAAGTCACCCAGAAAACCAGTATTCCCTGTCTGTTCTGTGATGCCACCCAGGAACCTATAGCTATCTCTGTGTATATCTCTACAGAGGGAGAAACTGCATTGTGCAAGGCTATTCTTGAGCAAATGTGAGCTTCATTAATGTGCAAGCACAACGCTAGATTGTGCAGAGATATAGGGAATGCTATTCCAGGAATGTCTCAGGAATGACTCCCAAGCATTTGCCTGAAAGTCTCAGCAGAGCTACATGCATGCAAGTTCCTGTGTATAGTTCAGGAACTATAGAAAAATCAGTATCTCTCATTGCTTGTACAGTTTTATTTGAAAAGACTCAGTTTCATATCTTGGAAATAGGAACAGGGCTTGCAGTCCAAATCCATCTCCCCTGAATTCTCTGAAGGTCTATATGCTCACCCAGGAACAATTTCACTGCACTTCCAGGCCACTAAAAGTTTGTGCATTTCGGTGCAGATGCCTGAAATCTTCATGCAAAAGCTTTTTGTACACCCCCTGCTTTAGATTCTTTGTTTTCATTCCCCATGATTGCAAATTACTATCTAATAAAAGAGTCCTCTCTAGGTTTCCAAGAACTGAACCATAGCAAAAGGAACCCATTCATTTTCTATTCTGTTTTGACACTCCAAAATTAATGCTGCTATATCAAAATTATACAGAGAAACCTGTTACACAATACATTGCTGAGTTCATTCATTGTGACAGCAAGTAAAACAGCTCTGGAGAGAGAAAAGAGCAGTGTGATTTAGGTTACAGTCTCTGCTTTGCATAAGCAAGATTTTCCCCCTCTTTGGTGCCAACTTGTTTGCACAATAGCTCAAATTGGTACAGACAGCCCATTAGATTTTTCATATCACCAGGCTAATAGGAATCTAACTTTAGAAACCATCTTATAATCTGGGGGATGGGGAGTGCATAGTTTAGTGTAGACATTTTCATTACCTGTTGACAATTTATACTAGCCACAGAATTGTGATCCTCTAAAAAAATATTTTGAAGGCAAAAATCTCTTTATTTTCCTACATTCTGCTCTAGTTGGCTGCTTGGGTTGGCCTATCCTAGGAATGAAAATGTTCTATGAATGATATGCTGTGATTTTCATTCCCACATCCCAAAGCACATTACAGGTTTAGCACTCATAGTGACTAATGCAACAACAAACCATGTAGCAACAAATTGTTACAAGGAAAATAATACTGTTACAAGAACAAACACTTCCTCCTTCCATTCTGCCTTTCTTTGAACATAAGGCGAGGAGTTTAGAAGCTTTTGGTTTTTGTTTCTGGTAAACCATAGACTGCTATTTTGTTCAAAGTGACAAACTATGGTTTCCACTAACTTTTCCATAGTTTGCCTTCAAAACCAGATTCCAAACCATGGTTTGATCCTGATTTGACTCCTAGCTTGAGGGTGACCAAAGGTTAGCACAAACCACAGTTCCTGGCATTCTGATGAAATGGCAAATTAGGAGGCGAACTAATCACTCAAACATGAAGGAAGGGCAAGAGGAAGAAGGAATTATTTGAGCTCAAGCCTTGCTGCTAATCATTCCTGGAATAGTAAACCATGGCTTGTCTTTATGTCTGAATTAAGTGTGATTTCCCAAAGTAACTTAGTTAAGCAAAGCCATTCTTTTAGTGTATTTCTATATACATGAGTATATAATTTTTCAACCAGCACACTAGAGATATTTCCTTTGGAGGGATGCAGATCATCACTTAACACATGCATCTATTACCATGACTAAGAAAACATAGATCAGAAATTCTCATTGCAAAATGCTTTCTCTTCCACCTTCTTCAGTTATTCTGATGGTAGTCAAAGCTATGAGTTACAGCTATGAGTGATAATATAGGAAGAGCTAAAATGTTGCATAGAGATCCCACATCACCATGGCAGAAGCCTTGGGCAAAAGACATGTTTGCTGCCGATGGCACAACCAACACCCACATTAATTAGAAGATACCAGTAAGACACGCAACAAAGTGTTGCAGTGTACCTCTGAACAAGGAAGGATTCAAAGAGTTTCCTCTGAGCCAGGAAGAGAGCAGGAATATCTGCTTGACCTGGTGCCCAAAGCAGGGAATGGGCTCCCCATGTTGTAAGGGTGTTTGAGGTTGGGTGGCAGCGAGGAAGATTTCCCCATAATTCTCTGATCTGCGGAATCTGCTCTGGTTTCAGGTAGCCAAAGTTCTACAAGAGCAGTCACTTTCTATCTTGTGCGTGTGTTTGGCCACTTATGGTGGCTTGAATTTTATCTACTTCTTCATAACTGAGGGTTCTCCCTGGTATGTAGTGCCTTGTATGACACTGGCTTTCATCTCATAGTGACTGGCACAGGCCACTCAAGTTCAGTGCTGGAGTAATGTTGACATACCCTCCCGTGTTTCTCCAATGAAAATAGAGACCTTCCCTCTGACATTTCTTCAATGAAAACAGGGATGCCCTATTCCATACCCTCCAACATTTCTCTGACAAAAATAGGGGCACTCGCGGGTGGCACTGTGGGTTAAACCACATAGCCTAGGACTTGCTGATCAGAAGGTCGGCGGTTTGAATCCCCGCGACGGGGTGAGCTCCCGTTGCTCAGTCCCTGCTCCTGCCAACCTAGCAGTTCGAAAGCACGTCAAAGTGCCAGTAGATAAATTGGTACCGCTCCGGCAGGAAGGTAAACGGCGTTTCCGTGCGCTGCTCTGGTTCGCCAGAAGCGGCTTAGTCATGCTGGCCCCATGACCCAGAAGCTGTATGCCGGCTCCCTCGGCCAATAAAGCGAGATGAGGGCCGCAACCCCAGAGTCGGCCACGACTGGACCTAATGGTCAGGGGTCCCTTTACCTTTACCTTAAGGACCAGCAGGACATTCCGGGATCAAATCAGAAACTGGGATGGCTTCTGTAAATCCAGGATTGTCCCTTGGAGGAGCTGCGTTGAATATTTCTCACATAGAATAACTAATTTTATTTTGATAGGAATCTTAAACACTTTTGCCTTTATCCATAGAGATGAAAGATCTGGGAATCAAGTGACCAATTCAGGCAAATATAACTAGTAGTGATGGCTATCAACCCGAATGACTTTAAAAAGGATTAGACAAATTCATGGGAGGACAGGCAGTGGCAACTAACCCTGCTGGCTATGTTCTTATGGCTCAGTGCTAGCTGCACCAGAAGAAAAAGGGTAGAAGATAAATTGACAAAACTGCTGCGCAAGTGTTGGCAGCGGATCGATTGACAGCAAACGTGTAAAACTTGGAGTGCCAGCTTCACCCGCTACAATATGATCAGGGGATGTTAAATATTGTCAAGTATCAAAGTCAAACAACAAACCGAAATATCATCAGATGTGCTATTGCTATGAAATATTCAGTGAATATCCTGCAAATGTTTGAAGATGCGGAGAACATCTGGCGAATGTTTGACATCCTGGTTTGCAGAGAGAGAATTTGGGGAAGCAAATTCATTACAGCTGTGGGTTGGGAGAGCGTAACATGAAAAGTGACTGAAGGTGTTTTTCGGTTCACACCAAAACTGAGGGAATGGCGTTTAAATACTGCCAGCAATGGCTGGATCTACGCTGACCTGTTTAACGTTATTTCCCATTACTAGAATATTATTAGATATGTTGTTCTAAAACATCACAGGGCATACTTGTTAATTAAAACGTCTTTTACCTTTTCCCTCCCGTCAAATGTTCCCAGGTAAGATCCTCCCCCTATAGTGTGGGCAGGGTGGTCCCTCCCCCTACCTGGCTTGATCACCTTGGCAACGCCTCCCCAGGCGGGATTGGGCAACTGGCTGAGACCTCCAGGTATCCCACCTGGGGAAGGCGAAGCCAAGCCTGTGCTAATGGTGCCACATAGGGTCCAGGGGGCTGCGCGCGACCATGCAAAGGGCGCCCCCCGTTTAATGTGGGGAGCGGTCATTCCCATTATTAGAATAATATTAGATATGTTGTTCTAAAACATCACAGGGCATACTTGTTAATTAAAACGTTTTTTACCTTTTCCCTCCCATCAAATGGAAGTAATACCTCCCCCCGCCCCCATTTCCCAAAACACTGTTTCTTTCCCTGCTGCTGGTCACTGTTTGCTACGCTCCACCCTCTGGTGTTACACTTTAATCCTCCCTCCCTCCCTCCCTGCTTGAATACCATAGGAGGGGGGTCAGAGTTTGAATGCAGTAAAGAAAGGTAAAACACTACATAGGGACATATGAGCAGTGTTTCACCGATACAGTGGTACCTTGGGTTAAGTACTTAATTCGTTCTGGAGATCTGTACTTAACCTGAAACTGTTCTTAACCTGAAGCACCACTTTAGCTAATGGGGCCTCCTGCTGCCGCTGCGCCACTGCCGCACGATTTCTGTTCTCATCCTGAAGCAAAGTTCTTAACCTGAAGCACTATTTCTGGGTTAGCGGAGTCTGTAAGTTGAAGCGTATGTAACCTGAAGCGTATGTAACCCAAGGTACCACTGTACAGTCATACCTCGGGTTAAATATGCTTCAGGTTGAGCGTTTTCAAGGAACACGTTACTTCCGGGTTTTGCTGCTCGAGCATGCGCAGACGCTCAAAATGATGTCACACGCATGCGCAGATGCAGCGACCCGCGCAGGCGCAGACGCAGATGTGGGTTGCGTTCGCTTCAGGATGCGAACAGGGCTCTGGAACGGATCCCGTTCGAATCCAGAGGTACCACTGTATAGCTGCATAAAACAATTAACAACAACAACAACAATTTACAGTGGTACCTTGGGTTAAGAACTTAATTCGTTCTGGAGGTCCATTCTTAACCTGAAACTGTTCTTAACCTGAAGCACCACTTTAGCTAATGGGGCCTCCAGCTGCCATCGCGCCGCCGGAGCAGGATTTCTGTTCTTATCCTGAAGCAAAGTTCTTAACCTGAAGCACTATTTCTGGCTTAGTGGAGTGTGTAACCTGAAGAGTATGTAACCCGAGGTACCACTGTATTACTTTCCCCAGCCACTCTGGGAGGCTTCCAACAGGAGATTAAAAATACATTAAAACATCAGTCATTAAGCATTAAATTTATTAAGCATTAAACGATAAAAAGGCAAGGTAATAACGCATTGTGCACATAAAAAGTAGGGCGTCATGTCTCCATGTACATTAGCAAAACCATTCCTTAACCCCTCCTTAACGTTAAAAACCGTGAGTGTAGACCCACCCTATAAACAGTGAAAAAATTGTGGCTTGGATGCATGCTGAAGGAAATGCATGACTGTGTAAAACAGCTAGTGTAAATTCACCCAGAATGGTAGAACATGAGGAAGGGACTTTGGGTTGATGCTTGTGGCATCATTCAGAGCCCTTAATACACTGCAGGACAAAAGAACCTGTCCGCCCCCAATATTGTTAGACTAAAACTTGCAACATCCTTGGCCCATGACCTTTCTAGCTGGGGATCACGGGAGTTGGCAGTATGTGTCTGAATATCAGTTGTTGAGAGAGTTCTCTTGTGCTCAGGTCCTGCATGTGGGTTTCATGTAGTCATTGAGAGAACAGGATGCTGGACTAGAAGGACCATTGGCCTGATCCAGCAGGTAATAATAATAATAATAATAATAATTTATTTATACCCCACCCATCTGGCTGGGTTTCTCCAGCCACTCTGGGCAGCTTCCAATGGAATATTAAAATACAATAACCTATTAAACATTAAACAGGGCTAAACAGGGCTGCCTTCAGATGTCTTCTAAAAATCTGGTCGTTGTTTATTTCTTTGACATCAGGTGGGAGGGCGTTCCACAGGGTGGGTGCCACTACCGAGAAGGCCCTCTGCCTGGTTCCCTGTAACTTGGCTTCTCTCAGTGAGGGAACCGCCAGAAGGCCCTCGGCACTGGACCTCACTTATGTTCTTACGTTGAAATCTGAAATCATCCGAAAGACCACTCGTACGATCTGTCCTGAGCAGGACTGGTCAGGTTAAGATGCTAATCCTATTAGCCTCGCCCTTGTCTGGGTCATTGCAAACTACTGCAGCACAAGGAAATGGCTACCCTGGCTGGAATGGGCACTTAATCAGATTAATTAACTTTTTCACTTCCCACTGCTTTTTGTACACACTGCAGTACATTTCCTTCAGAGGAGCATGAGAAGTTCAGCAGTACAAAAGAAAATTACATCAGCGGCTATGGTTGGCAAATAGTCGTGGGTCAGTGAGGTTGCATGTTTGCAGGGTAATTAAAATCTGGATCAGCTGGCAGGCTGATCCAAAGTTTGATGACTGAAGCACAACTGATTCTGCAATGTATGACTGAGGGTGGGGAGAGTGGACTAGCAAGATGAGGAAACTGAAATCAGCTGACTGGCATCTCCTTTAGTTTGGGGTACTTGCCAGGGATGGTTTGTACAGTTTCTTTTTCCTTTTCTAGTTGTCGAACAAGATACATAGGCAACAAATCTACGTGACTCCCACATTTAAAAACTGCAAAGCGTGAAGCGTTTCAAGGATTGAAACCCGATATAATAATTAATTGTACAGAGGGCATGCTTCATGGGACTGATAAGAGTTATAGTTCAGCAGCATCTGCAGGACCAAATGTTCCCCACTCCTTATTAAGGCATGTCCAAAAACTTTGTCAGACTCTTCTTCAGGTTGGATCAAACATAAATACGAAGTGGGCTGTGGCCTTCTGGGTCAAGTGCAATGGAGTGCATGTGTGTGTTTCTTGGGGCATGGTAGGAAAAAACCCCTCAGAGCATGCCATGGCATTGTTTCAGAAATGTCGAAAATGTCATTTCAGAATTAGAACAGAAAGTTCCCTTTCATGACTCCAGAGAATTTCTGCATTGGGATGGGATTGTGATACAGTAGTACCTCGGGTTAAGTACTTAATTCGTTCCGGAGGTCCGAACTTAACCTGAAACTGTTCTTAACCTGAAGCACCACTTTAGCTAATGGGGCCTCCTGCTGCTGCCACGCCACCGGAGCATGATTTCTGTTCTCATCCTGAAGCAAAGTTCTTAACCTGAAGCACTATTTCTGGGTTAGCGGAGTCTGTAACCTGAAGCGTATGTAACCTGAAGCATATGTAACCCGAGGTACCACTGTATATGTGTGGAAGGGGCCCATGCCACAAGTTTGTGTTGTCTGAGTCCCTAAACTATGACTCTCATCATCTCTGACCATTGGCCATACTGGCTGAGTACAACAACATCTGGAGGACCACAGATTAGCCCAGGGTCTCCCAAACTTGGGTCTCCAGTTGTTTGTGGACTACAGCTCCCATCACTCCTGACCATGGGTCCTGGAAGCTAGGGATGATGGGAGTTGTAGTCCAAAAACAGCTGGAGACCCAGGTTTGGGAAACCCTGGGTTAGCGGGTCCAGTTTCATAGGCTGGCTCCAGGTCTGAGGGGGTCTTGAGCAATGTGTCCCTCTCCTCTTCTGTCAGTTGGCTGTGGTGAGCAGGAACATTCCTGGCTGCAGTGAGAGTATTCCAAGCAGTGTTGGGCACCTGGGTTTAGACACCATTTGATTTCCTGGCAACTCCTAAGAGGTTGAGTGTGTTGTGGGAAATGGTGACTCAATTCAGCTGCAGGAAGAGGGCAGAATAATGGGGCTGCACCTCCAGGAGGCCCTGGGTGCTGATGCCACTCCTATGCTTTCATCATAGCAAGACGATTCCTGCACATCATGGGGATATTTTGATTGACTCAGCATTTCTGCCATCATTGCATGCTTCATACATTACTCAGACAGCTGAACTCTGCACTCCCCAGGCTACAGTTAAAAATGGGAACTGTCAACAGACAGCAGGGTGAGAAAACACATATAGACATGGGAAGCAGCTAAAGACTGCCACGTTATTATTTTTCATAGATAAAAAAGGTGCAGAATCGCACACGCCGGCCAGTTTCTGTTTTGACTTGAAATGTTCATTTTGCGCTTCTCAGAAGTACATAAAGGCAAGAAGCAGGCAGGAGGAGCTCTGGCCTGTAATGGCGCCCACCTGAGAGGTCCTGTGACTGCACTCCGGCACAGGTCACAACACTGTTGTGGTTCAGAGGCATCCAAGAACACTGTGCTTAAATTATCCCTTTCTCACTGCTCACAAGTAAGGAGGAACATCGGTATGGTGCTATCAGAGTATGAAGCAAGAGTTCTGAACATTTACATTTCAGTTCACTTTCCACTGTACTTCTGAATTTAACCAAAGTAGCTTTGAAACTTGAACAACCCCCTCACGAAGTTTCAGGACTCAGAATACATGCCCCACCCAGCTTATCTTCAGGCTTCATGAAAGGGCAGGGTGAAGAAGAAGGCTTCTCAACAGGGCCTGGGTGGGATCCTAGATCTCCTCCTGGTATAACGGAAGAATAAAAAAAGAGTGCAGTCAGGATAGAAAGTATTTCATATCTTCACTGGGAAAGGCACCTCTTATCTAATGGTAAGACACTAAAACAATCAAGAGCTATATTTATTTTTAACTTGGCTTGACTGAAGGCTCTGTTGCAAAGGCTAAAGGTGATAGTTTGGAGAAATATTAATCAGACACTTCTACTTAAGGTTCGATCTCTCTTTTCCCTTTTGGTTTATGGTTTCCACAGAAAAGAAGAGCCTGCAGCCCACCGCCATGAAGGTCATCAAAACACTCTTGGTCTACCGACGTTTTCTCCTCATCTTCTTCACTCCCCTCCTGCTTCTCCCATTGCCTCTCGTCATCAGAACCAAAGTAAGTGAATAATAACTGCTGCCCTACATCTTTATGTTTCCAAAGCCTCACTGAAATGTTTCATCTTCCTCTCAGTTATTTTTTCCCCTCAGATTGGTCTCTTCACAAAACTCTGCTGCGCGATACAGATTGAAAGTGATTTAAAAAAATCACAGAGAATCTTCCGCAAAGTCTTCCTGATGTGTTCTTAGCAGATAAAAAGGATAGGCTGTCACCCAGGCAGTTTTAAATATTTTAAACATTTCACTTCCGTACCAAACCCTGGGCACTGTCAGGAGTATAGCTTTAGTGTGCTTTGTCATTATAGATATGTACAAGGTGTCAAGAAGATCTATCTTTTAATTGCCTTTTTAATTTGAGAGGGAGAATCTGTGGCTAGCTTTATGGGAGATATAATTTCAGTAATGACAGTTACTTGCTGCAGTATTTGGAGAACTGGAACAAGAGAGGGAATGTCAACATTCCCAGCTGAATGGAATGAAATAATTGATAGGATGATAATCAGTTACGTTCTTGCTATCATTTGCTCCATTGCTCTGCATTATACATTTAAACCGGTGTCATACCAGTTTTAAAAATTGTGAAGGGCACATGACAGTTGTGCTGCCAACAGATTAAGATCAATGTGTGTGGCAGCTTCCACATAGCAAGTAGTCATGAATCTTTTGTGTGTTTTAATAAAGGATCCCGTACTTGCACGTAAATTCAGTATTTTACATTAAAGGCCTTCGTGTTGACTAATCACAGAAGGCCAAAGTGAGCAGAAATTCATTATTTCTTTGTCACAGGAGAAACATGGCCTTTTATCTTGCTGCCTCATCAAGACATATGTCAGAAGTTAATGGTGTTAATGGGTGAAGTATTGACTCCACAAAAGGCAAAGGCAAAACTCTCGTTGATTTCAATGGATCTGCCGCCTTTCATCTTCTTCAGAAATGGTGCCAATTTTGATGTCAGTGTACTTTCACAGAGCTACTCTGCGTACAAATACACAGAATTGTATCCCCCCGCCCCCCCGCCCCTCATTTAGGGAGGAAACAAAACTCTTGTTACTATTGTGTGGTTTCTTGTCCTCACTCAAGGACATGTTCAAAGGAAATATTTCTTTTCAGAACAAAGAATAATAGAATCTATGCAGATTCAAAGGGGAACCTATGACATCCAATTGATTCCATCCTCTGTTGTTGCTCACACCACTTATAGATAGATACATGTCCTCCAGCATCAGTATGTGATATGTATTTTCTGGCACTAAGACACACACCACTGGAAAGCAATATCACTGATTATTTATTTTTAAAGGCATGTGATAGTTGTCCAGCAACACGCATACTGATCTATACACAGACCAGCATACCTCGAAAATCAACACACTTCCTGCTTTGACATGATAATGTACATCTAAATCTGTGTGAAGCAGAGAATCCATTTCTATATTTGGGGAAAACTGGTGTTGTTTCGTTGTTTGTGTCTCCAGCCACTTATTGAAATCATCTGAAGTCGAAAGAAAATATGACTTAGGTGCTGTTAACAGGCTCCACATAGTTGCTTCTAAATGGCAGCCACACCAAGGCTGGAGTTAAAACGTTTGGGTCTTTTTAGGCTACCCAAAAGATGGAAATTGGCAGGCATTTACGTATAATATGGTGAATGAAAATCGGGGTTCTTAAATGCACAGGGGAACCTACACAAGTAGCGCAAGCTCCCTGCTACAGATGGTCAGCTCCCAAGTCATGGAGGACAACCAGGAATGCGACAGGAGAAATGGGATGGATATTCTAATCCTTGCACCATGTGATGGAGGAACAGAGAGAGCCAGAGAGCGAGTTTCTATTAAAGGGGCCTACCATGAGCAGAACGCTGGCCATTCTTGTCCATTGGAAAGTTTCCCCCACTGTGTTTCTGATTGTGGCAGAGCGCAGGGGAAATGAATGATGAGATTTGTAAAATGGATGACGTTCAAGCAAATTCACCCTTAGCATTACTTGTCAGTACAGCAAAGTTATGGTTCATAGAATCCCAGTGTCGTTGCCTTACAACTCAACACATGAAAGTGTGTAGCAGATTTCAGGGCTGGTCACTGTTTGGTCACTCTCTAGAATTATGTGTGAATGATTACAAAGGAAAGGGAATGATTTTGAAACCTGTGAGACTCCAGCATCTCACAGCATGGCTATAGCTGACTTTGACTTCACATCTAGGACAAGATTTGAGATAAGTTCACAGATGGCCTTTCTGTGTTCTCCTTTTTCTTCTTTGGCTATGTAACTGTGTGAGAATGTGGTTGAATATGAAAAGATTTGATGAAATAAATCACAAGCAATAAAAGTTAGAGGTGAATAAATTTCTCTTGTTTACAGCCTTGTTGAAATGTAGCCCTGCCTAAGAGATGGATAATATAGTTTCAGGCACAGAGAACTAACTCTGCTCAATCAGTTATTTTAATGACTAATCCTGGTGCTAAACTTCCCACCACCATAGCATATGTGCAATATGATCCTTTGAGGCATCCTTCAAATGGTGAAGAAACACTGGCTACAGAACTTTTAATATGTATATAATGTGTCTTGGCTTTGCCTTGCTTGCAGTTGGCTTATGACTTTAATGATAGCTCGAGCTGGGTAATAATGTCTTCTTTGTGGTTATTACTCCATGGCAAAATCTATTCCGGATGACTCAGAACATTAAAAAGTAGGCAGAGCTGTCCGTCCCAAGCTATTGCTCCATCACACTCATGCCACACAGCTGCGGAGAAATCAGTTTCCCAGGATGTTAAACAGCTCTTGGAAGCCAGGTGATGATCGGATTGGAAAGATACATCATTAGAAAGGCGATGATCAGATAGAAAATGTTGCAAACCATAAGGCTGCAGACCACAACCAATTATGATCCCAGCTTGAAGAAGAAGCTCCCAGGTGTCTGTGGGTGTAAATCATGGTTTCCCAAACGTGGGTCTCCAGCTGTTTTTGGACTACAACTCCCATCACTCCTAGCTAGCAGGACTAGTGGTTAGGGATGATGGGAATTTTAGTCCAAAAACAGCTGGAGACCAAAATTTGGGAAAGCCTGGTGTAGGAAGAAGGCCTACATATAAACTAGGTTTAAATCAATGAACTTTTGAGGTTTCCAAAGTCTGAAGTTGGAAACACGCTGTAATCTCTTAAACTGAAGAGCAGGACTAGCCACTGTGATGCCCTCCACATGTTTTGACAGCAACTTCCACCATCTCTGACCGTTAGCCATGAGGCTGATGGGAGCTGGAGTTTACAATATCAGCGGGGTACCATGAGTGGTTGTAGTCCAGAAACATCTGGAGGGCCACAGGTTTCACATCCTCGTTCTATGACTTTTCCCAAATAGACCCTTCTTCTTCAGGAGATCTTTGGTGATAACATCTCTTGGCAACATGAATGGTTCTACACTGACTCTGCACTACCCACCAGGCCTGTTGCTGCTTTTGCTCTTGAGGGCCAGCTGGTGAACAGCAAGAAATAGTGGGGTCAAGGTAGAGTGCAAATTGTGATCAGAGAGGTTGTTGGGGGCCAGGTGAGAGGTTTATGAGACCCGCTTATTTGAGTTGTCATAGGACAAGAGCAGGTTCTTTCAGGTTGCCAGTTGGGGGTTCTCTGTAGGATTCCATGCCTCTTCCTCTGAGGAAGTCTCCCCAAGGTCCTAGTCAGACAGGACACTGACATTTGAGATATTTGTGCAAGGATGGCCAATGTGGTACCTTTCAGGTGTTGTTCGAATGCTACTCTTTGTTATCCCTAAACACTGAAAATGCTGGTTAGGGCTGCTGGAGTTGTGATGAAGCTGGCTACCCTTGTGTTTGTCACAATCAAGATTCAAGGCCAACGAATTGGCCCAAACTGTCGTATCTCATCAACAAACATACCTGTGATGTGGAGTGTGCATACACCTAGCAATTTTTTTACACTATATAGCAATGCATCTCCTTTGCTTCTGCCCTGCACATAGACTCAAGCTGCACCAGAAGTTCAAAAAGATCTTGAGAATGTTCCTCCATTATTTCTGCTGTGGTTCTGTGGACCACCGGAAGGTTCATTATGGATCATCAATGGTCCACAGAATTACTTTTTTATGATGATCAGAGAGTTGATGCAGGTTGCAAATGTGAGGAAGTGATAGACATTCCATGCACTCTGATATCGGATGGATCTGTTGGGCCTCTTTCCACCTGCCGCATCAGTAAAATAACAACTCAGAATGTTTCACAGTCTGAAAAATGCAGAGAAGAGCAAGATTAAAGATATGGCAAGTTTTCTACACGTCAAAGCTTCTTCAAAATAATTTTCACTAGATTGGAATGAACTGAAAAGGGCACTTTTCAACCATACAAAGAGGCATTTTTATTAACCTTTACTTGAGAGAGAGAGAGATATAACTATAGCAGCTATATCTTAATATCAAACGTTCATCATTTAAAGATGTTTACCATCTGCATTTTTGTTGTTGTTTTTTTCTTACTCCTCCCTTCTGCACCACTGCTTTGCATAACATCAAGCCTGTTGAAAGGTACTGGGAAACACAAAAGCTTGATCAATATTATATGACAATTATGGTTGGTCCTAATAATGTTTCAGTTACTGAGGTATGTGGAGAAATTGATGTGATCTATCTATCTTCTTTGCCCTACAATGCAAATGAGGGATTTCTCCAATGAAATGGATGCAATAGATGGGGAAGAGAAGGAGTGATTTGGAATACACAGTTTGCCCCTCAAAATATTTCCTGTGGCAAGTCATGGAGGCTATACATTCTCGATAAGAGCACAGTGTGTCTGGGGGAGGTAATCGCATCCCTAAGGAGTTCTTAAGATTGTGATGAATCCAGCACAGTAGGGCTTAAGCATCCCCAGTGCTTGAGTAAAAATAAACCCAACCTGAAATTGTCCCTGCCATATATGTGCTGGCTGGATGTTTTGTCTGAAACTTCTGTTGAGCAATCAAATGGGGAAACAGTGTGCAATGATTATGTGTCAGCAGCACAGCAAGTTGGCTGAAATAGCGTGGCTTTTTATTCCTCCTCTTGAAAGCTGCTCTGCCACGGTGCAACTCAGACCCTTCTTACATGATCTTGAGAGAGCCAGTGTGGTGTAGTGGTTAAGAGCGGTAGTCTCATAATCTGGTGAACCGGGTCCGCATCTCCGCTCCTCCACATGCAGCTGCTGGGTGACCTTGGGCTAGTCACACTTCTCTGAAGTCTCTCAGCCTCGCTCACCTCACAGAGTGTTTGTTGTGGGGGAGGAAGGGAAAGGAGAATGTTAGCTGCTTTGAGACTCCTTAGGGTAGTGATAAAGTGGGATATCGAATCCAAACTCCTCCTCCTCCTCCTCCTCCTCCTCCTCCTCCTCCTCCTCTTCTTCGTAGCCTGAGGGCTCCTTCCCAAGCTTCTTCCTGCTGCATTGCTTGGGTAGCAATAGTCTCAGACCACACAGCCACACAATAAAATGCTGCTGTTTAGGGGTGGGAAATGATGTTCATTCCCTTCTGGGTAACCTTCCCAGGGCCACATCCCTGTGGTGGGCAGAGTCAGAAGCCCAGGATATGTCCCTATTTTCACCAGAGAAATGTTGGAGGGTATGGAACAAGGAATGTAATTTTGCCTTATAATCGGCTAGTTTCTACACAAACTTACACACCATTTCCTCCAACTAGGCAAGCAAGAGCCATGACCCAAGTCCAAGGGCCCATTCCAGCCCGACAAATAACGCTTTGCATTATTTGTGAAGAGTGTGGCCTGGAAAGAGTGCTGAGGGCTAGGTAGAGAGGCCCTTGGACCACGGCAACCAAAGGCTTATCTCTTTACTCTCCTGCCACAAATGGAATGAAAATCTGCCCACCACGTGTGGACTGAAGCCTGAGGGAAACGTTCCTAGAGGGTGTCACCAAACTCCCCACACATAAGGAACTCAGATGGGCTTCTGTGTACAGTGGCAAGCTTTCAAATTTCAGTGGCCCCCTGTACGATGCCAAAATTTGGTGCCTTCCCCACCTCTTGTCTTCCATTCTAAGTCATTGTTGTGGGGAATTTCCTTTCTGGGTGAAGAGTGAAGAAATAAGTGTTTACAGTGGAATCACCTTCCCCCATGCCTGTTATTTAATCAACCAAAACTTAACTAAACACTGCACGTTAAGCACAGCGTGATATGTAGTTTGGCCAAGACTCAATTTCAGTCAATAAATATCTTGACTTCCTTTTCTTTCCTTTTCTTTTTTTGAAAGCCTTGGCCTGTAACAATCCACCTTCCCAGATTCTGCCCCCCCGCCCGCCCCGGCAGATGATCAAAATCAATTTTGCATTTAACTCTGTGTTGGCTTCTGCATTTCATTTAAATATCTTGAGGCAAAATGTGGGGAAATGTCCCGCTAATTCAGACATGGCTATGACAGTCTGTATGGTTGTCCTCCACACCCCACCTTAAATAAACGAGTACAGATGGTTCAGGATCAGTAACTTTCATATTGATGTGCTGATTTGGTATTAATGAAATATATATGTTAATGGAAAACTCATACCTGGCACAGATTTTTCTACGTTTGTGTGTTTGGCATGGATGTGGCTTTCACCAGATGAAATTCTGAGCATGGGAACATCAAGTTCCAATGTCCCTGAATCTCAGTAGAAAATTCCTATTCTAAAGGGCTGTCATCAGAGGGAAAGGAGGAAATAATTATTTTTCCAGCTGTATCAGCTGCACCAGAAACTGGACTGGAAACATACCCTCCAACATTTTTCTGATGAAAAGAGGGACATCCCAAAATTTCTCTGATGAGAATAGGGATGTCCTAACATCTTTTCATATCATTTTAAAGTTAAATGTAGATGTCTCATTTTGGGTGAAAATATTGCTAATTCAAAATAAGGCTACGCATGAGTGTATTCACAAAATATTGTGACATTCACCCACCAGTGGAATCGCCAGTCTCCTCACAGAGAAACGATCCCTGCTATTATTGTTCTGAGGTATTCAGGTAGGTGGCAGGTGTTGTGTTTCCCACCATGTTCCTCCAGAGGAATCTGAAGTAACATTTTTTTGGCCATAAAAGTTGGGTGGAAGGAGAGTGGAAATGGAAATATAGCTTTTGACAAAGCGCCAAGACTCTTAGGACAAAGCACAGTCTTCCACCTCACGGGAGGGCAACAAAGGAATCCACTTTATTCCGTTGCTCTATCTAGCTCACTATTGTCTACTCTGATTTCAAGCAGAGGTCTTTTGCTACCTGGTCCTTTTAACTGGCGGTGTCCACCATCGAAACCGGAACCTTATTCATTCAAAGCACCCTGCTCTTTCATTGAGATGCAGCCCCTTTGCAACGCAGTGCCTCCCCTCAAATGTCTGTTCCATTGACAGTTTGTGGAAAACAACGAATAAATAAATAAAACATAATATTTAGAATTTGAGAGCAAATGGCCATGGCAGATAGCTATTATTTCGTTCTTCAGGTGATCCTTCTTGGAACATGACTCAAGGAACAGAAATTTCTGCTATATCAGCAACATTGTGAATGTGACTTGGGAAATCGCTGGATTCTAGTTGAAGAGGAGAGTCTCCCCATTATATCTTATCGTCCTTTCCAGTCAGGGGTTATAATGTTTTCTGTCTGATTGCTCATGTTGTACTACAGAAATCTGAATCTGATTTTCTTTCATTCTATTTTCTCTTTTCAATTCTAGGAAGCAGAATGTGCCTACACGTTATTTGTGGTGGCCATCTTTTGGCTCACAGAAGCATTACCCCTGGCTGTTTCAGCATTACTTCCTGCTTTAATGTTCCCATTGTTCGGAATTATGGCTTCCAAACAGGTAAATTTCCTTTTGTTGTTGTTGTTGTTGTTGTTGTTGTTGTTGTTCCTCCTCCTCCTCCTTTCCTTTCCCTTCCACTACCCCAACTGCCCATATATTTGATAGCCCAAAAATCAAACCTTTTGATTGCTTTATTTGCTTTCTTTAACGGTGAATTTATACAAATCCTAATGCCTCAAGGCCTTGGACACACTCAAAGCATTCCTACTGAGCCCATTCTGGTGGGCTGGGGAGACTGGTGCTGTCTAGAAGTACAGCAAGGGAATCACAACCACTATGCCTCTTGCTACCACTTCGAAACACAGGAGACAGCAGTGATGAAACCTGCAACTTGATTTCACATCCCATTTGCCCCTGAAACCCGATACAATCTGGGCCAAAAGTTCAGCTTTTCCAACTTTCTTCCAAGCACTGGCTACCACTCTCTTTATGGAAACGGCCCGCTCCTTTGCAGAACCCTTTCTGCACTGGAGAAACTGGTTTCATTCCCCTCTCATTCTTCTGAGTTTCTTATGGCCCATCACCAGACTGGCTCCCAACTCCCATGCCTTCCACCAACTCCCATTAGGCCCATCCAAGGCCAGCTGTTGCACCAGATTTGGAGACATCTTGACTGGGCAAAGCTGGAGAATACGGAGAGGTGGGTGAACTCCATATTTTGGGTTTGCTGCTGGGACAGAGAGATGGTGCTAGAATTCAGGTGTTCCTCAGCATGGTGCTGTCAATGCCCGCCCCCCTTGAAACACACCCCATATTTAATTTTAGTTTAATTTTATTCCTCTAGTAACAGCAACTTCTGGTTTCAAGAGCAATCGTGAAGATTGAAGTCCCTGTTGTTTCTCTTTATACATCTAGGTGGCTTCATTTGTTTCGATTTTCCTCCACAAATTGTACAGCTCATTATTTTCCTGAGATGGAATCATGGTAGCTAAATAGCGCACATTTAGCTAAACAAAATGAATTTTGCTTTTAGGTGGCATCGGCTTATTTCAAAGATTTTCATCTGCTGTTAACGGGAGTGATTTGTTTGGCAACGTCAATAGAGAAATGGAATTTGCACAAGAGAATTGCCTTGAAAATGGTGATGCTGGTGGGTGTTAACCCTGCATGGTATGTAGCATACTGACAAAAGAAACTGATATACTGAAAACCCCTTTGGCTCTGTTGTGCAAGTACTGTAGACTTGCCAGCTCTTTTCTTCACCTGTCCTTTATAAAACTGCACAATAAGAAGAAATTCCACAGATGCGACTCTCCCCAGCACTGTAGCTCCATGGCAATAATAGAAGCTTCACCTGTTGGAATTTTCAGTATTATGTAATTGTGATTGGAGCACAACAATTCAAGTAGCAACTTTTGGGCAGGTTGGGCGGGTTTGTGTGCAAAGTATCACAAAGTATATGGTGTGTGTGTGGGAGGAGTAGAGGGGCTGTTTCCCCAGGTGCAAAATTTTGGGTGTGTGTGCAAAATTTCAAAAGAAAAATAAACTGCTTTGAGGGTGTGTTTTTTAAACCAATCAAGCAGTGTAAAAATTTCATGAACTAAACAATAACAATAAAATAAATGGCCACCACTGGTCTCCCATCCCCAGCTTTTCTCTCACTGCTGGGAAGACCCTTCCCCACCTCCATCACTGCAGCCCGGCCCTGACAGGAACCACAGGAACCCTAACCCTTGCCCCAGGCACTGGCAACCCATGCTACACCACTGCCATTTACAAGCCATAATTACAGTTCTATTTGGCTGCTAAAGAGATTTGCTAAGGCCAGCCTTTTGTCAAAATTGAATTATACATATCGTTGGGATGAGAAGACGAGTTTTACACGAAACACTTCTGTTATTGGCAATAGTGGCGCACGGCTCAGAACAAAATAGCAGATGAATTTGTGAACAGCTCTGACTCATACTTCTTAATGACTGGTATTAAGCAACTGAGAGATCTTTCATACATTATCTCATCGTTAGTATTCCATCCAAAGCTGAGGTAGTGCTAAGCAGTTTTATTGCAGACAGATAGGAAGACTCTGCCCACCCCCTCCACCCCCCAAAATATTGCTGACAGCTGTTACAAACGAGAAGACAGGAGAAATGAAATATCATGTTGTGCTCCTTTTTATTGTTCATAAGGGGTCAGGTAGCCCCTGTCAATCCAATCAGCAAGACCAAAAGCAGTTTGCCAGCATTGCAGGCTTTCTGGTTCTTGAATTGTCAGATGCTGCTGTGATAGGGAAGCAAGGAGTTGTCAGTTTCTCACTTGATGGTGGTAAATTAGCACAGTTAGGGAAAGCAGAATGGGTGAAGTGGGAAACCTCAGTGAACCTTGGAGACCCCGAGGACCATGCTTGTGTGTACATCCCTGCCTGCGAGACTGATCACAGTTTTGGTTTGGAGTATCATTATTTCTTCACCTAATAAGATCTCTTCATGACCGTAAGGCGCCAAAGAGCTAAACCTGGCCATTAGGAATAACTAGAAAGCTAAGATAGGAGATGAGAAAGAGATGATGAAGCCATCCATTTCGTAAATATGGAATCCACAAATATATCTTACCTAAGCTCTTCATCGATAATCTGGCTGGTTTCACAAAATGCAGGGAGGTCAGAGGAAAGCCAGAGAAAAGCTCAGCACATGAACAGATCAAGGCTGATTTCACAGTGTGTGTGTGTTTTCTAAGCCCACAGCAAGATGTCAACAGTGCTGTGAGGAGGGTGTAGACTGTTGCTCCAGATTTTGTCTCTGCAATTGAACGTGCCCATCAAATGATGAGTGGATTACCTTGGTTCCAGACTGCTCTCTTATGGATTTTCTCATTCTTTCCTCTGATTTAACACGGGCATTTTCTAAAATTAATTCTGGAACGGGTATAGTTTGCTGAAGCTTTATTTTATTTTCATTTGTTCCCATCGCTTTTCCATCTTTCTTACTGATCTGTGCAAGCAATCCAATGTTTTAGCAATATGCACAAGCTGTGGGTGGGGTGAGAATTAAGAAGATTAAAGAACTAACAGAAAGAAATTAAAACTGTGGCAGGCTAAGCATTTGCAGTGGCCTCTATGGAGCCTGAAAATAAAAATAGAAGATGGCAGCTTCCTTGGGCATTGGTGTGGCTTGCAAACTAGACCAGATGATTCAGAAACCAGAAAGAAATTTGGATGGGAAGAATTTTGTAAGCATGCCTGCCTGCCACCCAGTGGTCACCTGGCCTCCTGTAATAATATATTGTACTTTAATATGCAAACACTGTTTTTGTTTTTAAAAAACAAGAACAGCAAAATAATTATCCTTATTACTACTTCATCAGGCAGGCCACTGTTGCCACTTGGTTTAAAAGGGAAAATGAAGACTGAGAATGTTTGTTATCTTCACCGCTTGCAAAGCCACCTGTGTCGCAGATAGAAGTTTAGCAGGTGAAGCTTTTCCTGAAATGGTGGTGCAGTTAGTTTCACTTGGTGACATTCTCCTATGACACAATTTTAAGAATAGGTAAAGGTAAAGGGACCCCTGACTGTTAGGTTTAGTCGCGGACGACTCTGGGGTTGTGGCGCTCATCTCGCTTTACTGGCAGTGCATGGAAACGCCGTTTACCTTCCCACCGGAGCGGTACCTATTTATCTACTTGCACTTTGTGCTTTTGAACTGCTAGGTTGGCAGGAGCTGGGACAGAGCGACGCAGGGGATTCGAACCGCTGACCTTCTGATCGGCAAGCCCTAGGCTCTGTGGTTTAACCCACAGCGCCACCCGCGTCCCTTAATGTTAAGAGTACTGGAACCCTAAAATAAGCAACGGTACTCAAGAGTTGCCTCAGACTTGAACCAAGAAGCAAGTCAAACAGCAATTCCATTAATTTAACATCTGCATGATGTTTAATGGCATGCAAAATATGCAATGCTGAAGTTAAATAGGCTGGTGGCTCCATGTAAATTCCTCCTACAGATAATTTTTGACCTTCCAAAAGTACCCTTTGAGCTGGGTGTTATCCCAGTTGCACTGAAACAGCAATATTATCTTGACAGATAATATGTCAAGTTAAGATAAGAAAGTGTTTTCTATCACTTTCTGAGATGATTGTTTTTCGCTCTTTATAGCTGCTGTCCCAAACCTGGTGCTCTTCCTGTTATGGGGCTCCAACTCTCATAATTCTAAACCATTGTTTATGCTGGCTGCTGAACATCGGTTTTTATTGCCCAGCAATATCGCAGGCAGAAGAAGGCTGCTGTGTCTGTCCAGTCGGGTTATGTCATTTCATTTCATGTCATAGTGTCATTAAAGCAGCAAGTAACCTGAGATGTGCACCCAGAAAATTCCCTGCAGAGTCACATCATAATGGCATGTGATCCAAGAGGGCAGCCTCCTTCTCATTTGTGAAATAGCAAGAGATTTTGAGGAGAATATCTCAGATCATGTAGGTGTCTTATCCATTTCCGCTCAGAATTTACATCCAGCTTACCGGGGCCAACAATACGGAAACCTTTCCTAGTGATAAATGAAGCCATCTGCATGGATGTAAAATGGTCGTAGGCAGAGTAGATGAGGGGAAACTGAGGTGGAATCGTCTTTTGAAATCCACTTTAGAACAAGGATCATCAGTCAGTTTTCAAACCGCAAATCTATTGGGAATAATTTTACACTCTGGGTACATAATGATCATTTGAATGCTGGTTTATAAATTGTTTGCTATCAAAAAGAGATTGCAATAAAGCAGTTCCTTTATTTCCCCTTCTTCTTTTCTGAAGAATTCTTTTTCTTCTCTGCAGGCAGTTTCTGTCCCTCCCCCTCCCCACCTTTTAAAAAAATAAATCAGTTTACAGTGGTACCTCTGGTTACGTACTTAATTCGTTCCCGAGGTCCATTCTTAACCTGAAACTGTTCTTAACCTGAAGCACCACTTTAGCTAATGGGGCCTCCCGCTGTCACTGCACCGCCGCCACGCAATTTCTGTTCTCATCCTGAAGCAAAGTTCTTAACCCAAGGTACTATTTGTGGGTTAGCGGAGTCGTAACCTGAAGCGTATGTAACCTGAGGTACCACTGTATTAGAATCTCCCATTCCACTACAGGACTGGCTAGCCAACAAGCACATTCATATATTCAGTGAGGTTCCCGGTTCCTGTTCAAGGCCCTGGCCCCTAAAGGTCACTGGGGTCACTCTCCCACAGAGGCCAGACTGCTTCTAACCTCCCCACAAATGCCCTTCTACCATCATCTATTGAATTGCAGAGACAAGCAGGACTCTGCTTTCAAAAAGCCCAAACTAGCATATGCAATGAGAAATGGCTTCCTAGAATCCCCCATTTTATGTATATAGTGGGAAGAACACAGAACAAGGCATTGTTGCATGTAAAATAATAAATAATGCTTCTATTTAGCACCTTTACCCACAGATGCAGAGCATGCAGGTGTAGTTGAACTACAGCTCCCATCATTCCTCATCTTTGGCCATTCTGGATGGGGCTGATGGGAGTTGGAGTCCAGGAACACTTGGCGGGCCATGGGTTCCCCATCCCTGACAAAACACACTGACTTCCCTCTTCAGCAGTTATCCTGACCCACCAGTCTTTTCTCCTCTCTCCTTCCTATCCACTCACTCCTCTCTTTATGCAAAGTCTGGGGAGCCAGTGTGGTGTAGTGGTTAAGAGCAGTAGTCTCGTAATCTGGGGAGCCGGGTTCGCGTCTCCGCTCCTCCACATGCAGCTGCTGGGTGACCTTGGGCCAGTCACACTTCTCTGAAGTCTCTCAGCCCCACTCACCTCACAGAGTGTTTGTTGTGGGGGAGGAAGGGAAAGGAGATTGTTAGCCGCTTTGAGACTCCTTAGGGTAGTGATAAAGTGGGATATCAAATCCAAACTCCTCCTCTTCGACTGTCATTCTCAGATGGCTTTCTCCATCTCTTACTCACCCTGACTCCACTCAGCATCTCAGCATCACATTCCACTGCTGTAAATCATCCCTGCCTTCATTCTTTTGTTACATACACACAGCAGTAGTGTATTTCTCCCCCTCAAAAGAGAGGGGGAGGAGAAGTACGGAATTTGCCTTCTTGCGAGATGTTTACATCCTCTATCCTTGCTTACGAAATCCGGTCATATCCAGATACCTTCTAGAATTTGCAAAGTTGCCTTTGCCTAGTTTTAGAAATTACAAATCCCAGAAGGGAGTGGATTTCATAACCTTATTCCGAAAGTGGAAGAAGCATGGACAGGTGATCTGCCAATTTCAGCTCCTTTGTGTTTCTCACTTTTCAAATCTTAAGTTCAGTTTACACGATGAGTTTGTATTATATTTAAAGTATGGCTTTTTGTATGCCCCCATACATACTTTTTTGTATGCAATTTTGCCTAATTCCTGCATTTTTGCCATTTCCCCTGATAATATAAATTTTTACTTATTAATAATATACCCGGCTTTTCACGTCATTTAGGTCTCTAAGTGGCTTTTAAAATTTATTTTTGCTAAAAAACAAAGAAGTATGAATTTTTTGGTTGGATAAATACATCATCTGGAGAAGCGAATGGGTTGGATTTCTCCCCCGTTCCTGGAAGAAGCAAGGATGTTGCCTCTGGCAAGATTTTGCTAAACTGGCAAAAGGCTGAGAGCTCTGTTCCAGACCAAAGTTTTTGTAGGAGGATTGAAAGTGCCTCAAATTTATTTGCAGGACATTTTGACCATCACATTCAGAACTTCAGAATTACCGTTAATAGTCTATGTTTAGTCTGACCTTAAAATAAATAAACTGGTTCAATTGGGCTCATCTAGAGCCTTTTGCAATAATGACTATCATCCATTTAATAAGAGGTAGGCATAATAGGCAGAAATTATCCAGAACTGAAATGTAACCTGATCACAATTTGGTGCCCCTATAATGTAGGAGCAAGCAGCTTTATTTCAGAGGAGGTGAGATTTCATCAGCCAGGATGTGGGTCGTGCCACCCAAATAACTTGTAAAGTCATTTTGCATTTTTCAAGGAGCCTGCCCTTACCTGAAGTAATCATTAACATTTATGCAGTGCTTTCCATCCACACCGATTCCAAAGGTCTCTGCAATCTTTGTAAAAATTATCCATTCTGGGACCACTTGTTACGAAGTAAAAATGGTGTAGGTGATGCATGTAGTCGTTTCTTACGTAGACAAGGTGGTGCTTTCACAAGTTAAAGTTTGACCAAATCATTTTTCACCATCTCCAGCACTGTGCTGTGGGAGCAACTTCAACGAAGTATGCAAGGTTACCAAGTTGGCAGCGTCAAAGAAATGAGTATCCCATTTGGAATGATTTGGGGCACATGGCAGCAGAACAGAATTGGCAGTGAAATCTTGGTGAGGAACTAGGATACTAATCTATCCAGAAGACCTAATAGCATTGCTGAAGATAGCTGATCCCTTTAATATCCACTTGAGTCTCTCCTGGTATGTTCACCCCCTAGATAATAAGGTGGAGAGCCTCCTCTTTGGTGGCCCCATGGTGATGGAATTCTCTTCCACTGGACCAGTGTGAAATTTCTACATTGCAGATTTTTCAGCTGGCCCTGAAGACCTTCCCCACACCCCTTCCAAGATTGATGTTTATTAGATGGGTACCGGTCTGAGTTTTGCTGTTTCCATGTGTGTGTGTGTGGAGTGATTGTTTAAAGTTTTAAAATGATGCTCATTTTCTTTTGTTGTTTTGGAAGTTTGCCCAGAGAAGCAGCCAAAAAATAAAATAGAAATGGCTGGAGAATCTTTCCAGAAAAGGCTTGCTTGGATGGGGGTGCAAGGAGGAGAGAAGCTGAAGCAGCAGAGAGCAGGCAGGAGGAAAACAAAATAGAAAGAGAAATTTATACTGGGCTACAACAACCATAAGTCCTAGTCATTGGTTAGGGGTCATGGAACTCCAACATCTTATGAAGGCTACAGATTCCCTACCCTATTACACAGCAAGAACATGGAGTCAGTGAAAATATGGTGACTTATAGTTCCAAGTTGCACCTGTGGAGTGACTATTGCAAAGGAATGAATCAGGGCACTGGTTTGGGGAGTAAAGTAGATCCCCATTTAGCATTGTACAGCTGTCACACATACAATTGGAAACTGAGAGTGCAGGTTCCATGCAACTGTTTTTCAGTGTCTACCTGTGTGGAGATAAACTGTTGGTTAGGTAAGAAAACATCAGCTTACCTGGAAGGACTTTGAGCCAGCAAACTAATTGGGAATCTGATGAACTGAACTAATTTAGGATGTTCTAATGAGACTTGTCCAAGCAGCCATGCATTTTGCACATCATAAATCATGAAGACACAGCCCTGGTCCCAGAGTGTCAAAATATACGAGAGGATTCCATTGTACAACCTGCTGTCCTTCAAAAAGGCTTTTTCACAGCAAAAAACAAACCATCAATTGGTGAAACTACAATTTTTGTAAATTTTCATAATTCGTTTTAATTATTGCCTTTACCAGAATGTATTCCATAACTATGCAGTTAGTTGGGGTGTGATCTAGGGCATTTTTACCAGAGAAAGTTTACAAGGCCGTTTTTTGTTATTGTCTGAATAGATTGAACCATCTCTCCTAAAGATGAGCTCCATGGCCTGGTCCTTTGAGGTCTTGTCATCCATTTTCTTTGTAACGGTGCCTCTCTGCACATGTTACTAAGCTAAAACTCCCAACAGCCAATGGCTAAGGAAGATACGAGTTGCAGTTCAGTAACATCTGAAGGGCCAAAGGTTCTCTACACCTTCCCTACATCTTATTATGTTGTTCCTCCCTTTGTTGATTTTAATTGGATGGGTGCATAATCTCTGGTTCCTGAGTAAGGAAAGGCAAAGAAGGTTATTCTGGAGCTTGACCATGTGAGCATAGGGAAGGGTTGTAGCTCAGTGAGAAGCACATGATGCGGAAGGTCCCGGTTTCAGGAAAATACTCTGTCTGAAACCCTAGAGAGCCAATACTAGCTACTATAAACACAAGACTTAGATGGAGCAGTGGTCTGACTTGAGATAAAATAGTTGTCTCTAACGTTCCCTTACAAGACTCCTATGACACTGGAGTGGCTGAAAATGCTGTGTTAACACATGTATGTTGCAAGGAACTTGATAACCCTGCCTCATTCATCTGCCTTTTGTGTGTGTGTGTGTGTGTCACAGCAACTGGTCGGCCTGGAGTATATTATTTATCCCTGAATCAACTTTCAGCTCAGTATAGCCTGTTGACTAAAGTAAGTAGCACAGGTGTGCTGTGTCTGGATTTATTTTCCAGGAATTATTTATTTGTGTATGTATTTTTACACCACCTTGCATATAGCATCCCAAGGGAATGCACATCAGATGAGAGTTGGGGATATTTTAAAAGAGTTAAAACATTTAAACAGTAATAACTTTTTCAAAAAATAATAATAATACAGCAGCAATCTGGGGCAAATTAACATTAATCAGGGACTAAGCATCAGTGGAAGCCTGAGAACGCAGGTAAATCTTTGAAAGGCACCAAAACACCAGCCGTGGTTGGCACATGTCTGAGCTCAAGTGGTTCCACATTATGGAAAACTTCATTTAGTAGCAAATCAGAAAGCATGGTAACTCTTTCATGAAGATGATGATGACAACTCAGTTTCATTTTGATGGCAAAGAACCATTCCTTTGTTTTAAGCTGAGGGCTGATTGTAGAGAAATACATGGAGGTGCTTCTCATTTCAGGCTCACCCTTGGCTTCATGATCAGCTGTGCCTTCCTGTCTATGTGGCTTAGCAACACCTCCGCTGCTGCTATGGTGATGCCCATCGTAGAGGCAGTGGCTCAGCAAATCATCAGTGCTGAAGCTGAAGTGGATGGCCTGGAAATGACTCACGCAAATGGAGCCACCAATCACGCGTTGGAACTCGATGGTACGCAGGGATGTTGGACGTTTCCCACCTTTACCTTCCCTGGGGAAAGACCAGATAAACCGAAGCCCTCATATTCAACTTTTCACCTCTCTCCCTCTCCCTCTCTCTTTTAAAATAGAAGATATTGATGAATGCAAAGCAGTTGGCTGGAAAGAGAAAACAAAGCAAATTAATGGGTAAAATTTATTTTTGATCACGTATATTACATCAGTTTGCTCAAGCACAGCAGATCACTTATAAACACTGCATGCTTCTTTTTTCCAGATACAGCAACGGGTCTGCTCATGCAGTTCACACTGTGTGCAAGATTGAGAAGGAAAAGGTACTTCATAAGCAATCGTGGCATTTTAATTTTGAAATTATGGTTTGATATCAGCCTAGTAAGTCAGGGTCACTAATTTCTCTAGGTCCATTGACACATTTGGATTTTTGAGAGAGTGCTGTGGGCACCACCCTCCCTGGTCACTTCTTTCAGCTCCAATAAAATTAATTTGAGCCTTGAAAAACACATAAAGCTGAAAGAGGAAACAAGAAAGAGTGCTACTCTTCCTTCCAATGTTTGGGTTGCAGCAACTGGTTCAGGTCATTCTCTTTAGAAGGATGAGCTGAAGAAAAGTCCCTGTAGAGATCCATTTCAGACTGAGCAGCCAACATATTATATTGTTGTTTACCCTTTTGGCCCACTCAGATGCATAACTTGTTTTAATTACTCCGGCTGAGTTCCTCATTCTTTTGTTTTTATATATATATTTTTACGTCCTGTGTCTGTGTCGGGCTGCCAGATGATTTTAAACAATGATCTCTTGCAAGAGGGAATCAGAGTCTCATAGAAGACTGTGGCAACTTTTCAAAACATAGCGTAATGGGTGCCCCTTATTACAGTCTCCACTGCTGCAAAATGTTCCTTAGTTATAAAATCCTGATTAGACATCTCCCTTTTTATGTAGTTGAATTCCAACTATGAGAAATGTTTTACTGGCTTTCCAAATAACTAAAAAATAATAATAATGTAGGTGGTCTTGTTGGTCCACTGGACAAAAAACCCCAAAGTCTACACATTTATTATTTCTTTATTAAAATTATTAGTATCCTGCCTTTCGGGTAATCTGTAATATGGTATAATACAAAATTGTGAGTGAGCTTTTGAAGTCTCCAAATTAAAGAAAAGGATGCAGCTAGCCATGTTGATGAAATCCAAAATCTACAGGGTGGTGATTAGGGACAAACAAAATGCCAATAAGTCAGGAACAAATGTTAGAACTTGCTCATGACTTTGTGACTTTTCAGTTGGTCCTAAAAAGGCGCAGTCATACTATAGGTTTTGTTGGGTTTGACAGGTTTCTTGAGCCCTGCCTGCTGCCCTTGTATCTCTAGCTGTTAATCCATCCTGCTAATGGTTCCTGCTGCAATATTCTCCACTGGTTTCTGCGTCCATGTTCTTCCTTGTCTTATGGGAATATTGCCTTAAACTGAGCCAGAACCTAAGTCCATCTAGCTCAATATTGTCCACACTGACTGAAAGCAGCTCTCCCGCCCTTCCTGGAGTTTCTGGGGGTAGAATCTGCGATCTTCTGCACGCCAAACCAATTCCCTCCCACTGAGATCCTTCCCCTAGATCTTCCTCTTTGGACTCAGTTCACCCCTGGCCCTAGTCTTACTGTGAAGTTGCTGGCAAGTCTTGGAACAAGAATTGTGGTGCAATTTGTAACTCTGCTTTGTAATGATTACTCGTGAATTCTTATCTCAAGACTCGGATCAGCTTCATTAACCCCTGGCTCTAAGCCATCCCCCTGTAACTGGAGTCTTTAAAGTGCATCATGGATGAAAAAGCCGTTCCCTGACACGTTTCAGTAAACGGACATGACAGGGAAAGAGAAATACACTAAACCCAACTAATTATATGAATTCATTCTCAGAAATCCATGTTTGGTTGAAGTTCTTAGCCTGGGGGCTCCTCCACACTTTTCACTGGGCCCATATTTTGATTGTCTTGTGCCCTGATTAATTCCCCCTGGCCTGAGAGCTTTTCTCGTTGTTGCGCTTTGCAAAAATCTTACCTGCCGAATTGAAGCTCAGCGAAGGAAAATCCTTCCCTGAATTCTCTGCACATCTGATAAGTTCTGGTTCGGTGGGATTTTCACAAGGCACAGCTGTGGAACGACGAGAAAACCTCTTGGACCCAGATGAATTAATCGGCACACAATGTGATCAAAATGCGGATCAAAGAAAAGTATGCATGAGCCCTGGGAATTAGTAGTTGAAGTCTGGGGATGATGGTCTTAAAATGGTGTGTCCACACATTTTCCTCCCTCTCTTTTCCTCCCTGCACTCCAGGCTGCTGGGACCAAAAGTACAGCATCCACGAGTGCCTACCTAAGAGATCAATGATTTTTTTTTCTTTTAAATGTACATGTCTGTCGCCATTTTGCTACAACCAAACCTGTCCCACCACCTGCAAACACGACTCTCTTCTCTTTCTATTTACCAGTATTCTGGCATGAAAAACCTGTACATCAGACAGACTTTTTAACAGACCTTAACAAATATTTGATCCCTTTGAGATGCTCCATAATTCAGTCCCCATATGAGATCGTTCAATTCAAACAAAAATGGGGTAGAATGGGTTGGATATCAATATGAGACCCCAAAGCTCAGAGCCAAGAGAGATGTTGAGCTACAGTGAGCTAAATTTGCCTCAAGAACTTCCAATTACCATGCATGTATTTGAGTTGTCTTATTTTGAGTGATGTAGTTATTATTTTTGAATGCATCACCGAGCATTTGAGATGCGGCAGAGGTATGTCAATGCTTCACTGATAAAAAGTATGTTTCAAGGTTTTTTTAAAAAAAGGATATCCCCTCCTCCTACAGGTCAAGTAAGTTGGACCTGTTCTCATGAGGTCTATAGGGTGGTGGGGAAGCCATTTCACTGTGACTTCCAGCTACATGGGTTCATAATAAGGCCATCTTGAGGAGTTACAGGCATGCGTAGGATGCAGCCCTGGCATGCCACCACTACACCCAAGCCAAATCCTGCACATAATGGCAGATGCTCATGGTGACAGCCTCACACCACTCAGAGAGGGAAGAATAAGCCTTCTATGGTGAATACTTTTTCCATGCTGAATGCAGATTTTCATTCCCTGTGAGCGTTTTCCCACTACCTGTGCTGGAGCCCACCACAGTGAGACTGTTCTTACAGATGAAGAATAATTTTATAAAATGGCACGGTTTAGAAACTCTCACTCTCTCCTAGTTCAATAATCCCCAAGGCATTCTGAGCCAAGCCCCCTTCCATCTTGCCTCTGCTCATTATGGCTCAGTGTCAGCATCTTCCATCTGCCTCTTCCCCTTCTTCTGTCCTCTCTCATGTTTTCACAAACTTACCAAGTCGCGAATATGGAGGAGGGGAAAGAGCAGGCTGCTTCTGTTTCTGCAGGCCAAGCTGTTCTTGCCAACTTGAACTCTAGGATGTATTATTTGCTATTCTTCCTGATTCATCAACCAGGAACAATAACAACAAGTTTTAAAAACCTACATGCATCAGAAATACACCAAGGGTTATTTCAAAGAGTCTTCACTCTACAATGCGTTTTATCTAAAACCTCCAAAAAGATTTGCAAAAATCTCAGCCCCTTCAATTTCTGAACAAAGATGGGCAGGTTTCACATGTCACTAGGCGAAAATGAAAATGTTTACTGTTCTTTTCATTTCTTATTTAAGGAGACTTCAGAACCAAGTGATACCGGAAGAAAATACCGAAACAAAAGGGACCACATGATATGTAAAGTCATGTGCCTGTGCATTGCCTATTCGTCAACTATTGGCGGACTGACGACCATCACTGGAACTTCAACCAACTTGATCTTTGCTGAGCACTTTAACACGTAAGAAAAGAGACAAAACAAGTTCTTCTAAATCTGAAACCTGTTTTTACTTCCTTCCTTTTATAAAAGCACTTCAAACAACAACTGGGAATAATAAAAAACAGTTTAAAAGATCAACACATACATAAAAGACAGATGCCAACTGGGATAAAGTTTTTATATCCCAGTCCAGCTCTGTCCCCCAAATATACTTAAGAGCCTACCCACGTGATGGTATTGTAGGTTAGTTGACCTTATTACTGTTGGGTCACATAAATCTCTCATAGATTAGCTAAACATCCAGGTGAGTCACATGATGATGCTCTTGCAGTTTAGCTGCCAACAACACTCCACTATAACTTCCACTTTACAAATCAATGATATTTTAACTGTGCAGTAAACAAAGAAGCAGAAGGCCAGAGAATTTCTGAACCACAATCACTATCTATCCATCCATGCTCTATAAAGAATTCCAAGCTTTGCAATTCCATTGTCTTTGTCCTTGATGTCCCAATGGTCAATATCTATCCAGAAATTTTAAGGCTCATCGTTATTTCAATGGGAGACATAAACACACACTTAAATTCCTCCTGCTGTAATCAATGGAACTTAAAGTATTCAACTTTTGCTGGACTATGCACTGTTATTTACATTGTAGATGTAGTAAACTGAAGCTGAGGGGAAGGGAATTTAGACTCAAAGATCCTTTTCCAACCGCCATGAACTCATAGGACAATACGGCATTCAAATAGACACAATATTACAGCTGGAACACTTCACACAGGCCAGAAATGCAGAATGGGGAAAAAAGGAAAATAATGTCTAAAAACATTATTCTGCAGGTTTGCTCTACCTCCTTTTAACAAACTCATTGAAATCACCAAGGCTGTCTTAGAAATGTTTTATAATTATAAACAATGGTGCCACAGTTTTGCCCCAAGAAACTTTTCTCACAGCTGAAGATATATGATGTTTAACTTCATGCTATTTCTGAGGCAACTGCAATTTTTACACTTGATACTAATTGACAACAACCGCAGTATCAAGGATCATTCTGTCAGTTTCACTCTGCGTCCCAAATATGTCTAATCTGTTAAAGCGATTTCTAGTTGCCTGGAATATTGTCTATCTGCCACCTGTAATTTGCTAAAAATTGCATCATCCTAAACTGCATTTTACACAGGAGAATATATCATAGTTACTTTAAAGCAAATAAAATAAAAGCATACATATAATCAAATAAGCAAGAACACATTAAAGCCTTCAAACTCCATTACAAGCAAGGCAAGGGAATAATAACCATACCAGAGGAAAACACATCTCCAACTAATTACCTATGTGATTCCACCCTGAACAACTAACAGTGGAGGCTTTCTTCTGAGGAAGCATGCCTGGAATTGCACTAAACTCTTTTTTGTTTATAGATGGGCATTTTGTTACGATCCCTGGTTTGATTACAGCTCCAGGATCATTTTTGCACTGACATGCAACACCATTGTTTTTGTTGGAGATCATAAGAGCTGCTTTGCTGGATCAGACCAAAGCCTAATTCAGAGTGAAAGCCTGATTTTTTCTTCTTCCTCGGAGTCTCCTGTGCATGCCATAGAATCTTAGCATTGTAGAGTTGGAAGTGACCAAAAGGGCCATCTAGTCCAACTCCCTGAATGACCGCTCCCCACATTAAATGGGGTGTGCCCTTTGTGCGGTCGTGCACAGCCCCCTGGACCCTGTGCAGCACCATCAACACAGCCTTGGCTTCACCTTCCCCAGGTGGGATACCTGGAGGTCTCCGCCTACCTCAGCCAGTTGCCCAATCTCGCCTGGGGAGGCGTTGCCAAGGTGATCAGGCCAGGTAGGGGGAGGGACCACCCTGCCCACACAAGCAGCAATCTTTTGCCAATTTGGGGCTCGAACCCACAATCTTGAGATTCCCCACCCCCAAGGGTTGGAGAAGAGATGGGGTCATCTCAGGGTCCAAAGTTACCTAACTGCACCACTACTCACCTCTCACTTTCAGGTGGTTGTGCATTCTCTGAGTTGTAATTAGAGATGAGTGGATCAGCCTATTTCCAACTCCTGTCAGTTTCACAGAGTTTCATTCATGCCCTCCCACTTCAGCATCAACGTCAGTTTCACATGTTTTCATTCATAAGTTTATGCCCTCCTGCTTCTGCTTCCATCTCTAATTCTTCTTAAAAAAAGAACCCTCCCCACAAAATATGCCTGTTTGTATGCATTTTATTCCCTCTCCTTCCACAAAATAGGCCTTCCCCAAAACATGCATTCTGATCTAAAATGTATATTTTTATATACACCATGGTAACATATTTTTTGAGTTGAGCACCTTCTCGCAAAATTCAGAGTTGCATGAAAGCTGAAGAATTACAGCATTCTGAGCTGCATAATAGTCCTGGAGGTGTGAGTTCACTTAGAAAATGTGGACTGAACCAAATCCCCGAGTCTTCCTAGTTGCAGCCGGCTGCCCATGGTATCTTTCAGAATCTAATAAACCACTTGAGTGAAGTGAAATGAAATGTGCAAGGAAGGAGAAAGGGAGTCATAGAAAGCAGCTGAATTGGAGCCAGATGATGCAGCAACATGTGAAAAGGGCTATGGAATGCATACTCTCCAATATTTCTCTGATGAAAATAGGAGTGTCCTATTCAATAATAATAGTTGTTGTTGTTGTTTAGTCGTTTAGTTGTGTCTGACTCTTCGTGACCCCATGGACCAGAGCACGCCAGGCACTCCTGTCTTCCACTGCCTCCCGCAGTTTAGTCAAACTCATGTTAGTAGCTTTGAGAACGCTGTCCAACCATCTTGTCCTCTGTCGTCCCCTTCTCCTTGTGCCCTTCATCTTTCCCAACATCAGGGTCTTTTCCAGGGAGTCTTCTCTTCTCATGAGGTGGCCAAAGTATTGGAGCCTCAGCTTCAGGATCTGTCCTTCCAGTGAGCACTCAGGGCAGATTTGCTTAAGAATGGATAGGTTTGATCTTCTTGCAGTCCGTGGGACTCTCAAGAGTCTCCTCCATCACCATAATTCAAAAGCATCAATTCTTCGGCGATCAGCCTTCTTTATGGTCCACCTCTCACTTTAATAATAATAATAATAATAATAATAATAATAATAATAATATAATATAATAATACTAATACTAATACTAATACTAATAGTAATAATAACCCGCCCATCTGACTGGGTTGCCCCAGGCACTTTGGGCAGCTTCCAACATATATAAAAACACAACAAAACATTAAACATTAAAAAAAACTTCCCTACAAAGGGCTGCCTACAGATGTATTCTAAAGGTTGTATAGTTACTTATCCCCTTGGCTCGAGGTTCCACAACTCCATACCCTCCAACATTTCTCTGATGAAAATAGGGATGTCCAGTGCTTTTTTTATTTTTAAAAAATGTTTAGGGGTACTCTCATTTTCCTATTCATATTGAAATTCTGCCCCTCAATGAGGCCAAACTTAGATTCACAAAATGTTTAGGGGTATGCGTACCCCTGCTTCCCCCCAGGGGAAAAAAAAGCACTGGGGATGTCCTAAGGAAAAGGGGACATTCTGGGATCAAATCAGAAACTGGGACAGCTTCTGTAAAGTCCCTTCCAGGGACTGCCCCTGGAAAGAAAGGGGGACACTTGGTGGGAATGTGAATGCCCTCCCCTCACAGATTCATCTAGAACTGACCTTGCAGGGCTTTGGGTGCCAAAGCACACATTGATCCAAGCCTTTGACCAAACTGGATGTGGATTTGGGTAGCCTTCCCGCTCTGGCTTGTACTGTTGTTCATTGTGATGATGAGTGTACTGCTTTGTTGGTTTTATGTACCAGGATTTTATTGTGCATTATATGTTCCTGTTTTATCCTGTGCCCTGCTCTGAGATTATTTTTTAATGAAGAGTGAGCTAAAAATCCCCTAAATAAATAAAGGGAGAGACATAAAACATAAACACAAGCCAATCAACAGAGGGAACATGACAGAGCCCAGAGTAAAGAACTATCAAAAGGCAAAAGGCATTCATATCGTCAGCTTTTCGTGTTACAGCTGCTCCTCTAGGCTCCATTTGGTTATGATTCAGAGTCACTCTCCATGGTGGTTTTGTGTGTTAATCTAACATAATATACAAAACCTTAAGAATGATCTTAAGACAATGAAAGCCCTGTTGCAGAGCAACAATCTTATCCCCAGGTCTGTCCTGATAAGCTTGGTCAAGGTCAGTACTGCAGGTATAAATCACTTAAATTCAAACATTTATTAATGCAGATTGCATGGCAACAGCCATGAGGAAGAAGGTGGAGATAGGAGGGAGCTGTTAAAACAGGTTGTGCAGTCTTGTTTTTGTAGGATCCTATCAGTGTGATAAGGGACGCGGGTGGCGCTGTGGTCTAAACCACAGAGCCTAGGGCTTGCTGATCAGAAGGTCGGCAGTTCAAATCCCCGCGATGGGGTGAGCTCCCATTGTTCTGTCCCTGCTCCTGCCAACCTAGCAGTTTGAAAGCACGTCAAAGTGCAAGTAGATAAATAGGTACCGCTCTGGCGGAAAGGTAAACGGTGTTTCCATGAGCTGGTTCGCCAGAAGCGGCTTAGTCATGCTGGCCACATGACCCAGAAGCTCTCTGTGGACAAACGCCGGCTCCCTCGGCCTATAGAATGAGATGAGCGCCGCAACCCCAGAGTCATCCGCAACTGGACCTAATGGTCAGGGGTCCCTTTACCTTTACTATCAGTGTGATAGTCCAAATCTCTAAGGTCAAACAGATCATCTCCAAAGTGTGTTTTTCTTGGGCAAAGAGGCTGCCTGAACAATCCTAGTTTGGCTATTATAGTTACATAAGCTTACGCTGCAAACCATCTTCATCGCTGGGTAGCACAGCCTCTGTATTTTCAAGTACACAGGGCCAATGAACCTCCTGATTTTGGGCTGGTGCATTCATCCCCACAACATGTTGTGCCTTCGTTTTTCACACCGTGATGAATATTTTCTCCAAATGCTGACACCTTTACTGTACCCTAAAGGACTTTAGTTTTTGCTAGATCGGGAGGACACCGTAAATCTCTGATCCCACACTGCGAAAGCACATTTCAGAGGAAATGTCAAGCAGTAGGAGTGTTGGCTTGAAGTCACATCGGAGTAGCTTTACCATTTCAAACATGAAACGGTGAGCAATGAGAAAGGAAAGCAAATTATTTCCCCACCCCCATACCCAAGGAGATGTTACTTGCTCTGGCCACCTATGCATTCACACAGTAAGGTTGGGCATGATCAATGGGCCCTTGTTACCAGGCCAACTAACGACAGTGAAATGGGTTTTTGTTTCATTGAAGGTGGAAATAGTATTAGCACAGGCCAGACTTTTTCTGTTGCAGCCAATTCTCACAGCCCATTGCATGGAAGGTGCAGCCTGACGGTGGATGCTTTCAAGTTCACCTTGGTATGCTGGGTGATTTTGGCATTCCGGATGACATTACTTTTGCTATCTGCCCTGGGAGAATCACACACAGATTCTCCAAAGGAGCAGGGTCCCATCAAAGAAATTGCCTTGCCTATTTTGCAGCTCTTAAGTCAAGTCTGACACCTTTGTCCCAGAGAGAGCTTAATAAAATCAAACAAAGCTCTTGTCTTAATGAAACCTTTCCTCATTATAGAAACTCTTTATGTTTGTTAAGCTGTGCATCTGTATCTGACTTTGACATGTGGCGAGTTCAGGCTATTGCTATGCAGAGAGGGTTCTGTCACTCAAGGGAACTTGCAATGTGTAGCTTGTGTCAAGGTCCTTGTTTATACATCCCTGCCTCAGGAGGTTACACTGCAGATGTTGAGAGAACTGTAGAAGACAGTCAGCAACATATTTTCTACTTTGAGCCCCAGCCACACTATAAATTTAAAGCACTTTTATACCACATGGTTGGCCCCCAATCATCCTGGGGACAGTAGTTAAGGGAGCTGAGAGTTGTTAGATGACCCCTATTCCCCCTCACAGAGCTATCTAATAATAATAATAATACTAATAATAACTTTATTATTTGTACCCTGCCCATATGACTGGGTTGCCCCAATCACTCTGGGCGGCTTCCAACATATATAAAAACATAACAAAATATTACACATTTGAAAGCTTCCCTATACAGGGCTGCCTTTAGAGTTCTTCTAAAGGTTATATAGCTACTCATCTCCTTGACATCTGATGGGAGGGTGTTCCACAAGGTGGGTGCTGCTACCTCTGAAGTTCAAACCGTGGTTTATGGATTACTTAATTAACAATTACTTAATTATTAAGTGGTTTGTTCTGTTACATAGATAAGGTGGAGGGAAGGCCTTTTGTAAAATGCTGTAAAATTAAATCCCATCAGTTGAACATTATACTGCTCAATTAACTGAGCTCAATCAATTATGTACATGGAGCTGGAATGAAACCCATTGAAGTGCTTCATGGTCCTATCTATCATGGTACATTCAGCATTCATTGGGTAGTTTCTGATGACTAAAGCTAATTCCCTTAGCCAGGGTGGATCAGGAATTCGTTTCATCGTCTGGACTGACTGATGTCTAAAAGAGCTATGTGAGGGCTTTGTGACAGAGTCTTACCCAATTATTTTGGGGTATAGCGGTTGTGATATGATGGATCGCTTCATGCTCCCTAGTTGATTTGAATCCCACCACTTGGTGGCTGCAGAAGTCAGTGCAAGGGGATGCAATCCTAGTTGGTTGGTAGCAAACAAGAGCTCTAGACCAGCAGTATGGTGACATAAAGAGAGTAAACATCTCTTCAGTCTCTCAGTTCAGCCTCCGTAAAGCTGAAGTTCCTCACACAATAAAAAGCTTAGACCATATTACAAAGAGTGTGGTACTCAATAAATAAATACTAAATAAATTAGCAGAGTATTGGAATACTGAATATCTTGTTTAGTTTCAATTAAACAACACAGTAAATTGGCAGTTTTCTCCTTAGCTTCAGAGTTCATTACTGTTAAAGAACAATACTCTTCAGAACCTGGTGGAAACTCCATTGTGACCCCAATACAATACAATACAATACAATCAACTACCAGTATATTTGCAATATAATATTTGATAATTGTAATCCTATTTTATCATGTAACTTTGCTCATATGATGGAACAAAAGAAAATTATAAGCCCTATTTGAGCATTCACTTCCTTTATGTGATCATAATTACGTAGCAAAGAGGAGAGGAAAACTGGCAAGTCCAGCCCTTCACTGGTGCCTCACATTCCCCAACTGTACAAGCCATTTACAAGTTGAAGGACAGACTTATGGAGTAGGGGGCCTCCTGTACTCATGCAAATTTCATGATTGAGAACCTCATCCGAATCCTATCATGTAGCCTTTGTCCATCTGGCTGTGGCAGATGGGGAATTGTAGTACAAAACCTCTGGAGAACACCAGGTTGATGAAGGCTGAGGCAGCATATTATGAATAGCTCTCGGGGAACATTTTGACATGATTTCAAAACCTTCCAAAAGATGGAGGAGACCACCAGCTCCCTCTCTTAAAAAGATAAGTGAGACCAAAAAAAAGGGGGGGGGAGCCATAGGAAGTCAAGCAGTGAGATCAGGAACTCAGTGACACAGGGCCAGTGAGTTCACACTATTGTTGTTAAATGTGCAATAATGCCATTGTCATTCAAATCTACATTTGAGGTGAAGTCATATTCCATCTTCATTTCCTGATAGAGCTGGTTTTCATATCTAAAACTGGACAGGGTGTAAGTGTATCAATACTTCAGCCCATCCCGGGGATCCTGTCTTAACTGGTATCTTGCTTTTCATATGCAATAGAGATGTCTTAACCTCAGTTTCTTTCTCATTTCCCCCCCAGGAGGTACCCAGATTGCCAGTGCATCAATTTTGGAACCTGGTTTATTCTTTGCATCCCCATCACTCTTATTATATTGGTCCTTTCCTGGGTTTGGCTCCTGTGGCTTTTCTTGGGTTTCAAGTAAGTATAAATGCCCAGTGCAATCCATGTGGTGACAGTTGAGGTAGGGAGAATAGTATAGTGTAGACAATCATTTCGTATTTTAGAATGAGAATGGGTGGTTTCATTCATGAAAATTCACCAGCAATTACTAGAGGCACACTTTCACTCATGAAGGCCAAAAGTAGCCTATGTGGTTGTGAACTTCAGATGTTGTGAACTACGACCCCCATCTTTCTGATCATTGACCATGCTAGCTGGGGCTGATAGAAGTTGGAGTCTGCAACATCTGGATGGCATTACATTGGCTACATTTGGCTGTGACCCTCCAATATGGCCAATTATGGGAACTGGAGTCCAACAACTTTTGGAGGACACAGGTTCCTCATCCCTGTGGTATAGAAATAGGCATGCATTTTGGAAACTCAAAACCAACCCGGTCCAAGATAATATTTGCATGTGGACTGATAGTGGTCATAATTCAGGACCTCTGCATATGCAACCCACACTCATAGGGTGAAACCAATATTTGTTCCGACACACCTTCGGGTGGAAAAGTCCAATTGTACAGCTGCTACAGTGAACAATCTTCTCAATGCTCTGGGTTGATAAGGTTTATCCCTCAAGTAAAGGGATAAAGATAGAGGCAGCTTGGACCCCAAAGAGGAATTATAATTCCAGATACCATTCCCCAAAAAGATGTGGTAATGGAACCATGGTTTGCTCACAATTCAGCCTTATGCTGAAGTAGGCCAAACATTTATATACTGCTTGATTGTAATTAAGCATCAATAAGTCACAACAAATGATTTATAATACGTGACATTCATCCTAACAGCTGGAAGTTGCATGACTGCTTTTGTTTAATAAATAGCAGATAGGGAAAGAATTGGTATCTGAATGAGGAACATATTAGAATATAGGTTTAAATCCCCTGCCCATCACACCACAGTCCTGATTTGACCACCTCACCCCCCCAACCCACAGCTACTATTTACTAAACAAACAAACAAACAAACAAAACCATGTAACTGAGAGTTGCACAGTTAATATCACATCAGATTTGACCTTCAGCATAACATTGCTTTCCCTTTTCACATACAAATGTCACTAGGTGGTATAATCCCCCCCCCCCCCAAGAATAGAGAGCATATTTTCCAAGATTTTCAGAGGGATTTTGCTTTTGAGGTATTCAACATGGTGTCCACTATCATTCCTATCATCCCTGTTCATTGGTCATTTTGGCTGAGGGTAATGGGAGCTAGCTACTCTAGTTTATACAAAGGAAGCCCGCCTGACTTCATGCCATTTACTGTCTCTGCTATAAAGTATGTGACCAAAACACCAAATTTGCCAATACATTACAATACACATACCATACATGATACTATAGTTTGACATAAAGCATTATGTTTCTGAATTACAAGGCATTGGTTATTTCTGTTCCAAGGACTGTGGCTTGGGTCCAGAGAGATGTGTAACCAGTTCCTCCTGCCAAAAAGGAGCTTTGAACTGCATTTTCAAAACAGATCCCCACATAGCAAGCCTCTTTTGAAACAAAACAGAATCTCCAAAGCAATTTGTGATACAAAATGGAGGGGAGTCGCCTCCTGGTCAAAGGAAGGAAGCCAAAAAAAATCCCACTGAGCTCAGGCCTTTGGATCCAAGCCACAGGAAGAGAAACCCATACTTTAAATGTAAAAACCCCTTTACTGGTTATTCTTATTTCCATTTTAGTTTCAAAGAAATGTTCAAGTGTGGCAAGGAAAAGTCGCCCAGGGAACAAGCCTCCGCACAGGTGATTAAAGAGGAATACAATAAACTTGGACCGATGAGGTAAGACAGACGGCTGAACCACAGGCACAATGTTACAATGATGTCAAAGCAAACATACTGAAAGGGCAATGTTGACACTCGCTGTTCTTCTGTTGCAGCTACCCAGAAATCATCACCCTTGTCCTCTTCATTCTAATGGCCCTGTTATGGTTCACTAGAGACCCTGGATTCATCTCCGGCTGGGCTTCATTATTTTCAGCGTAAGTTTATAAGTATCATTGTCCAGTTTTGAGGTGCTGGCATTATCTCTTGCTTTGAAACGAATCCACGTTGATGACAATGAAGATTTGTTTAGCTATTTTACTGGATGTGCTGACAATATCTGCCTCTTGAGCCAAGGAGATAAGGAACTATACAACCTTTAGAAGACATCTGAAGGCAGCCTTGTATAGGGAAGGGTTTTTTTAGATGATGATGATGATGATGATGATGATAATAATAATAATAATAATAACAACAACAACAACAACAACAATAACAATAATAAATTTATACCCCACCCATCTGGATGGCTTCCAACAGAATATTAAAAACACTCTAAAACATCAAACATTAAAAACTTCCCTAAATAGAGCGGCCTTCAGGTGTCTTCTAAAAGTCAGATAGTTGTTTATTTCCTTGACATCTGATGGGAGGGCAGATGCCACCACCAAGAAGGCCCTCTGCCTGGTTCCCTGTAACCTCACTTCTCACAGTGAGGGAACCGCCAGAAGGCCCTCAGAGCTGGACCTCAGTGTCCGGGCAGAACGATGTGGGTGGAGATGCTCCTTCAGGTTAAAATGCTTTATTATATTTTCATATATTTTGGAAGCCGCCCCAGAGTGGCTGGGGCAACCCAGTCAGTTGGGTATAAATAATAAAGTTGTGGTGGAAAAGGACACCCTATTTTCATCGAATAAATGTTGGAGGGTATTCAATGCACCGAAACAGCACTGCAACAAAAATGGCCAGGGCCAGAATTGGGGGGGGGGGCTATCCCATATTCTCTCTTGTACACACACACATTTATACAGCATGCACACATACAGCCTCCCCAGAGTAACAGAGTAGGAAGAGCTGCAAAATTGCAGAGCAGTGAGGAATTTGCGGCAGGCCCGAATTAGACATTGGCTACTCCACGTTCCACACATGCATGTATATGCTCACATACACATATAGCACACAGCACAAACACCACACAGAGGTATCACCCACAAAGAAAAAAACCCCTAGTGGGCCTTTTTAGGCCACCCAGCACCACAATCAGTAATAGTGTTAAGTTGTGGGTGAACATATCAGACGACACAGTGATTCTTCAAACAGCTCTTGTTTATTCACAGGCCAGAACAGAACTGAACTGAAGGGTTCAGCCAGCCTGCTTATATAGAGCTCCACTAGAACGCAACAGTAACCATTTTCTGTAGCTATCCAATCACTGAACGTCACTTTCAATCGCTTATTTGCATATGTGGACCTGAGTGAAAACTATCTACAGTATCCCCCTGCTGGCCCAGCGTGAGAACTTCAGTACATAACAAATAGTGCCTACCATTTTTACCTAAGTCAGCCACAGCCATGGTGGTTATATCTGATAGCTATTTCAGTCTATGCCATCCCCACTCAGCCTCACAACTAGTGCACGCTTCTCATGGGGACAGATTTTTATTTATCCATAATGAACCCGAAGCACCATTATATTTCATTTTTGAAAACCCAAGAAGCCATACCTCATATAATGAACAGCGATGTGTGCCTAAGGCTCCACTCTGTACGTGGAAATCAGTTCTACTTCAAGTTAAACCTATTCAGGGTTGGAGCATAAATCACACCTTCAAATATCCCCAGTTCTTGTCTCCTTGTAATGTTTGCTTGGGTAGCACACATAACTTCTTCAGTTGTTTCAAATACCTGCTGTTTAGATATTACAGTTATTGGGCAGGACTGTTTTTGAGTGCTTCTGTGAGGAAGTTGCAGTACCAAATTTATCATTACTATATATGTAATTTGACTGTACAGTGGTACGTCGGGTTAAGAACTTAATTCATTTTTGAGGTCTGTTCTTAACCTGAAACTGTTCTTAACTTGAGGTACCACTTTAGTCTAATGGGGGCCTCCCGCTGCCGCTGTGCCGCCGCTGCACGATTTCTGTTCTCATCCTGAAGCAAAGTTCTTAACCCAAGGTAATATTTCTGGGTTAGCGGAGTCTGTAACCTGAAGCGTCTGTAACCTGAAGCGTATGTAACCCGAGGTACCACTGTATTTCTTGCACTTACTGAGGACTCAGCTACGTTAGTCAAAAAACAGTGTTTTGAATGAGTTGCAAACATGCAACACCAGATGGCGCTGCGCAGCACAAAACTTTTCTGTGCGATTTTACATAGCATTTTTTACCTTTTGTTATAACGATTTAACGATTTAATTTATGACTTACAGTATTTATAGCTGGTCCCCCCCCCCCATGGGTAGATTCACCCTGAGTTGGCAGACACTACAGTGCTCAAACATATTTGCTGTTCTGCAACTATGGCCTGAAAAAGTTTTAACCTTTGAATAAGAGGGGAAGGCTTCAACAGTTTCCCCTTTTCTGCTCCTTCATGGCTGAAACTTTTCTCAGCTGAGTCAAATGACTGGATGGAGAAATTGGCTGAGGCAGGATATAGCACTTTGCCTAAGAGGTGACAGAGAAATACCTCCAATTGTTCTTCTCCAGCTGGGCATTTTGATATTTGCTATATTGTCGGTCAGGGCAGACGCCAATGAATAGCTCCATTACCTCAAGAACTTCTGTCTGCACAATAGAACTTCCCCTCATTCTTCTTTCCCCATATACCTCTCCCATGCCCCCTAAATACGTTCTGGGTTTCCCCCCAACCTTCCGCAGCAGTTCTGGGCAGGGGGCACAAGGAGAGAGGAGAGGGACGGGCAAACAGAAATTAATGTATTTTATGGCTTGTTTCTTGGGAGCATAGAAGATTGTCTCTGTTTGTTGCCGTTTATTGCTACGCATTCTCTCACTGGGCAAACCCATCTTCTCTTCAGTTTGCAATTGCTGATTCTCAGGCCTAACAGAATGGATTTCAGCACCTGTTGCCATCTTATTTCTAAGTATCAGTGAATTATTTAGGGACCATAAAAAACCCCACACAGACTGGTGCATTGCAATTATTTCATCTTCTATCTTCATTTCTGCTAAGTAAGAGCAAAGCAGTATGGGAGGTGTACGATCCTCACCTCTTATAAAGCAGAGCCTTTAGAGAGAAGTCCTAGTGATTTATTCTGAGATCGAAGAAGTCACTGACTTGGTCATCTCACATAACATTTGTAGCCTACTATGGATGCGAAAAGCTCTCATGGTAAATGGGCTTTAACAAAACAGATGCTTCCAATATGAAAAAGCAGATATTTATTATTGCAATCTGTCCATTTTACCGTAATACACACACACACACACACGATCCTTTTGACTCTCCGCCAATGTTTTCCCCAAGTCCGTTTTCATTTGGGACTAATTGTAAGCATGTATCATTCTACTTTAAAATAAACCATTTTTATAGCATAATATATCCAGCCTAACCTGATAAAATCAGAAGCACTTAATTATAATGCTAGGGCATAGTCTGAAGTCCGGTCCTGGGCAGTGTTTGAGTCGGTATTCACCCAGAAAGCACATGTTTTCAGCCTTGAGATCCATTATAGATGGGGAATAAATGCAAAAGAATAAATAAATGATGTCAAGATATAACAAATGGACATTTCCTTTCTTTTTCTTTTTTGCTGTCTAGATTTTGTTTGCATCCATATGCCCGTGGTTACACTTAACATTTTTAATTTTCCTCAAAATATCTAAATGAGCTTTTCATTTTTGAAGGTTTTATTAGCCTCACTGTGTAGATGCCCTTTATATTTTGTCTGCAAGCTAAAGTTTCACGTGGAAATGGAAAGTTCATTCAAGTGTTTGGCACGTTTCCCTATATTATTAAATCTGATTAAGAACATCACACACAAACATATCGTTTGCTGATTTCATTTTTAAACATTATTTACATTTACTCCTGTAAAGTGTAGAGTTACCATAGCAACACTTGAGATGGTAAGAACCTGAACAGAATAGTTCACGTGAGGCTTGCCACGACTCCTGTTTCTTGTGGACATTTCAGATTAACTCATTAACCACAAATGCTTCGGATAACTTTATGTCACTGCAATAGACGCAAGATAATATCGCCAAGGCAACTATCTGTAAACAAACAATAAACGCCCATAAGATGGCAAAAGTTAATTTGTTTCCAAAATAAGTTTTATCTTAAATAATTGCAAATGCAGTAAATAAAGAGCCCGCTGGTAATATATCAGTGGTTCGGTGTTCGTTTTTCTCTCTTTCCAAAATAGATTTTACCTTAAATAATTGCAAATGCAGTAATAAAGAGTCCACTTGTGATGTATCAGTTGTTCAGTGTTCGGACGTCGCTCAAGTAATCAGAAGTTTCGTCCCCAAAAGTCTTAGTCATCAAGCTTCGTAGTAAATAATATACAGTGGTACCTCAGGTTAAGAACTTAATTTGTTCTGGAGATCCGTTCTTAACCTGAAACTGTTCTTAACCTGAGGTACCACTTTAGCTAATGGGGCCTCCCGCTACCTGCGCGCAGCCACCGGGCGATTTCTGTTTTTATCCTGAAGCAAAGTTCTTAACCCGAGGTACTATTTCTGGGTTAGCAGAGTCTGTAACCTGAAGCATCTATAACCTGAAGCATCTGCAACCGGAGGTACCACTGTACAACAGAAGACATTATATAAACGGCTTAAAGCAGGGGTGTATCTCTCCCCATCAGCATGTTTCCATCGGGAGCAACATAGAAAGAGGATGATGTCCTTCAGTTTGTTAACCCTCTTGAAGGTTGCATTTCATCGCTTCTGTGTCCTGTTGAGCCTCAGAAATGGAAAGGAGGAGATTTTTGACCTCAAGCCAGTGTCAACTACAGCTATATTATGGGATGCGGGTGGCACTGTGGTCTAAACCACTGAGCCTCTTGGGCTTGCCAATCAGGGTGAACTCCCGTTGCTCTGTCCCAGCTCCTGCCAACCTAGCAGTTCGAAAGCATGCCTGTGCAAGTAGATAAATAGGTACCGCTGCGGCAGGAAGGTAAACAGCATTTCCGTGCACTCAGGTTTCCATCACGATGTCCCGTTGCACCAGAAGTGGTTTAGTCATGCTGGCCGCATGACCCGGAAAGCTGCCTGTGGACAAACACTGGCTCCCTCAGCCTGAAAGCGAGATGAGCGCCACAACTCCATAGTCGCCTTTGACTGGACTTAACTGTCCAGGGGTCCTTTACCTTTTACCTTTACAGCTATATTACCTGCACAGGTGTTGAGTTCTTCTGGAGAGGTTATTCTGTCTGGCCCACCCAATCTGATCTCAAGGAACACCCTTCTCAGTAACGCTACTCAGATGGAATTCCCTACCAAGGAAGGCTCATGGTGACCTTTCACCCATAGGCGACCCCTCATTTATTTATTTATTTAAATAAACCTCTGGCCACTGAGGTGACTTGCTTTTCTCAGCTGCTCTGTGCTTTGGTCTCATTTCTTTTGCTTTTATTGTCTATTAATTGCCTGCCTTTTTTTCAGAATAAAACCTGCTATTATTTATTTTTATATGGTTTTATTGTGCTATTGCTGGGTTATTTATTGTTAGTCAAATTGAGCATTATTTGTAAATGTGGAAAACAAAAATAAATAGATTAAGCATACTTTGGTTGAATTTAAACTACGGTCATGGTTAATTCATGCTCTGTTCATCATTGCTATTTTAAAATATAATTGCAAATTGGCATATCATTTGAAATTAATGTTTGTATAGTTATTTTTAAAGGGAAGCTTTAATCTGCCTTTCTGCTGGATCAGTGCCACCCTACTAGACCATGGCTTAGAGAGTCACAGTGCAGTTCATCAGCTCACACTGCCAATGGCAAGGAATTATGGGGAAACATGCCCCACAATATCTGCAGGGCCAGATGTTTCCCATCCCTGCCAAATAGAAATTTAATGTGTTTACCGTCACCTCAAAATATCTTTCCAAACACTGGTAATGTCTGATATTATTGCTAAAGAATCAGAATTTTCTAGTGTGATATTTGTGGACCAACTGAAACATTGGCTCTTTCCCCAGATACCCAGGATTTGCTACCGATTCAACAGCTGCCTTAATGATTGGCCTCCTCTTCTTCATCATTCCAGCAAAAACATTGTCTAGAACTTCAAATGGAGAAAACAGTTGAGTATACATCCATGACTTTTTACTCCTTAGCACAGGTATAAAGGCTCGTCCACACTCCTTCTCATCCTGTGCCTAGAAAGCATGGGTACGAGCAATTCCCCTCTGGCCTCTCTCCCTTTCCCAGGGAAAAACCTGCTCTTTAGCGATAAATTGGAACAAACTGAAAACCCGAATTGCCATTTGCTCCAACTGAACACTAAAGAGCAGTTTTCCCTGGGGGGAAGTAGCGAGACAAGAGGAAGTGTGGATATAAACCCTAAGTTAATATTGTAACTGAGAGCTAATTATAACATGGCGATATTTTGAGCTTCTCTTCAAAGTCATCCAGACTTCTGCTGTTGGGTGGATGGACTTGAATCATAGAACTGTAGAATTGGAGGGACCCTGAGGGTCATCTAGTTCAACTCTCTGCAATGCAGGAATTTCAGTGGAAGCATCCATGACAGGTGGCCACCCAACCTCTTCTTAAAAACCTCCAAGGAAGGAGAGTCCACCACCTCTTATGGGAGTCAGTTCCACTCTTGAACAGCTCTTACTGTCAGAAAGTTCTTCCCAATGTTTAGTTCTTGTAACTTGAAGCCATTGGTTCAAGTCCTACTTTCCAGAGCAGGAGAAAAGAATTAGCTTCCAGAAAACAATTACAGGCAGAATCCCGATGCATCCCAAGCTCTGCGTACATTGCAGAGCAGATGTGGAGCTCTCATAATCACGTAAAAGGTAAAGGGACCCCTGACCGTTAGGTCTAGTCGCGGACGACTCTGGGGTTGTGGCACTCATCTCGCTTTACTGGCCAAGGGAGCCGGCGTACAGCTTCCGGGTCATGTGGCCAGCATGACTAAGCCGCTTCTGGTGAACCAGAGCAGTGCACGGAAATGCCGTTTACCTTCCCGCCAGAGCAGTACCTATTTATCTACTTGCACTTGACGTGCTTTCGAACTGCTAGGTTGGCAGGAGCAGGGACCGAGCAACGGGAGCTCACCCCATCATGGGGATTCGAACCGCCGACCTTCTGATCAGCACGCCCAAGAGGCTCAGTGGTTTAGACCACAGCGCCACCTGCATCCCATAATATAGCTGTAGTTGACACTGGCTTGAGGTCAAAAACCTCCTCTTTTCCATATCTGTGGTTTAGACCACAGCACCACCCGCGTCCCATTTTCTAATAAGAGAGTTCCATTTTCTAACAAGAGAGTTCTTCATTCATTTTCCATGATGGTTACCAATTCCAACACAGGAAGAGCCTGCTGGATCAGGCCAATGGCCCAGCTGCTCCATCATCCTGTTCTCACAGTGGCTGACCAGATGCCTATGGGAAGCCCAAATACAGCACTCTTCCCATATGAACCAGCTCCTGCAATGCAAAGGCATGAGAAAGTCAGATGACTCAGAATAGCTCTGTGTGAAACAGTAGTAGAAATATAATGCAATGGGCTTTCCCTCCTCAGATCTTTACAGACATTCTTTTTTTTTTATTATTCCCCTCCTCTAGTTGTTTTTGATTACACTCCACTGATAACTTGGAAAGAATTTCAAGCCTGCATGCCCTGGGAAATTGCCATCCTCGTTGGTGGAGGGTTTGCGCTGGCAGATGGCTGCGAGGTAATACAGATTTTTGCAACATATCAATAATAATAACAACAATATTCTTAAGCTGTAGCTGGTTTGCAAGAAAATTGCAGAGGACGAGCTGAAAAGTTGTCCGGTGTTATTCCACTAGTAATATTTATCTTATAATGGAACAACAGTTAAGCGAGAAATGGAAGGGAATTGTTGTTCAAGAAGTTAGGGGGAATTTGGAGGGTTAGTAACTTTGCTTGGTAAAATGTTGCCTCTGAAAACGGTTTCGTTTTGACTGTTATTATCACCGTTGTCATTAAATAGATTTCTAGTCCACCTTCTGGAGTGTGTTGCTGCTTGCTACAAATCCATAAAATAAAGTATTAGCACGTCAAGATTTAAAACAGCTGTAAAAACAATTGGCAGCATTAAAATAAAACTGTTCTTAAATATGACCATAAAATTACCCAGGTGCGGACCAGGATTTAAGAAAAGAAAAATTATGCACAGAAGTGTGGTGTGCTAAGCCTTATTCAATAAAGTAAAGAATAGTCTCAACTGCTTTGGGCAAACAGCTTTGGCTGTTTGTTGCTTAGAGGACCATCTCCTATACCGTGGGTGGCTAAGTTTCAACTTCTGGATGTTGTTGGATTCCAGCTCCCAACCAGCCCCAACTAGCCTGACTAATGCTCATGGAACTTGTAGTTCAGCAAGCATCTGGAGGGTTTGTACCTTGGTCCTACAACATGTCATCTTCTCCTCAAGATGAGTGCATGTAGCGTGGACTTTGTTGTGGCCTCTTGCTTGGATCATGAGCACAGCACAAAGTTAGCTTCTTAAGCCAAGATTATGACAAGCTTCTTGCACAAACGTGTAGCCCCTCTGCTCCCAGTTCACTTCTCCCTTTTTGCAACCAACCAAATAGGCCATGAAGCCATAGTCAACCATAACTATAAATGGCAACTATGGCTAATATGATTTGTGCTTATGATGTTTTCAGGGTGGTTACACACTTTCAATACCATCTGCTCCTGCAAAATGTTTTGGGGCAGTGACTGCTGCTTTTTTTTGCAGTAGTGCATGTCCCATAGTTTCCTTTTAAAATCCATTAACTTTTCTTCTTCTTTGGCAATCACTCGTAGCTGAGTAAGATTGTCTTCCATGAATGTGGTCTTAACAGTTTATCCATAAGTAACTGTGGAGGCCAATTCTGGATCCGCACATCCTTCCACAGTGGGGACATAGGTTTCTGGGCGGGACTTGATCACAGTGAGGATTTGTCCTCCATTCCTTCCTCTTAGCTCATTTCTCCCTTTTGTCCTGAATTCGTGTTTCTTCAAAGTCCATGACACCTTTGGTGAAGGCAGTTCTCCAGTTGGAGCGCTCACAGGCCCGTGTTTCCCAGTTGTCTGTGTTTATACTACATTTTTTGAGATTAGCCTTGATAGTGTATTTAAACCTCATTTGTTGTCCACCAGCATTGTTTACCTGTAATAATAATAATAATAATAATAATTATTATTATTATTATTATTATTATTATTATTTTATGATATATACCCTGCCTATCTGACTGGGTTGCCTCAGCCACCCTGGGCAGCTTCAAACACATGTAAAAACATAATCAAACATTAAAAACTTCCTGATAGTTCTGTAGTGCAAGAGTGCCCATCCAGATGGAAATAATGTGGTAACATTGGGAAAGCATTGCAGAACTAATAAAACAGACTCCACCATTAATGCACTATTATTCTGTCAAAGGCATGTTACAGAATACATCTGCAAAAAACACACACACAAAAACAACAACACACACACAAATACCAGTTTGGAGGGCCCTCTTTTGAACACCCGCCTCAACTCTTTTGTCAATGGTTTGTGAATTCAGACACAGCAGGAAACCAAAGTTGGCACAAACTCACCAGCTTCAGCCGGTAGTTTGATATCCTGTTTGGCAGCCCCTCACAAACCAACAATAAGTTCAGACATAAGACTAAAGCATGGTTGACCATGAATGCAGCTTACTTATACCCATGGTTGTGCTACTCAGAAGCCAACCTCAATTAGTTCAATGGGATTTACTCCATACTAAATGTGTATAGGCTTTCACCCATAGCCATTTATATCAAGGGTAGTCAGATGTTGTTGGGCTATAACTCCCATCTTCCATGCCCATTGGCCATGTTGGCTGGGGCTGATGGGAATCCAACAACAGCTGGATAGCAGTATGTCAGCTAGCCCCAACTTACATGGTGAAAATGTGTTATCTGCTAGAAGTTGAGCATCTTGGCATGCATTTAATATGGAGGAAAACACATTGAGGGGCCCTGGAATCCTATTAGAGTTCAGTTACTTACAGGTATCGATCCTGTGTATTGATAGGCTAACAGATTCTGCAAATGCCGTACTTGTGAAAAGATATGTATGCATTAAATTACATTGGCGGATAACTGTGCTAACGTTCCTTTTCACAGGTCTCAAAACTCTCAGAGTGGATAGGAAGTAAATTAACTCCTTTGGGATCGCTGCCCATATGGCTGACTATCCTCATTTCATCCCTGATTGTCACCACAATAACTGAAGTAGCCAGCAATCCTGCCACTATCACAATATTTTTGCCTATCCTAGCCCCACTGGTGAGTAACCCTTCCAAGAAACTGGTTTGGTTTGCCCATTCACAATTAAAGTGGTTAAAGATAAGTAAAAAGATGGAGTTTCCACCCTTTCAAAATGTGCTCTGATTGGGTGTCTGTGTGTTTGACTTAGTGAGCTGGGAATATCGAACCAGAGAGTAGTAGTTTAGTTAATTCTAGATTAAAGAGTATGATGTTGTGTATAGGTGTTCTATGGAAGCAAGGAAATAATAATAAAAGATGCATATTTCCTATGGATACCAATGCATCGAATATTATGCATCAGTAATTATGTCCCACTGCGTTCAAGGAAGCATGCATCCCAATGCACAAACAGTGATACTGCATGGATCTTTATGTGTTCAGGGATGCGGGTTTATTTTCTGCGTGCCTGTATTCACTTTGCCTCTATAAATCCAATTTTATTTTTAAAGACTTTAAATCATTGGATCATAGGATCATCGTGGCTATTTTAGCTATGGGCTCTTGTAAGGTGCTCTGCTCCTCAGCCTAGTAAAGTGGAGGAATGCATGTATATATGTTCAGGGTCCTTTAAATACTTCAGTTAACATTATGTGTTCATGCAGGGAACCTGTGGACCTGCAGATCCAACTCCTGACATCCCCAGAAGCCATGGCCAATGGCCAGGGGCAATGGTGGATGTTGTAGTCTAGCATCACCTGGTTCCCCGTGTCTGCTTTTGTGATCGCAGCCTTTGGTTCTAGCATGCATTTTAATTCTCACTGTCTCAGATATGTGCTTCTTTCCGTGAAGGTGAACCATGACTTTCTGTTTCCTCCTCTAACAGGCTGAAGCCATCCATGTGAACCCCCTGTATATATTGATCCCCTCCACCCTCTGCACTTCGTTCGCGTTCCTTCTACCTGTAGCAAATCCTCCCAATGCCATTGTATTTGCATATGGTCACCTGAAAGTTATCGACATGGTAAGTCGAGGGCAAATCACACACACCATGCTGACTTCTTCTTTTGTAATAATAAGAGTAATAATAATAGCATCCTTTTCCAGCGTGCTCAGAACCCTTATTATACATCATCTCACTTATTCTAGTGTCTTGCTTTCCACAGACACCAACCAGGTGGCTCTAGAAAGCCCATGAGGAAGACCTAAAGACAATAGTCCTTTCCTATTGTTGCTGTCTGGAAACTAGTATTCAGGTTCCGCATCCATCATGACTTACAGCCACTCATACACACATTTATTGTGAATTTGTCTAATGCTCTTTCAAAACCATCTAGGATGTTTATTTACTTAACACATACCACCTTTCCTCCAACCAACTCTAGGCAGAATACGGTACATGGTTCTCCCCAGTGGCTTGCGGTCAGTGGACTAGGCTAGTCCCCTAAAAGTTCCCGGTAAATCAGAGTAGAGAAGGAGGTGCGATGCTCCAAGGGGATCCAAAAGCCCTCCTGCCACCTTCTCAAAGCCTGTCCAGCTTTGGGAAGGAGGTGCGATGCTCACATGCAACGTCTCCTCACCACCACCACAATTGCACTTGCAAGCTGGCACCTCTGACCCTAACTGTTCCCCTACGAAAAAATTCACTGCATGCCACTGTTTCTTTCATCCTCTTGTCACAACAGCCCTGTGAGGGAGGTTAGGCTGCGGTTTAGGCGGCCCAAGGTCACTCAGTAAAGCTGCATGGTTGGGTACAATTTAAACTCGTGTCTCTGTAATACTAGTCCACCACTCTGATCCAGGGGTGAGGGACCTTTTTGGCTCTGTGGGACATCCTCTGTATCACATCCTTGCCTCATGAGAGACCTAGTGGCTTGTCTAAAGCCGCTTGATGGGTTCGTGACCACTCTGAGATTTGAACCTGGAATTTTCTAGTTTCCAGATCGTAACTGTGGTGCAAATTGTGATTTTGCCAAATTTCTTGATCAAATTGGGGCTTTCTGTTTCAATTGGTAAAAAGATTCTCTCCTTACCCTCCCCCTTTTCTTTTAGGTAAAAGCCGGTTTGGGTATCAATATCATCGGAGTTGCTGTTGTCATGCTTGCTGTCATGACATGGGGGGTGCCCATGTTTGAACTCAATACATATCCTAGTTGGGCACCTGCTATTGCTAACAGAACCGGACTTTAAGAATGGAGTAGCAGCTTCTTTTTCTCGATCCGCCTTCCCATGCTGTGCTTCTTGTTTACTCTTCCCAAGGATCGACACATCTGCACTGAAGACGGTAAACCAAGACTCTTGCAGTCTCGATACTGCAATGGCAAGCGAGTCTGTGCAAGTGTCCGATCAGTTTGGATTTCACTCATCAGGGTTGGGAAGTTTGCAACGGTGGTTATGCACATTCATTATGAATGCTGATTTGCCCCCGTTTTTAGGGTCACCAAATAATGTAGGTTTATGACTATAGGGGTGCTGGGATAAGAGCGTGGTGGGTGGGTGGACAGATAGCTGGATCAATAGATTTTAAAATGCTGGAAGGCCATTATTTAAAGCTTATGGCCAATGTGTCTTCCAGTCCCAACATGTGCACTGAAGCATTCTATGCGTGCCTTATAAGTCAGAGCTACATGATCACTTCACGTGGAGCATGTTGTGCCATACACTTGTTCCACGAAATCCTACTTGCCCGGGGATGATTGCTGCTGGAATCTGATAGGAAGATCTTTTCCAAGATGATCAATGAATGACTGAAATTTCAGATGATCATGCTGTGGGAAGAACTACCCATAGGCCAGAGAAGAGGCAGCTTGCATCTCTGCCTCCATTCCACTCACGGATGCTGGCTTATGTGGGTTTGGGAATCGCGTGTGTGCTCATTGCAATCTATTTTAAACTTTTTAAACTCTTTTAAGCGACAAAGACCTAGGTGTGGTAACTAGCATGTTCTGCACTGGAAGCTAGACACAGCACCCAGTCGTGGGCATGAGATGATGAGAGAAACCATCATGATCCAATGGGAAGTTTATATATTATTATTTTAAAACCAGAAGCGCTTACCACATTGTATTGATTCTGTTTGGATTAGTTCTGCCAGAATCAATCATAGTAATAAATGTGCCAAAGTGTGAGACAATAGGATCCTTATTGCTGTATTTCTTGAGCTAAATATTAAGCACCTTTTCTATTATTCCAGGGGTGTGGGACCTCTTTTAGCTTGAGGGGCACATTCTGCTGTGGGTAACATGTCAGTGAAGGGGGGGGGAGGGGGCCCAAACTGGGCACAGCAATTCATGCGACACTTACCCTTGTACTGTAGACTACATTCCAGCCACACAAAAGCCAAGTAGGGTAGGGCACACATACTGTATCTATCCATCACCTGCCCAGGTATCATTTTTTAGACTGGTTCCCCTCTATTGCCTCCATAATGATGGGAAAGGGCTGTTGCTCAGAGACAAAGGCATACATTACTCACAAAAAGTCCAAGGTCATCCCTCTTTAGCTAGGGTTGGAAAAGACACCTGTTTAAAACCCTGGAGTATAGAAAATATCGACTTGGTCCAACTTAGTGTAAGGCACCTTAGCAGCGATGGCTGTTCTGCATAGCATTCATATAGTAGTATGGGGGACGTGGGAAATGGGATTGGTGGACCAGATGGATCCACTGTAAATGGGGCAGGCAGCAAAGAGAAGTGTAGCTTTCAATACACGAGGGTGTTGGCATTGCAGCAGATGTGAAGCTTCTCTGGTTTGAGGCTCTGCTCACCTGGATCAGAGTCAGAATCAGGACCAGCTTTTGTGTCCCCATAGGACTCTATCTGTGCAAGGCAGTCAAGGCAGGACTTCATATTGCAACTAATGTCAAGATCACACTGGTGTTTTCTGCAACAAAGATGTGGTGTGTGGAATAATGCATGCATGTGAATATTTTTATTTTTATTATTGTTATTGCTAATATTATTATTATTACATCTGTGTACACCCTGACCTCACTGTTTGAGAAGAAGTAGTTTGAATACTGTGGACTCAAACTGTTTTTAATCTTGCAACTCTCCAGGCTAATTTGCACCAGGTAAAAGAGTTCACAAACAACAGGAGCCCTTTATCATTGTCATCTTAGGTCATATCAGAAAGTCCTGTTGCATCACTTGGGCTTTTATAATGGACCAAACTTGCAACTTGCGATGGGGAGGATTTTCACAGACTGTTTTGTTTGGGTATGATAGTGTTTTATGTGCCATTTTACCTTTATGAACAGAGCAAATTATAATTGACAATAAAAGTGGAAATTCAAGTGAGATGTGTTGTTACATGTCATTAGGGTGTTGTGTGTTATTATTACTATTATTGTGTATTCTCCTTCTTTATTAAATTTGTATTCTGCCCTTCATCCAAAATCACAGGGCAATTCACAACATAAAAATACATAATGGGACACAAAATGCATAATAAAAACAAGAACCAAAGCAAAAACAAACCAATGAGTGTAACCCCATCAGGAGCAGGAAACCTCCCATCCATTTGGTCTAGGGAACCACCCACTAACAGTCTTGTTTGGAATGAGCTTCAGTTTTTGGGCTTTTGCCCAGTCTATTACTGAGGCAAAAAAATGGTCCAGCACAGCCACTGCCACACCTGTAGGTGTAGAAGAGAAGAGTTGTGTGTCATCAGCATATTGCTGACAACGTACTCCAAAACTCCAAATAACCCCACTCAGCAGTTTCATGTAGAGGTAAACAGCATAGGGGATGAAATTGAACCCTGAGGAACACCACACTGAAGGCTCTATGGAGCTGAAGAGCACTCCTCAATCATCACCCTCCTGAAATGGCCATCCAAGTAAGACTAGAACCACAGTAACTTGGACAGCCGCTCCAGAAAGATATTGTGGTCGATGGTATCAAAAGCCACTGAGAGGTCAAGGAGAATGAACAAGGACACATATCCCCTGTCTCTTTCCCAAGAGAGCTCATCATACAGGGCAGTTTCCATGCCTAAACCCCAATTGAAATGGATCTAGAAAATCAGTTTCCTGCAAGGGTGGCTGGATCTGGTCCATGACCACACCACCATCTTGCCCAAGAAGGGGAGACTGGCAATCCATAATCAGATCATGGATGAGAGAGGTCATACTCTGAGATGACCTGGCACTCAGCAACAACCTGAGAGCTGGCTGATAGATCAACCACAATTCCCCAGATTAGAAGAGGGGCTGTCACACAGCACAGTCACTGCCTTACCCAGCCTGCCCCACCCCTACCCGCACCATACCTCCCCTTGCCCAGAAGTACTGCGGTCAAGGTTACCTCTGATCTCCTCTCTTCCCAGGAACATCCTACATCCCTTAATGTAAAAACAACTAAAACCCCAAATTTAAAAACACACAAGTTAAAAGCAGTTGAAAAACAATTTGAAGAAGAAGAAGAAGAAGAGGAGGAGTTTGGATTTGATATCCCACTTTATCACTACCCTAAGGAGTCTCAAAGTGGTTAACAAACTCCTTTCCCTTCCTCCCTCACAACAAACACTCTGTGAGGTGAGTGGGGCTGAGAGACTTCAGAGAAGTGTGATGAGCCCAAGGTCACCCAGCAGCTGCATGTGGAGGAGCGGGGAATCAAACCCGGTTCACCAGATTACGAGTCCACTGCTCCTAACCACTACACCACACTGGCTCTCATTTGAAACATTTTAAATTAAAACAGGGCAATTAAAACAGCAACCCCCGAACTACAATGCCCTGTGAACCCCAACCCAAGAGCCTGTTCAGCCACCTAAACTTTTTGCAGCTGGAGTCAATCAGCCAACTTGAATAAAATATTGTAGGAGGCTAGGTAATTGATCACAAGACACAGCGCACACACCATTTGAAGGGGAATGCCCATCAACTTTGTGGCCCCCTCAAATGTTTTATTGTGGGAACTGATGCCCCCACGGCCCCTAGGAGTTGGCTCCTATGGTCAGGGCTCCACCTTCCCAGGCCAGGTGGAAAGGGCCTGCAAAGCAGACAGCAGATCCTCAAAGTCCCACAGTGGGATGGTATAATGTCAACTGTTATTTTATTTACTCCTGCAAATTATTCAGCTGTATGTTTATTATTGTTGTTGTTTGTCTAGATAGTTCCTGGCAGTGAAAAATATAAGCACATCTCTCATCTCTTGAGTCATCACCCAAATGAAATCGTTATCTCAACAGGCAATCCCAGTGAGCAGAATTTTAAACAAATAACTGCTGGTTTTTTAAAAAAATGAGATTTGTCTGGCAGTGTCCCCAGCTGACATACTGTCTTGCAAGATATACAATATATTTTCAGTGTTCCATCACATGAAGATATTTCCACATACATGGGCAGCCAGGTATTTAACTTCTAAGAAACAAATGCAGTAAAAAGTGGATCATGTCCGTCAGCTCACACTCTTAATGAGAATTTCAACATGTATTGCTTTAAGCAGCTTGTGAAAGATGGCGTCGTTTGTATGGTGGATTTCTCATTTAGGTTTACTATCTGACTAATTTGGAGGCTTCTTTCAATCCAACTGATGAACTATTAACATGCCCCAGAAGATCAGAGACATACTTAAATATGTCCATAAATGATACATTTGTTAATGTTTCCCTTGGTCTCTGACATTAGATTGTGTGGCCTCAGCAGAAAGCAGGGCTTTAAAGTAGGTCTGTAGGCTCCTTTATAACCACTCTGATTGCTTACCCATATGGGAGTAATAATTGAGGCTCTGATGCTATCTCATTGGGAAAGGACAAATTAAACCACCATGATCAGCCACTCAGTTCCATAACTTCACAACTCAGTCCCTAAGCCGGTAAACTTTACTGAGCAAAGACTAGATTTTAGATCGATAGGGAGTTTGGTACTCAGGAAAAGGTCAGCAAAGCTTGAACTGAAATTGCAATAATCAGGGCTGCTTCCACACTGGGCATCAACTGTGCAATAGCCACCTTTTCTTTTCTTTTCTTTTCTTTTCTTTTCTTTTCTTTTCTTTTCTTTTCTTTTCTTTTCTTTTCTTTTCTTTTCTTTTCTTTTCTTTCTATGTCATTTCTCTTTCCAGCTACCCTTGACTTTAATCACCTTTCAAATGTCTTTAAACACCAAAGTGTTTTAGATCGAGAATTTTCATGCTTTATTTTATATTTTTGTAAACCCCTTATAATCAAGCGGTATATAAAGTTTGTTGAAATGAATAAATAAATACTCCCATGATTTCCCTGTTCAGCCTTGGCTGCCCCCTCCATGTGACCCCCTGAACAATAATGTTAACAGATAAGGTAAAAAGGTAAAGGTAAAGGACCCCTGGACGATTGGTCAAAGGCTACTATGGGATTGCGACACTCATCTCGCTTTTCAGGCCAATGGAGCCGGCGTTTGTCCACAGACGGCTTTCTGGGTCATGTGGCCAGCAGGACTAAACTGCTTCTGGCACAAAGAGACACCGTGATGGAAGCCAGAGTGCCCGGAAATGTCATTTACCTCCCTGCCACAGCAGTACCTATTTATCTACTTGCACTGGCATGCTTTTGAACTTCTAGGTTGGCAGAAGCTGGGACAGAACAATGGGAGCTCATCCCATCGTGGGGATTTGAACTGCTGACCTTCTGATTGGCAAGCCTAAAAGACTCGGTGGTTTAGACCACAGCACCACCCATTGCATAGCTAAGTGCCTAATCAGGAGCCCTCATAGTTGTGCTTGGAATCACTCTGAGGAGGTGTTTTGAATCTGAACTTTTAGATTTAGTTAGTAGATCAGTAATTTCCATTTCAAGTCTGGAAATGTTGTAGAGGTTTGTTTTTTAATACATGATTTTTCTTTAATATGGATACCTCTTGCCACTGCTTTAATAGCATCCCAATGGTTGGTAAAATTGGTGTTGTCATTGTCATTTCTCTTCAAATAGAATTGTAGGGTTTCTACTATTCTTTCTGTAAATAGTTGGTTGGTCACTAAAAAGTGATCCTTTCTCATGTCTTATAGAGAGACTCCTCGTACATTAAGGTGGAAGTTGTCCCCTAGTATGGGTTTTTCCTCAACAAATTTAGGTGGAATCTAGACACATATAAGAAACATTGTGAAAATGCTTTTCAAAAAAACTTTTTGAAAAACATATTGAATTTGCCATAGCTCACCACCCCATCTAGTGTCACATTTGTATAATGTACTTAAAACATTTTATTTGCAGCTGTATAACTGAGTCCTTACTGAATCTACATAATACGTTTTGAATAAAGTCAAGTTGCTCCGAGTTTGTGGCATATACATGTCCAACAGTTAATTTTTTATTACCATTCCTTCTCCCTATAGTAAAAATATATCCACCATTCCTGTCTTTCAGTATCAAGTGTAATTTGAAGTTTATTCCTTTGGCAAAAAGGAATCCCTGTCCTTTACTTGAACCTGGTGCTGTCACTCGGGGTTGAAACCAATTGTCACTGAAGATTTTATTTCCCCTAGGGGTGGTGGTGCATCTCTTGTAAAAAATGCAATTTGTGGCTCCATTGCAAATAAATAGGTGCTGCTTTTTTTAAAAGGACCACTAATTTCCCTCACATCTGCCACTTAATGAACAGTAAAACCAATTTATATTATGTCACGATATTCTGTCCATTTTTAATGTGCTACAGAAATCTTTGTCATTTTCCTGTGATTCAACAGTCATGGAAATATTAAAACAATACTCCATGTGTGTTTGTAAAGATAGCGATAGATAGATTGACATATATCAATATATATACATACCTATTAAAGCCCTAAATGGCCTTGTCCAGTATACATGAAGGAGTGTCTCCACCTCCATCATTCTGCCTGGACACTGAGGTCCAGTGCTGAGGGCCTTCTGGCGGTTCCCTCGCTGCGAGAAACCAAGTTACAGGGAACCAGGCAGAGGACCTTCTCGGTAGTGGCACCCGCCCTGTGGAACGCCCTCCCACCAGATGTCAAAGAGAAAAATAACTACCAAACTTTTAGAAGACATCTGAAGGCATCCCTGTTTAGGGAAGCTTTTAATGTTTAATAGGTTATTGTATTTTAGTGTTTTGCTGGAAGCCACCCAGAGTGGCTGGGGAAACTGGGGAAATAATAAATTATTATTATTATTATTATTATTATTATTATATTATGTAAGAGTCCTGTTGGATCAGATCAAAAATCTTTCTCATCTAGCACACAGTGACGAATGCTATGCCTCTGAGAAGCCTGCTAGCAAGAGTGCAAAAGCCCACTCCCACTGTTGTTCCCCAGGGAATATTATAAATACTTCTGATGTAATCTTGTCCATCCTTCAAATTGC